TATACCTGAGACCTACCAAGACTTTACCTCTTCCTCTTCCTCTTCCTCTCTCATCTCTGTCACAAAATCGAACCACCTCAATCGAACATTCCACCTCGGCAAATCCTACCATCATCGTACAACAAGATGCTATGATTTCCCATATTACCACGCAGGATAATCCCAGCGAAACGTCGAACGATATCCTCAGAGATGGGCTTTCAACTTCCACGATTCTCAATTCGACTTCAATCTCAACAAGTCTTGTAGGTGTTGAAAAGTTGATGACGGGGATCAACTCTCCACACTCTTCGGTCCCCGAGAAGGTCGACGGGGTATTTCCTCACAATTCGGATCCGCCCCTTGAGAGACCAACGGGGGAACAAAATGTCGAATGGATCACTTGGAAGTTCACACCAGAGGAAGAAAGTAGGAGAAGGGCGTATCTACCTTTAGCATGATGAAGTTGGTTTTGAAATGCTTCGACTTGAACGAGAAATCTTGTACTTTTCCAATCATTTTACACTTGAATGCAACGCCATGTACTCGTACTTACAAAAGTCTTCGTTAAGGACACGAGGTATCTGAGAGATGCAACGGACGGTGCGAAACGGCATCCAGAGGGCTACGCGACTGGAACTCATGTGTCACTGCATGTGAAGATATTCGAGTATATGCAACCTAGACATTCCACCTATTATAGCTAGAAGAGGATTGGGGAACAGAGATCAAACGGTCATCAAACGGTAACTCCATTCACCCGATCCTCTTCCTCCGCTTCGGCCAATTTCTGTCGGAAAAGCTTCTCCGCGTTGACCCACACAGGCGCTGTGACCCTGTCTGGAAGCTGCAGGAGACTGGGGAGGAGGTCGCGAGAGAACTGCTCGGAAGCTTCACGTGGGAGCTGAGGTCAGTAATTGTCCCATGTCCTGGTCGGGTAGGTAAATGCCTGGGTATTCGAGTAGGAGAGGCGAGAGAATGTGAAGGGTCTGGTGATAGGATTGATAAAGGGGAGAAAGACTCACCAGAGTAGGAAGGTGATCGATGGAGACAACGGTACATCGTTTGCCAATACCAACATCAACCTCGACAGTTGGTTCGGGGAAGGTAGTGTTGATCGAGTAAATCGGAATGGGGTTGTGAGGGTTAGTAGTACTGTTGTTCAGCATTGATCCCTCCATTATCTCCCTATTTTCTACATTCCGGTGGGATGAAAAGATACTCACTCGCAAGAAACATCTACCACGACAGACAACCTTCTCTTCTCCCCGGCCTCAGCCATGAATTCCTTAGTGATGAACTTGGGAATTGGCGAAGATAGATATATGCAATTGACAAATACGTCGACTTCATGTCAGTTTGTCCATGTTCAGTGATTGACCAACTTACCATCAAGTATCTCAGTAAAGGGTCCACCTTTGGCAGTTTCTGCCATATCCCACTTGATGATATTCTCCCTTATCCATCAGTTTAAGCTATATATTAGATGATTTGACTTACTCTGCCAAACCTGCCTTCCTAAAAAGATCAACAGCACCACTTCCACATCTTCCCAGAGCTCCAATGACCAAAACCTTGACCGACTTCGGTCCCCCTTCTGTACCTTCCAAAGCTTGTCTAACATGGGCGATCATAGCTTCTTCATTCTGATAAGGCTTCAAAGGGCTCAATCTCCCCTCACCACCTTGTTGTTGTTGTGCCGCATAAGCTAAAGCACCAGCTGCGGCACCTGCAAAACCCGCATGAAAGCCGAATGCAGCCACACGTCGTCTAGTTTTGGGATCCTCGAGGAATTCGAGGTCGTATAGGAGTCCGTTACCTTGACGGAAACGACGTAAAACGTCAGTCCATCCAGCTTGACGTTTGTAGCAATGGGCAAATTGGATATGAGTGTGAGGAAGTGGGTCACTTCATGTTCAGCATTCAACGACGCACGGGGAAGAAAGGACTTACGAGGATAGTGGGAGCTCCTTGAGACCGATGATGGGTACTTCGAGTGGAGCACTCGGCCATTCGTTGTTGGGTACCATCTCACATCCTACACTGATTTGTCAGAAGTCGTTCAACTAGAGTATTGTGTGATTTTGACGGGATGATCATCAAGAATAACGTTGATGATAGTTGATGATAGTTGAAAAGGTTTAGGTGACTCACGCTTCGAATTCTGCATCATCAAAAATTCTCTGAGGGTCTCTTTCCACATAAACGTGGAAGTTGTTCTCGATAAGCTCCTTGGCAGTAGTAGGAGTCAGAGCCGAACGATGTTCAAACGGTTTCTTCTCACAACGAAGCCAGATAGGCTGACGGGGTTGAGTTTCTGAAGATGTGCCTGCAGCTGAGGACGGGTTCAAGGGTGTTTGCGAAGACATTATGCTGATTGTTTGCGAGATGTCAAATGGTAGATATGTGTGTTGAGAAGCAAGATAAGAGGAAGAAAGACTAAGGGGGTGCTTTTGGACGTCTTCGACTTGAAAGAAAGGAGGTGAAAATCGTCGTTGGACTCGAAATTTGTTGTGAAACCCGGCTGAGACCGATCAAGGTGGGTCAATGATCAAAGGGTAGGGGATGGAATGATGACGTGGAGTTTCCCCATCTCAAATGTTCTTGAAAGGATCTTTCAACCAGTCGACATTTAAACCCCCCTCCTTATCTCTTCAAAGCCCTCTTATCTCATACGTTCACTCTCAGATATTAGCAGAATGAGTGAGAAAGAAACTGAAATGGTTCATACCGACTCTGCTGCTTCTGCCTCCGAAGCGACCCCTGATGGTGCTGTCGCTCCCACCAAGGGAGAGCTCAAAAGACGACAGAAGGAAGCTGAGAAGGCTCAGAAAGCTGAAGCTCGGAAAGCGAAGGAGGAAGAAGAGAAAAAGAAGAGGGAAGCGTTGGCGGCACAGGATTTCGCGAGTCAGAATTATGGGAAATTGCCTTTGCATCAGAGTCAAGAGAGGACTGGTAAGTGGTATTTTGCCCCTACCTAAGCCTTTTCCGACTGTCTTCCATGGACAGCAATCCAAAGTAGGGAGTGGAATATGATCACGGATGAATGTCTAGATAAATTGTACTGATCACATAGGTCAAAAACGAGTCAAGTTCTCAGAGTTAGACCAGTCTTTCGTCGGCCAACGTGTTATATTCCGAGCCAGAGTTCATAACATGCGTCCTCAAGGTTAGTGAAAAGACAAAGGAGCTCATCCTTGAGAAGAGTATGTCAGTGCTGATGTCCTCAAGGTGCAAAGATTGTATTTTTGACTTTCCGACAACAGATGTATACTTTACAAGGTGTACTGGTTGTCACTGGAGAAAATTCTGAACATGCGGTTTCCAAGCAGATGTTGAAGTTTTCTCAATTGATACCGGTGTGTATCTCCGCCGACCATACCCTTTGAACCCCTCAGCGCTTCAGCTACTCTGCTTACTGTCCAGTCCGAATCCCTCGTCGTGATCGAAGGTGTTATCAAAGCCGCTGAAGTCAAATCGTGTTCCATCACAGACCTCGAGATCAGTATTCAGAAGGTGAGTCTACAGTACAGTTTTCATTAAACATGTCGCCCTTGTTCGTATTTCAGTTGCGAAAGAAAGACGTACTTGGAAATTCACTGACGACCAGCTCTTCGCCGCTGTCGAAGTCACCGTGCCGGATCTTCCTTTCTCCATAGACGATGCCTCCCGACCAGAATCGGACTTCGCAAGGGTCAGATAAACCTTCTTTTTCGTGACCCAGGCTGACGGGGTAGATGGAAACGGAAGATGTTCAATTCTCCCGAGTGTCTTTACCGACCCGACTAGACAACAGAGTCATGGATCTTCGAGTTAGTCGTATCTCTTTATCCACCCATACAATGCACTCCTTCAGGAGGATAAAGGATGCTGATAAAATAGACCCCGACCAACCAGGCTATCTTCAGAATCCAGTCGGGTATCTGTCAGATGTTCCGCGATCACCTAAACTCTCAGGGTTTCATTGAGATACATTCTCCTAAGCTCCAAGGCGCTGCTACGGAGAGCGGAGCTAGTGTCTTCAAAGTACAATATTTCAATGGTCAGCTGTTTCAAGTTATATGATCACGCGAAAGCAGCTGACAATGAGGCATTGCTTTTTTGGCTCAAAGTCCTCAATTGGCAAAACAAATGTGTATCGCTGGAGATATGGAGCGTGTATACGAGATTGCGCCTGGTCAGTATTGGAACTCTCTAGCATGTCCTGTATGCGAGGGGAATGCTGTTGGATCACACGTTGACATCTAGTTTTCCGTGCAGAAGATTCCAACACTCATAGACACATGACGGAATTCGTTGGACTGGATCTCGAAATGGCCATCGAGGAACATTATCACGAGGTTGTTGACGTGCTCGACTCTCTCTTTTTGACCATCTTCAAAGGTCTCAAAGAGAAGTACTCGAGGGAAATCGAAACAATCAAGAAACAGTTCCCATGTGACGATTTTGTGTTTTTGGACAAGACTCTCAGACTACCATTCAGTGAAGGAATGAAGATGTTGAAGGAAGCTGGAGCTAAGGATGGAGAGGGAAATCCCATCGGCGAGATGGACGATATGAGGTGAGTGGTTCTCTTGATATTTCTTAACATCAAATCACTCCACACGCCCATTTTATCCTTCCACACAGGTCATCAGTGGACTGTGGACTCTGTTACAATTCTTTCATGGAGCATGTAATTGAGAATGACAATGATCACCTGTAAGGAATCGTTATGATGTCAGCAAGCTGACCGTTAGTACCGAGAACGAAAAACTTCTAGGTCGTTTAGTCCGAGAAAAATATCAAACAGACTATTTCATTCTTGACAAATTCCCTTTATCCATCCGACCATTTTACACCATGCCCGATCCCACCGACCCATCTGTGTCCAACTCGTACGACTTTTTCATGCGTGGTGAAGAAATCCTTTCTGGTGCACAACGTATTCACGATCCCACTTTCCTAACTGAACGTATGAAAGTAGCGGGTATCGATCCCGCTACCATGCAGGGGTATCTGGATGCTTTCAGACTGGGTGCTCCACCTCATGGTGGTGGTGGTATAGGATTAGAGAGGGTGCTCATGTTGTATTTGAAATTGGGGAATATAAGAAGGGCAAGTTTGTTCCCTCGTGATCCGAAGAGGTTGACACCGTGAGGGTCGTTCAAATCATCAATATTGTTGGTATCTACTTATCTCCTCTGAGATTTCAAGACTACAGAACTCTTACGCGAGGATACTTTATGAGAAGGGGACTGAGTTATTTCTCAGAATTATCAATGCATGTCATGTCCATATCAATTTGCATTGCTGGGGCTCCAGAATTTTTCATTATAAGAAACTGCGGTGCCCCACCGTTCAACGTCGAATTTAAGCTGGTACAGAGAGTACTTAGTCCTAAGTTGAGCAAGTGGAATGTCCTCTTGACCGACATCGCTTGACGACATGATGCACCTACTCATTCTGATCAATCTGGCGTGAGCTTGTTCCCTTTTACCATTCAAAGTTCTGAGCAGAAGTATATCCATTTCGAAGCTCACTTTCAGGCTCATCCCCATCCATGCTCACCTCATTCAATTCCCTTCCACCTCCATCGGGCCGTCAATGATGGAAGGACCTTATCATCCTCGGGTAGATTACGCAGCTCTCGAGTATAAAACATATGAGGTAGCACCACCGGAAGGAATGGAACTGAAGATCTTGCATGAAAGTGGACAACCGGGGGACAAAGTCAATTTGATGTTTTTCTCAGATGGATGTAAGTTTTTCCTTCTCTTCCTCACATATTTAAGTCCTGATGTTCTGAATACATCGTATGTATCCTCTGTATCTTCATTCACTACCCTTACCATTTGAATCTGTCACTATGACTCTCTCTTCATCTGATTTCTATGTGAAGCATCTGGAAAGGTAAGTTACTAGAGGGAAGCCAGTGGTTGGTGACAGACTTTACTCTAATGGTTGTCAGGGATCCCGCGTCGGAAGGTCCAGAAGGGGGAGGACGGATGTCTGTGATTGAGGTCAGAGATAGGAGACGAGAGACGCTAATCTTAGATATCATAGAGGAAAAGAAAAAATTCTTCCAAGATGCTCTTGAACTCAGCGATGTGATAGTCGCCAAGAATGGAAGTATGGCACATGTTTCACATTTACTCAACGTATATGCTGTATTCGTTCCTTCTTCACATGTGAGGATCGCTCTATGTCCTCTTTTCTTTCATCATATTCTCCCTTCTGAGATCCTGCCAGCAATCTCCATTTATGCCCAGGAATACATATTATTCTTAAGCCGATCTGAATGCTGTCACCCATCGAGTCTAAGAACTTTTCAGGAGCTCGCAATCGGTGTGAAAATGTCAGTCTGACACACAGTCGGGATTAGGACACGATCATCCATTACCTCATAGTCCTTTCGGTCTCTATCGACCAGGTCCAGAGCTTCGGGCGGTATATGTTGGACATGCCGCTCGTGCTAGGACGGCGTGTAAGTTTTGGAGAGATGGAAAGAAGGCGGGGTGTGATAATGCTATCCTTCTCGGTGAGATTTTTCCTATGAACCTTTTCATTTTCGTCCCTACAATCTATCGTAATTATCTGAAAATGTTCTCTATATCTTTCCCCAATATCTTCCTCATGTGGCATGACTGTCGTCAAAGTGGAGTCTGACCACCAGGTAATGATCCCCTTTATGGAGGTCTTGGTGGGGAGTTCACGTGAGTTTCGACTGGTCTCCGGATATCCACCCTTAGCTGAAAATGAGTGTTATCACAGCGTCCAAATTGAACGGCGGTCTGGTTCTCCAGCATGAACTAGGTCATTCTCTTATTCCTGTTGGAGAGGAATACGAAGGAGGTGAGTGTACGAGTTTGCAACTCAAGAATGATCTTACGCTGAACCTTAGGCTACGTATACTGCGGTGTCAATTCCGATTCACCGAAAAATCTGCATCATCTGAAATGGGCAGATATGCTAACAACACCGGACGATGTGAGGATAGAAGATGCCCGCGTGCCTCTGCAAGCGTACCCGTAAGTAGTGTTATCTTACTTCCCTCTTCATCCACTGGCCATGTGACAGAAACATCTAGAGACAAAGCTCACCCTCAGATGGCACGATCTGTCATCTTCACCATACACCATCTCCTTCACTTCATCTTCCACCCCATTACATCCCTATCCATCTGCTTTTCTGCGTCTCTCACTTTCCTCCATACCCCAGGCCTCTCATGTCAATCTGACCCTCAATGAACAATCTATCGATCTGACTGCTGGTTTCCCTCCGTTATGGGAAGGATCCAAAGATCGTCGATGGGTAGAATTACCCATTTTTCCGTTGTCAGAAGAATCGTACATTCTACAAGTGGCTCTTACGGACGAAGGGCGGGATGAACCAACAGGGAAAGGAGGAAAGATGTTGACATCTGTCGAAATAATCGAGTATGGTCGTGGATTTCGGCACGAGCTCGGCTTTGTAGGGGCCTTTCCGACGTATTCCATTGACGGTCGGATGAGTCTGAGACCGGTTAGTCAATGCGTGGTCATGATAGTCTTGATCTGACGTCTTAGACGAATGAAGATTGCGTCATGAGAAGGGTCAATGAACAACGTGAGTCCGTTTCTTTTGTTCGAGTGCGATGTCTCCTGATTATGGTATGAGGCGTCAGTCGCTTATTGAATGTGCTTTGGCAGCCAGTGTGCATGGCTGATAGAGGGTTCTTGCTTTAGTTTGCCTCACCTCAGTAACCTAGTCACCAGCTTGAGCGCATGAAACTAACGTCTAGACTTCTGCCCGATATGCAGTAAAGGTCTCCAAATAAACCTAGAAAAAATCATACAGGCCAAAAGAAGACACGTCCCTTACGAGATTATCAAACGTACCTTATTGCGATGTCGGTGATGCGCGTTATCTCGAACGGTCAACGGTTCAACAGTCTCGACGGATCTTGATTATCGTATTCCAAAGTCAAAAGCTTGCTATGCATGAAGAACCGCAACGACGTCGTTCTCGACCAAAACTTACGATCCCATGTCGTCATTCCGGACGCGTGTGGCGTTGAGAGGCCGTGGTGGATGATACTCGGAAGTCGCAGCCGGTCAGGAAAGTTTCCGACCAAGAGCCGGAATGAACCACCCGATCTACCCTTCGGCCTTTTGGCCCCGGCCCCTTCTTCCCTCGTCCGGAAATCACCATTCGAAATCTGGTCCTTCAATCGTCTTCCATGCATAGCTCGACACGACTCTTGGATCTACGGCTAGTTTACGCAAGGTACGATAGTCGGTACTCTGGGCCGAACGGCGGCTTCATCAATCCTTTCTGGGTTGTGGTCCATGAAAAACCTATTTGGTCGCGTGGACATTAGAGCTTTTGGATCGCGTCAAAGTGTATGCATCATCAAGCTCGGAGTGGGTTCCGACGATTTTGGGTGGAGGTAGAATTGACAACCTTTTGACTTTCTTTCTCACTCTTGTTCTTCTATTTCATTCTCTCTGTAAATGCTTCTCACACAAAAGCGACCATTGTAGACGAATCACTCCTCATTCGTCTTTTGGTCCTGTTCACCTCAGTGATCCCTCATTCCTCGAGGGATTTGTAGTGATAAGAGATATAGGACGATCTTTACAGTGTATACAATTTTCTTTTTGGACAGCCTGATTCATAATCGTACTCTCTGAACCGACAGAAAAGTCTTGATTCACATTCCTACAATGTCACAACCACAATCTTCCACACCTACTGCCTCATCCTCCACTCTCGTCCCTCATCCCACCACTGTCCCTTCTCAAAATGCAACCACTTCCACTTCCATACCCATCGTCCCTGATCTCCCAAAGAGTGAACCTCCAGATTCGGATACTCAATCATCATCATCGAAAGAGATCAAAGAAGCCGATTTACCTTCTGCTCCAAAAGGCAAGAAAGAATTAGAAATCCAAGATCAATCGACGAGAATGCCATTGCGAAAGTTATTCAAGATTTACTTTGGGATAGGAATAGCATTGATGCTTTCTTTCATTGATCAAACTGGTGTGTCGACTGCTGCACCTGTCATCGGGACTGCTTTGGGTGGATCAAGTTCTATTACTTGGGTAGGAACATCATTTTTCGTAGCCAAGTGAGTGTTCTGTTCTTCGTCATTCGATCATATGTCATCTTAACATTCACGAAAATGAGGTCAGATACCACGGAGACAGGGAGTCGATTCACTTTGTAGTGATGTAAGGCTGGTTTGGGTCTACGTCTAAGATGAGTAGGATACTGGTAGGGTTGAGTTACCACGAGCGAAGAGAAAGAGGGACAGAATGTGACAATGATTAACCATCAGCTGTGCCATGCACCTCGTTTACGGTCGTCTATCCGACATTTTCGGGCGGAAAACAATGTTGCAAGTCGCCGTTTTCTTTCTCGCTTTCGGTAACCTGCTGTGTGGGTTCGCCAAGACGCCGGTGCAGTTGTACATCTTCCGTGCGATCAGCGGTATGGGTGGCGGTGGTGTCAACGGAATCGCTATGACTATCGTGAGTTACGGTCTGTGATTTGATGTGGTCAACCATTCCATACTTTTTCCTGTGCGATTCACAAACTTCAACACGGTGTTCCAGTGTTCTGTTCAGATGTTCAATACCACTGTCTTCCTCATCTTTCCCATCCGTCAGTACGAGAATCAGGCAAATACTGTATGGTCAAAAGCTGAAACTCTAGGTCTCTGACATTGTCCCTCTCAAAGATCGAGGAAAATACCAAGGTCTTATCTCTGCCGCATGTACCGGTGGATCAGCAATCGGACCTTTCATCGGTGGTGGTCTTGCGTCCTCCGGCCATTGGCGTTGGCTATTCTGGATCACGACCATCTTCGGTACTTTGTGTATCATCATGGATCATTTCGTTCTCCCTCTCAAACCTGTCCATGGAGATATCAGAACTAAACTCAAGCAAATTGATTACCTCGGTATCTTTTTGAGTGCCGCAGGAACTGTCCTCTTGCTCGTTCCCATTTCCGGTGGAGGGTCAACTTTTGCATGGGATAGCGCAGCTGTCATTGGATTGTTGGTTTCTGGTGGAGTTTGTATGATCGGATTCTTCCTGACACAATGGAAATTTGCTGCTTTACCTATTCTTCCTCGTGAGTCATTCTGAGTTTCATAATCCCCTTGTTTTCCCATTCACTTCCCTTCAAATACTATGCCTTGTCCTACGTCTCTCTGTCGCAGTATTTACATTCACACGTCACGCATGTGGTCTATCTGCCTTATCGTTGATTAGTTGTGTATGGCCGATTGAATGATTCACTAACCCTCAGTGCGTCTCTTCAATGATAAAACAGTCACTGTGGTCATGATTCAATCCTTTTTCATCGGTATGATCTACTACGGCAACATTTTCTACGTTCCTATTTACCTTCAATACGTCAAAGGGTACTCATCCCTCGTCTCTGGTGCATGGATTTTGGTCACCACACTTCCCAACACTGTCTGGGGTATTTGGAGTGGTTTTTACATTAGTAGGACGAACCATTACAAACGGATTATCGTGAGTGAAGCTCTCTGAATCTGCAAACACTACCACGTCCCCCAATAGCCAATTCCTATAAGAAAACCGGTCGTACTTGTCAGTGGCGTCGTTCGATCGGTATTACTGTTCACGGAAGGGCAGTGGACTGTTGGTCGGACCAGACACGAGTGACGTTTGAAAGTACCTTCCGGGACACAGCTGACTACCTAGGTTATTGGTGCTCTTCTTTGGACCTTAGGTCTAGGACTCCAGATCTTGTGGAAAGAAAGCACTCACATTGCTGTTGTTCTCGTCATCCTTTTGATCAACGGATTCGGAGTTGGTTGGTCACTCCAGACGAGTGAGTTATCCATCGTGATCTTGGTTGTGGGGAAGAAGAGAGTGGTAGATGATTGGTTCACCCTGCTGACTAATCAGCTATGGTTGCGGCTTTAGCAACAACGCCTGCACCGGATCGTGCGGTCGTCACTGCTGCTCGTAATTTCTTCCGTACCATGGGTGGTGCTTTTGGACTTGCCAGTGAGTTTAAAGTCGTTCTTGTGTTGATTACGAAAATTCCATTTTCTACTCTCCATTCTATCACTCTCATTTCCACTTACTATCTGTCTTGTTTCCCCTTGAAGATACATGTATCATTTGTATAAAATCATCACTTGTGTCCAAAGGAGTGCGCAGGAGTAAGGTGGTATTAGAAACGAGTAAAAAGAAAGGAAAAAGATATTCAAACTTACATCCAGTCTCAAACGCAATTTACAACAACATTGTCTCTTCCAACTTACCTTCATGGTTATCACCATCAGATCGTGAAGCCGTCATTTCATCCGCTCTCGACGGTCTTAAAAGATTAAACGATTCTCAACAAACAGCTGTCAAAGCGACTTTCATGAAAGGTCTAAGAACCGATTTCATCTTCTTCACTGCCGTAGCTGCCATCTGTATAGTATTATCATTCATGGTAGATGAGGTAACTTTCCGTAAAGATTCACCTGCATTAGTAGCGGAAAAAGAAAGGTATAAACGTGAAATGGCAGCAAAAGCCGAAGCTGGACAAGCAGGATTGATCGATAATGATACCGTTGAACCTATTCATATACATAAACATGGACCTGGACATGTTCATGGACATAGAGATGCGGATGAGGTTGGGATTGAAAAAGAAGAGGTTTTACCTGGTGAAGAAATCGTTGATTTGGCTGGAGGTGATATAGTTGATGATGCTAGTTCTCATGAGAGTAGTTTTACGGATGTTGATGAGAAAGAAGGTTTGGAAGAAGATTTAAAGGAAAAGAAACATAGATGATATATATAACATTTGATACCTTTTTTTCTTTTTCCCACTCTCTAGTCCTTTTTTTCACCTTCTTCATTCTTTATCCTAAACTCTGGTTCAAGTGATTAACCCTTCTTTATTATTATCCATCCTTCTTACTCATACAACAATCATCATCATCCTTCTTTTCGTTATCCTCAAGTTGGATCTGGAATCTTAGGAAATAGTCGATCAGGAATGGGAAGAAATACGACAATGTGGACGAGTATGTGATTTTTCGTGATTATTTGATCTTCGTGACTTTTGATTTTAGGACATGGGGAAATGAAACATTTAGTGATACGTGATGAGTCCTAGAAATACTTTCTCAAAGGTTTATTGCAAAACATCAATGCATCATGCATCATCTTCCTTCTATCTCTTTTTCTTTTTCACTTGATCTTTCTAATCCCTCATCACTTGCATCCCGACATATCTCCTCCAAGGCAGCTGCGATAGTAGGTGGGAAAACAAACGCACTCATGCTTTTCCCAAAATGAAAGCAAATCTTCGTGATACCGTTCTCACAAGTCTCCTTTGCTTCAGCGAGACGAATCCGCACCAGGGTGATGGCGGAAGGTTGTGCGTAGCCTAAAAGTGAAGTTTGAGTAACTAACTCCGTTTCGAAAGTCTGCAGAGATGCTCGGAAACGGACGAGAGCTTCGAGGATAGAAGGTAAGACTTGTTGGATGAGACCGTATGTATCTTCGGAAGTCGAAGCGATTGATAGGTTAGTGAAGACTGTGATTAGCAATCATCGTTCTGTATGCGTCGGTTTCATCACGGGAGATGAGCGGTCAAGTCATCTCCGCCCTGAGCAGATTATCACTGAAAGGTGAAAGTGACATGAAAAGTGGTAGGGGAAAGTGTAGCAGAGTTGGAATTCCAAAACTCACCATCCACTAATCTTTTCAAAACCACCGGTTCTGGTAAAGCTATCTCCACTCTTCTCCTAGCCCATTCCTTTCCACCCCAAGAATACAAACCCTCCCATAATCCCTTCGCTTCACCTACTACGGCCCTTCCTACCGGAACATCCTCAATTTTACCTATCACTTCCCTCTCTAAACCCTCTATCCTCTCTACGGCTTTTTGTCCCACCTGCTTACCCAATGCTTGAGCTCTTAAGACTGGTTCAGGAGGTGTGGATCTGATAGGTCCGTCAAGTACGCTCTTCAAAGCGGACTGTAATACCGATTTTTGTTTTGGAGCAGGTCGGAATATATCTCCCGATTTCAGTGAGATAGAATGAGAATCTTGGGTCGGTGCTTTGACCACAGGGGTGATAGACCGCGTGGGTAAACCACGCGATGAGAGAAGTGAATATTGTTTACCCAAGAGTAAAAGGAGTTCTTGTATGAGATCCAACGTCAGAGAATCTTTCGATGTCATCTCTTGAAAAATCGCTTGTCGACGTGAAGGTATAGAGGATATTCGGACAAGTTCCATAAGGGTGAAATGCTACTCGTCAGCTACGAAACGATCGAAACGATAAAGCTCACGAGATAATAAGGGTTTTGAGACTTCAATGCGGTGAGAAGATATCGGTCTGCTCCCAGAGGACTCTTTCGGGTGAAAGTGTCAAAGTCGAGAGGCTATGTTTCAGCCCATACAACATTTATTTATGTATGAGATAGACTGACCTGGTTCACGTACGCCGGTAGAGCAGCCATGGGAATTTTGACAATCACAAGTGTCATCAATTCCAGTAAGATCAGATGGACAGCGAGGGATAGCCCGATAGTATTCTTAGAGCTTTTGGCAAAGTTTCCGACGAATGAACTATCATCAGCGACGCTGGGTTGTTTTGTAGGACGTGGTGCTCACCGAAGAGGAATGACCCATCCTACGATCGAAGTCCACACGGTTCTTCTCAAAGCTTTATATGTAAAGGTGTATATGAGTGGCCAGAGAAATGCCAACGTTACGCTGTTCCATTTTGTCTTGAAGAAGCGCTCAAGTGAAATTTGAGAGAATAGAGTGGTTTTGACAGCACGACTAAATGGAATCTAAGCGTCAGCTTCCCATGACCAGTCCATCTGTTACATCACATACCCGTCTGTTGGGCCAAACAGCTCTGAATCGATCTTGAAGTAGATCCCGTACGCCAAGACCTAAGAGAAAAGCACAATGTCCCAGGAGTAAAAATACGGGTCGTTCGTTGACATGCCAAGGATGACGTCTGATATCAGACTTTATTCCGACTTCGTAATCATGATACTCACTGAGTGCGAGACCAAGGACCGAGATTGGCTGATGGTCGATAGATAGATATTAAAACACAATACGATATCGTCCAACTTATTCCAGAGATGACATTAGCGATGAGAGGTTGGGAGGTTTGGGATGTGAAGCTGAAGAGAAATAGGGATGGAAGGAATGCTTTTGCTTGTGTTTTTGGGGGATCTATGTATGAGCAATAATCGGAGCTGTGGGTTTGAGGTAAGAGTGATGTGTTCGGAATGGACAGTTGGGACTGACGAATGATGAGTCTTCTTCGTGCACTTAGTACTGGATAAACGCCAAGACAGAAAGCGGCTGAAGCGGTGAAAAGGCATAAGGGAAGGGAAGAGATTCTCAGACCTAAAGATCAGCTATGACGGACGAGTCCCCGGTACTAGCCGTTCACAATTCTATATCCCGCCCCTCTATCCTTAGGAAGAGTAACTACAAACGTAGAGGATATGCCTGCTTCATATGAGGTCATCACCGAGGTATGAACAAGATAGCGAAGTTCACCGAGTGAAAACGAGAGACAGGTTAAGGAATAGACTGAAGACACAGAAATTACGACTCACCAGAAAGAACGAGTATCGTTATGGAAAAGATAAGATTGGACCATATAGCAGCTCTAATGTTCAAAGCTAACCATCTTCTCGCCAGAAATTTCTTCCTTGTTAAAAATACTCTAAATGTCGATATTGACTCACTCGATAATGCGCTTCTATTCTTGTCATTGGCTGATGATCAGCTTCTGTCGCTCGGACATCCTCAGCTTTTGTCGTTCACATGAATATATCTTCTAGAACATAGTCTTAATCCAGAATGTAAGAAGTAGCAAGTTCAGGATGGTGACAAGTGAAAATTCCATGTGGGGTGGTAGGGTGGAGGGAGGAATGTATACTGAATTCAGTCTTTTGAGGGAAAATGACTTACCGAAACCTCTCTCGTTTTAGAGTCATTGTGAACCTTTATGAGACTGTTCATCCCTTTGTTCACTTCCTTCTTACTAATCACTGATTAGCAGAAGAACTTCTCAACCAAACACCTGAGAGACCAATACTTGTAAGTGTCAAAATCAAGAACGAAGACGCGACGAATTCTTTCAGTTGATTTAACTTCAATCAATCGAGGTGAATGTGGCATGTGGCACATTCCCTTCCTCCCCATGCCATACACTATGCACTATGACCATGGGGAACTATGGCATACATATTCAACCGATGCTGATGAGATGACGATATCTCAAGATACCTCAACAACAGCCTGAATACCTCTAACACACTAACGATCCGTCATACCCGGATAAACCGGTTAACCCTCCTTCAATCGACCGGACAGGGTGTTCCACAATTCCCATGAGAAAAGAAGGACCATTTCACACTTCCATTCAACCCCATGATGCATGACAAGTATATAAAGGATCATACATTTTGATACATATGTATTCTCCTACCACTCCTTAGCCTTCCAAGTTCTACCATTGTGGCCCCACAATCATTTCAGGGTATATAAACCATTGTCTGTCCTCCGAGATAGTTGGTCTTCTTCGTATTTTCATAACTTGACAATCTCAACTCGATCTTTGATACTTGACAGATTAGGATCCTATATACCTTTGTCACCTTGAGGAGCTAATTAGGCTACAGAGAAGAAGAGAAAGAAGAAGAAGAAGTAAGAGAAGAGATAAAGATGATAACTTTCGCACCTCAGACTTTCACCGTTCGTAAACTTATTTCAATCTTCCGTCAGAGGTAAGTTCGTTCAATCCACCTTCAATCTTACATCTTTTCAATCCCTCATATTTGTCGGATCATCGACTCCTGATATTCTGAGTCACCTGATCACTCACATACCCCCTCCCCCCCAACCCCTCTTATCTCTTTTTGCATAGGCACTACCAATGGATTTTCCCAACAATTGCGATTTTCTCCAACATCGGATTCAAGAATTCACCCCTACGTTGAAGATGTAATATGTGCTGATACGATACAAGCGGACCTGCACCGGGACTCTCAAGTGGACATACTATATCTTCTAGGACTAACCAACCCCTTCTACCACAAACCATCCGAACTCACGTTCATCCACCTCAATGGTCAGAATCAACACTCAGATGTAAGATTGAAAAAGCTCGTTTGTTTCGATTACAAGAACAAGCACATGGTACTTATCAATTAGGAATGATTTGATCATTATCTTCTTCTCTAATCAAACACCCGTTCTTCCCACATGACCCACATGAGTTGTGAGAAATTGTACCATTATGGATAAAACCACAAGTGAGATGTAACGATAGCAAATATGTAAAATGTATTCATTATGCAGATTGTTGTATTGATCTGATCTACGCTCACTGATTGAAGCCAAAGTGAGAAGACAGGATGATGAAAAAGATGAATCACGAATTCTTCAACTGCCCATCTTTCAACAAACTTTCTTTCTCCCCTAGTACTCTAGGACCATCTCCCACTCTAGTTTTGATCAAACTTTTCACCGCACCCTTTCCCCAAGAAGCCATCACTCTTTCATCAAACTTCTCCAACACCTTCTTCCCCTCTTGTTCCAATTCCACCTCCACAATATTTTCTTGAGGGAACCAACGTCTCACACTCTTTTCCACCAATCCCATCCATTTTTCCAGAGCATAAATCACCGCATTAGGTCCCGCGTCAAACGTATAAGCCGCTATCCTACCATAACCCAACTCTCCAGAGACCCGATTGAGTTCTTCGACCATGGCGATGATCGATCGTGAGACGTCATTCATATAAAAGATAGGAGGAGAAGTATCGAGACATACAGCATGAAATGAATTACTATCCGTCATTGTGATTTGTGCGAAAGAATCAAAGTTTCTTTCTTTGATAGCATGTGAAATAGCTGTCATTCTTTCGGGTACGATTGTCAAGCGATGTTGGAGTAAAGTCGAAGTTTCGACAGTACGTTGCATACCTGATGTTGAAGAAGTACCTTTTTTGGCATCTGATACTACGCAGATGAGAGCGCACATTTCTGGCCAATGATCACGAGGGGCTATCTCTTCCGCGATAGAGTCAGATCCATCTGGTTGAGTACCTTCGCGCCAGGCGACGTAGCCGCCGAAAAGAGAACGACATGCTGATCCTGAGCCTTGACGAGCGACGAGAGATAATTGGCCGAGGGATTGAGGGAGAGAGTAGAGTGTAGCGAGAGAGAAGACGAGAGCTGCAAGACCCGAGGCGGAGGATGCAAGACCGGCAGCTGTGGGGAAATTGTTATGAGAAGCGACACGAAGGGGGTATGTTGAGAGCTGGGTATTAGTATCTTAACCATAGGCTTGAAACACCCAGTCTCGCCCAAAGAACTATTCACAAAAGAGTTACTTTATACCAAACTGTACCTTCCCTCAAAATGACGAGCATAGTGGAGGAGCAAGCTGAGGAGAAGGTGAAAAATGCCGTGAGAGAAGAACAAAAAGTTGAACTCACAGGTTCCAACCCCTTATCCTTTTCCAAATCCCTCCTCCAACCTCTCAAAACCTCAATACAAGTCGCAGTCCTACCTCCAAATTTCACCACCTCTTCTTTCCCATTCAACCACAATTTATCTCCCGGAGAGAAAATAGGGTCGCATTGCGCAGTGGTAGTAGATCGAAGATCGTCTTGGTTCAGGTGATGGAAAGGGAGGAGTTGGTAGGTAGTATGAGGGATGTATCGCGTTTCCCCCAGTATCTGATGTCAGTGGTGAATCATAATGACAAGAGAGCATACGGCTCGGCCTCATACTCTGGATGTTGGAATATACACTCCGGTCGCAGGTGTGTTTGTGGGACGCTGGGGGGAGGCGGGGCGAGGAAGCATAGTTCTGGAGGTTGGAAAGAGTCCGAAGGAACCGGAAGACTATGAGCCGATCGAGGGGGACAGAAAGGAAGACGATGGAGGAGGTGAAGACTTACTTGATACATGCTATATTGACCGGTGCAGAGATAGTAGCTTGGTGTGCCATCTCGAGTGATAGTGCTTGGGGAAGGAAGAAGGAGTTTAGAGGGAGGGAGGGAGGAATGGGGAGGAAAAGGGTAAAACGTGGTTGAAATCAATCGAACGATGGTCGTGCCTGACATTGACACGCTCCGTGCTGCAAGTTTTTTGGTAGATGTGGGTATACAACGAAACGTCCTAGATCTATATACTCTAGATGTTAAGATCTCCTTACTCTCCACACTAGATCATTCATACCACCGGGCAAACCGATGTCATCTCAGACCCTAACCCCTACGGGTACCCTCGTGCTCGCCAGGAAGACCCAACTCATGCTGCACCCTTCTCACCTCTTCAACATTGCCCGTGTACTGTTTGTCAGATATAGACACACCATCGTGAATGATATGAGACGAGTCTGGGTAGTGTCGTACTGATATAAGGACTCCTATCTTAACAGCAGGAGAAGAAAAGGAAAAGTCAGATCGACTCACCTTCCCCTTATCGTCTGACAACTTGACACAATCAAGTCCATTGATCTCACTAAGTTTAATGACAATGTTGAGGGGTTTGGACACTTGACTCGGGTCTGAAGCTTTCATGAAATCGTTTGTCAAGGAGGTGCCTATGCCAAAAGCAGCTGAATGTCAGCATTCTAGCTTCACTCCGGCATCCTCGCGCCCCTTTTCATTACCACCGATGTTGAGGAAAGAAAATACACCCACCTGACATTCCAATCTCATCACACACCTTCTGAAGAGCGATGGCCTTCTCCACATCTAAGCCATCACTAAACACCACCCTCTTTCCCTTTGCTACCACACCTCCATTATCCACACCGGCCAATTTCTCCACCTCTGCGTACGCTTGCTTAGCCTCGCCAGCAAAGGTAAAAGGATCTCCAGAATCTTGTCTCAGTGCACCCCACCGCAAGGCACGAGAAGGGGACGCAATGAAATCGACAAAGAAGGCTTGAGCGGTGAATGTGTCTGTGAGCATGGTCAATGGCGCGGGCTCGGGCACATCTCTTGGGTAGACTGATAGTTAGCTGGGTGTCAACGAGGAGATCGACATAGGACCTACCCTCTTCCCACATGTCCATAGCCCGACCATTGGCACCTTTGTAACCAAAGATGGCCCCAATCGCCATGATCCATTCGTGAGCTATTGTCCCAGAAGGCTTTACGCCATACTTGAGTGCCAGATAGACCTTGCAATCAGCTATGTCTTGAAGTTTGAGAGAAATGCCCACGTTACTGGTACCTGCCAAGGCCCCACCTGTCTTCCCTAAAGCCGCATGCTCCCTAGTGCCCTCGATCAGACCACGTATCACCAAATCATGCACGTGAAAACTTCGTCTGCGTCGAGTACCAAATTCGGAGAAGACCAAGGGTGTAATGGGGGTAGGTGGCGATAGCATGTCTAGAGCTTTCCGCTTTGCCTTATCTTGAAACTCAGTTTCAGGGATCTCAGAGTCGAACCAACTCACCTTGTACCCCTTCGAGATTCCAGTCAGTATCGACAAACTTGAAGTATCCTTCGCTCACTGATGTCAGTTCCAGCTCTTGCCCGCCCATATCAGACCATCTACGCGCATTAGAACCCAATAATTGGGAACGAAACGCCCAAAGGAAGACTGACCGATGGACATGATCGGCACTTCGTATAATATACACACCCTCCACAATCCCCTGATGACGCACTCAATTTTACCCCATTTCCCATCCGGCGTCTCGGGGTGGAAGGTGAGCACAACTTCTTCTTGGGGATTCAACCGGAGAGATGTGAGAAAGTCGAGGTATGTGTCGGGAAAATATGGGCAAGCAGCAGAGAGGGCAGAGCGTTCGGCGGGGGTGAGGGAGACGGTGGACAGTTCTATCTCGTCAGCATTCCACCACTCTGAACGTCATAACGATCCATAGAGAGATGAAGTGGAGAGTCATACGTCTATAGAAGAGTCAAAGGGGCACACACTATTCACATGTTCCAGGATCCAATTGAAACATTCTCGACTGAACAGCATGGCAGGGTTTCGATTCGTGAAGCGAAAAACGACGACGGCATCGGGGAAATGATGCAAAACAGCATTTTGCATAGTCAACTGATCGTCAGCATCTTAAAATCGATACCTGACAGGTTCGCGAGTTAGTGAAGAAGACGAAGGCCGCACTGACCTTGTACAAGTCGGTGTCGAGGATGCTGAGGGGTAGTTCAGCTATCTGAGGGGCCAGCTGGAATGTGTCGGACATGGCGGACTACGTGGATTACTTATTAGTGGAGATGAGGAGTATTGAGTGTCTTGTTTGATGTTGAGAGAGTGTGTGTGTGTGTGTGTGAGAGAGAGAGAGAGAGTGGGAGTCTGTGTGGATATAAGTAGACAGCTACACAGGGTTCGAAGGCTGGGAAGGCGGTCGAGTTTGGCTGGTATGAAGGGAGGTGGGGTCCACAGATAAAGTGAAAGGGGAAGACTCAAGCCTTCGCAAGGACCATCCACAAAGGTCACAGCAAAGGCAAAACACTGGGAATACAGGGGGAGCGTGTGGAGAGTGAATTACAGTACTGTATAGAGAGAGAGACACTGATACGAGGGTAAGTCAGTGGTGAGAGTGGGATCAATCAGCCACGTGCCAGGCACCGATCCATACTGACAATTTATTCGATCCCCAATTTTGACACCCAAAACCCTCCCCTCTCGCCTGCCAAAAGTCGGACATGCTCAATCCCTCTATCATACTTGGTTGTTTTCTACTCCACCCACCAAAGGTCAGACGTGTCTCCCTATTCCAGACCCCTTTCCTCTTGCTCCTTATGAGGTAGGAAAAGCACTGCACTCGATGCATCGTAAAAGATAGGTCAGTCAAATATCTATACACAAAGGATCACACTGACCTTCTCAGCCTCACTCCACATCTCATCCCTTCCCTTCCCTATATGCTCGCCTCATCGGCGCGGCAGACCTGCCGAGTCCTGACGAGTCAAGCCGTACGATCATCCTGGAATCTCTGCCTTCCAGCTGAATCCTCACGCCAGGCTTTACTCCGAGCTGTGACTCCAACACACAACCCTGGTTCGTCCTCGTCCACCCGGGAGTCTGTCGGACAACGGAGAAGGGCATCTGGTAAAGCTTCAGCCGCTAGAAAACGATTTGCAACAGCTGCGGCGATAGCTTTGAATGGTACTTCTGCTACAGAGGAAGAGCCCGAAACACCAATCAGATCATTGACTTGGGGAAGAAGATCACGCCATTTGATAAGGAGTGAGGATGACCAAATCTTGCAATCACCTGATCGACCCATACCTAGCAACACGGGCGACGATGATTTTCCTTCGTTCAACTCATCGGAATGGGACGAAGATACCACGACTCCATCACTTCCCGATCCTATGCCACCAGATCTTTCGGTAGATCATCCGTTCAGTCATATCGAAATTTTTCGCGCACGTCTTATCTCCCAACCCCTAGCATCTTTACTTTATCTGTGTAAATTCCCTTCCAGCGAAATATCTCAAATCCGTCCTTTAGATCTGGTCGACTTGCTCACTCATCTCAGCTCAAACTTTCTCAACGATCCAAAAATGTTAGCTGAGACCTCTTGGGCACAGGTCAGATTCGCCCTGCAACGAGTTCTCGAAATGATAAAGTCATTCGTCTTATCTTCAAGCTCAACCGATCCTGAAGAGCTTGCTCAACTTCATATCTGCCTTTTCGACACTTGTATGACTCTGGGATCCCAATCAGTCGCCTTCAAGACGTATGAACATGCTGTCAAACTCGTCACAATGAACTACTCGACGGTACGACTGGACGCCTATGCTCGGGTTTTGTTGGACCATGGACGATGGAGGATCTCAACGAAGATTCTGAGTACATTCTTGACACCAAGAGAGTTCATCACACCTTTCATGTTACAGATCCGGATGCTTGCACATCTTGGTTTGTCAGAGCCTCAGATCGCGCTTCGAGAATACGACCAACATGTCATGTTGAATCTGGATCCGACAAAGATGAGTATGGTCTATCGTCTGACGGCTCATCTTAAAGTTGGGAATGTGCTAGAAGCGAGGAAAGCGTTAGCTGAGATGCAAGAGGATGGCGAATTGGATGATTCGACGAAACAATTGGCCATTGTACATGGGTACAAGAGTTTGGGTCTTGGTGATAAAATGGAACGAACCATCCTGCAAGATCTCCAAACGGGTGGGCTGAAGCCAGAAGCAGCATTTCTGAATGCTCTAGTCAAGATTCGTCTGGATTCTCGAGATATTGATGGTGCGCAAGAACTCTTGAAAAGGTTTGACCTCGATTATCCCCCTTCACTTGTTTCCACAGAGGGGACGGTGACGCCATCCGCGGAGACTGTGAGGATAGCGTTCAGAGTGTATACCCGGAACGCAGATGCTGCTCGACTAAAGGAAGTTTGGGATTGGGTATCATCTCGACGTGAAGTAAGAGTGGTAGATGATACTCTAATCTCTTTCTTGATCACTGGAATGGGTCGAGCTCACCTCGTTGATGAAGCGGAGAAAATGATGATGGCTTCTCTCCATGAGAATGCTTCTCAATCAGATTCACTCACATGGTATATACCTCCAGGGGTTCGACCCGGTATAATGAGTTTCAACTCACTTATCTCCGTCCTCTCCTCTGCATATGGTTATGAAGGTTTTGAACGAAGCACCAATCTCCTACGACAATCAGGTATAAAACCTGATCAACATACTCTTGGTCTTTTAATCAAATTCGCCAAAGATTCGCTCAGTCATCAACCTGCTTCTCTAGCATCTCTTCTAACTTCTTTACTTGAACGTAATCCTCATATCCGACCTTCACCGTCACATCTAGATCTCTTATTGGCCGACGCTGTCCAACTAGCTGCTCGAACTTTTCAAACTTCTCGTAAACCTCTCAACGCTCCTTATCCCTTTCGACCATTTCCAGACCCTATCAACTCCAACCAACCCCAAGGAGGTCTAGCAACCGTTGATCCATTCTCACGTGCAGTCAGACGAATCACACATTCTCTTCTCAATCGAGGTATAAGATCAACGTCCGCCACATTAGCCACAAGACTTCGATTCGACGCTTTGACATTATCCGCTTCCGGAGAATTCCCTTCCACCCGAACCGTCTGGGCATCACTTTTAGCCAGAGGATTCAGACCTGCTCGTCCACATTTTTTCGCATTGTTAAGAGGATATGCAGATGCGGGAGCTTTAGAACAAGCTGAAGATACACTACTTCTCGCTCGTCAAACAGGTATAAAAATCGATGGATGGTTTTTACTCCCTTTATTGGAATCTTATCGTCGGGAGGGGAATGTGAGAAAAGTAACAGAACTTTGTCAATCTATCAAAAGATTAGATCCTTCTATCAAATTATCATCTTTCGCTGCGGCAGGAATGATTCAAGTTTTTCAAGATTCGGGAAAATACGAATCGGCCGCAAATGTGGCTAAAGAAGAAATGATACCTCTATTGGATAAATTATCAGAAGGGGAAAAGATGAATTGTTTGATACATGTTTTCAGAGCTTTAGCTGGGGATGGTGAATATGTTAGAGCTATGGAAGTCGTTTGGGAATATGGACATGAAAAGGGGTTATCACATGATGTTAGATCTAAAGTCCGACTTTTGAAACATTATTTAACAAAACGTTTATCGTGGGAGAAAGAACGAAGTAAATCCATTCCGGTGGATCATGGACAAAAGAGCGATAAAGATTTGGATGAAGGAGGGAGGGAAAAAAGGTTGGAAAAGATGGAAGAAAGTAAAAAAGCTTTGAAGATGATAAAAGATATTTTGAAGAAAGATGATCAGATAAGACAGAGTGGGAAACCTAGGAAGAAATCTTTAAAGAGTAAGAATGTCAGAGAACGGTTGGTCAAACTTTTGAGTAGAGGGGGAGAAGGTACGAAGGCTTGGAAAAAGAGACAGGACAGAAAGGTTTTACAGCGATATAGAGCTGCTGACAGACGTCTGGTGAAAGATAATGGTGTTGCGTTGGGAGAAGGAGAGAATAAAGGGGAAACCTCATTGAACAGTGGATCAGCGGATGAAGGGGGTAGGGATAAATTGAAGGTGCAATGAAATTGGTTCATCTTAATGGTAGATGACTCAATAAGGTGAGAGGGATGAATGGGACAGAAAGGGGATCATAGGGAAACGATACAATGTCACAAGCATAGCATTGGCATTTGATGCACTATTTTTTGCATTCATCCCATTTATACATTTTTATCTTATTTCTGATTTCATCACATGAGATTAATTCCTGATGCTGGTATTTTATTCGTATAACACGATCACTATATGTTACACAAGGATATCTCCTCAACTGGCATTTCAGAGTACGAGTATTCGTCCTCTTAGGTCAAACCTGCATTCTTCATTCCGTTCGTCATCGTTTTCGTTTTCGTTTAGTGAACATTTCTTATGATACGACGTATGTCTTCATGGTTGTGAAGGAGGTTTTGTAGATGCTCTAATGGGTCTGATTCTACCGCTATCGTCCGCTTGCCAATGTACATCTCTATTCATGAGTCACGCTTTCCCTTTCATCTCTTATGCACATCTTTTTTCTTCCATGACATATCTACTATCCACCATTCACCAAATCGCCGATATCAATCCTTGTGTAACTTAAGACAAAAAACCAACTCGGAAGGAATCTCAGATGAAAGCAAGAAAAATGAGAGAGAACTTGTATATATAAGAAAGCAGATTGACTCACTTTAATTGACTTCTAGAAATCTTACGTTTATGTCTTACATCTCCAACTCCAGGAGTCACCAAACCTAAAGGTATTCTCTCTCTTTCTTTTTCTCTTTCTCTTTCTTTTTCCTTTTCTTTCCCAAGAGTTACAAGAACACCTTCACTTGTAGTCCTCCTCATAGAACTTGAACTTATGATTCTCGAAACCATAACATTACCTGATTTTTCCCTTTCTCTTCTACCCGTTCCTAATCCCAAAGCAGAGATTTCATCATCCGCTTCTTGTCTTTCTTCTTTACTACAAGGTTTAGGTTTAGTAGAACCGAATAATAATCCAGGTCCGATCTCTTTAGCTAATTCTCGAACGAGGATAGCTTCGTCTTGTTTGGCCAATTTATCGATAATGTCTACGAGTTTGAACCGAGCTACGACTGTGGCGGAGTCGGGATGAGCGTCACATGTCACTCGAGTGAGTCGGAGGAGGTTGAGTTTTATTACTGCTTTTGTTGTCTTTTCGAGGGATTCGGCTAGACGAGTGAAGAAAGTCGGCGTGGATATTGATGTGGTTACTGAGACTGAAAGACGGAGGATCTTCAGGAATCTGATTATGAGCTGGGGAACGCTTGTGATTCGGCAGAGCAACAGTAGGACAAAAGAGGAGGAGGGTAAAGTTGAAATGGATAGTGGACAGGAGTGAGACACAACTTAACAAAAGAGGATGAGAGTAGAGTCAGGGTTGATTATATTTGGCAGAGAAACGTACGGGTCCAAGATGCCTTCGAAAGAAACACCGGAAGATTCAACAAAACACTTGACAAGACTTTCCGAAGGACCTTTCTCAAGAAGAACATCTTCAACGCGTGCAGTTTCATCTTGCATCCTAAGACGTCAGCTGCATATATTCGAATGAGGCACGCAACTGACCAATTGAGGATGGCATCCAGAGCGGAAACTCGCCAATACTGATCTTCAAGGAGGTTCAAATATACTATCTGTCAGCATCACTCCATGATATCACAACGTCTGCTTCGATTCCTCAGATGTTTTGATAGGGAGGACCCCGACTTGAACAGGAGAAGTATCATCCATATGAATGACGAGGAAGGGACAAAAGAAGAGACTTTACGCACACTTCATCCCATCATACTGCCATAATAACCTTCTTGACACTTTACCCGCATTTGCTAAATCACACAGAATAGGTAAAGCGAATTGTTTCAAGGGCGACTTGTTCTGTATGACCCTTCTGAGCAGTGGGATGATACCTGACGACGCTGCCTCTTCTTGTCGAGCTTTGGACAGACGGCACATGCTGAAGATGGTTTGGAAGATATGTGAGCAAATCTCCTGATAGAGTCAGCCTCCATATCGATCAAAGCCTGTACAATGCCTTCATGATACATCGTGTTCTCCTGCTGTTACACGGAGACATGATGTGGAATGTTCGGTTCGATGAAGGATCAGGATAGCTGAAGAGACTCAGGAGTAGTCGAAAGTGATTAGAAGAACCGGTCAAGACTCACATTGCTATGCAACCCCTTCATGTTCTTCCCCAAAATGTTCACCAAAACTTCCATAGCGTTAGAATTCTGCAAGACTTCAATAAGCTGAGGACTGGTCGAAAGATGTTTTATGGCTTTGACGGCTACGACGAGCAGAGTGCGTGGAAGGATAGCGCATGCTTTCAGCAAACCTAAACCTCAGCGTCATGCACTCATACAGCAAGGCACACAGTCGTGATTGGTAGAGAGGACAAAAACCCCATGGGCTATGCACTGCACAAGGTATTGACCGTGTGGATATCGGAAGCACAGATTGGTCTGTGAAGAAAAACAGTAGACGTACGGATCAATACAGTCCTATTGGCAAACGCATCCCTAACTCTTCCATCCGCTTGAGCAACTTGACAAAACATTAACAACACGGCGATAGCTCTCGCACCGCTCTCCCCTCCAGAGCCAGCTGCGGCATCAGGAGTCTCCTCTGCCAAATTCTCATCATTGAGAATGCTGAGAAGAGCCGACGATAGCGGATCGAGGATGCCCTCACGGACGAACATTCGACAAAAGTCGTTCCTTGGTGTTGGAGATTGAAGTTCGAAGACGCTACCGATTCCTTCGAGTGAGGACAGTATCAGGGTTCGATTGAGTGAATAGTCTTCGTCGAGTAGCTCAACGAGTATGCGTAGGCCTCGGCAGCTGAGTGTCAGCGACCTGAATTACCGACTTGCGGCACATTCCAACAAACTTGCTTGAGTGATGTGCTGAAGATACGGGGAGTATGTTCTACGTGAGTCATGCAGGGGATGAGTTAAGGAAGGCAAAGACTTACGAGATGAACATTTGTAGAGTAAGAGGAGACCGAGTTAATTGTTGGATGAACATACATGCCTCAAGACGAGTCTCCAACGAATGCTTCTTGCTAGTGTACGGCTAGGCTCATCAGTCAAGGAGTCAAGTACTAGATGAGGAATTAGGACTTACAATGATTACCGGGATACCCCCCACCAAGCAGAAACTCTCCAATGTCTCCACTTCATCGCTGACGACAGTATTGACGATTTTCAACACTCGAACAGCCACATCTCTGGTGAGACGGCCCTCGAGTACTTCTAGCAGTCTTGTTTGTCAGTCTTGGTTCAGTCATGACGCAGATAATGATGAAAGTCCTCAAAAATCGCTGCGACGGGGATAAGGATCCGATCATAAGTGAGACTTACGCAAGCATACCATGTGTACTGACGAAGTGCGTTTCCAGTCCCAACTCGGCTGGAGTGTTTTCTAGAAGTGCCAGCTGCGATCAGTCCTGGCACAATATTGTCACAACACATTATCCGGAAGTCCGTCGATGATACAGAGAACATCATCTTGACAAGGATCAAGAGACTGTCCGGAGTGGTCAAGAGTTGGGGATCAAGATGCACGACGACCCACCAACTCATCACACGCGTCTTTCAGCTCAGTGGGCGGCGTCTGTGGAACCAAAACATCCACTATTTTGTTCACTTGCGCACATAATGTTGCCCTCTTATCTCTGAGCAAATTGGCTTCCAGATCTTCCGCATCAAAATCGTCATCAAACTCTGCGAAAGGATCTGTTTCCTCATCGCCCTCCGCCAACCAAGAGCGGTTCGACCTCTTGGTGAGTTGCAGACTCTGAGTGCCTGTCTTTGTTCCTGTTCGTCAGCACAACTTCTCAGTAGCTTGCAACCCATCAGTGAACGGACGTTGCCGATGAAGAGAGACTAACCAATGGTACTGGTCCCCATTTGAGAATCGAAAATGTCCGAATAATCTTCTTCCCCCTCTTCTGAATACTTCAACAATTCCGCTTGACTCTCCGGATCGACTTTGGTCCTCAAACTATTCGAGCGACTTCCAGGAGGAGTCCAGTTGGGTAGTTTGGGACTTCCCTTCGGACTGCCCAGAAGCCCAGAAGACGGCGAAATTCTATCTTTCTTCTCTTCTCCCTCCACGGGAGTCATTGATACGGGTCTAGATGGAGTCGATAGACTTCGCTTGGGAGCAGCAGGCATGGGACTAAGGGTTTTCAATCGTCTCAGGTCATCAGGATGCATCAAGCCTTTCCGGGCTTTGTGCTTTAGTTTCAGATTGGCGAGTTTTTGTGAAAGTGCCTGCTCGGTTTCGTCCAATACAAGGTCGGAGTAGTCGTCCACCAACTTTGTGGGACTGGATACCGCTCGAGGTGGGAAGAGAAGAGGAGATTTGGAGCGAGGGCCGAATCGTGGGAGGCTTGTTGGGGACGGGGACGCTTTGAGGGTCTTTTGATTGGCGTCCTCACTAGCGGTAGATTCTTCGCGTTTGTCTGTGAATCAGCCGGACCAAATACCGTTTCAAACGCTCCGAGAGCAGAAGAAAGAGGAGTACCTGACTGCGTATGATTGAGAAGAACTTGCAGGGAGGAATAAGGAGAGAATACTTACGATTGAGCTTTGTGAGTGAGATGTCGGAAGCGAAATCATCGTCCCAAGTTTCCCCTCCAGATTCCTTGGCCCTGGTAAGAACATCATTAACGTGAAAATTCTTGCTAATCAGACCTGGTTGAGGATGCGCTGGTGAGTTCGCAGCTGATGTCGATGGTTGTGCCGCCAACGAATCAGCTGACGACCTCGATGGAAGTCCGAGGGCAAAAAGTGCGGCCACAGATTGTTTCCCATCAAGTCGGCCAAGAGGTTGAACCAAGCTATTCTTCCTCGGTGCACCCTTTGTCGGTCCGGGTACTCTCCGCATGGTCCCCAAAGCTTTTGGCGAGGCTCATCGTCAGCTCAAGTACAGATTGAAAGAGAAAACCGACCATTTAGCGCTTCATTCCATTCTTGCACACGGATCACTGCATCGTCATACTTGGTCGACGGTTTCTTCGCCTTCAGAGTCTCCATGTCTTTCAGATTTGGTCCTGATGTCGAAGGGGTCGATCGCTTCACAGTGGGGAGCTGACGAACAGCGGAGGTGGTCGAAGTTTGACCGACAGTTGGGTATGAGGCTGGCGGAGGGGGTGGAAGGGTCGGTGGTGAACTTGGCTCCGCTCTTCTGGCAGACATCATCCATGGATGTCTCAATAGCTTTTTGGCGGTTACACGGAGGTTGGAGTCTTTCTGAAAACAATGATACAGAAAGTCTTTGACGATCTGAATTGGTCAGTTGCAACTTCAGATTCCGTCTACCAATATTTCAGACCACAGATAGGATGAAGAATGAATATGAGGAGAGAAGAAGGAACTCACTGGACTAGCTCCCTCTGGAACCTTCATACTCTCATCCTGTACTATCCTCCATAACGCTTGCATAGGTGCCAACTCTCCATGAGGTGGTTTCCCTTCCAAAAGTTCCACTACCACACATCCTACGCTCCAAATATCACTAGCAGTCGTAGCTCCACTTTGCTCAATAACCTCCGGTGCCATCCAATAAGGACTTCCCACCACTTCATTATCGTTTGCTCCTAATCCCGGTCCCTGAGCTCTACTGCTCACTCCAAAATCCGCAAGCTTGACACTCCCATCCTTGTTGGTAAGAATATTAGCACCTTTGATATCTCGATGTACCACACCTTGTTCGTGTAGATAAATGAGACCTTCAAGAACTTGAGATATGTAAACGGCTACAAGAGATTCTGGAAATTTTCCGAATTTCTTCAAGATCGATTGAAGAGAACCATTCTCGCAATATTCTAACACTATGAACAAGTTTTCTTTATCTCGAGCGAACCCTTTGTATTTGACGATATTGGGGTGATTCAAGTTTTTGAGTAAATCGATCTCTGACATGATATCGGGTAAAGAGGAAGGTGGTAGGGAAAGGAGAGATATAGACTTTATCGCTACCGTCTCCCCTGTGAGAAAATTGAGAGCACGGTAGACATTGCCAGATGCTCCTCGACCTAGAAGGTCGCCTAGTTGGTAATTGGATAGAGCGACAGCGGCGGCCATGGCTCATGATGTGTTTGGGGGGGTGGAATGTGATGCAGGACGGGTGTGGGAGTTATGGGAGAGCTTTCTTTCGACGATCACTTCTTTGTGATACACTTCAGAGTCACCAGACGTCAATTTTGGAGCTACGATCTGGGCAGAGGAGGCCCTGTGCTATCAAACGATGGGAGGCGAATGGCATGGATGGGACAGAGGTCCGGGAAGATCTCTTGACGCGACGGGACCACGTGGCTTAATTGGGGATCACTTAAGTTTACTACACAATGTCTCCATCCCTCCTTCTCTTCTCCCACTTCAAGTACTTTACCTCACATTCAACATCATGGTTCGCTCACGTAAGTTTGCTGCCTACCTTTCTTATCACCTTAGACGATGGGATATATGTATAACTAAACTTTTAGATGCAAAAAACAATACCACTCAAGCCAATCTCACATACTACGAACGATCCCTTCTTCGAGCTCCCAATGCCGCCCGTCGTATAGGTGCCAACTCTTTCAAACCTCTCGACGCCTGTAATCTTTGTCTCTCCACCGCCATATCACCCGTAGCATGTGGGAAAGGTCATTTGTATTGTCGGGAATGTGCTATAGCCGATTTGCTCACTCAAAAAGCATCCATCGAAACTCAGAAAAGGGATATGGAACGATGGGAGGAGAACGAAGCTCGTGAACGAGAGACAGCTCGACTTCGAGCGAGAGAACGTGTGGTAGCTGATTTCGAACGTGGCATGGGTTTAGCTGGTCCCAGTGGTAGAACGACTACAGATATTCGAGGGTCGGAAGTAAGGTCGGTGGGGGAAGGGAGAAAAACTATGGAAGAGTTAACTAAAGAAGCTGAGGAAAGAGCTATGAAGATGATTGAGAATGAACAGGCAGAAATCAGGAAAGCGAAATTAGCAGCTTTCTGGTTACCTAGTTTAGCACCGGAAGCCAAGTTGGGACCGATCAAAGATATAAAATTACAAACTCTATGTCAGGTAGGAGGAAAGGGACATGGACATCCTTTTTCGTAAGTCACATTCACTCTGCCCCTCCGACTTTAAGTATCATCATCTAATTCACTGTTCGATTGATTCGTAACTCTATAACAGAGTCCATGCAAGTATAGGGGGGATGGGTTAAAGCTGAACGTCAAAAGTCGAAAAACCCTCTTACCAGTCATCTTGACCTATCCCGTGAAATCCACCACACCTACATGTCCATCATGTACTAAAGAATTATCCAACGCTGTCCCTTGCATCCTCCTCTCTTCCCGCGCAACTTCCGGAACCGACCCTCTGGATGAACCTCGATCCAAGAAGTCAAAGAAAGGGAAAGAGGAATTTTCCTGTGGTCACGTGGTGTGTAAGACATGTGCGGATACGATTGTCAGACCCCAAGGACGGTGTTGTGTGTGTGAGGCTGAGATCAGTGAGGAGGGGATGATACCTCTGGGAAAAGAGGGTGAGTTTTGTGTGCTGTTCCTTCCACGTCCCCTCCATCCATGTCTTCTCACACTTTGTTGCGCGTGGGGTGAAGAGGCAGTAATGAAGATGGAGCGGAAATGTCGAGCTGATTACAAGGAACTGGCTTTGCAGCTGCGGGAGGGGCGGAGGTCAAAAGAAATACGATCGTTTTCCGTGTGTAGCAATGTATGAGTAGACCTAAGTAATTGTTTGCCGACATTTTCAATATCGTCTTGTCTCTCAGAAGTTGATCATGGGGGACGTACTCCACGAGCCCGCTTACGTCCCATGAATAGCTTTCATCAATGTACATTGGAATGAGTTTGAAAGTACAACAAGAGATATTGTCCCGACATAGAGATGCCGACGGATTCACTTCAATCCTCTCCAAACAATACCAGCTAACAAAGAGCATGTCCCCGTGAACACATAGAACACCCTTCCTTCTCCTTCTCTCCCGCTGAGGGGATCATGTGGGTCGGAAGGATAAGATAAGGCGTCACGAAGGGGCAAAAAGAGGAGGGCAATGAGAAAGTTACTTGTCCAGCTTAAAGATTGACTGAGGGAGGATAGTGCGGGGATGGCAGAAGAGGGTACGAGCTCTGATACGAGCAGAAAGGGAATAGGACCGAGGCCTACGGAGAAGGCCGTCTGAAGATTAGCATGACATTCATACCCTACGTGGCCTCTTCACATGGGGCGAGAGTCTCCATGGAGTGGCCAACCGGAGGGTAAAGCTGGTGGACCAGACGGAGTCGAGAGGACTCACGATGAAGGCGATGATGGCGGTACCTGAGAGAAGCTGATGATGGCTGTTTAAACCAACCGCAAGCAACGCACTCATACTGCCCATGCTTATGACTGAGAGTAATAGGAGATTCTTCCTTCCCCACCGCTGTCATGTCAGTCTATGTCCACAAACTAAGCTGTCGTATTCTTTCATACAAGAACATCCAGAAAGAATATAAAAAGATTTGGAGGGCGTACGGTCAGGACTCACATCAACCAAGAATATAGCAGGAAGCGTCATGACCACATTCACCAATGTTATTCCGATTCCCAATAATCCCGCTGAAGCCGGTAACAAAGGCTTCAAGACTGGTGTAGAGTAGAACATGACTGCATTCACCCCTGAGAACTGTTGGAGGGACATGATACTTCCTACCAGTAACGTCGGTCCTCTGAGCGTAGGGTTGGAAAGGAGTTCTTTGACGGACAGTTGTCGGGTAGAAGGTTCGGACGTTGGGGTTTCCGAGGGAGCGGGCGATAAGAGGGGTGAAGATTCTACTGTGGTCAGTGGAGTATAAATGATAGAAAATGGGGGGTAACATACCTTGCTCGGTCTCTGTGGCTATCTCGGGGTCTGGTTGAGGTGCGGGATGATCTACAACGGCTTTTGTGGACTGATGTGGGATGGTAAGACGGGTGAATAAGATCTGGAAAATGGCCACCAGACCGGAGAGAGAGACTACGTATCGCCAGTTACCGGGTGTGTCTCCTTTCTGCGTGATGAGCTCTTTTCTATTGAGAGGAAGTCTCTCAAACGTCGAGAGGTGTAAGACTGGACAAGAAATGAGAAGGATGAAAAGCAAGGATGGGAAAGGAGAAGGGGGAGGTTTAGGTGTTATTATTACTCACTTCCCCGGTAAATATGTATCCTGCAATTTGAGCAGAGAACAAACCTAAGACTATCCCCATTTGGTGAAGTGAACCAATCTGACCACTCCGAGCTGATAGTTGAGGATATGTCCGACAGAGTTTATTGAGGAATGGAGGCACTAGACAAACGGCGACACCGGATGCGACACCAGTTATGAATCTGATCTCAGTTTTTTCTTCTTCGATCCTCATATCTCATCTTCATGGATTTCTCCAAATCAATATTCGAGCATGAATAACTTATCAAGCTAATTATCAAAGTGTAGACAAGAGGAGAGAATATAGGATTGAACATACCTCCCTATACCAAGTATGACCCAATGAGGTGCCAAAGCCATACCTACACTCCCTACCAGATTCATCCAACCAGTCAAAATGATACCTCCTCTTAGTCCCTGCCTTCTAACCACAATCGCACTACCCAAAGACCCAACAAGACCTCCAATAGAGAAAAGAGCAGTGACTAGACTATATCGTTCGCTCGTCAGTGACAAACATAGTGGTAGACGGGAAGGAGGGGGGAAAGCTGAGGGGAGACATGTGAGTGATTCAACTGGAAAATTGAGTTCGGAGAGATGATACCCGTCTATTGGTCAGCATTATGTACTACCTCGATAAATCATGATCAGAAGACCATGATGGGATGAGGGACAGAGATAAAACTGACAATACCATGACGACCTAGCCTGTCAGCTTGACGCCCGGGGGAAAGAGAAGGCTAAAACGCACACACAGGCCCATGCCACCGAGTAAAGAGCAGCTCGGTCAGACATGGTGACTATCTAATCGAGCTCCACCCACACACTGACTGGAAATCAAGTATCCGTAGTGCTTCCCTTGTTGTATATGGTTGTAAACTTCAAAGTCGTCGTCCGTCATGGTTCACACCATCAGAGCCGGGAGTGGCGCAGTGGCAGGAGCGAATGTTTACGTAACGTGGTTCTTGATCTTATCTGTCCCGGTAACTGCGCATATGCGGTCAAAAGATAAGGGCTTGCTTGGAGCCATTATTTTGGGGTACAGTACTCTACTCAGAATACTGTGACGCCGCAGACAGTACAGTCTACCTATTTCAAACATTCAATCAAGCCATGAGAATAATAACAACACTTCTTCGGTGTGGTGTCCAATAACCCGATCCATGTCCGCACGGAACGAAATCATCTATCATGTCGCGCGAGAGACAGGAGGTAGTCAATCCTGGTGCGGGGACGTTCTACGTTTACGGACAGCTATTTTCCATGACTTCTGGTCTAGATAGCTTGACTTCTCCTGGTACGAGCCATCATAACCTCCCGGAGACATGGGAAGATGTGAAAGATGTACGTCCATTTCCCCGTCTCATCACTCAACAGACACGGAGGAAAGTGCTGATGGTGGAAGAGAACAGAAGAGGTTGTAGTAACTTCTTCACCTGACTGGTTGCTTGAATCCGGTATTGGAGAATATACTTTTGTTCCATCTTCTTCTGGTGGAATATTGGGAAAAGGAAAATTCAGTACTGTCTATAAAGTCTTATCTTCCAATGGACAAAACGTGAGCCTTCTCTCCTTCTTGTCATTCAAGAGCTCAACACCATTTTCGGGTTTACGGTGTCGGTGTATTGTAGTTTTGAGCTGATTTCAGTATGCACTCAAACATACACCTTTACATCCCCATCATCCCCTCATAGCGGCTCGACTCCTACGTGAACCTACTTTACTAGGTCAACTCCCTCCTCATCCTTGTCTTATCGGAGTAGAAAGTTGGATCAGAACGCCTACTCATTTTTACCTGCTCGAGGAATTTCCTGTTGGATATGTAGCTCTGAATGAACATCCACCACTTTTAAAACCTTCACGTGCGGCGTATATATTGGATCAATTGGTCAGTGTTGTCAGGGATTGTCTTCATGAGAAAGGGAGAGTTTGTCATCGAGATTTGAAAGGTGAGAATGTTTTGGTGAATCCATCCAATGGGGATATTGTCATTCTTGGTAAGTTTACCTTCTTCTCATTATGTCCATCTCGTGTCTTTACCCCTCCAGGGTTCCGCACCAATACATCCGTGTTATGAGTCGTATGGAAAAATGTGCGCTATGGGAATTAGAACGAGTCAAGTTTAGCGGGAGAGTTCTAATGGATAGACCTTGGATTAGCCACACATTTCACAAAGAATGAACCAAAGTTGACTACATGTTGTGGAAGTCCAGCATTTCATAGTCCGGAAATTGTCAATGCTCTCAATCATCCACCGGGGGTAGTGACATATTTCGGGTGAGTCTTCTCATCCGCCTCACCTTTCTTCCCACTTTGACTCGCCCCCCACCCCCACCCATTTCCCCTCCCGGCCCCTTTGGTTCATTACCGCTTTCATCCCCCATCCTCAAAAGGGAAAAGGATCCCTATGAGAAGCTGTTCCATAAGAACTCTGATTGAAGGTTCTGACACTAAAACCAGACCCGAGATTGATATCTGGTGTATAGCTCTCACCATTCTATCTTCCCTTCTTCAAACCCGTTTTCCCATTGGAACCTCACACAAATCTCTTTCCGTGATGAACCATCGTATCAAAGACCGACTCCGAGAATTAGACCATATATATCCCCCTTCATCTCCATGGCAAATCTTACCTCCTCATGTGATAACTTCACTCTCCGACACTCAAAGAGAATTCGAAATATCTGAATGGAGACGTGTACGTTCCGCTCTGGAAGATTTCTTATCGATCGATTCGAAATTACGAATGAAGGCTTTTGAAAGGTACGACGTTGGCTTTGTAGTCCAAGAAAAGATTAGGGAGTTCGAATGGAAAAAGAAGGATGGATCATTTAAAGAGATTAGTTTTTTACCTTCTTCACCTAAATATTCTCTTTCTCTTCCATTCATTCCATCCACAGTCAAAGTCAAAGATGTAAAGGATGCACCGGTCAAGGAGAAAGTACACCATTTTCATTGGGGATGGCATCATTCACCAGACGATACGGAAAGAGATGGGAAAGACGAAAAAGAGGGGAAGGAAGATATGTCAAAAGAAGAACCATTGATACTTGTAAATGAAGAAAACCATTCTGAAAAACGTATTTTAGGTTATATCAAATACCTATTCAGATCATCTGGAATACTCTATCATACCCTTCCTACATCTTCTCTATCAAATCCGATCTTACAATTAGTATTACCGCTTCCCAAAACTCCTCTTCCATCATTACCCTCACCATCTCCTAATCTCCCGTCGACAGATTCAAGGGGACCGAATTGGATATCTTCTTTATCCCATTTATGGTCAAACAATCATTCAAGACGTGCTATATCCGTACCACCTAAATCAACACGTCTGTCTCAACCTCTCCCAAATCAATATAGTAATTCAAAAGCTCGATACCAAACGAAAGAAGAAGATTTATCTTCACTTATCAATGTCCCAAATAGAAATGATGTTTTGAGTAAGAACATGGGGATCAGAAGTGTAAGTAAAGAAAGATGGTTAAAATGTTGGTTACGTTTTGATTTTTTAAATTTTCAATCAATTTCTAAAAGACGTACTCAATCACGTCCTAGGATATCAAGATTATCTACTGTTCAAACTTTCACTTCCATAGATGAAACTACAGAAGGACAATTACCATCTACTTCGACGTCAAGTTCCAATACGAGTAGAGCGTCTTCGACATCACGTGCTGAATCCGGAACGAAAAGTCGGGTTGTTTTGACTTTATCAGATCCGAGGGGTTATATAACTTTGAGAAATGTCGTAAATGTCACCCCGGTCTCATCTGGGAGGAAGGAGGATGGAGTGGGGTTGTTGGAATTGGGTAGAGAAGGAAGACCATTGATGAGAAGTACGAAGAGTGAGAGATACATGTCTCCATTGAGAGTGACAGAATCAAGAAGAAGTGAAGCATCTTTGACCCCCTTGCTCGTCTCGGCTTCTATGGAGAAGAACATGTCGACTTTGGAGGTTTCTTCACCTACCGCCAGAAATGTACAGCGGGGAAGACCAAGGAGTCGTTGGAGTGGGGAAGAAGGCAAGGGCGAAGATAGCAGTTCGGGAATTGGTGGCGGGGGAATTGCCCCTGAAACAAGTGGGCCTGCAGTCGAAACAGAAGGAGGCGGTATTAGTGGTCACGTTATTACGGAGGAAGAGAGAAGAGTCAGAGAGAAAGATGAGAGTCCAAACATTAGAGGAAGAGGAGGGTTGTTTGATAGTTTGTTTTGGTCAAGAGCAGGAAGATCCGTCAGCGTTCCCCCTATTCCCTCCCCGAATTAGCCCAACGAGTATATCAGTGTGTCAGTGTGTAAGTGTGTCGGCGTGTCAGTGTGTCAGTGTGTCAGCGTATCAGAGTGTCAGTGTATGAGTGCACGGGTGTACGATGTACCACTGTACCAATGTAGCTAGAAATCAGTAAGGACATCAGCAAATATGCATAATATGCCCAAAGCAAAAAAACACGCCCACACAACGGATCTAAATTGTACTATTGTTAAGATTACAGATGATGAAGATTGACGGGGGTGATGAAATGCACGAGACTCAAAAGGTCTGATCCACCATACGGCTTTTCACAAGCCAAAGCTCGCAAAGTCAAGGAGGGGGAAAGAAGGGAAAGGTGAAAGAAAGAACGAGGAAGAGAATCAATGATATCCGTTCATACCCTCCCAGCCAAGCTTTTCCGGGGTGGCACATTGAAACAGTCGGACGGTACCTGCGGGATCACCACCGGTAGCGGCAAAGACCATTTCGGTCTGAAATGTCAGCTACGAGTTCAAAAGCCGACTGATAGTAACTTCATGCTCCTAACCTGCGGAATCTCAGGTAGCACAGTCACGAGGATCAAAAAGGTGATAAAGGTATAGAAAAGGGATATAAAGATGGTAGAGGGTAAAGACAAAACATACAGGATGAAACATTAACGAAGTGGCCGATGGCATGAAACTGGCATTACGTGGGGCGTAAGGAGAGAGTGGAATCCCAATGGTCGAAAGGATCTTCCGTTCTTCGGGCTCTGAGAACCCTTGGACAACGATTTTCTGTCGAGTTGCATGACCAGCTGGTGCTGAGGATCTGTACAATAAGCCCGTTATTTCTGTCACGCTTGATCAAATCAGGTAGCAAGGTTTCTCAAGCTCAAGAGTGAGGATGAAGGAAAGACTCGTCAACGCACGTGGCAAATACTGGGACGTTGGTATGGACTGCCAAAGCTTGTAGACCCGTAGGTTGAGCAGAAACTTCGTATAGAGGTGCCTCGGGACTCCGAACGTCCCATATCCGAACATCGCCGTTCATGCTGACCATTAGCATTTCTACCCAATCTCAAGTCAGCCCCCCCGGGTTCCAATGCAAATGGTCGCCGTGTCAAGTAGGGGAGTCAGGGACAGTGAGAAAGCCAAATGAACGTAATCATCTCATACTCAGCCATCACCAGCGCATTAGCCCTCGAGATAAAGAAGGGGTCGAGGAAGCTGAAGTACCACAACCTACCTTCCAGTCACCAACTGCTTTTGTGCTCCACGTTGCAAATGGACACTTTGTATCCAAGTCTGATGATTCCTCCATGTCCTCAACACTACCTCTTTCGCATCCATGACACGTTTATCAAACAACCTCACTACTCCATCTCCAAACCCAGCAACGAAGATATTACAATCCAATTCGTCTGACGCTATAGCAGTCAGATTGGCTCCTGCCTGGGTAGCGATATCCCTCAGATGACGCTCGACAGTGGCATCCCATAGACGGACCACGCGCATATCACCACCGACTAAGAGATGACCTGTAGGTTGTTCCCACGCTGTAAGAAGCCCGGAGGAATGACCAGCTGGATGAAGCTCAGATACTGCGCGGAAGGAAGAAGCAAGCCATAGTTCTGAGAGGTTTTCGTAGTTTCTCCAAATACGAATCGCACCTTCAGCTACCAGTGTTAGCTGAGTACTCGTCTGTTTGCGCTTATCGTCCATAACCGAAGGCATTTGCCAGCTCTCACTCATAGTCGAGCACCACGCATGACAGATGAAGTTAATCCAAGATGAATGACGGGGTGGAAAATATAAATGAAGTTGTGAAGATGAAAAGTGTCACTCACTCGATGCAGTGAGAAGTAAAGAAGACGCCGTCTCATTGATAAAATGCAAACTTGAGATACTGCTTCCTGGCACATTCAAGTTCCTGAATTTTGATAATCTCCGACGTTCTTTCCAATCCCAAATGCTGCACGTTAAATCTCGACATGCCATGTCCTGAAAAGTGAACTTACCAAATATTGTCCGTGTCGTCGGTCACGGCGATGATAGGGTCGTAAGAGTGGAAACGTAATTGCAGAGGCCAGCTGTCATTTGCGAGTGTACCTGCGTCATTGTCCCAAGAATGATATGCTGGTTGTAAGTAAGTTGACTTTTTCTACTTCTTCAAACAATTAGGATGGGCGATGATACAGGTAAATAAGGAAACACTCACGAGCATAAGTCTCCGCAGTTCTACACTTTAAGACCAACTCTTGATTCCTTTGATGTCTCCAAGCTTGAGCATTCCACTCTTTACTCCCCTGATCATCCGCCTCCGCTTTTCTCATCTGAGGTTCTTTGAAGTAATCCATAGCCTCATCATACAATCTACTTCTGAGTGGTAACACATCATCCTTAACTTCCTTAGCTACCATCCCTAAACCAAGATCGTTTGGTCTTGGCAAGCCATTATTGCTGACACGTCCCATGTTGTCTCCACCTGCTTGAGTACCTCTGAGTCTACGTATACTCAGACGTTCCATATCCTCATCTGTCAAAGCTTCCAGAACAGCAAGTGCCGAGACTGGTGTTCTGGAAAGACCCAATTTGCGCATTTGAGCAGAGAGATGATGTATTTGATGTTCCTCTCTATCGGGTAGGATTCGTTCGTGAGATGCATCAGGATATGGGGATCGATACGAGTCTATACCTGGAGCATTGTGTACTGGCTCGGGATCGGACAAAGGTGGAGAAGCGGGAGGAGTGTCTGTTGTCCAGCCGGTTATGGTAGCGAGAGAACGTAGGGCGGTGACCATGGAGGCATTGCGTTTGATAGAGTTTGATGAACCCTCAGTGTTCGTCCGTGTTATAGCTTGTGGCTTTTCCAGTCGATGTGGCAGTCGAGGAGCAGGTTTTGAGAAACGAAGAATTGCCGAGTTTTCTACTCGACAGAAAGCGGAGTCGAGGAGCAGAGCAACGATGTAGTCTACAACTGTTGATGCCATGGAGGCTACGGTGGTGTCGGGATCTACCGAGAGGTCCAGTAACGTCTCAAAGATGACTTTGAAGTTGCTCATGAGATACATTGGATCAAGGGTGCGTCGAGAAGATCGTTGCTGCGCTTCTTGATTCCGACGTGCGACACGTTCGACCCATTCTTTGACAGCATCCGAAACGACGTCCTTACCGTGATCACCCTCGAGGGTGGCTTCTTGCTCGTAATATGTCCATGCAGCAGCCACCATCCACCCTCTCCATTCTCGGACGACACAAGAGATGAGAACAACCAGCTCTTTCCGCACTATCGGGGCTGCGTCCTCCTTGACTTGATTCAAGCAGGCAAAAGTCAGGGCTGCCTCAATCTCCAATTGTGTACCTTCGTCGATACCGAGTTGCGCGCCTGTACCACCTCCACCTTTACCATCTATCTCGAGCGGAGCGGCGGATGCACCCATCAGTGTTCCGATCGCATACAGCGCGGCCGCTCGGACTTCAGGAGCGTTGCTGTGCAGAGTAGTCATAATTTCGTCTTGACGTGGTTTGCTGAAGAGAAACATCGCCTTGGCTTCGTCGTTGTCCGCCCACATCTGCGCAAGGCAAAGTAAACACCACGTCTTCAATAACCAGTCTTCCTCTCCCAATTGGGCGATACAGCTGTCAAACACGTTGATCGACAAACAGGCCTGCTGACCGGCACGGAAATTTCGACACATGATGGATAGGATGAACGCGCACATCGCCCGATGTTCTTTGGCATGGGGGATGATGAGGCCGCTGTGTATACTGGGAGCGAGTACTTGAGCGAAGTAGCTGAAACTCTGATCTCGAAGAAGGTCAATTTGACATGTTCTGTCGACGGCTAGGATGCGAGCCCATATGAAGATGAGGACTGGTTTCAGTTCGGGGGCGGGGGATTGTAGGAGCTTGGAGACGTAGGGGAAAATGCCGATGGACAACGACAATGAGACAGCCCACGGACCGAGATCGACAAATTGGGACAAAAGTATGAGAGCGCGCAGCCGGTGAGCTTGAGATAGAAGGACCTGCAGAACGATTGGGAGTTGTTCAGGCGGTTGACGATGTGACGATTGGGGCTGAAGGGTGATGTTGCTTCGTACATTCCCACCATGCTGCAACCAGATTTCGAAAGCTTGAAGATGTTGAGCAAAGAACGACGAAGGGATGTATGGGTTGTGCATTGGAGCAGAGGTCGGCGCTTGTCCAGATTCTCGAGCAGCTTCTAATTCCAAGAGATGTGGTAATTGAGCCAGACACTCGTCAACCGCCAGATCCCATGAATGCCATAAATGATGGTTGTGGGTTGATGGTATCTCGGGGATAGACATGGGAGTACAATGATAGGCTGACATAATCCTTTGCGCCAACAGAAAGTTCCTGAAAAGGGCAGCGACTAATAAATCTTGTCGGAATAGCTTGTTGAATACCTCTCGAGGAAAAGATGTCCAGGCAATGGTGTCCGTAACGGCGGTAAATATCCAATTGAGTTCCCCAAGTGGTGTACGACGATCCTTCAAATCACCTGGGATGGAGTTGAGCAGTTCAAGAGTGACTTTGGATCGAGGATCATCCTTGGAAGAGTTAATGTTTCGTTTCAGAGGATCTTGTAGGACGAAAAACCGCAAAGCTATCTCGATAGGCGAAGTGAGACATGAAGTGAAAAGATCGGCAGGTAGTTCTGGTGACATGGGGAGATTCTGAGTGGCCGTACAAGCTGCAAGATGTATAGCTTCGGAATAAGCTGTGGAAGGCACTTCGGCATTGCCTTGTCGGGCTTCATGATCTTTTCTCTCGGCCTGTTTGCTGAAGTTTGTCAAAATGTTACCGGCGCCTGAACATTCCCAAATATATATACAAGGACTGCGATCAGCGCACCTCTTTGCAGATGCCGCTAGTCTTAACAATATTGACTTACCTTCCCAACCAGTCCTGGAGGTCATACAAGCTGACAGGGATATATTGCGTATAATCTGTAAAATTCAGCTTCGGTCCTTAGGGAAAGGTGACCCTACTGACTTTTGTTGAAGACCCAGATTTCCCCCGAGTTTGTCGGCTTGGGAACTCCGTGACCATTATAGTAGAATACCGTCCTTTCGTCCCTCGCTATCTTCCTCAGACCCACACATTGCTTTTTCGTTTCTTCTATTGACGGGTCCAGAAACTGGACTTGTCAGTTGACACAAATTAAGGCCAACTCACATATTTGTATTTTACTTTTGGGCTAAGAGTATCAAATTGTGATGCAAGGTCTGTCTCCGTCAGGATATCATCATTGTAAGGCCCAAATGAACTCATGAAGGCAGAATACCATTGGAGGAGGATCCGAAGAAGAGGAGAAGGGCCGAGAGATGCAGATGGACCCAACTCACTTCTGCCTATAGCCTCTATAGCTTTGGAAGAAGGCAAAGCCGTCGGATCCGTCCAACATTCAAGTTTAGCACATGGATTGGTCTTGACTATATCCGGAGGGTCCACACCTATATTGAGACAAATGAATAAACCAGCATTGACCGTTTTCAATCTTGTCTTCAACCTCCATTGTGTTCCTAACCGTCAGTTTCCTCTTTCTCGGCACTCTTGGACAGAGTTCTGATTACGAACCATAGTCTTCCTCATCATCTGACAGCTTTGGTCTTTTGTGTTGCTTCGAGGTCCAGTACTGCTGTACCAAACCATCATCGAGACCCTCGTCATACTCGTCACCATCCATATCGGTGAGATCGTAATCGGGGTGGTCATGGTAAGGATGGACGTGCGAAGAAGAGGCTTGATCTCTTGGATCTGAAGCCATTTTTGGTAGTATGGGTGAGCGTAGGGATGACCGCTATGGGGACATTGAGAAGGTAATTGAGGATGACGAAAGTACGAAGAGTGGGTGACATGGTGAGGGGGGATAGAGGGCAGGATGGGGAGAGGATAGGCACGCGGTTCCTGATTAGAGAGCTATCAGCTCTGAGCGACTAGGCTTGCATAGCCTACTGAACTGACCAGCTTCGGGCTCAGTCTACCATATTGTCACATTCCCGGTCAAACTATATAGTCAACGAGAATAGCCTGTAAGGCAAGTTAAACCATGTCGGACGATGATAACGAATACATGATGACGGTACGTCTGGACAATTTCGTTATGCAACAAGATTCAAAGGTCCTGGCTGATATTTTGCAGGATGCGGTAGAGGATGCGGATGAGGTTAGTTAATACTTCGCTGTTACAGCTCTCCAACGCACGCTCGAACAATCTTCAACATTCAGACAAAGACAATGTGAGGTGTTTGACGAAACTTATGTCAGGACTACGAATTTGACTATGATGATGATGACGATGGTATGGCTGATGAGGCGGACGATGTGGAGAATCAATACTATAAAGCCAAGTGTGAGCTCTTGTCTTTGTTGGCAACGAAACTGGCTGACTCATGCAGCTCTGAAAGAGGACAACGCGGAAGGTGCTCTAAAAGCTTTCAGAACTATTGTGAATGATCAATCCGAGAAGGGAGAATGGTGAGTGAATGCATGCTTATCTCATTCCATTCCTTCCCTTCTAGTCTCATATCGACCTGTTTTGTAGGACTTTCAGACTTTCAGGTGGTTCGTACAGAGGTAGGTGAGAGGCTGATTCAATAGGGGTTTCAAGGCTTTGAAACAAATGACAAAAATGAATTATCTTCACCTTAATCGACCTGAAGAAGCCCTAAAGACATACCGCGAATTATTATCGTACACCAAAGTGCCTCAATTCTGCCTTCACCAGTATATCTCGCTGATTTGTAGAGCAACGTCACTAGGAATTACGCGGAGAAGTCTATCAATAATATCCTTGACTACGTAGGTGGAGAGGGGAAACATGCTGCCATATCGCCTCAAGTGCCCTTGGACACATTAGAAGAGTTCTATGAGGCAACACGGATAGCGTGTGATGAAGCGAAGAATGAGGTGAGCCATATCGTCCAAACTCGTGACAGGTCTGATTTGAATCAGAGACTATCAACCAAGTCAAATCTGAAGTTGGCAAAGTTATGGTTGGATCGGAAAGAATATGATCGTTTACAACCTGTAAGCTCGGAGTTTATCGAGAGTGTTGCAGTTGTCTGACGAATAGATCTTGAGGCAATTACATGATGCCTGTATGCCCGCTGCCGGTACCAGCTCAGAAGATCAGACCAAAGGATCGCTTTGTGGGTACAAAATGACTCGATGATCACATGACTGATGAGAAGTGCTGGAACTATATGCCATAGAAATTCAGATGTACAGTGATTTGAAGGAATCACGCAAGCTCAAGGTGGGTTCTGATGGATTACGAATGGAAACGAGCTGAAGTAGCTAGGAAATCTATTCCGCCTCGATGAAGGTCAAGAATGCCATCCCGCATCCTAGAATCATGGGCGTCATCAGAGAGTGTGGCGGGAAGATGTGGATGATGGAAAGTGAGTGTTCATATGAAATTGTGTTACCTTGGCATGGGGTTATAAGAGACAGTATGTGAGACGGCACGCTGATTTTTGCAGAAGCATGGGACAAGGCGTCGACAGATTTGTTCGAGTCTTTTCGACAATACGACGAGTCCGGCTCACCTCAACGTATACAAGTCCTAAAATACCTAGTTCTCACTTATATGCTGATGGGGAGTGAGATCAACCCGTTTGATTCACAGGAAACGAAACCGTACGTCCTCGTCATTCACTCACCGGTCCTTCGCAGCGAATCTGGGTCAATTGCTAGACGTCCTCAGGCTTCTGACAGATTAGGAGGAATGATGCTGATGGCAGATATCGAAATGATCCCCAAATTACCGCTATGACATCCCTCGTTTCAGCTTACCAAGCCCGCGATGTTCAAGCGGCTGAACGTATCCTCAAAGCCAACAGAGCGACGATTACTAGTGACCCTTTTATCAGGCAATTCATCGACGAACTTCTCAAATCACTGAGAACGCAATACATAATTGATCTCATTAAACCGTATACGAGGATGGAGCTTGAGTATTTGAGCAAAGTGAGTGTTTTCTGGGATAACATGATGGTGACTGATGACAAAGGTGTTGAACGTTACCAAAGAAGAGGCGGAAGCTTTGGTGGTGGGGTTGGTTTTGGATGGACGGATAAAAGGGAAGATTGATCAAGTGAATGGGTTATTGATATTGGATCGATTGTGGGTGACATCTCTTCTTGTTCTCTGTGACTCTCACTACTTTCACTCGTACCCGTACCGACGAGCTTGAGACGTCAGCATAGGATGTCATGTGGCTTGTCATGCCGGGTAGTCCACGGTGAAAGATCAATATGTTTATGTATAGCGGTGCAGCAGAGAGAGATCGATATAAAGCTTTAGATCACCTGGCATCCTCGCTCCAGACATTGTCAAATAAACTCATTTCGGAGAATGTTGTAAGAAGAGGGCAATACGAGATGGGAGTGATTGGTTAGTCTGGTGTGTCGGAGGAAGGAGACAATGTTGTATAGAGTAGCATGCACATGACATATCTACGCATTCGACTTTCTCACTGGCCCACTGGCATGACTTGGGAGAGTTGTCGTATGATAAATGTCACTCGCATACTACAGGATACAGCCAACCAGACGTGATGCTCGTATTGAAAGACGTCAAGACCCACCAAGTATGAGAGGAGTATGACGCACCTGACTGATGGGGATGGGGGATTTGGGGACGCATCGACGTCATGTCGATCACCGATCACCCACAACCTATGACGTCCTTTCAAAACTGCTTGACTTGCCACCCAAACCTCAATACTTTCAATCACTTTATCCCCCCATCCCCCATTTATTCTTCCTCAAACCACTTACATCCACTCTTGTACATCTTGCACACATATCTTTATCTTAAGACTTATTCCTATATCATTCCAAGTGAGAAAAGAAAGTAAAATGACAACTGGGAAGAATCAAAATCGTCAATTGGGAGGATACAAAGCGTGAGTTTCCGATGTTCCTGGCCGTCCTGGGGAAATTGATGGATCGCTGAGCAATAGGACTTTACATAATCCTCATGTGAGTTCTCTTCACCGTGTCCTCCAAGCTTCTCAAAGGTTTCTGACCGTTGAAAGACAGTCAGGGGGCGGGTCTCCCCAGATATCAGCGGAAGACGACGAGCTTGGAAAGAAGGAGTAGAGAAAGAAGGAAAGAATTTAACATCCCCCCGGGGATAGCCTATGAGACCTTTTGCGAAATTCAACAATGGGGGGAACAGGTGTGAGGTGTTGGAAATGACGTATTAGACGCGGATGATGGAGAAGAAGAGGGGGTTCCGGGGAGACAACATAAAACCAATGCTGATTACTTAGACAGGTGATCCGGCAAAAGATAAAGCTGAAGATAAACTTGAATCACATGGTGTGATAGTCGAAAAAAGACCGGATCATCATCATCCGCATGCCCATCATTTGAGGTCGGATGATAAACCCAAGTTTCCCGCGGAGGGAGAGTCTGAAGGTGAGGAAGATAAGAAGAGGGAGGATGAGGCAAAAGAGAGAAGGGTATTGGGGGGATATAAGGCGTGAGTGATTTTTTTTAATTTACCCTTTATCTTTTCTATCCTGTTTCTATCTTTTCCATCCTGGTCATACCTTTTTGTCCTGTATCTAACCTCACGTAATCCCTTGCGGCTAGGTCACTTCCCAAATGACTTTTACCGAGCTTGATACGGTCATGTCTTCCATTGCTTTCCTATCGTCACTGCGTGATTTGACCCAATCCAAAATTGCAGAGTACGGAGGAGGGATACCTGGCGTCTCTTTCAATCTACTTGTTTTCGGGGACTTTGTTGCACGTCCCATCCAGACGGCTGACATCTACCCTTTTCATGTACCCACATAATGATTCAGATACTGACAGTCAGGACATTGAGCAACCCCCACGCATCCCCCAAAGCGAAAGAACACGCCGCTCAAGTTCTCGCCCAACGTGGATAGTCTGATCGTTTGATTGTGCCATCTTGTATCATCCTCTAATCATATTAATATTTCTTGTGTATATGTACTTTGTCTGTCTTGTTGTCTAGGTCACTCGTAATCTGAATACCCTCATACGGTCAAGATGTGACGCACAGACGTATGCCACTGTCACGTTCCTGACTTTTTGCTTGCTTGCTTGCCGAATGCCGATAGCCGATTGCGGGGTGGACGTGCGTTCGGGATGACTGTGCGGCCATGCGGCCTACGGTCATCTCGGCCTGCGGCTTTGTCATACAAACCGACATGCATCTATAACGGCATCTCATCACTTGGTTCGACTGTCCATATCACATGTCTTCATCTTGACCTGTAGTAATATATAATCCATCTTCTATCATATCATTGGTCTGTCCCACATACCGGTAAAAGTACGTAGTATAGCCGAAGCCGGAAATAAAGCGGAACTCAAAAATTAAGACAAGAAAAAGGATAGAGTCAAGTCTTGAGCCGGTCGATCAGGTCCCGTTTTCACCCACTTACTGGAGTTCGGCACTTGTTGTTGTTTGTCACTTTTACATCCACTCGGTATCATATTATCTACATCTCGAGAAGTGGTCGTTCAGAGGCGTGGGAAGTATGGGGGCGTTCGATTCTCTCAGAGGTGATCAATTACAAGAAGGGTGTAAGTTTCTTCATTTTCTCTCTTTACTCAAACTCCCTCTTCTCCTTCTCCCCTTTCTTCCTCTCTTTTCTTCTCGTCCACCCCTTCCTGGCACTTATCTCTCATACTCCCGACCCACTGAAAAGACTATGGATCACCTCGGCTTCTTTACGCATCATCTGAAGTACATCATGGACACCTCCCCACAGTAGGTGGGGTATGGGCCAATGGCAAGATAGATATCTCATCGATGACGTATGCTCATTTTCAAAGGGTTAGGAAAACATACATCCACAATAGATTGGTGTGAATTGAATTATTCTGTCACTCCATACGTTGCTGAATTCGTCAATACGTTAACTAACCTTCCTACTGTTTTATTGGGTTTATACGGTGCTTGGGTGGCTTATAATGGAGGTTTAAAGAATAGATATTTGGCATGTTATTTGGGTTTGTCGTTGATAGGTTTGGGAAGTTTTGGTTTTCATATGAGTCTAAGATGGGAGTGGCAATTGATGGATGAGTTACCTATGGTGAGTTGAGGTGGTTCCTATCTTCTTCCTATCGTGAAGGAACCATTTTATCTCACCATTTGTAGATTGGGATTTCTGAGGGCGTTTTTACTTCTTGATCTGATCTGATCCTGTGTCTTAGAATGTCTCGCTCTTCCGTCATACTCTGTCTTTATACCCGCCCTTCATCTTTGTTTCCTGTTGATATGACTGCAGACCTTGTATGGAATTGTGCTAGGATGGGTGAAAGAGGTCGAATGAGGATAACGTGTAAAGGAAACAACTCGTGGACAAACCTGACACCCAGATATACGTAGTGTCCTACGCTGCGTATTTATCATTAGACACACTCCCTTCTTTCAAACCACGATTCGGGTTATGGGGACCTCTGTTCATGCTCGCTTGGGACTTCTTTGTTACTTTTTCCTAGTAAGTGGTTTATTCTTCACTCTTGTCTCCTTCCGCCGCACTACCTCCCTTTCTATCCATCTTCATAAATTCTCTTTCACTCCCTCTTGTCCACCTTCACGTCAATAGACTTCGAACCAGGTGTCAACTCTCAACACAGCACTACCCTTCACATCACTTCATACATTTCGTTTCAAACTATCCGTTTATTCCTGCCAAGTTGTTGGATGTCGTAAACATCATGTGAAGATTTTCATCCTCACAATCCAGTATTTACCTTCCAAATCCCATCTATCACGAAATAGCATTCGCATCCATACTCTTCACTACTCTTTTCCGTTCCGTCTCACTCATTCGACGTTTACCTTCTGATCACCATACCAGACCTTTTGTCACACGAACGATGCTTGTCGGTTCGGCCGTTTTCGCTTTGGGGTTTGGGGTGTGGAATGTGGATAACATATTTTGTGTGCAGTTGAGGAAGATTAGAGGGTATATGGGTGTATATGGTTTTTTGTTAGAAGGTGGGTTTCATTTTCTGGACGAATTTCTCCATTTGCCAGGTCGTTCTTCTTCTTGTCTTTTCTGACTCTTTTATCCCTCATGACCTTCCATTCCCTCTTGTTTTCTGTCTCATCCCTATTACCTCACGTGTACGAAGTGAGAAGTGAGAAGTGCGAATCACTTTCCAGCTGTAGGAGTTTCACGGTGGACGGACGTGGCTTTGGCATAAAGCCAAACGGGCAATACGGATGGGCCTTATCTGCGCCATACGACCCGCTACTCTTTCTTCATAGTTTTGTAACGGCCACTTCACAAGGAAAGAGCGACTATTGATTTTGTTGGTTGAAAGTGATACCGGAGGGACCTGTGTAGTTGGGAAAATACGGACATGGTAGAGATTTGATAAAAAGTTAACGAATAGGTCATGGATGGTGGCATATCCTTACTGGTTATGGAGCGTTCTTAATATTCTCCGCTACTATCCGTACGTCCAAATCTTCTACCTTCGTCTTCTCCTCATCATTCGGCAAATGCCAATCTGAATCCTTCCTCTTGCGAATACAAACACTTCCTCCTTACGATCTTACGTCATCTTTTTCGTCGTCAGATGCACACTCCCCTTCATCCCTCATCCTTCTTCTCTCTCCTGCCCACACTGATTGTGACCACATGTGACGATTGTCCCAACGAAAGGTAAACATGTCAAAACGGGGATGTCCCATATCAAATATACCCTTCTGTCTCTCGCTCTTTGGTGGTTCATAGTTGAGATCTGCCATGATTTATCCTCGATCCAAAATTCTATGATGGACGTGTATATGAAACACGAGCCCATCAATGAATTCTCGCTTACTCCTCAGTACTTCATCTATCTATCAAAGTCTCCCCTGACGCATATGCCTTCAACCCCAATCATTGGTTCCCCGTCCCTATCTCTGACCAGACATACACACCCCGCACCACTTCTTCCACCCCCACATCTGAGTCGAAAGTAGAGAATACGCACAGAAGAGAACTTCGGAGTAACAAGCATAACGTTCAAGTGAACGGCGTTCATTGAGTCATCACGAAGTGAGAACATCTAAGAAGATCGTCAAGAACATTTGTCGGATACACAATTACAATGCATATTTTCCTTCTTGTTATTATGGCTACATTGTGAATTCCATTTCTTACTGATCATTTTTCACCCTTGACTTTGCACACTGATATCGACAGAAACCGCTGTCATCGCTACACTATATAAATCTTCTTCATTGATATAAGCGTGCCTGTTGGTGTGATCTTAGGGTCATGTTCGAAGTGCTATAGTGTCATACCCTCGATACAACCGGTTTGGGCACTCCCCCGTAAGAATTACGATGAAGCTCCCGCATAGTTTCTTCCGAGTCCTGTCTTGGAGCTGTATTTTCCAGTTGGCCTGTAGAGCTTTTCGAATCTTCCCATTCGGATCTGCGGGATGAAAAGTCCTGTTTGTCAGCACGATGTCGGATATTACACTATTCTACCCGCACAAGAAGCACACTTTGAGGTGATATCGACTTGAGAGCAGTTGATAGTATTCAAAAGAAATCATATACAGTCGAAAACGTCAATGGAGAATGGTTCCAATGGCACAATCATGTCTCTAGTGAATGATGACATGGGTAAAAGAAAACAAACCACTCACTTCAGGTTTCCATTCCGCACTATGCCACGCCTTGAGCCCAGGAGTTCCGTACATGACATTCACGTGCTCCAAAGAAAGACCGGACGATTCGTACAAGAACAGATAGACGAATAGAGCGCCGAAAAGATTACAACCAGCGAAGATAAACCCATAAGCTAAGTTGATCGAAGAGACAATGAAAGGGGTGAAGAATGCAAGAAGGAAATTCTGTTATGTCAGCCTCCTTCCGACGATTCGATCACCCAGCGAACGGTTTCGTTTCGACTGCAAAGATTGAATGAGGCATGCGGATTAGAGAGGAAGTGGGATGCCCGTACTCACCCATGTCCAGTTCGACGCCACGGCCAATCCTGCTTGCTTCTGTCGAGTTCGGGTAGGGAAGGTTTCCCCAGTCAAAATCCAGATCCCTGGCGCCCATGTGCTGGCATACCCGAGGATGAACATACACGCAGCTGCGATCAAGAAGCTACCCGTGGCTTTCGTGTTTGTATCCTGTGTCACCCCCACAGCCGCAAACGCAAATAGCCAAGCGCTCTGCCATAATGCCCCGACAATAAGGGGCCACCTCCGTCCAAATCGCTCCATCACGTAAATTCCAAGGAAAGTACAGATGAAGTTGACGGCCCCAAGTATTATCTGCGTCACAAAGCTGTCCTGGAGCCCTACAGATATGAAAATAGATGAACCGAAGTAAAAGAAAGCGTTGGCGCCCGTCACTACCAATGAGCACAGCTCTCGGAGAGTTCATCATATGCAGGACCTACGCTGTTGTAAAGCCTGCAACATCATCAGGAGGTAGGTTCGGTAGGCCAATTTGGGTATTCCCCTTTTTCCAACGAAACACTCGAGCCATGTACCTTTACCTGAGGCTTCGTCCTTCTTGATATCTGTGGCGATCTCGTTGAAGGCATATTGTACGTGGTTGGAGTCGGCAGCAACCCCACGGACTCGGGCAAGAGACTTGCGAGCGTCGTTGTACATGCCACGTTGGATCAGCCATCGAGGGGATTCGGGCATGAAGAGGATACCGATACCGAGGATCAGAGCCCATATCCAGCCGAGACCGATGACGGTGCGCCATGCCCCGCCATGAGACTTGATGGGACGAGCAGCGATGGAGAAGCAGTAGGCGGTGAGGATACCGAAGGTGATCTGGATAGGTCAGGGGGCTGAACATGTTGAGGGATGTCGCTTACCTGTAGCTGATAGAATGCCACTAGTGAACCTCGTATCTCCTTTGGACCAGTCTCAGAGACAAAGACTGGGACGGCGGACGAGAGAGCACCTACACCCCTGAATGTAAGCGGTGGAAGTCGACGAAGATGAAGGGGAGTTGGAAGGTGATCGAAAAAGTAGGCATGCTGTGGGGATCTGCCCGATAGGATAGGCTCGCCATGATACAATCGCAGGAATTCACACTGGCCAGGCTGGCGAAATGCGCGACAAGAAGAATCAACAACTACTATAAAGCAGGCCAAGAGGGAGAAACTTGTTCGAGATGAGGAAACTGGAATGGGTGTGAGAGGCAAGTAACGACTTACCATCCGGCAATGAACCGACCCATCATGATTTGTACCCAAGACGAAAAAGCCTATCATCAGCTCGTTTACCCATCTTTGGCACCCGAGCCTCACCGTAATCTGTATCAAGACCCCTACGGAGAAGATCACACAAAAGGCACTCATGGCTCTTCTTCTACCCGTCCAATTAGAGATATAACTTCCTGCCAAACCACCTATATGTCAGGAGCGTTTTGAGGTCAAGTAAATACAAGCTTACCGATGAGAGTACCAATGGAAAGCATACCAACGATAAGTCCTTCTCGAACGTTACTGAATGCGTATGTACCATCAGGACCTTGTTGTCCGAAGCGTTGTAAAAAGTCGGGTATAAGGAGAATATCAGATATTTGACCGGTATCGTATCCGCTGTCGGTCAGTCACCGAGGTAAGACAGAGAAAGGGAGGAGGGGAAATCAATGAGATGAGGAATTGAAACAGGTTAGTGATGAGATGGGAGGGCAAAGTGATGAAACTTACAAAATGAACCCTCCCATCGAGGCCAAGATAGCCAAAGCGACAGAAGTCCAACCTATCGGCTTGACATATCAGCCTTTCGTCTCTCCCCTGTAAGTGAATAACATACTGCCCCATAGACAGTGAATCCCATCTTGTCTAGAGACGAACGAAAGTTAGTTAATCAAGCAGTTATATCGTTATATCGTGTGAATGTGTCGTGGAAGGTGTGAAAGATAAAGTCTTTGATGCGAGTCAAAGTGTAGAAATGGTAGACGAGGGCTCCACATCTTCTCGTCCTGCCGACTGCCGAGCACAGTATGAGTAGCGAGTACAGTAGCGAGTAGGAGGAGATGACGTCTTACGAGTCACATGTGATCACTTGCTGGGTTCTCTCGTTTGTGATCGGCAATGTGATGTCAACGATGTCACCAACCACTAACCGGGACCGGTTACACAACTGCCAACAGAGCCGGATAAATATTGCTGGGCACAATTGTCAGACTGAATGTCAACACTGATTGACACCTCGCGAGATGACATGTCCCGTGCATACTTGTACCCGCCATAGAAGCAAGAACGGTACCGGATCGGTTTGGCTAGGAAACCGTATCGTCATGTACATATGTTGTTTGCCAGTAGTGGACAAGCGTTTGAGATGTTTTCACCTACACACAAGGAAACGGTAAAGCAGATGGAATGCATTGTAATCGGATTAATTATGATTTTTAATTGGTTTAAACTCTAACGAATAGGGGATGTAGTATAATGGCTAGTACACGGACTTCGCATTCACGTCTGTCTGTAATCGGCGTTCGATTCGCCGCATCTCCATTTTTGCGTCTTGGCCCTCCGTTAGATTAAAGTGCCCAAAACCTTTCCGGGGTTTGAGCTTGGGTGTCAGGCAACATTGCACATATTTAAGTGGTATAGTTAGCAGTGACATGCCTCCTGTCAGCCTGCTCACGACGGTCACTTTGCGCATTCGGGTACATCCGTTCGGGTACATCGCAGTCAAATAACTTTTGGTAGCACTATGTGCCATTGAGGTTGGATAAACGACTTGATACTGGTTCACAGCCACAGCACACGGGTCCAAGAGCCAACGCTCAGTATCGCGAAGGCCTACGGTTCAGCTCTGAATCTTTTGTGAAATGACAGAAACATACCTCTCTTCATATCGCGCAGGCCTATCGTCGATTCGGGCAGGCCGATCATCACGCGGAGGTCTGTCATCAAACCTAGGTCGTTCGTCGCGACGGTCATACGTGTCTCGACTATAATACCTGTCAATTGCCGTCAATGCCTCCTGCCCTCAACCGGATTATGTGACTTCTTCCTCTGGAGAGGAACGGGTCGGAGTCAACGATAGAAACCATGACTCACCGGTCATCGCGTCTACGGTCATCGTACCCATCCCTTTCACGATAATCACGACGTTCACGATAATCGTCACGACGACGGTCGTCATACCGTCTATCGTCATAACGACGGTCGTCGGCTGAAGATCAGATTGAGGATATTATATGCTAAGCGTAGATACCTACGACGAACGTAACGCTGATCATCGGCTCGAGGAACATATGGCCTTTCTGATATATTAACAGTTGGTTCTCAGTCGATGATCATGCGATGACAAACCTTCACGGCCATATGAGCCGGGGTAACGATAACGGTCTCCGCCAGGACGCGTCACGCGATCTCCCTTGACACCTTGGTATTGTCCGGGAGTGGGAGTACGAGCGCGACCACGGCGAGCCTGAATCGTCAGCGATCGGATCACCACATCCAAGTTTGTAGAGATAAAGGAACGGGATGGAACTGACGTGTGACACTGTGATGGTCTTGCCTTCGAGCATGGTACCGCTCAACTGATCGATGCAAGCTTGAGCATCGTCGTTGTTTTCCATTTTGACGAAACCAAAACCACGAGTCTCTTCTGTACGATGTGAGCCACGAAGCTTGTTGGAATCACCAAGTCGAGCAAGGAGGGCGACAACTCACGAGTGTGGGGGTCCATCATGATCTGTGCCTTGTAGACCTTTTGACATCAATCTTGTTTCTCTGTAACATGAAGAAATGACTTGCTTTGCCAACTTTGCCAAAGAAATCTTCGAGGATACCAATATCCACGCCACGGGCCAAGCCACTCACGTGCAAGTTGTTACCGGTATTGAGGGGTACTGCTTCTTCCCTGTTGCGTCAGTTCGGCACATCCGCAATAATCAGGGCAGTTTGACGCCTGACAGCATGACCGTACAAGGAGATCATCGTATGGAAATGAATTATCGGAAGAAATGACGAGGAACACTCGAAAGACACACCGAGGAGCCCCATTTCCATTCCTAGCTGGAGACCTGGAACGATCCCTCCTGACCTCACGATCATCTTCTCTCCTCTGGGGTGATGCATCTCGATCGGCTGTACCGTTCTGCCATACTTTGGTGTCAGTCGTAATCGCATACCGAAAGGGGTATCGTCAGTCGAAAAAACCGGATGGGGCCGGCCTGGGGTGTTTTGAGACACGCGGGCCGGAGTTAGACGGATACACGTCGCACCGAACTGTCTGAAGCGAAGCGTGAAGACGCAAGTCGACAAGATAACCCGGACAATAGGCGACAGTAAAAGAGGGACAAGATTTAATGATGATAAGCCGTATCGAAGACCATGCGCGTTGTGAGAGATGCGGAAATGAGGGACCCAGTGAAGAGATGGAGAAAACTTTCAAACGCGTGCCGTGGAGAGATACTTCAGTGGGAATCGTAAACTCGAGCTGAAAGCCGGGCCGATAGTGCTCGAGAGATGCTGAGAAGCGAGAACGAAGAAAGAGAGGAGGAAATTGGATAGGCGGATTGAGACATACCGTCGTTGGGGTCGGACATGATTGAGTTGTGTTACTGTAGACAGATGGAAAGACCAGTGTGGGGGTTCAAGTGGAACAGTATCGGACGGAGAGACTCGGCGTTAATGTATCCGCTGATAATGTGGCGGAAATTCTGGGATCGAAGGAGTGGACTTTAGACGCGACGATCGACAAACACTTTTGCAAATGACATGACCACCAGCTTAACAGTGAGTTCTATGATCCCTTTCAACTGAGCACATCTCTAGTCTCTCTGGGATGATAAAGCAGGAAAAGATGATTTTCTTGCTGTATGCTGCATCATGCGTCATCCTCTTCACTGAACAGCGCTGAGTCGGAGGACGCACGTTTCACCTCTATTCACTTCACCTCACCTCATCTTCGTTCTCTCTTCTTCGACCCAGATCCAGAAACAGGATGGGCGGTCATGCCAGGGTACGACGAACCTCTTCCTATTCCCCCACATCTTGAACCTCCACGATTAGACGCAGATGAGACGTTACCTTCTGCACTTCATCCGAGTTATCCTTTTGGTCGTCCTGTCAGCGTGTCGAAACCTACACGACATGGAGTGGGGAATTTACTGGATACTGTAAAGGAGAAGGGAGAAAAGTTAGGGGTGAGTATGGTACAGACTGGACTTGGAAGGGAGAAGTGGGATGAGCTGGGATTGGATGAGGTTGTTGAGAGTCAGGTCAGGAAGGAAGTTCCGCCTGGAATGGCTGTGAGTTTCCATATCAAGAGCCCCTTTTCCTCTTTGTCCACCTCTCTGAGCTAGAAGTATTGCGAAAATAGAATGATGTCAAGTGAGACTCTTTCAAACGAAAGAATGAGTTATAAATGGGTAGGTCTGAAAGATGTCGTTGACAACAGGGTGCAAAACGTCCCCCTTCTCCTCCCTCACCAGCACTCCGACCTTCCGCTCTTCCTCCACCTCGCTCTATCCATCTGGAACATCTTTACGCTCGTCAACGCCAAGCAACTCCGCAAGCACCTGCTGATCCATTCGATGCTCCAGTCCCTAATGAGACTTATACAGAGGAAGGGGCCGAGGCAGCAGAGGGGGAGATGGAAGGTGTTGAAGAGCAAGAACAAGAGCCAGATCAGGGAGAATAAACACTGCAATTTGTCTAGTCATATTTGTATGTATACATCTGTCTCGAAACAGTCTGGGTGTTCAGGTGAATCGTGCATGTTATGTAAGCTACTTGGGATAGTAGCTATTGTAGGTACCCGGAAACGACCTCCTGGGCAGACTCTACTCGGCGAGCGGAGATTGTATGGTTGAGCGCTAGACTCCATGCGATACTCGAATTCGCTCGCTGGACAGGTGCCTGGAGGGGAGATGGAGGCGTAAGAGAGGGAAGACGGGAATCGTAATATCCTGCAAGACGGAGATGTTCCACTCGGCGAGCTACGAGTTAGTGAATATCACTATATGTCGTCTTCTCATTTCTCTTCTTGATCCTTCTTACCCAAATCCATAGAATTATGAGTGCTGTCAGCCCCTACAACAATCGAAAGGGTAATCGCTACGTAGGTGAGGCTTTACTGAAAACTACGTAAGATACATTCCAGCTGGAAGAGGAAGAGTCACGACGAAGCACGACAAAAACTTACCTTCAGCAGGCTCCATACCCTTGGCCCAATCATTCTTCTCCGCATCCTTCGAAACTCTCCTCACAGGACTGATCAAACTCGTCTTCCCAAACAACTCGAAAAACCTTTGTTCTTCAGTCAGAATCAACTTTTTCTCGCCCACCACGTCTGGAGTGCTCTTCTGTTCACTGCCGGTCTGTCGTCGAGGTTTGTTTTCTCGTCCGGTCCATTCTCTCTTCTCTCGTTTCTTTCCTTGATTCCCCACTTTCTCTGCTCCTCGTCGTCGCTCCTGTTTCTGGTCCTTACCCTGCTCAAGTTTGGTCGAAGATGGTGTATCCCCAGATATGATGTCCATACTCACACGTCCCTCCCCAAGATTCATCTTCCGACCCCCTCGTTTTGACCTCGAACGATCAAGGTTTTTATCCCCTTCATCAATCTCCCTCCCATCCTCGGATTGACCACTATCCCTTAAGGATACTCCTTTCGATGGTCCTTCTCCGTCTATCAGATTGTCAGACTGTACCTTCTGCATCGACTTCTTGATATCCGATCTCCTTCTTCGTCCATCGTTCTCACTCTTCATCATATTCTCCGCCTTGGCGTCATGGGAAGGTCCAACACGATTCAAATTTCTTCCCGAAGATCTCGTCGAATGTCTGAGGTCCAAGCGAGCGCCTCGCGAAACTTGGAGAGGTTGATATGAGCTTAAATCTGGTAGTAATCGTTGACGTCCTTCTGCAGATGGGAGATCGATCAGATCGGCGCTTGAGGATGAAGGGGTGTCGGCTGAGGGCAGATTCGCAGCAGTTGGAGAAGGAACAGGTGTGGGTGTAGACTCTTGGTAGATTGATGGGGAGGAATGCAGTTTCCGGGGTTGTCTGACGAGTACTGTCTGAAATCTCCTAAGAGAGCTGACCTGGGCGATAGGACGCATGTTAGGCTTTGCAGTATGCGCAATAAGTTGAAGATCTCACCGTCAAGTCTTTTCCGTTCGTTTCCACCTTTAAGTTAGCAATCAGTGATTTCGGGATAAAATGAAACAAATTCATGAATATCTTTGGTTCTCAGCCAAAGTTAAAGTCTCACCACTCAACTTTGGTGCATCTCCACAAACCCACTTCCACTCGGCTCAAGATGTCGACAGAAGACTATGACGGTCAGTACAACACCTCGTTTCCTTATGATTCAGCTGACAGAGGAAAGAGTTCGGGAATTATATCGGTGCAGACCTCGGGTCAGACGAGGACGACGATGAACTCGACTTTGAACCTTCTGCCCCGGCAGCTGCGTCCGTACCGGGGCCATCGACAGGAGCTGGGTATGCTCCTCTAGAGGGTTTGGACGAGGATGAGCCGATGGATGAGGATGGTGGGATGGAGATGACTTTGCATGGTGTGGATGGTGAGTAATTTGGTCGACCTTTTTCTCATGCTTCTCGAAATGTTCAGCTCGTCAGCACTGAGACGCGCTCAAGAGGAGTTTGATGATTTTCTGGACCATACGATAGGGGTATACAAGTGTATATTGGTTTTGCAAGGCTCCTGGGTGACAAATTGGCCCGCGGTCGAGATCAGGTGAAAGGTGAACGCCTGCAACTTGCGAGTGAATACCCAGACGGGGTTGTGCTGGGAGGTCACTGATGGTCGTTCAAATGCTGATTTTCGAGGTACGGCAGGAAACCAAGTCATCCTACACGAAGACAAAAAATACTATGCCACAGCGGAAGAGACGTACGGTCCGGACGTTGAGACCATGGTTCAAGAGGAAGATCTGCAACCATTGACAGAACCTATCGTGGCGCCTATCAAAATACGGAGTTTTACCGTTCAAGAAAAAGGACTTCCTACGACTCGTTTTGACAAAAGGTGAGTTGCTAGTAAATTTAAAGCGAAAAGCTGAGAGAAAAGTTTCATGATAGATCTCATGAATTACCCTTCTATGATACGTAATGTCACGGTGGCTGGACATATACATCATGGCAAGACTTCTCTTCTGGATATGCTAGTTTTTGAAACTCATCAACTTACATGGGACGTCGATACACCTGTAAGCTCTCGTTCTAGACCGTTGACTGATTTGGCTGATGTCAAAGACACGTTATACTGACACCCATACACTGGCCCGACAAAGAGGCATATCTATTCGTTCCGCTCCCATGTCACTCGTTCTCCAAGATTCTCGGGGCAAATCATCTTTGATAAATATTATCGACACACCCGGTCATGTCAATTTCGTCGATGAGATAGGGTCTGTGGCACGGTTGGTAGATGGGGTTGTGTTGGTGGTGGATGTGGTGGAAGGAGTGATGCACGGCACGGAACAGGTCATTAGACATGCTTTGCAGGAGAAATTGAAGATGGTTTTGGTGGTGAATAAGATGGATAGATTGATATTGGAATTGAGATTACCACCGTCAGAAGCCTTCTTCAAGATAAAACATACCATAGAGGAGGTGAACTCGATGATAGCGTGGGTTTCTCCCTTGTACTCTGATTCCCCTCTCTTCTCCCGTCCCCCCGGCTCCCGGGGATTTCTCTGTTGGGATCTTTATGATCGATACGTCGTCGCCCCTCTTCCATTCTCACACACCTTGTTTGTGTACCCCTCACTCTTCTCACACTCGTGTTGACAAAGGTAATTTTGTGATTCTGTCCTTAGCTGATTTCCTCAGCTCAATAGATCCCGACCCTTCCCTCCGCCTCTCACCCGAACGAGGTAACGTCGCATTCGCCTCCACTCAAATGGCTTGGTGTTTCACACTTCGGACATTTGCCTCGATGTACGCAGACACGTTCGGGTCTTTCAATGTGGATGATTTTGCCATGCGGTTGTGGGGTAACATCTACTTCGATCCTGAAAGACGCAAATTCACGAGAAAACCTGCCGACGTGGAAAGCAAGAGATCATTCGTGCATTTCATCCTGGAGCCATTATACAAGTTGTACACTCAGGTGCGTTCTCCCATCACTACATGTCAAGTCTCACCTTGGCTTTCAAATCCATCAGACCATGCTGCATCTTGTGGAAGCTTGAGTGTAATGCGAGCCTCGCTGACTCTCAGGTTCTCTCAGAAGATGCCGAAACACTCAAAGAAACCCTCGCCGACCTTCGTATCACACTCCGACCATCAGCATACAAGATGGATGTTCGACCTTTACTTAAAGTCGTTCTTGAGGCTTTCTTCGGTCCATCGACAGGACTTGTTGATATGATCACCCGTTTCCTTCCTTCTCCCGTGGACAGTGCTGAAGATAAGGTGCGTCAGCTGTAACATGATGTGCATAGCGAGGCTGATGATAAAGATTCGACATACATATACCGGACCTATGGGTACCGATATCGCCGACTCTATGATCAAATGTGATCCTCAAGGTCCCACCGTGATCCACGTCACCAAACTGTATCACACTTCCGATGCTCAAGAATTCCGCGCCTTTGGTCGAGTGATGAGCGGTACCATCCGTCGCGGTCAAACGGTCAAAGTCCTAGGAGAAAGCTACAGTCTGGAAGATGAAGAAGATATGGTTTCTGCTACTGTTGACGCGTTGGCATTAGACGAATCAAGATACACCGTCGATATCGATTCCGCTCCTGCCGGTTCATTAGTTTTGATATCAGGTGTGGATGCTTCCATTACGAAAACAGCAACGATCGTATCTCCTTCCATAGAAGACGATTTGTATATATTCAGACCTATAAAACACATCACTCAATCAGTATTAAAAGTTGCCGTGGAACCTATATCACCTTCCGAATTACCAAAGATGTTAGATGGGTTGAGAAAGGTCAACAAGGCTTATCCGTTAGTAGTGACTAAAGTGGAAGAATCAGGGGAACATGTTATATTAGGGACGGGAGAGTTATATCTGGATTGTGTGCTACATGATCTGAGGAAATTATTTAGTGAAATCGAGATCAAGGTTTCGGATCCAGTCACCAAATTCTGCGAGACGGTAGTGGAGACTAGTGCGTTGAAATGTTATGCGGAGACGCCTAATAAGAAGTGAGTGTACTATTTGTTACATGTCCTTTCTTTCGTAGCCTAAGTCTTACTCTCCCTGTCATCGTGTCATCAGGCGGTTACCCATGCCTCTCGAGGAAAGCGGCGTGCGATTGTGACACAAATGATGGTCGGAAGTTATGCTTGACTATCATTTGTGACAGCTGGTCATTCAGTGGAGAGAAGCTGATGGGAAGAAACAAAATCACAATGATATCAGAACCATTAGAAACAGGTATAGCCAATGACATAGAATCTGGTAAAGTCACAATGCGTATGTCTAACAAAGAACGTGGCAAGTTCTTTGAATCGAATTATCAATGGGATCTGTTGGCATCACGAAATATTTGGGCATTCGGACCAGAAGATAATGGTCCGAACGTATTGATAAATGATACTTTGCCTTCGGAGGTGAGTCTCGGTTTCCATTCCTCTCGTGTCGAATGACCAATTTCTTCTTCCATCAATATGGCCTTTTTTTCTGCCTGAATAAGCATTTGCTTCCCAGGGTGTTCAAAAATTATCTCATATATGAATACATCTCTATGGGGAAATCTTCGCATGAGCTAATTCATAGGTCGACACGAGACTGTTAAGTAGTGTACGAGAAAGTGTCAAGCAAGGTTTTCAATGGGGAACGAGAGAAGGACCTTTGTGTGATGAACGTCAGTCCTTCCCCCCCCTCTCTCTTCTCTTCTCTATCGTCAAATCATTACTACCTCTAACCCACCACATTTCCTTCTCTCCTGTGTCTCTCTTTTCCACTTGGGAGACTAATGACATAACCCCAAAGTACAAGTTAGCAACACGAACTTACAACCCCCGCTGATCTATAGCCATCCGCGGGGTAAAATTCCGTATTCTCGACGCCACCCTCGCACCCGAACCTATATATCGAGGTGGTGGTCAAATAATCCCAACAGCTCGTCGCGTTTGTTATTCTTCTTTTCTTCTAGCAACTCCTCGATTACTCGAACCAGTTTATTACGTCGAAGTTCAAGCTCCTGCAGATTGCGTAGCAGCAGTTTATACCGTTTTATCACGTCGAAGAGGTCATGTCACTCGTGATATGCCAAAACCTGGATCACCATTATATACTGTCAAAGCTTCGATACCTGTTTTAGACGCTAATGGTTTCGAAACGGATTTACGTACGGCAACTATGGGACAAGCATTTTGTCAAATGTCTTTTGATCATTGGCAAGTGGTACCTGGTGATCCGACAGATACAAGTATACAATTAAGACCTTTGGAACCTGCTACAGGACAGAGTTTAGCTAGGGATTTGATGTTGAAAACTAGGAGAAGAAAAGGTTTGAGTGATAGTATTGCCGTTAGCAAGTATTTGGAAGATGAGGTGGGTTCGAGTTTTCCTATTGCATTCATCAATTCATTCAGTCTCATCGTCATCCGAGACAATTCCTCTAGTATACTCATCCATGTTTCCCCTCGGTCGTATGTCTCCAGACGTAGAGCGATGGACAGTTGCTAGGAGAGGTCTCAGGAGCTTGGGACACAGGCGTGCTGACATTCAGACAATCATCGCTATCAGCGCTTCGGGTAATGCCGATTTACTAGGATAGTTTGGCCCAAATTATGCATAGCATATCCGTTTGCATTGATTATGCTACATGCTTCTTCTCTTCCACAGCTCGGTTCATGGCACTTTGAAGTGTCCTAGAAGTATCCCATTCAATCCACGTGGTCGCCATGTCCCAAGCGAGTTTTGCCGTAGTGTTTGGCAACTTTGACCATGGACCGGGGATGGAACCTTTAGTTGGATGTTGCAAGTGGAAGAATGGGCCGAGTTTGGAAGAGATGGTATTAAAAGACTGATATCAGCACTGATATTTCGGTATTCGATCCTATATTGAATCACGACAAAAGATGGGCAGATCGGTAAGCGCGAATGATAGTTGAGGGAGCGGTACTTACTTCTTGAGAGAAGAGCGATTCCTCTGATTGACTCCCTTGACCCTTCAAGCCCATCTCAAGCAGAAACGTCACTATTCCCCTTGTGGCAATATCATCCTTCGTCCCCAGTTCCCATAAAACCTTGGGAAGACTTTCTACCCACGTTCTCATCAATGGCCTGAGAGGGGAGTCCAGTGGGAAGTAAAATGGAAGTATGGGATAAGGTGGTTCGTGTACTTTCGTAAGATGGAATAAGAAGTTATCACCTTTAGTCCGAATAGGACTGGATGATGATACCCTTTGTAAATGTTTTAGAAGGGCTGTACCGACAAGATTGGGGATATCGGAAGAAGTGGGAGGAAGGATGAGAAGGGACCAGATTATAGGAAGTAAGGAAGAATATGATGAAGGTGTGAGAAGGGGTTGAAGGAGGTCTTGTCGAGGTGCCTATGACTTAGCTCCACTCAAGAAGGATTTCAACAGGAAGAAACTATGTAGATTGAGAAGGATGAATGGGGAAGTGCACTTACAAGACAATCAATCACCCATTCGGCGACTTCGTCCAGCGCTTCAGATCTCCCTTTTCGTATTTGTTTTGTCATTGTATTCCAAGCCTCTTCCACGGCTTCTTTCCGTCCTTCACCTTCACGTCTTCCTTTCAGACGTAGAAGAGGAGGTTTGGGTGCTAATAACATCACCAACGACGCGTATGTTAGAGATAATTGGAAATGCGCGTCATTGTCTTTAGTCGTGCCGGAATGAAAAGGTTTGAAAGGGAAATAAGGAGTCATTCGTTTGATGAAGTCTATCACGCCCTCTGTGACTTTTAACGGAGCAGGGGAGTTGTGTGAGAAGATAGCTCGAGCGAGTACGTGGGTCATTGAGGCGGATACGAGACATAGGTCAAGAGATTGTTCGAGACTTCCCACAGGCGTAAGGGAGGTGGTGGAAGGTGAGAATGCTTGAGGGGCAGCTTCGAGAAAAGTGGTTTGTAACAGAGGTTGAACTTGGATGTATAAAGCCTAGAAGTAAGCTCGATGCTCGAGCACAAAGAGATGAGCTCTTGGCATGGGAGCAAGTGTAGAATGAAGAGTTCAACTAGATTACTCACAGAAAGTGACGATACCACGGCAACGTCATCAGAAGGAACGTCCATTGCCATACGACCGAGCTCCCACTCTGACGCTGGTACGACGTCCAAACACCAAACACATGTCCCAGCGATATGTCCCACCTCGCCCAGATGGAACAAGGGGAAATCCCCTATGGCCTTTTCCTTGCCTTTCCGGCTTCGCAATGGCTCATCAAGCCACGCAGAAGATATATTCCCTATCTCATTCGAGTCATGAGGTGTGAGAGCTTTCTGAACGAAAGACAAAAGAGTTCTAAGGGTGACCAATTTGGCACCAGGGGTTAATCGGATGGAACTGTTAGATCCCGTTTCTCCCCCCAGACCAGCGGCAAGTCGAAGACCTTCGAGTACATTGGTCCCTGAGCTTGAAAAAGGCCACGAGCCGATAACATGTGATGGGATGTGGTCCAGAAGAAGTGAAACGAGTTGACAGCCTGTGATACGGATTTCAGGGAAGATATGAGAGAGAGCTGATGAGGTCTGAAGAAGAAGCAAGGGAAGATGAGGAGAGAGAGTTTCCTAATCGTCAACCTTTTCGGCTCTCTACATCTTTAGTAAAATTTGATAGTGAGGAAGTGTGAGAGGGAAACGAGTGAACTCACTTCAGGAATCAGAGGCAGATACCAAGCAAATAATCCTAAAAGTGTTTTTCGTACAGCAGTGTCCTGTCACATGAGTTTCCTTCTTACTATAGGGACACATCTGTACTAACCTCATCCGAGATCACCACTCCAAGACCTCTTAGGATTTTTCCAACTTCCCGCGTAGGCTCTGATACCAGAAGATCTTTGATACTTGCCAATGAATCTTTCCTCACTCCGGCATTGGGGTGTCGCAGTCGAGCGAGAACGTCGTCGAGCCCTAGTCCTAAGGATGTACGAGGCTCGTCAGAATCTCCATCGACGAGCGCACGTGATATCGAGGCCTGTCCAGGGAGTGCGATAGCTTCTCGTTAGCGCTACTCAGACATCTACGAAGGTACGCACATCTCGCTTTAAATGAAGTGTCTGTAGCATTGGTAGGTTGTTTCTTTCCCTTGCCGAGCTTGAACTTTGCTTTCTACGGTGGGGTCAGCGAGAAGTCAATGACAGCCACGGGTACGTACTGTGAAGTCGGCAGCTTTCTCACGCTTTCTCTTTGCAGATTTGGGCATGTTCAAAGTGAAAGAAGAGGGACAATGATCAGGTAGTATATCTTTGTAAACTTTGAACTGTCGGACATGACAAGGAAAGTGGATTTCGATGCCGCTGCTGGTGCTTGTGGCATGTGGCACCGACGGGTATTCATTCCTGTACATGCACGGACTCTACGCGTACATGATGCTCAATTGACTATCAAAGATGGTGGACGCTTGTCAGCATTCTTCTTGCAATGGCAAGATCATTGAGGTATTCATGAGAATGTTAGTCATAACCCCTGCCTCTTTGTCAGCCTCATGCATCCTCATGCATGCACCTCTCTACATCAAGTGATTCCCAGTGTTCCGCCTCCCTTCTTCAAGGTAGGGCTTATGCCAGTCAATTTGGCGCATCCGATGAAGTTGCTACCTTCTGGAGCCTTGCATTGAGCTCTTCCATGACTTCTTGAAGCACTACAGAGGATGCTTCTCTACATGATTGGCGTACCTTTGCGAGAGAAGACTCAACCAAAGTGCCAACAGAGGTTTGAATTGAGGGTCCTGCCTTCATTTCACTTATGAAATTGAAGAATGTTTCCTGGGTTGCTTGTTTTGACAGGTCAAATACACTCTGATGGAAGTGTGGCAGTAGTATTGTTGACATTGCTCTCATTTCTTCCTCAACAATCACCCGCTTGTCCTGTGTGAGGTTCACAGCTGCTTCATTGACCCTGCTTAGGGCCGCTGACAAGCCTGGTGGAATCGTCTCACTTCCTTGTTGTGCATTCCCAAGAGAGAAACTTAGGTTTGTAGTGTCGGAGTGGACTATGAGTGAGCAGGGTGTAGGTTGGTCAGCACGTGATCTATTGTTGAACAACATTATCCCCAAACATAGAGTTCCCAGGGCAGTGACAATTTCAAGCTGGCTTTCAGTCATGTTAGTGGATGATTTGAATGTCAAGTTGTTGAACAGATTTTGATGGGTTATGGAAAGGTATTTATAATTTCAAGTTTTTGCCACCCATTCACAATGATGTCATCACACTACCCTCTCCCTTTTGCCTCTAGCACAAAGGGTTTGACATAGCTTTTCTGGTTATCCGCCTTGATCGGACGACGGGAAGGAGCCGCGCGAGCCTCTAGAAATCGGTACGTGAAATTCATGATGTCATCTTCACGTTTTTCTCACAGTCTAATAACTCTGATTTCGTCTAAATTCTGCACAGGTCGCTTGGTAACCGTTTTAGGACTCGGCTACCCGGCCACTCGGTGTACAGTAGGTCTCTTCACTTGATCCGACCGCTCGACGTCCGATCAGCTCGTATCGAACTAGAAATCCTGAAAGCGGACGGATCATCATGTCTGGACCGTCCGTCATGCGATCCATCGTAACCCTCTCAATCTTACCCCCCCCCGTCCGATGCTTCCCGAAAGAAACCATGCATCCTAAGTAGCATACTTTGGCTTGAAACTCAACATTGGCCAGATCTTGAAAGCTTCAGGATCTGAAGGTTTCGGTTTTGGTTTTCTTTTTCCACAACATGCTTCCCAACATGTACCCTTTCCGCCTTTCTTTCGATAGTCGTAGTATCTCCACCAGAAGTAGAGCAAGACCTGAAAGTGAGCTTTCCCCATATTCTCAATCTTGCTATGAAGTCTCCAATCCTCCCCATCTCTCCCCTTCCTCTTCGGCAACACATCCGTTCTACAATCGTATCATGATCTCCAACGACGAAGTGTCCTATCAATGGGTCGAGGTCTTTATAGAGGGTGAATGATTTTAATGGGAGAGAGAGGAGGGAAGAGGGAAGAACAAAGGATATTGAGGATTCGAAATACGACTTACAAGTCCCACCAAAGCTCCAATGATCCCACCGGCTATAGCACCAGGATTCGTAGCTCCTCCTCCATTCCCCACCGTCTGTCCTTGATTAGGAAACACACCAGATGGATTAATCCCAGTTGTCGTCGCCGTACCACTCCCACTCCCACTCCCACTCCCACTTCCACTCGATACGCTCACGAAATAATCCAAAGCGAGGAACAATCCATCAACCTGGTTTGTGATTTCCACTTGGTGCATTTCCTCCGATAAATGCGTGATGAAGAATAAAAGAGTGTCATAGGTGTTCATGGATGAACAAGCATTGTAAGTGCCAATTTGGTTGGAGTCGATGGTGATGGAGAATACGGAAAAGTCTGAGCCTGTGGGACCGAAGATATATAATGCAGAGCCTGGAAGTGAGCTTGATCGCGCTTCCTGTCCATTCTGAATCCATTACACCTCTTGATGAGGCGACTGAGACATGTAGTCTGAGATGGTTGAGATGTACTGAGCGAAGATGGGGTGCAGATGAGGCAGATTGGATGGCGAATATGATGACGATCCTTATGATGACCTACCTGAAAAAGGAAAAGAAGCGCTGGCGCCTTTGGAAGATGTATAGCTGACTGTATTCTGATAAAATTGTCCTTGGCTGATAGCCGGGAGAGTGGAGCTGGATGAAGTGGTTGATTGCCATTCGGAATATTGAACGAGAGAACTTGAATCATCAAGTGTAGAGTTGATTCCTGTTCTATCTCGTCAGTTCATGTATGGTACATCATATGAAACACAACATCAGAGAGCAAGAAAAGGAAGTGAACATCTCTGGTGTAGGACGACTTTCATGTGGATAATGATATAGAGGCATCGGTGTAAGTAAGACAGAAAAGAATTGACGGTGTGGGAAAGGGGTAGGAGTGAGGGATTAGTGTCAATTGATTCGTCTACTTACCCAGAAGAAACAACAGCAGTACTCAATATCGCTCCCATCAATTCGAACGGTTGTCCTCCTCCATTCCCCTGTGTAGCTTCTAATCTAGAGGAATGACTAGCCCAAGTAGTTTGTAACATTCCATTCGAGTTGGTACTGAGACTTCCATCCAAACCTACTTGTACCGTCCATGTTGCTGGAGAAGTGAAAATCCATTGAATCGAGGTGACTGTTGTCAGCTTGATGTGACATGTGGCACAAAATGAAACATCAATTCCTCCACCATTCTAATTCCTCTTACGACGTCACCGTTACTACCAAATGAGTTGATACAGGCTTACCAACGCATAAGATGGATATGTGTAGTGAGGATAAAGATAAGAAGAGAGACTCACAAAAGACAGCATCAATCTCCACACCATAAGTCACGCCACCATCCATACATTGACTCCCACCTCCTTGAGAAATCACCCAACCTCCTTCATTATTCCTTCCTGGAGAATATGAAAGTAAAGGTGAAGCAGCACCTATATAAACCAAAATCTGTTCTGTTGTTGTTGTTGTCGTCATTCTCTCTTTCTCCTATCACTTTCACGTTTACTTCCTCTATCTCCTCTTTTCCCTTCCTCTATCACCTTATTTCCTTTCCTCTTTACGACTTTCCCCAACTCGTACACTCCTCACTCGAATCCCGTTTCGGATTACCGACACACGTCTACTCTACTGTTGTTTTGAAACTCGAGAGAGGGACCTCGTTTCATATACCGAGTCTGTTATCAATAGCACTGAATGACGTGACGTGAAGTTGACGATAAACGAAACGATGGTGTTATCTTTCGGTCCAGGCCTTGAACAGATCTGACAAAAATAAAAGCTGTGTCCAACACACTGATTTGTTCACCCTTCTTTTTTGTGACTTGTTGGGAAAAAAACTCTCGTTTGTCAAGATTGATCCCTTGAGAAAATCCTGTCCCTCACTCCTCCTGACGTGTCTCACACGGTATGTAGACGTATCACACCAACTTTGTAAACGTTTGAACTCCCTTACCGCACTCGTTTGTCTTCAATAAACAAATGTATCACCGTCACCGTCAAACATTGTCCGGTTTAACAAAGTACCCGAGGTCGGTCGTCCTAAACACGTCACATAGTAAAATGGACAAAGGGGATAGAATCGAATTGAGGAGGAATGAAAGGAAGGGAGAAGATGTGACGCGAGGGCGAAAGAGGAGAGAAAGGGTGGAATTCTCCAGTAAGATATAATATGAAAGGATGGTATAAGATGACTGGGGACCCCGGGTTTGTGTGGATTGCCAGAGGAAGGGGATATAAAGAGGGAGGAAGAGGATGAGAACGACAATAACCGACATTTGACAATTTTGAGAATTTTTTTCCAACTTCAACAAAGACTTATTGAATTGATTTTGAGAAGCGAGTGACATAACATATGTGAGTGTAGGCTACGAGATAGTCATCTTTGATTCATATAATATCCTCTATGTCAGATCTGGCTCGAGATGGCGATCACTTTGCGTGGGAAAGATGAGAGTAGGATCGGCTGTGGCAAGGAGGAATGAGTGGCAAAGATGGACGAAAGTCATGAGCAACTTGTGAAGGGTAAGATGAATTGGAGACCGTGTGAGAGTTAAGAAGAGTAGTGAGATGACGAGAAAAGCGAAGTGAGAAGAAAGATCGACTGACTCACAGAATGTACGTCGCCGCCAACCCACTATTACTCAGCTCAGCTTACGCTGCTTATCCCTCGTATTGGGGATCATACAACCGTTGGGGACGATACGGTTATGGACCAGGCTACGGTCTCGGTTGGGGTTCCAGTTGGTATAATCCCTACATGATGGGATATTGGTAATTGAGGTCTCATCGATATCGCATGATTCCACGATCACAAGAACTTACTAATGATGAAGATTTGTGAGGGGAAAGGGGGGGTTTGTCTGTGAATATGACTCGATGTCAATTTGAAGGATCGGGAGTAATGCCGTTGAGTAATTGAAGGTTTTGAAGGGATGAGAAGCGATTGAGGGGAAAGAGGGAAAGAAGTCAAAAATTGTTAAAACATTGTATTATTATTTTGTAACAAGTCAGTTGTCTCGGATGTATCTACATATCAATTCATCACTTTTTTCTGACGTCAGTATCTCCAAAGATTCAGTGCATTTCTCTCGATTCGGCCCCCCTTCATCTCTCTAGCCAGCCACGCAATTGTTGCAAACACACGCCCAACCATTTATATACTGCGCAACTTCGTCATCCGTCCTTGTGAACGACTGCCAGAGAGAGATTGTAAGAAAGATGAACGAGCAACCCGAAGGTGGAAGAGTAGAGCAACGAGATGAATATATGAGAGTGAGATGAGGTTTGAGAGATGAGGAGGTACCGGCCGCGTTTTACGCCGCAGCGACCATGGCAAAACTCCCATAAAGAGCTTTGCGCACATCGAAATAAACCTTCCCGACCGTTCCTTCCAACACGATCTCCCCAGTGCCCACTTTCCTCACAGCCACCAAACTCCCCGCTTTCGCCGTCTCAGGAGTACTTACCCCAGGTCCACAAACCAACACACCTTCACCTGCGAATTCTGCAGGTATGTTCAATGATGCCAATTTGTTCTTCAAGACAGCTAATCGGAGATCCCCCACAAATAAACTAGTAGGGAGCGGTACTGCAGTTTGCACATTTCTAGTGGGTTTCTGAGTGATTTCTTGTGGTGTTGGATCGATAGGTTCAGCTTTGACCGTCATTTCGATATCCTCACTTAATTCTTGCCCGGTTACAGGTTGAACTTCCTGGGTTGAGTCTGGGAGGGTCGTGTTGTCATCTTTCGAAGGATCGATTTCTAGTTTCGGAGCAGGTTCGATTACTGCATTTGAAGTTTCGAGATGTGGGACTGTAGATCCTGCAGAAAAAGCAATCTTGCCATCTACCATGGTGATTTCAAATCCTTCGAACTACTCGTCAGATGGGAAGAGAGGGTGGAAAACAGACTGACCTTGGACCATTTTCCAGCGAGAGAAGCGGAGATGCTATCTCCTAATATGAGCGAATATGATTGCACGTGTTCACCTATTCTTAAAGTCTGATAGAGTGCGGGAATATGAATGTCATGTGTGATAAGTGAAGCTGAACGGAAGTAGTCGAGAAGATTTTCTGTGGCTTGTGGTGTGGATCGAACAATTATGATTTTTCGAGGTTGAAGATCTGTTATTACAGTTTTGAGAGCTTGTCCATCTAATTGACCGTCCATATCGACAAAGAAAACATAGGCGTGGAGCTCTACCGTCTTGATCTCGGTGACGTATTTCGAGGGAGGTTCAGGTGCGTCTTGCTAAGGAGAATGTCAGCTTCGCCCTTACACATGATTCTCTCACTGTTTGGGGCAATGGAACTCTGAAATATCCTTAGAGATGGGAACGGTCGCGACGAGTAGGAAATGGGATAGTGTTGGAAAATAAAAAGATTCACGTGTTTCTCCTCGTCCATCTCTTTCCTTCTCTTCGCCTCTCTCACTTCCTCTGTCTCTCCCTCTTCCTCAATCTCTTTGCCTTTTCGCACCCATTGTCCAATATCCAAACCTTCACCATAATCATCAATCTTCCTTCCTCTTCTTTCCAGAAAAGGGAACATTCGGAAACGTGCCATACCACCTTCTGTTCCTCTCCCAGTCCGCATTTGCTGACCCTTGACGAAAATATCAAACGACATGGTCCGCACATCTTCACCATCCCCAGCATAGGCATTAGCGCCTTCAGCGCGATTTCGAACCAGTCCTCCGGTTGCAGCGTCTAAAGATTCGGTATCAGAATCGGAGTCAGATTCCAGATCGTCGGCTTCGAGCATACGCTCGGATCGGTTGAGAGCCGCCTGATGTGCCGCTTCACGCTCTTTCTCCAGACGCTCAGCTTCTACATGGGCTTCAAGTTCGGCACCAATCAATGGGACTTTCGAGTTGAGCTGGGAGTCAGTCAGCCACCAGCACATTCCGTAACTAGTTTCAGAACCACGAGGTGGAACCAAGTCAGAATGACGAGCAGAAGCAACCAAAAAAAGATGGGGAGGGGGAAGCGTTGACACACCTCTACTGTCATGCTTCCATCTAGACGATGCAATTTCCCAATCTTCCCTTCACCCCATTTACACCCAGAAGGTTGGCTTTTTTCCCACTCGTTATACAAGTCCCGCGCCAGAGACTGATCCTGTCCCGTGGAAGTCAGCAGTATCACATTTCCCTCCACGCTGCCCATCGCTGTGAAGAGCCATCGACTCGGACCATGATTCATAGCGGGCGGAATGGCCAAGACCAGCTTCGGTCTGTTCAGTCCGAGTCCTTGCAGTAAATCCATAGGCGAGGCAAAGAAACGGACATGTCTTCGAGTTAGCAAAATTCCACTCCGATGTATTCAGCTCACCTGAAGTCAAGCAGTCCATACTCTGAGTTTCCCAAACCGATGGGCTTTCTTCTCCCTTTTTTGCCTCCAGTTGGAAGATCATCGACGACTTCCTCTCCACCTGCCTCTCTAACGATCCCGCCCATCCATTCTATCAGACTTCGAGCAAAGGAAGCCATGTCATGCCCCGTCCGACTGACAAGACAGAGAGGGTACGGCCACTGTCGTTCGGCTTCTTCTTTAGGAACGTAGAGATGGTTTCTCTTTTCAGGGGGAATCTGCTTGAAAGTCCAATGTTGATCGAACAGTATCAAAAGCTCTAGTAGCCGAGGGGACGGGTCGACGGGCATCAATACAGATCTGGAAGCTTCAAGTGTGGACGAGACAACATCTAAGCCTTAGTCTTCGATTCAGAGTGGGCGGGTAGAATTACGAACCTATCAAAGCTGTTTCTCTCTCTCGACGTTTTGGATTGACAACAGTGGCTCTGCTACCTTCCACAATGAGCAAGTCAGGTCTAAGAACTCCTTCTTCATAACCTGAAGGACCTCCTTGCCCTACGTGGATCAGCTAACCGGTCGAGCTGATGAGACTCCACCCACCGCTGACCATACCATCCAGATGTCTTTCACCTGTGTGATTCATTCCAACAGCGTAGAGCACTGTCCCACTGGTGGGTGAACGGATCTTGAACAGAGTCCCTCCTAGCGTGTGTCCACTCCGAAACGGAGTGAGCAACAGATGTGACAGACCGCCTGCGTCGTGAGCTTGTCAATGCTGCGTCAGGGACTGAGCTCACCATCGAGATGGAGTGGTTGATTGTAACGGACAGCTTTGATCCAGTCAAACGCCTCATGCACCTCTTCCACGGTGGGTACGAACGGTCCTCTGAGTGGTTGTTTCCCTTTATCCGGGGATCCACCTGACGAGTGGTTTGCGGAATGATCCGATGTGTCGTCCACAGCATGTTCGGAGCGCCAAGAATACACCTCGGAAAGACAAACCACGCGACCCATCTCGACGGTGGGTTGAGTAGCATATACTGGACATTGAAGACCCCATCTGGCCCTAGCAAACGGATACAGTGAGAGGTATCGGGTTTGAGAGTGAGACAAGAGTACGAGCGAGAGGGTGGGAGCGAGTCTGTTTGAAAGTGGGGCGTCAGCTGAGGCATCGAGTGTTGGTCAAAAAGAAAAAGAGGCTCACTCGCGGACTTTGTTCTCGTATTCGTATGAAGAGTGTGAGGAGGCAGCAGTGTAGTCACTCTGACCCATGTCCAGCAGTATACGGGCGTCATCCACCTCGAGGAGGTAGCATAATGGTTCGGAGGTGGAGGATGAAGTGGCCGAAGAGCTCAGGGGAGTGAGGGTGATCATTGTGTGGTATTGGAATGGTGTCGGGCCCGAGAGATGGTATGGTGAGAGAGTATGATCACAGAAACGGCGATAGTAACGATCAAAGCGAGAGTAAGCTCATGGGTACAGAGTGTATCTCATGTAAAAGGGGGTAGGAGGAGAGCAAGAGGAGTTGTACAAGGAAGCAAGGAAGCAAGGAAGGGAAAAAGTGATTATTTGATTATTTTGGTTAAGTTGAAACAGCATCGCTTCCACCCACCCCCTTAAATACTTTGCCTTCCCTTCCACCTCATCACCATACACACTCGTCATCCCTACAGCACCTCAACTGCATACCCTCACACCCTGCATTCCCTCTTTATATACCGTGGTCATGGTCACTCTGTGATACATATCCTCCCTCGCCACTCCGTTCACTCACTTGTTCACCTCCATCATGGCTTCTCCAACACGCTACTACGCTTCCACCCCAAAAACTTCTTCTCGTCCTTCCTCTCGTTCCACCTCCCCTGTCAAGGCCGCCGACGTTCGCTCTCAGGCCATAGCCAAGCTGAAGAGAGCCGCTTCTACCTCTCGTCAGCCTAACGGGCGTAGGCAGGGTGACTCCCCCTCCCGCAATCCAGATCAAGTCGAGTTTCAATACGCCAGCATCGATCCAGGCCCATCTAGATATGCAGACGCCGAGCAGCAACCTCGTATCGAACAACCTCAATCATATGAGCAGCAACACCAACATCATCATCAAGTAGAGTACGACCAGCATCAGCATCATCATGAAAACTCTCCAATTTACAATCAACCCCAACAACATCATCATGGCGACGTTGAACTTCTCTCACCTTCCCCCACCATGCCTGCCTTTACCCAACTCTTCCCGCAGCATCAATACCAAATGATGCAGCGTTCTCTCTCGGCTTCTTCGCCGTTTCACTTACCAACTCCAGTACATGTGCCCTATGGTCAGCCTCTTGTTTCGCCGTTCACACCTTCCCCTGATTGGGCAGCGATGCAGCTCGCACAGTCTTACATTCCCTCGCTTTCCCCATCAGCCGCCGCCTTTCCCGGATCAGGGCGTAACACTCCCAGTCCACTGCCGACACTTGGTGAGCTGAGGAACCTCCAACGATCCAACTCGGCAGCAGCGAGAGCTCAGGCGATGTCGAAACTTACAGGCGGGAGGGACACACCGCAGGAATCGGATGATGATCAGGCTCTCGTTGCCGGACCTTCGGGTCTACAGCGAGCAGGAACCGTCGGTGCACCGAGGACTTTTGCAGACATAATCTCCAGACGGCAGGTCGAGCAGACTGAACCAGAGCCAAAAAGAGAACAGGAAATTACATCCGAAGAACAGCCTCTGGAGTTCGGTCCGAGACCGAGAATACATCGAAGCTTCACCGTATCATCCACCAACATGGGAGAAGAGAGGCGAAGCGCAGTGGGGAGAAGAATGGTTCTCCGCTTGGCAAACCGCCAAGCTGCGCGAGAAAAGGAAGAAGCTGAAGTGAGGCAATTATGGGAACAAAGACGTGCGGAACCAGGACAACAAGCGACGTTCAATGCCGATGTTACGCCCCCTGAAGACGACGACGAGGATGATCCAGTGTTGGAGCGTCCTTCGACAGCTCGACCGAATGAAGATCATCTGACTGTCGATGCCTCCTCTCGCGAAGACCCGAATACTTTACAGATCGACCGACCTGCGTCCAGAGGTACGATGCGATCGGCAGATGAAGCCTTTGAATATGAAGCTCATCTAAGGAGAAGTTTGTCGAGTAGAACAGCACGCGGTGCAATGGGAGCGGTGCCAGAGCCTCAGATCCACGCCCAAGCACTGCCAGTCATTTCCATGCAGTCCGAGAGCCTCGAACAATTGCATACTCCCGATTTCCCTGAAGTCAAAGAGTCGGCACCGCTCTTTTCTCCATCGATTCATACACCAATCAAAGGAACGACTGCCCAGGCCGCAGTGGGCGGAGCCATATCTCCCACTGGGACGGATGGGACTGTTCCAGGACAATCGCCTGGCGGTGACTCGACACCAGCCAGAGATGCGTTAAACTCGATGATGTTCGTCATGGGTCGTGGATCGAGTGGCGTGCCCGCCGCCCATCGAAGTGGTGATAACTTTCCCATGGAGGTGGGCGATAATGGGAGTAGTGATTGGGGTACTCCTGCAAAGGAGTTGCATCGTGAGTCACTCTCTCCTTTTCCGAGTTGATGGATCAATGTTGGACGGTGCCTTTCGTGACCTCTGATTCCCATTGATGAGCGGTTCACGCATCTGTATTTCAATTGGAAATAAGCTGATGAGATAGCCCCCACATTTGCAGAATCTCCTCAACGCTCACCACTTGCCCCATATGCCTCCCGTCAGACCTCCTCTGGAGGCACGGACGAGCTTGAAGCCCCTTCCATCTCTCCCCGACACAGTGGAGGATCTTGGGTGGATCTGGTCGGGACAAGTTCTCAAGTCCCCTCTGATCCAAATTCACAACACAAACATAATCAGTCCGTATCTTCCAAGTTTCGATCAGCCATACGTCGTAAACGCTCTCAATCACATTCATCATCAGTGTCCAGAAGTCCCCCAACCAGTCCTAAAATCCTCACTGATGGACTCAACATCGTCAAGACGTTTTCCCGTAGGGGATCAAGTTCTTCCATGTCACCTTCGACCAGCACAGCTCCCTCTGCATCTAGAAACTCGCCAATGTTACCTGCCGGTCATGAACGTTCACCATCCCATCAGCCAAGTATGAGTAGTTTATCGGCCACTGCCTCCACTGCCGCTCACGAACTACCTGATTCCGCCAACAGTGCTTTGATCCAACATCAACTTTCTGTCGATCATCTTCAAAGTCACCGAGGATTTATGCCCCGTGCTGATCTGAGTGATCATCGTATAAATGCCAAACTTTCCCCATTCCCAGGTTTCGCTCAACTGGAGGAGAACGTACGTCATGGCGCAGGGGGCATGGAGGCTCCCAAATTATTGCATTTGGCAAGTGATTCTGCCATCCCTTCTCAACAACGAACTCAAGCCGAAGCATCGATTTACAACATTCCACTCTCACATCCTGAAGATCATAAACGTGGTTCTGCAGATTCAGCCTCCCGTCGTGGTTGGTTAGCCAAGGCTTTTGGACAAGTCTCACCCAGGAATTCCGGGGGCGTGTCGAGAAAATCCAGTAATCCTGATATTCACGATCGATCCCCTCGATCCGCTGAATCGCCTCTGTGGAACTTTGAGTCGGATCCTTTTGCACCGCCCCCTCCTCCCCCGGCTGTACCTGCAAGAATGGGACGAAAGGGTTCTGCGTCACCTGCAGTTTCTACTGTTCCGGAAGGAAGTGAAGATGGAAGTCGTATGACGAGGTTCACCGCCAAAGTAGAACTACCACAATCGCTCCAGGAAGAGAAAGAGTCTTTCAAGACACATGAGGAGGAATCCAGAGGTCTGCCACCGAAAGGTGCCGAAGTCTTGAAAAGGATGGATGATTTGTTGGCCTTAGAGGCTGATGACCCTGCTCGACCAGATATCTTAGATGATCCTCCGAGAAAGTTGTTATTATCTGGGCAAGTTTTGCAGGTTGTCAACTCCAACGTGACTTGTTTCCGTCTTCATTCGATTGCAAAAGCTGATTACAGACCGCCAAAGATCGCTACTTATTCCTCTTCAACGATATTTTGGTCATCACCAAACCACTTTTGTCCACTTCTTTGGTCGCTAATCTCGATATGAAATTCATTGTCAAACATGTCGTCCCTCTTTATTCCCTTCAAGTCTCTTCTTTCTCTGACCCACCCGTTGGACCTGAACGTCATGCTGTCGTGGAAAGATTTATCAATCATTTTTCTGAGGATCCCATCATGGCATGTAATTATCTCATCGAACGATCAAACCCCCGTGTGGATACTATGGCATTGGCAAGTTTGATTTTCAAAACTCCTGAACTTGACAAGACCCAACTTGGTATTCTTCTCTCTAAAAACGAATCATTAAGAAATCATTACATCGATCGATTTCATTTCACCAATATCAGACTTGATGAAGCTCTACGAATGTTATTACTCTCTATCCGATTACCAAGTGATATGCTATCATCTGAAGAATTACTTCGTTGTTTCTCTTATCGATATCATCTATCGAACCGACAAAACTTTACATTCTCTCAAGAATTAACATACGAATTGGTATTATCAATGATGCAATTGAACGACGCAATCTATTCAACATTCGGATTCGCTTTACCTAATCATTCGATAACTCGAGATGTTTTCATTTCAGCCTTCAGATCAAAAGATCGTCATTCTTCAATACCAGAAACGCTTTTGATAGAAATGTACGGTTCGATAAGACATTCTTCACTTTTAAATTCATTATCAAAAGATCAATCTTCTCATTTAAGACAAATCAACATGATACCAAATCGATTACCAACAAAATTATCATTCAACATTTGGTCGGATACGATTCGTATCATTATCCCTCAACCAGATCCTAATTTTAAAATCAAATTATATGGAGAAGGAATAGAATTCGATCCACCTTTACTTGATTTCTCTTCTTCTTCAGAAATGACTTTTCGTATCAAAGGGATTTCATTAGGTCCAAAAACTTTGTTATTCCAAAGAAAAGGTCAAAATGCAATGTTATATGAAGGAATAGGTAACGGAAAGACGATAATGGTTGAAAGATCATTCATGAAACATACTTTTCAAATTTCTTTCTTAGGGAATCAAGGAAGTAAGAGGAAATATTGTTTTTCAGTACAAGATAATTCTATTAGGGAAAAATGGGGTGGATTGTTATTGAAACAAATTGGAATGAATAGAAAAAGTAGGAATTTAAAAATTGAAAATCATAGAGAAAAGATTAAACAAGTTGCGGAAAATGTTAGTTTACAAGTTTTGAAAGATGCTTTGATACCTCTTGAAACTATCACTCCATTTTTAAATTCTTCCCAACCTAGACCTTCTCTTCCTAATCATCTTAGTCAATCCAATCAAATTAATCAAGTCATTCAATCAATTCAATCCAATCAACCTTTTCAACAAAACCAATCGAACATTTCATCTCAAAACGCAGATTTCATCGAGAAACAATCATCACAATCAATTTCTACGATGAACGACAAGAAAACAAGATCAGGTAGTATAAGCGCAGCTTATTCTGTCCATGGTGGTCAGGCTGAAAAATCATTAGGACCATTGAAACCTTCTGGTACACAAATTGATGAAGAGGTCAAAAACGGTTTGATAAATTGTCAAACTGGTAAAGAAATGGTCTTACTTTGTAGACAAAATAGTTTGTTACCTGGTTTATTGGAATTGTTACAAGTTGGAAGAGAAGGATTGATTAGGAATGATGAGAACCATGAAACTTTGATTGATCATGGATCGAATGGAATTGAGATCAATGGGTTGATAGGAAATGGTTTGTCGGAAAATGGGTTTGTAGCGAATGGAGAAGAAGAAGAAAGTTGGGAGAGAAAAAGTCATACGAAACAGAAATCTTTTGGTGTGATATGATTATGATAATGTTATGTATCAGAAGGAAAAAAATATGAAATGATGAACATTATGAGAAACGGGAACAGAAACGGAAACGGAAAAGAAAAAGATGCATGTTCATGATTCCTTCCTTCCTTCCTCTCGAATAATCCATTTTGACATGATTCCGTTGGATGATACTCTTCTTGAACATACAATTCCCACGTATCCATTTCTACAAAGGATCACTGATTACCGTTTCACACCTGTGAACTTTTATCTACATCTTGTGGCGTTTGGGAAAAGAGAGAGAGGATCATCGTTGAGAATACTGCAATACGAAAGATGGAGTTGAGGGGAAGACATGATATCTCACTTGTGTTGTAAGGGTGAATGTGATAGAAACCTTTGGATTGATACTACGATTGTAGAAAGAAGTCAGACTTTAGAAAAAAGCCACAGTGTGTGATAATGTATGTGGATGTTTATCCGAATGAAGTTGAAGTATCGTGTCGATCTCTTCGTCTAGATCTGAAGCTGCTTCGATCTATTCCTCAGCCACTCGTTCGCGGCCACGAATCCATGTTTATAAATATTTCTCCACCACTCGTTCACGGCCACGAATCCATGCTTATATATGTTTCTCAATCATTCGTTCACGGCCACGAATCCATATTCACATAGACACAGAAGGTAGGATGAGATTCGACGAGGAAAGAATACCACAGGAGTTGATGATGTGAAATACGAAATATATATTTATCACTCACTGATCTGGCTAATTCAAGTATACTTTGACCAGCTATCAATGCTTCTTCGGGATTATCTTTGATTTCGACATTTATCACATGAATAGGACGATTGTATTCCCCTCCTCTTGCGTAGAGATCTGAAAGTAAGATTCATCTCTACACTTTTGTCACCGCTTTTTCTCTTTTGCAACCAAGCCAGCGTGTCAACTCCCCATTTCACATTTTGTTTACTTTCTTTCATCGAGTACACCCCAATTCACCCAAAGCTCGTAGGGACTTTGGAAGTCTTGGGGATGTGTGGTTTCTCATTGTGATCTCATCAGTTCCCCGTGAATGGTGCAAACTGAGGAATGAACGGAATGTGAGACGTTCCTCTGTGGAACACTTCTGCCATCGAAGGGGAAAAGAAGAGAAGATTAGATTTCTCACTCACCATCACATACAGCATCGAAACATCTCTCCTCACACGTAATCACCACATCAGCCAATACAGCCTTTTGCTCTTGCCATTTCTCCGGAGCAGTCTTGACTTTTCGATTACGGTCAAGCATCGGTAACAGACCATTCCGTGTGTATCTATCATGAGCATAAGTCAGTTTGCATCTACTTTAGCATGCTCGCGGAATTGTAGAGATGAAGAGGAACAAATCTGGAGATTAAAAAATAAAACTCACAATGCACGATCTTTACTATCTAAATCCCTGTAGATCACATCGTACGGAGTACCAAAACGATAAACGTTTGGTTTATCAATCGCTGGTCCTGGTAATCTGACGGCGGAACCTGTACCTGCCGATATGACTCTGAACGATGCTTTGCTATATGGTTAACAACATTGGTCTGCATCATTTGGTAGGTGGATTTCCACATGAGGAATCTGACGAGAGAGAGAGAGAGAGAGAGAGGAGGGTTCGAGGAGTTGCATGGAAAGTGACAAACCTCAATACCATATGTGCTTCCATCGAACGATTCTTCTCCGTCAGCTCAAACGATTCATGACACCAAGTGAAGCAGATATCTCACGTTATTGCTAGCGCACACCACGCAGAACAAAGGTCTATTCTTCCCCTTCCCGGTTGTTCCATTCCCCATGTCCATCGTCTCTCCCTGAGACGGTCTAGAAGGGACACTTGACGCTGGTGTCGAGGTGAGCAAAGGCGGTGGGGTAGAAGTAGCGACGTATGAATCCGTGGGTCTCCGACGAGGGTCAGCGGCGTTTGTCATCAGTCGAGGGTCATGTATGCCGGGCGCTGGTAAACCCGGTGCTCTCGTGATGTGAGAAGTCCCTCCATTGGTGGTGGATTGAGAAAGTGGAGTAGGGTTATAAGATTGTTGAGGTCGCATAGGGTTGGAATAGGCATTGTAAGGTGATTGTAGAGAATCTGGAAGAGGATTGTTTTGAGGGAAGGGGGGATAAGGAGGAGGACGAGCGGGGAATGGTTGTGGTGGAAGTGCGGCGCTGGGAGGCGGAGGACGGAAAGAACGTCGACGAGGGTCCATGATGGAGGTTGATGCTAGCTGCTCGCTGGTGTCCTGTGAGAGCGAGAAGGGTTAATGTTCCAAATGATATGATGAAATGAGATGTGAAGGAGAAAAGAGAAACACGAGAAAAGATGCGAAGGAAATTCCATCAAATCGACTTTGTTTTCAGGAATTTCATCACCTTCTCTTCTCATTCTTGATACATATATCTTATCCTCTCCCATCTCCATCAAGGTGACCAGAAGGTCAGCAAACAGCCTGCAAGTATCTCATGATCTACACCACCCACTAGAAAGTCTGACTTCTTCGTCATGCCAGTCGGGTACATCCCCTACACCCTCGCTCATGCTTATCTACCACCTCCCCCCTCTCCCCCTTCCTCAATTCCCGAACTTCGCGTACCCACCTCCAGACCTTATCCCTCAACCTCTGAAGCCTATTCGACACCTCTACATCCTGAACATGCCACCTCGGCCATCCGAGATCCTATCACTGGTCTTCTCGCTCGATCCATCGTCAACGGTCTCGTCTTAGAACTTCGTAATTTGGATCTGTACATCAACCAGGATCACGAATCAAGCGGTGCGGAAACAATTCGAATTTTCTTTCCAGAACCTCTTCGACCGCTCACGGAAAATTGTATAATCCCACAGGTTCACGATGGTGTGTTACACGTTCTGGTGGTCTCACAGGCCAATGTGATATATCGCTTGTCCTTCGGAATGGGCGGGTCGAGAGTGGGAAAAGGTAGTAGAGTATCATTCGATCTTCGGAACACCGACGAATGGTGTGAGGAATATGTGGTACCTGATGAGACTGTAGCTTCTTGTGGTGGCATCGGAGCCTGGATAGCTATCGATGAGGATGAAGTAGTGTTGGGTTGCGGGGATGGAGGGATAATTCGATGTTCTCGAAGTCGTCGGTGGGCGAAGGGTACGTCTTTCTCCTCTCATCTCTCCAAAGTGATTCTTCTGACTGGTAGATGAAGCTACATGGACGGCAGTTCATCATAGAGCATCTTCAAGATTACGTCTACCTTCCATATTCTCACGCTCTGCCGCAAGTGAAGAACAGGTCATATCTTTCGCACGATTCGATACTAGCGCAAATACGACACTGTACGCTGTCTCACGAGATCAAAAGCTTCGAGTATGGACCACATCCGGGTCTTTGTTGAAGACTATTGACCTTCGTACAACTCTCAACTCTTCTCAGGAGTTGATACTACGTAGTCATCAGAACGCCGCAAGTACTATATCGACCAATACATCTGAAACTGATCTTATACCCTTGATCCGTGTCGTGCAACATCCCTCCAAGTCATCTCGCTACTCCCATCTGGTGGTCGTATTCGTTGAAACCCCTCACAATTCTTCATCCGGAACTTTTGTCGTTTATCGCGCGTCGGGGACTGATTTAAACTTCGCTGGTGATCGCCCAACATCCACCCATTCTGCCAAAGCCCAATTACGAAGTTTCGAAATCCTGCCTCCATCACCATTAGAAGGCTTCGCAGGATGGCGTCTTTTTGTCTCGTGGGATCTTAATGGATCTTTACTGGCAGAGACGATTTTGATGGATGATCTCTTCCAATTTACGACTTATCATGAACCGCCATTTACTTCACCACTGGAATCATGGCAGATTTGTCATTCCCACAACAACGTCGATTCGTTTGATCCTGCTTACTTCGACAACATCCTCTCGCTCGATCCCCCAAATCCACAAGAGCCTTACGAAAATCAAGATATCTCTCAAACATTTCTTTCACATCTTTTCTATCCTGGACGTTTCTCCATCCTCACTCTCCAAACCGCTCTCGAGGAATACATATATCATCTAAGTGACCGCCACGCTAGACCAGAGATCCTCGCTGCTTACCCCACCCTCCCACAGAAGTACATCACAATTGTTGGATGTACTGTAGAGATGGAACTGAGTCCTCAAACTGGTGCTCCTATCGTCGATATCTATCGACGTGATGTGAAGCTAGAATGGCTTGGTGTATGGGCAAGAGTTCGGGATTTGGACAAACATGCCTCATGGCCACTCTCCACGACTATGCTACACAATCAGCCCGTCGTGCTGACTCGCGAGGGAGTGAAGGCTTTGATATCGGAGGATGTAGGATCACTTGTCGATCGCCTAGGCTCCTCTTTTGAGGAAAGCCACGTAATAGCAAGTATGACGGACGGGTCCTTCAAAATGACCTTACCTATCTTGGCTTATCCGGAAGCTCGGAGAGGGATCCTGGCAGTGTCCCTAGCTGGGACTTCTATCTCCCAAGTGCTTCAACAAGAACAACCTGATTTCGAAACATCACCTATCACAGCATTATGGGAAGATCTCAGTACTGTTCTCGCTGCTGGGTTTCAAGAACCTCCTGAAATTCTATCGGGTCGGATGTGGGATGACTATCTCGACCCATGTTTGACTGAAGAAGATCGGAATACTCTCCGACGTATATTGTCCGATACATCTTCACCTGTTCGAGCACTTAATTCGACACTTGATATCTTATCTGATTTCATCATTCCAGGACAGTCATCCTCACTCGACGCACTATCTTTCTCGGGTTTAGGAAATAGTCTCATCTCTTCCATTCTTCAATCTACCATTATAGCCAGATATTCTTTGGCATGCAAGATCATCCTCGTTTCTCTCTTCCATCTCTCCGAATCTCCTGATCCGTCAACTGAAGACGACGACGCTGAGGAATTAGTCCATCTCCTCACTCGGGGGTTGGTTGCCTGGCATCGATATCATATTCTCAAATTCTTAGTTGAACAAACGTCCCAAGAAGCTATCGAAAGAGCCTGGTCGAGGAAGAGTAAAAGCAAAACAACAAGAGATGTCTTGTCAGAAGGATTCGGAGGTTTGAAAATGCAAGATGAACCTTTGACGCAAACCGATTCTGACGGTTATCCCACTGAAGGATCTTTGATACATTCTTTACTGGCCGATTTGTTAAGGGTGACTCCCTCGGATGGTGGTATCAGACAAGGAGTGATGGATTTCTTGAATGGTACGAAAGTGTTAGAAGAGGGACAAGTGGAGTTAGAACCTGGGATAGGAGATTATAGGTTGGTTTATGCTATTTGTGTTGATGGACATCCCGCTTTGGCAAAAGAGATGATAGAGATGTGGCCTAAAGCAGCGAGCTTGATTTATGTAAAAGCCAATGCCTCTGTGGCTCTTGGAGAAATTGATGAGGCTGTGAGGTTTTTCGAACAAGCTGCGATATGGACAAGAGGTGCGTTCTTCTTTATTTCTCCCTTTCTCCTGCTTTCTTTCATCTTCACTTCAGACATACGTGCGTCTCCATGTCACGGGTGACTCACTGTTTGTATACCAACTTCAAGTGAATAAAGCCGACACAAATGAGATAAATGTGACGCGAGTGTAGGAACTGTCAACTAACATCAAGATCCATCCATCAAATACCATTCTCCAGTATATTACGGACCTCAAGGTTTAGCTACATATTACGATTCTGTTTCCAAGATCTTCGAACATCAACATGCTCATGTGGCTGTTGTACACTTTGGTCAATTATCGTTACAGAATGGCGTGTCGCTCAATTCAAACCCGAGGGAAATATGGACAAGGGTCTTTCTGGCAAACTTGGGTTTGGAGAGGTACGAAGATGCTTATAGTACCATGTTGTTCGCTCCTGGAGAATTGGGATTGTGAGTTGTTGATCATTTTCACCATTTTCCCAAGTCATCCTGTCTTCTGCATTCTGCCGCGTACTTTTGCCCCAGTTTGTCATCATCATTATCTGCTGCCCCCCCCCCCCCCCCTCTCTCTTTGCTATCCTCTTGAATACTACCTGGTCTTCATAGAAATAGAGACTTGCCCTTTGCGTCGCAAAACCTGACAATGATGAAATGCTGTGATTAGCAATCGAGGCCACGTGTATCAACACCAAGTGTCCAAGTAGCATTCAGACGAGCTACAGGGAATGGTCTGACCACTAGACGCCGAGACTTCCTCGGTCAACTCATTTCGGTCATGTGTGAAAACAACGAAGTTGGTCGTTTGACTGCACTCGGTTTTATAGGTTTGCAAAAAGAGGTGGAAGCTTTACTAGGGTTCAAAGCTCGTAATTCGGATCCATTGAGATTCCCGAATTACTACAAAGTGTTGTACAGTTGGCATATCTCTAGAGGAGATTATCGTAGTGGTCAGTTCCTCTCTGATTCAAAGTGATCGCAGCTGATAATTCAGCTGGGGAGATTATGTATCTACAAGGAAAACGATTAGGCGAGAGTCCGCCTGGGAAATTATCAGCTTTTGAAATGTCTGCTATGCAGGCTAGATCTTATTTGGCCGCTATGAACGCTTTGTCGTTGGTAGACAAGAAGAATGCTTGGATATCCTTTCAGAAGCAGCGTGAGGGGAAACGAGTGGGTACTTCATTTTGGAAACACGTGATATTGTCTGACTGATAGTTGAACAAACGACGGAAAACAACAGCTTATATCCCTGAAGAAGAATTCTCTCCTTCTCATAAACCTATCGACCTGATCACTCTGCCCGACATTCAGGCAGAATATTCTCTCGTCTTATCACAATTACGTCTATCGACTCAAATCAAAGATCTCAACCAACATGGAGTCTCGGTCTCTGCGGACGAAGCTGTTGGATTGTTGGTACAACGAGGTCTGTACGATCTAGCTCAAAACACAGCAAGTAGTATGGGGGTGGATATGACTGATCTGTTCCAATCTCTAGCAACGAGATGTGTTGAGTTATCTAGACAACGTGATCCTTCTTTGTACGTTGATTCATCTCTTACTCTTCCACCTCTATCCCCTGTATCGCATCAATTCGCTCATGTACAGCTCTCCGTCTTCGGCCTTTTTACGTGAATCATCCATCACTTCACGTTTACGTGGTCCACCTGCCGCTTTGGCTCTACGATACCTCGAAGTCTCTTTGTCAAGACATGACACGATGAAGACTCAATACAAATATCGCGAGGTCGTGGCGGACACTTTGTTCGATTTGAACCGGGATAAAAACCTAGGATGGAAGATGCCAGCTTGGTTGGTCAATTGGGAAATGACAAGGAATCCAGAAGGATGGATAAGTCGAGCTTTGAAATGGGGTTGGGTAGAGGAAGCTTTAGACTGGACCGGTCAGTTGATCAGAAATGTACGTCACTCCTTGCTTCATCCAATGAGAATGAGTGGGAAAATTAGATGTTGAGCTGATAAAGAAGGTTCCGCCATCGGAATTATTGCAGAAGGGTAGAGGAGATGTGACGATTTTACCGTGGAACTTGTTGGATAGGGTTTTGGCGGCTGCGGGTGAAGGGGATGAAGGGAAGGATGAAGAGGTACAGAACAAGGTGAAAAAGTTGAAAGAAGCTATACAGAGAAGAAAAGTTGGTTTGACGAGGTAACGTAATGGCAGTACATATGATGTAATGGATAAATGGGCTACGAATGCATCATATTGCATATTTGCAACTCGACCTTACTCGAGTACGAGTAGTACTCTACTCTCAATTCCCCTCGTCATTCATCCACCATCATGTCCCTACGGCTCAATCCCATTGAGATACTCAGCATGAGTGAACCAGACGATTGGACCGATCTAGCTCCCGTCATGCCCCAGGATCAAAACGCTGCAGAATATGCTTTGTACTGGATCGAAAAGTTTCGTACACACTTGCTTCTCCCCGGTTGCGCAACATTAGTAGCATTTCAAGACATCCTGCGCAGATCTTTCGAGCGGATGGAAATAGGGGTAATGGAAGATGGTGCTCATGTACCTGATATAGAAGAACTGAGGTCACATTTCATGTACAACTTTCCGACAATCGTACTGGCCGCAGGCGAGGTATGTGCTTGATCACTCTCTGTATCTACCATTATGCTGACCACGTCCTATAGGGTTTTTATGATTCTGATTTGATGGGTTGGACACCTGTTGAACAGAAGGACAAAGTTGGTTTGTGGTACGGATTATTAGAGGCTATAGCATCTTCTCGTGTCAGTGTTTTTTCATTGTACCATTGTTTTTCTTGACTTTGATACCTCATCATTCGAATATAGAGTACCCTCGATCCTTTTGCTCTCGTGTCGCCATGAAACAATGGGTAGAGTTGCCAAGGTCGAACAATATTCGTAAAACTCCGATGATTCAAAATCGGGATCAGAATGATCTTGTATCGAATCATGGGAATTGGATGTTTCTTCTGACATGTTACAGGGAATGAATTCATCCGTTACCCCCACCCAGGCTCGATATCTTTTCATCGTCGTCCTAGCTCATGAACTTATGCATCATCTCATTCACCGCTTTCTAGGAGAACCCCCCACCCTCAGAGGAGTAGGACCCACCGACGGCCGATCGAGCCAAGCAGGATGGGAGCTAGAATGGATGTTATTCGGTGGATCGGTGGTGGTAGAATGGAAGATTGAGGGGAGGGTATGGGATATGTATCACGTCAATCAATTTCTATTCAGAACTCCCCGCGCTGGAAATTGGTACAGACTCAATGGTAAGTCATTTTCATTCTCAACAAGGCTGTCTCTAAAATATTGCCCAGGTTCAGCTTGGATCACTACTAGACGTTTCATTCGTTCTCTGGAAACACCGAGATTGTTCAAGATCATCCCAGATATTCTACACCTAAATCGAGCACCACCTCCTTCGAGCCACGCCGTCCGCTATCGCAATCCCCAAGATCCCAACTCTCAACCTGTCCCGATTGTTCCACTTCCCACGGGAACGACGTACGCTCCTGCCGCACAAGATGAGTCGGCTGAGGTTGGTGCGCCTTACTTGGGGCGATGTGCCCGCCGAGCATGATGGTGTAAAGTGATGTTTGTATAGTATGGGGACCATGTTTTTGACCTGTTTTTCTTCAAACGAATCTGATATTCATACTGATGAACTGATGCTTCACTTCGTACACGCCATTTTTCTCTTCTTCGTTTCTCATCTTTCCTCTTCTTCTTTTCTCATCTCTCCTCGATCACCAACTCACTTCATCTTCCTTCACTGACGTTTTTACAACCTCGTACTCACTGCCTACACTCATATAATGCCGCTACCTATCCAAGTAACATCTCTCCTTCTCTTGACCCTAACCTCGGTATTCTTCCTAGGTCCTCAATCATCAGCTTGGATGTCACTTACCTCGTTACCTCTCCTCCTTCATCTCGCCACCTCCATCCCCTCTACAATCTTCCTCTGTCAAACTCTTCCTCTCCTCTCAATCACCTCGACCGCATGTTCCCTCCAAACCACACTTCCTTTATTGGAGAACAAGGCTGAGGTGATCCTGGGTCAACTTCTCTTCTCCACAATTCTAACTACGGCTTCCCTCTGTCCGATCCTCGCTCTTCGTTGGATGGTCAAACATACCAAGTGGAAACATGGTTTTGAAGCTGCAGTTGGGTTCGGGATGTTATGGTCAACCACCTGGGTCATATGGGAACAACTTTGTCCTTTTGGAAGATACGTGAGTGTCATTACCAACCGCGATAAAAGGAAGAAGGATGGCTGACGATATTCAAGGGAATTCCTTCTCCACTCCCTCCTGAAACCCAAAACTTCCTTCCCATCCTTCGAATTGCCGGTCCACCAGGTCTCGACTTCTTCTTTGGTACTACATCCTACTTGGTATACCTCTTAGCTAATGTGATATGGCCAAGACTTGATCCACTCCTTCCTCTACACTTACAAAGCAATAATCTCGGACGATCATTGTCACCTAGTCTGATTCAAGACGAACAATCTCAATCCTTCGAATCCACACAAGAGTCCTCTTTCGAATCGAACCATTGGGGAGTGGGAACCATCTCTCTTCTCCTTTTACTGGTGTCAACCTTTACCATCTTACAAATAGTTCCTCTCCCCAATATGTTAAGTCTATCTGACGGTTTAGCAACCACAACACCTTTCACTATTGCATGTGTCTTGCCTCCTGGTCCAAGTACCGATCTCAACACAATGGTATATCTATCTGAAACTCTCGGACCACACGCAAGACTATTGGTTTGGCCAGAAAACGTACTCGTCACGCTTGGAGAAGAAAGACAATCGGCAATTGATACGGTTGTGAGAGAAGTCGCGAAACGTTATGGTGTTTGGGTGGTTATGGGATTAGATACGAGACATGATGAACCTGGTGAGAAAGCGAGGAAGAATGAAGTTGTTTTGGTTGGTCCGAATGGTGAATTGGGAAGTTATGAGAAGCAAAAATTAGTTCCACGTCAGTATGATTTTTTTTTGACTATCTCTCACCTAGGTATTGATGAGCCAGTAGTGGAAAGTTATTTAATTGAAAAGGGTAAAGCTGTAGCTCCTATCTGGGATCTTGATTTAGGTCCGTGAGTAACTTTTTTTCTCATCTCCTACTATCATTGTTTTCCTACGACGTGTTAAGGACCCAGCCGATGTGGTCAGAATACGAGGTGTTGACATAACAGCCCATCATACATTCGTAAACCCGATTGGGCACCTGCACCTTTCACTCGACCAATTTCCCTACTCCCACTAATATGTCTAGATACATTTCATCCTTCCCTTCTTCCCTCACCTGATCATCCGGGTCTTCTAATCATTCCAGCTTCCTCTCCCGCTCCTATGATCTCCGAACGTTTACTCGCTCACGCTCAACAACGTTCCATTGCACACAGCCTTCCAAGTATAGTATGTTCTACTTCCTCCCCCCGAGCTGGTCCAGGAGGTGGTATTTCAGCAGTATTTGATAACTGGGGCAGGGTGATCTATACACAACGCGGAGGAGGAAGTTTCGTGGTCACTCTTCCACTTGTTCATCCCGAGAGGAGTCGAACACCTTGGGAGATGCTGGGGTCCATGGGAGTGCTAGGGATTGGTTGGATGTTGATTGGTTTAAATGGCGTGAGGAAAATCGATCCGGATCACCTGGGAGTTTTCAGTGAGAGGCTCAAAAGCTTTTGGATCCCACTAAGTCCTATTCCCGTGAGAGGAGAAGGGGAGGTCAGATTGATCTAGTGGTTTGAACGAGTGTCCAGTCCATGTATTCCATGTGCAAACCACGTCCGTTTTTCGTCATCTCATGTACGTACGTAGATAAATTCTACATGATCAAGGTGCAGATAGTGGCGTTCGATGCCGGCAATGGCTTTTCGTCCATAAGTCCCGCCGTACGACCATTCTTTGACCACTACAGTATGTCTGAGAGGCGGACAGATCAGATGATCATCCTTCGCTTGTCGGGTTTCAGGCTCTTGTTGATGGGTCAGAGGAGAGGTGTAAGTGTTTCCGTTTTACGAGTCAGGTAAGGTGTGACGTCCAATTACTGTACGTGGTGTCAACTGGTGTGATGAACGATTGGTTATCGTCGAATAAGACGCCTTGTTTTGGCTGTCGTACGTTCTGCCGAACAACCCAATACCTTGTATTCCTACGTTTACCCATTCTGTCAGGTCTGATCCCGTCATGGCAGTTTGAGTTCCGATGACATTTCCGATTGGCCAACGATAACCCCAGGCTCATACACTAGGTCAGACTGAAAAGTCATGGAACTGTATCCTTTGATGCGTGGGGTATGTGAATATATTAGGACAGAGACTGTAGAGAGACTTGCAGTACTGTGTTGATGATGATAAGCTGAAAGCTGAGATATTCTAGACCGTGTACCAGAAGCTCGGAAATGTGGTGACACCCCCCTTCCGTCTTAGGAACCGAACGAGGTACGTAACCCATATTCCAGCACATCCGCCTGTCATATGATCGGGAGAACACCAAGGATGGCTCGTCCAATGTGAAAGCGCACGGATTGGAAAAAAAAGCCACATTGGATGGCTGAACTCTAATCTCTCTTTTTTGAACCTTGACGTTTATAACCATGCTCGTTCATCATCCCCTCTTGAGAAGAAATAGAGATACCAAGACAGTGCCTATCAATTGCGTAATTTTTCAAAACCACCGTGGCGTACCTTAGGGACGGACCCTTTCGGACTGGTGACTGAACAGCGGACAGGGGACAGCAAAAAGCCATCGACGTTGATGATGATGTACTTCTCACGCCGACAGAAGGAGGGACAGAATACGGTTCTGGTGAGATTCGAAGTGATTCTTTTTCCAGCCCACCCTTCCTTTGATTGTCGTTTGTTTCTTGATCTTTTCATACTTTCTCTGCGCTGGTCGCATGTTTCCATCTTGAGACGTTGATTTCTTTATCATAGCGACTGGCCTCCCTACTTTCTTCCGAACTACCCTTGACGAGGTCGATTTAGGTGGTAGTCACTCAGAACAAGGAAGATAGAGAGAAAGAGTACAAGCTCGGGAAGGAAGAAGCACGGTCGAGGAACAAGATGCAGACCCATAGGTGAAGTTTTTTTCTTGTTGATTGAACGGAGAAAGAATTAACATTACTAGGAGACTTCCTAAAACCAATCACTCTTTATCCCCCACTACTGCCAAAGCTCTTATCGATCATTTCTCTACCGCACCTGAGATATTCCCATCCCATACGGATTCTCCCCCAACTCCTGACTCTCCTCGATCTCTCCAATCTCCCTGTTCTCTCTACTCCGATACCTCACCCACTTTCCGAGCTGATCCATTCGAATATGATCAACAGACCGTCGAGTCATACGACGCCGACGATGACGATACAACCTCTCCTACTCATCGGAATGATGAAAACACCGATTGGGGTCCTTCTTCTCCTTGGGGTGATAATCCTGGATATAGTAGATCAGCAATACAAGGACAAGGACAAGGTTGGAGACTTAGTCCTATAGGTTTACAAAGAGGACAATCACCTTCATTATCAATCTCTAGTCAAGGTGATGAAAGAGGTAGTGTCATTTCAATCTCTCCGCGAGGTTCACGTCAAACTTCAAAATCTAAATCTAAACTTCCTTCAGATGGTGGAACGATGATCAATTCTAAACCGATATATCCTTCTTCATCCGGACTACGTGGTAGATTAGGAAATGAAGAAAAAACTAGAACTTCAAGTCTTAAATCTTGGACTTCGGTAGATTCAAGAGGTAGAAGAAATACCAATGATTCCATTTCTACGGACATAACGGAAGATTTAAGATTAAAAAGGATAAATTCAATGGCGGATCTTTCAAGACCATATGAACAAGTCGTTCAAGTTACTTGTCCTTCTTCCGATGAAGAAGAAGATCATCATCAACAACAACAAGAAGAAGAAGAGGAACAAGGATATGATTATCGTTCTGAAAATAATTCAGAATTTGATCATATGATAATTGCTCGTACCAGATTATCACAATGGTCACCTTATTCGACAACTACGAATAACACAGAATCTGATACTTCTGAGATTCATACAGCACCATATCTCCCAACACCTCAAATCAATCCTTCTTCCGTTCCTGTGGTATTATCGAACTATCCTTTATATTCAATCGCACAAGATCCATCACCGGCTGAACAGTCTGTTACTTCATTACCTTCCGAAAGTCCTACTACAAGTCCTAATCTCATTTTAGAAAGATCACCAATTCCAAGATGGGTAACGGATATGACTCCCTCTCAAGTTCAAAGAGCTATAAGTACTCCACCAGCTCCTCCACCACCAAATGTCATACTTCGTCAACTTCATAAATCCCGTCCATCTCTCGGAAGAGCAAGTACGAATGAAGAATTTATAAAACTATCATCGATTATAGGTGTTCCACCAGGAGCTTCGATACCTAAACCAGTATTGAATCGAGCGTTTTCCCAACCAAATCAGATCAAACCGGATATCAAACCTTTGACACAGGGTAATAATTCAGCTCCTGCTTTTGGAAAAGAAGGATCGAGGACTAGGAATTCGATAAGTGGTTCATTCCCTTCGGCTAGACCGACAACTTTAGGTCAATCGAGATTGAGGGAAGTGCTTAAATGTTCTTCGGATAATTCGACAGTATCGGGTGGAGGTTCTCCTAGATCTCCTATTCCTTCTCATTACAATACTTTCAAATCGGAGAGAAATGAAGAAGGTGATCATAATCGGCCTTCATATTCATCGTTTTTAAAGCCTTCTTCGGCTCTTTCACAAGTCGAACACAAGAAACCTTCAACTCAATTATCTACTTTGAACTCAGGCCCGGATCAACCAATTGAAGAAGACGAGAATCATCCCTCTCACTCCTTATCAACCTTTCGATCAACTCTTAGCTCGACCAGCAAATCTCATAAATCACCCTTGCCAACGCTTCGTCCGGGTGTGTCAGGAGGTTTACCAGATCGTCTCATTTCTGAACCATCTAGGAGAAGTTCAATCGATAGTATAGGCGAATATAGTTATTTGGCTCCTTCCATTCAAATCGATGCTCCAACTCCTGGTCTCACTACAGATTCTCCCTCCGTCTTGACCAGACCATCGACAGGTTCGAGACGTCCTTCTGGAATATCAACGACTTCCACCAGTCCTAGTCCCCCTAGAGGGGTGTTCAAACCTCTTGATTCTTTCTTAGGAAAAAGTTCTTCTTCTTCACCATCCCCAACATCTTCTATCCCTAAACAATTTCTCAATGGTCCATTCTTTGTGCGTACCTCATCATTCATCACTCAACCTCCCACTACCAAGATCAGCGAACAGAGTTCACCCCTACCAATTCCGAAGAACAATACGATGAATATCAAGGAAATTTCCCCACCTTCAATGAATTCAGCTGAAAGGAATCCACGCCCATCAAGTATGACAACTGCAAATAGTCAAATTGGTAGTGTGATCAATCGAGGTCGACCGATTTCAACACCAGAATTCATCGTTGATCATCCTTCTCCTCGTGTACGTATTCGAGGTGGATCAAAAGATCAATCTTGCATGCCTTTCTCTCATACGAGTTCTTTCGACACCCCAACAACTCCAACTACTGAAGTTCCTCATAGACAAAGTTGGTCACCACTTCAACTTAAACCTCAACCTCAACCTCAACCTCAACCTCACTCTCGAGCACTTTCTCTCTCTCAAAAAGATCTTCCAATTCCTCCTAATCATACGGGTTCCACCAGAATTCAGAATCAACGATTTAGTCAAGTTTATCCGAATCAAAGACGTCGTCCTTCTTCTTCTGGTGATCAACCAGGTAATCGTAGAACTTCAGCTCCCACTTCTACTGAATATAGACAAGGACAACAAACTACCGAGATTTATCTCGATTCGAATGGTAAAGTCCCTATGAGACCAGGGATGGGAAAAAGACCAGTGACACTTTCCACACCTGTAGATTACAAGTCTTATCATCCTACTTCAGAAACACGTTTACCAGAAATACCAGCTGCAGCAATGCCTTTGATACCTGTTCATCGGACGGAGAAGATGGAGGATAGACGTGGAGGGTTACAAGAATATACTTGGGCGGCGAGAGGATCAGGTGGGAGATCGTATTCGAGACATGGGCAGGAGAGGAGATCATTGGATAGATCTAATAGATATTCAGTGGATCGTTCTCGATTAGAATACTCTCGTAATTCTATCGACCCTTCTTTAGATCCATTATCCAGAAGAATTATCGATTATTCTCACACAAACTTTCAACCCAACACTTCTACCTCTTATCATCCAGATCCCGATCCCGATCCCGATATTCAAGGAATATCAAACCCTCGCATAAGAGAATCCATCTCTCAAGGAAAAACGATTCAAAGTCAAGATGGTGAAAGGAAACTATCAAAACGGATCAGTGTCTCTTTCGCTTTATCCCCTTCTACCTCTACCTCAACACAACCATTGGAAAGAGAAAAATCAAATGAAAAAACGGGCCCTTTCTCTCGATTCTTCCATAAAAACAAATCCGCTTCTATTTCTAATCCATCCGGTTCTAACTCTATGGGAATTACTTCCCGTTCTGACTCTATGAGGATCAATCCGCTAGAGCCCGCGCCCGCTTCTGCCGTGGTGTCCGGGGCCAGCAAAAGAAGACCTCAGTCGATGGATTCTAGGACTGTTTCCATGTCGGGTGGAGCAGGAGCACCATTGTTTGAACGTAAAGGAGTGTTTAGAAGGTCTAGTGGGGTTCAATAAGGTTTTTGAGCTTGACTTGAGAGGTTTTCTACTGCATTCAGTCGAGATCATGGTGGTGAAATGGGACCGTCGCCGGAAAGGGTTCAAGAAGAACGAGTTGGGGAATATGAGATTGGTGTTGGGTGGACTTGAGAGGATGTTTGATACGTTCACTAGTACTGCGGATGTACTCTAGCTTCTAGGAGTGGAATATAATTCTGGGATACTATATAAACACTTGTATGTTGAGATCATAGTTCTATGCAGATGTATTTGATCTTCCCTTTCCTTTCCTATCCTTCACGAGTTATTCCAATATGTGGAAACTTCTGTTCTGGTCAGATCCATCAGGACAATCATTAGTCAAGTGCTGTTATGTATGTATATTCGTCTCTGCACCTAAGCTCATAACCGACTTGATACAGTTAGCACATCTAACAAGACAGCATGCATTCTGATTAAACAATCACCACTTGATGTGGAGTCGAGATGGTATCAAGTCGTAGCAATTATACTTATCACATTACCCACGATTCAACAAGTCAATCAATATTCATCCATCTAACTGACCGCTCAAAGCTTCTCCCCATCAGCTCTGATGGCAGCAGCTTCCATCTGGTTCACATCGGATAGAGGATCAGCACCCATCTTCGATACATCGTATCCGTGCTCGATGAGATACTCGCGGAACTGTTTATCAGCACTCGAATATCTTAAACGATGTGGACCATTGAGCAAGCTAGATCCGGATGGGTGTACTAAGAACATGGCATTAGATAAGAGACTCATGAGGAGGAAGGACAGAGTGAACGAAAGGGAGAACACCACACACCTTGATATCTTCATCATGCATGAAGTCAGATCGGATGTTCGGAATGAAGACAAAGGTGATGATTGCCGAAGCTACTGCTAGACCAGAAGCTAGCCAAAATACGCCCTGTAGAGTCAGCCTCGAACCTCCTCACGACCCCATGGTCGGGGCAGCTGTCCTCTGACCAAAGTGTTGAGACAATGCATGCGGGAGTCAAGAAGATGGGGTAGCTGGGTGTGAAATGAGAATACTCACAGTGTTACTTCCATATGAATCTTCTCCACCGAATGAGGCGATGATATCGTCGAACGTGTAGGTCCCGATAAAAGCGCCCACCTTGCCTACAGCAGCTGCAATACCATACAGTTGTCCTCTGGCGGCAGTGGGTCCAATAGCTTTCGATGCAAGTAAACCCAAGCAGTCTATTCGTTAGCTTACCCCCCAAGACAAATTGCTGTTCCTCACTTCCTGGCCCGAGTTCCTACCCAAGTCAGTATCTACTTTCATACACGGAAAGAATGATCAACTCACTCCGAAGGACAAAAAGATACCGTACATGATAGCGAAACCTGCGACGTGATTAGGTACGAGACTGCTAGGTTAACACCAACCAGATGGCGGACAATGATCTGACATACTGATGGTAGAATCCAGAAAGGAAGAATCCAAAAATGGCTTGCATGATCAAACCAAAGATCATGCAATACTGTATGTCAGCCAGTCGAGGAGGATTGAGTGGGTCAGGCGTACCTTCGGACCGAGCCAATCCACCACAAATGCACCGATGACTGTTCCGGGCTTTCACATCAGTGCGAAACTTCCAGCGAGACCTGGAGAACGTACGATGTAAAAGAAGTTGATCAGACATCCCCAGCCGATAGTCTCGTAAAGAGTGGCATTTGGAACAGCGACACTCGTGATGGCGGTTGAGTAAAGACCAAAAGCTAGATTTGTTGAGCTTTGCGGACACCTTCATTGGAGGAACATGGGCTCACGGTAAGTGATCCAATCTGCAGGTAAGCTAGAGCATCGACCCACAGACAACGTACGTACCATAGAGAAACCAAGTGATCGACACGGCCAACAGTTTCACCCAATATCTCTTGATGAGGAGCCAATAGGGGATACGAGTATGTTTCATGGAGTTGGCTTTGTAGCTTTCAGGCTATCGCTTAGCTGAGCTTCATACGTGTGGGACAGTGAGCATACCTCGGACATCTTGAGTCGGAAATAGAGTAAAAACATTGGCGGGATGACACCCAAACCGAGGGTCATGCGCCATACAGCGTTGAGATGGTTCATTCCGAAAATCCACAGGAGCACAAGACAGACAAAGTAGGATAAGACAAAGGCAAAGTCGATCATGGTATTGGTAGCAAGTACAAAGAGACGTTGCTGGTGTCTCTTGTTGACTGGGATCAGGGTTGGCAGTTGGAGGATTCTGAGGGTTACTCACTACCTGGGTCCTCGGTGTTCTCGGCCGCCTATAAGTGAGAAACAAAGTCGTTCATAAATAACAGAACTCACCGCTACAGATCCGGTAGGGTATTCTCCACCTATACCTATACCGACGACTGGAGATCAGGATTAAGTTGGGGAACATACAGGAATGACGCACAAAAACGGTAAGCACTGATGGTCAGCAGGCTGCTTGTAGAACAGACAATGACAACTCACATCAAGGCGTTGATTGTTCCCTGGGGACCTGGACCTTTACTGGCAGCTTCGAGAGCGGAGAAGAGAAAGACGATGAAAGTGCAAGCCAACATGCCAAATTTCCGTCCGATCTTGTCACTGATCCATCCAAACGCTAGAATATCAGCAACAAATACGTTGTGCCTGGTAGGAAGAAGATAGAGGGGGGAGAGGGAAGAGAGAGAAATTACTGACAAAGCTGTCCTATGATGATACCCGCGAAGGCCATGGACGAGACAAGCGAGGCATTCTGTGACCCTGATTTGAATGAGTCGGGATAAATGTAAGTCCTGATGATGTGGAGTACGGGTCCGATGGAGGCGTTCGCATATCTGAGTCATCAGCTGAGGGACGTGAGAACCGGGTTGTCGAGGTGATCAAGATTACGAGAGTGACGAGAGAGATGGGTTGTGGAAGATCGAGTTGGACTATGAGAATGAATGGCGGAGGAAAGTTTACATACCCGTCTGAGAAGAGCGCGGCACCCTTTATCATCAGCTTCACATCCAGATTAACAAGTAGAACTCACAGAGGCGAAGATACTATTTCAGTCAGCTGGATTCTAAAGTCCATCTATGAGAAGCGCTTTCATTCCATGAACCGAGACGAGACGCGATCTGATTGAGGAGAGAGTGGGAAGTGTGATCGGTATAATGTCCCGTTTCGTGAGGTTCCTAAGACTAGAGGAGACTCACGTTCCTATCTTACTCAGTCCAATCTTCTCTTCGATGATGTTCGAATCCACCGGATGTTCCCCAGTGGTGGGTTCCAACGAACGAGCAGCTAATGGGTTACGCATTGTGAATTGTATAAGGTATGTTCTGGTTACACGTGTGTTCGAGTCGAGGTTGGAGAGAAAGAGAGGTGGTGGGTGTCTGAAGAGTGAGTAACCGATTAGCTCGAGGGAAGGGAAGAGAGTGTGTATGGTATTTGGAAGATACGCACTCTGACTTTATAGTCGTGATAACCCTCACCTATCACCGAAGACTTCCGATGTGTGACCAGAGACAAACAGTGACCAGTGAGTGACAACAGAGTGAGACGTGACGATATAGCCCAAAGTGGGAGTGAGGGTGAGAGTGAGAGTGAGAGTGGTAATGTAACATCCACACACGTTCGCACTCACCAATCGGCTTTCTCCTATACGAGTATGAGTGAGATTGCTCGTACTCTACTCCTTCCCCCACCCCCCACCCACCACCCACCAATGACCGTCCTTGCTATCTCTGAAATGGAGACATGTGACAAACAGGGCGGAATGACGAAATGTCCAAATGGTCTAACTCGATCGGGTAAATTCCCCGATCTGATAGGGACAGCGGCGGTCGAGAGTGATCCGGATGTTTCGGCAATTGGCAGACAACTGCATATGAAGGATGACCTGTGGAGCAGCCAGCTGCCATCAGCTATGTACCAGCAGCTATGTACCAGCAGCTATGTACCAGCAGTAGGCATGATGGATGTACCGTCCCATTCCCAGGTGTGGATTACATGATGACCAACAACCGACCATTTGCGACGGAGATACCGTGCGGCAAAGGCAATGTCTGTCACTCATCGACTCCCTGACACCCCCCTCCCCACCCCGAGAGGGCAAGTACCTCGTTTGGAAAGTGTCAAGATAAGATGAACGTGCCAACTTCATTACACCACTACTCTCATTCCACATTCACCCGACCGCTTCTGGACCATGCAATACCAGGAATAGATATCACCGGTTCGTCGCACGTGCTGTAAGCACTCATCGCGCTTCAACTGTCACACCTGCTTTGTTGAAAGATCTTGCATCTGCTCCGTGTCATATCGTTCCTGCATACCCTCCTCATCTTCAATCTTTGATTTCTCCAAGATGTCCCGTTTGAGGAGAGCTCCTAAACCCTGAACTCAATTTGCTTGATAGTGTCACGACACATTGCACATTGATGTCTCATCTGCTACAGTCAAGGCTGTGTCTCTATTCCTCTCTTTCAAGTCGTTATTCTCCCGAATCAAGTCGTTATTCTCCCGAATCAAGGTCTCATTTCTCATAGTCAAGGTGTCACGGCCGTCGAACAACTATTTCTTAATAGACCGACGGTCGACGAACCTCGGCTAACTTCACGCTCTGAGTCGATGTCTCACCCAACCAGGAGGGCGCAGACGTCGAAAGGGGTGTAACTACGGCGTACTTCGGCGTAGTTACTCTAACTAGGGTTTTGTTCTACTGATGGCGATGTATCTTGATTTATAGCTATCTCTATCTGTCTTTCACTACTGACAACAATCAAGGATCGCTGAAGAACTTCAGCGATCTTCTCAGCTAATATTATCTACTCCTCCTAGACGTTCATCCAACCCTCTCGCGCTTTGACGTACTTCAACGCACTTCGTCCAACTTCCCCGAGCCCTCGGCCATCCTCTTCCTCCTTCGACTAACTCCGCCTAACATCGCCGCACTTCTGCTCCCATTGTCCCTACTTAGCCTAACCCCGTCTAACTTCGCCGTACTTCTGCTCCCATTGTTCCTACTTAGCCTAACTCCGCCTAACATCGCCGCACTTCTGCTCCCATTGTCCCTACTTAGCCTAACTCCGCCTAACATCGCCGCACTTCTGCTCCCATTGTCCCTACTTAGCCTAACCCCGTCTAACTTCGCCGTACTTCTGCTCCCATTGTTCCTACTTAGCCTAACTCCGCCTAACATCGCCGCACTTCTGCTCCCATTGTCCCTACTTAGCCTAACTCCGTCTAACTTCGCCGTACTTGGTGTCAGAAGTCCTGAGTTACGTGTAGAGTAAAGAGGTTAAGGCGTGATGGGGTTTTGATGGCCAAAGGAGGGTCATTGTTGGTGGAGTAATCGAGGTGTCACGACGTAGTTCGTGACACAAGGATCTGACCGTCTCAATAATAGTTTCAGACTGCTCAACCCTTGTACTCTCCATTTTCTTCATCATGGCTTTCATTTGTGATGCAGTAGCTAGTGTTGCACTAGCAGTACCCTGCGCTACAGATAATTGGTTCAAGATACTGGTGTTGGCACTCTCCTCGTCTTGTATAGACTTTTGGAGTCTACTGACAGCATCACAAATCTGCTTCTGCTTGACCAAATCGGACAAAATCGGTCCGGGCTCTGGGAGACTTGATGGTAGGATTGATCTCCCGGAAGGTCTGGACAGCCATGTCTGCATCCAAAGGGCTGGAGCAATGGCTAGTATTGCCATCTCAGTTTTCAAATCATTGTCCATACGCTTAAAGACCTCAGCACTGACCGTTTGAATGCTGTCTGAAAGACCCTGTCCGGCCTCTATGTTGGACTCATGATTGTTGGAAACAAGCCAGGTAAGGACACAGGAGCCTGCGTCTTTCAGGCGTGATATGGCATTCTCTATCTCCTTTGGGGCTCCGAAGCCTGAGTTTTGTAGGTTTTGCATGGAGTCTCTCACTATAGTAGCCACAAGTGTTAACTCTTCACCATATGAGTAATTCTTGTCAAACTGCCTTTTTAACGGGCCATCTGTGCCCTGCATGAATTTTTCCATGTGCGAAAGCGCAGTCCGAACACAGTGGTCTTCAGTCTGCTTGAACATTGTTGATCTGATTTGTGTGAGTGGCAAAAGTGTGGAAATTGTGTGAAAGAATGGCGCCTAGGTGAGTTTATATCATACGAATCCGTTCCCCACGATGGTGCCACTTCCATCCTACGTTTGTGGCGGACGATCCTTTATCCCACTCTCCCTCTCGTCCCATGCCGTCCGAGGTTGAGGCGTCTAGAACACGATCGGACATGAAAGGAACGATCATCAGGTTGATTTCGGTCTAACTTCATTGAGCAGAAAAGGGTCACCCGCCCGATGTGGACGGGGAGGCCGACATGCGATGGCCGATGTTGTCGTGGGAAGGAAGTGATGTGGCGCACGGATTTCGTGAGAAAGGCAGGAGTCTAGATCACAGCTTTGACTTCTAGTCTTTGTTGTACCATCTTACTGATAGAGTGTGTTGAATCTTATTGAACACATGAATGATTGTATGAATTACTACGGGGACAAGGAATGGGAAAGTCATGCTGCAAAGGTGCCATACATGCACAAGAGGTATGGTGCGCGGTCTGAACGTTTTGACCATGTCTCACTGCTCATCTCTTCCTGATGATGGACTGTAGGACAAGCATTGTCACAAGACCAGCAGTCTCACACCATCTCTAATCTCTTCATACCTTAACTCTATCAACCACTTTGCATCGAAAGCAGTCTCAGGAAACCATGACTATGCGCAATTCATGTTTTGAATCTCTACAGTGATTCTGAGGGGACTATCAAGTGCTACTCTGACCATCAGATGTTTGCCTCCAAAAGCATCTTGTCCATGCCTAAAAGCTTGAGACTCAGTTGCTGAACTGCCCTGTCAGGAATTTTACCCCTGCAATGTTAGCTGATAGGATTGGCCCAGGACGGCCGAACCGCCGTTAAATAATTACCCCTTTTGTCCAATATTTCTCTGTTCAACTTATCCTCTGAACTCTATTCAATCGTCTCTGGTTTTCTGTGTGTGAGTGGAATGTGATAAGTATAGAGACATGTAGAATTGATGCATGCTCTTTTCCCCCTCTGTATCGTCATCTAATTATCAGTAAACAATGTAGAATCAATGCATGCTCTTTCCCCTCTGCATCATCATCTAAAAATTATCAAACAGTGTGCCTGAGTCCAACAGCCCTACCATGGCTAAGAACGGCCATTGTTACTTGGAATCTGAACTCTCAGCTCAGTGTTCTCCCGTGTCAGATCAGCAATCTTGCTGTTTAGTTCACGTATCTGAGTGTCATGTTGCTGCTTCATCTCGTTACTACTTGAGTGTCAGGGGTTCCTTCGGTTCTAGGTATGGTTTGAGGGACAAGATCCGCAACTGGTCAAGCACGGTAGCAATCTAGAGTCACAGACAGGTGAAGATACATTGTCCAAAGAGTAAAGTAGCTATCTTCGTATTATGTATCTGTCAGGTACGCTGCCAGCGGCGTCCTCCGCATACCAGAGTTGTCACCACGTGACATTCACCCTGCGACTTTATGCTATCCATCAAATCATCAATTCTAGTTCTCAATTGCGACAGGTGTGGTCCCACTTGTGCCGTACGGTTCTTACCTGTGCACGAGAGTGTCACAACATCTAGGTAATTCCCAAAAGGACGGGCTAAACGTTTGTATGGATACCGTTCATCATATGAGAGCTCACGAAATTTACCCGGATGGTCGAGATAGTAACCCAGACTGGGGCGAGTCACCACAGTAGTATGAGATTCAGCCATTCTGATAAAAATGATACAGTATTGGAGGATCATAAGGAGAACCCTTCACCCTATATAGACAACAAAAATAGTCGGAAACCCAATCATTGACCGATGACGGCATCGATCCTTTATCCGACGATCCTCTCTTCCCTCGCCCACCTCCAACTCGAACGATATCATATCACGTAATGTCTTCCCTTCCCCTAACTCCTATGGCTTCAACTACACCGCCCACTTATAACCCTTCCCACGACCATACGTCAACCCTGACCATCCTTCTTCCTTCCACGGACGGATCATGACACCTCTCTGTATTCTTCCCACGTCCATAGTCGCGATGCCCAATAACGTCTCTCTTTGACCTTCTAGACTTGAGTCCTCCCTTAACTGACCTGGCCATCGAGAAAGAAGTGATGATACGTCTTCTTTCCGCCCCAAAGCCAGTAAAAGTCTCGCTAGTCGTATCCTAGATTGAAGAGAAGTGGGATGGTGTTGGACGGCTTGTTCTAATATCGTTAAAGCTCCCTCCGGATTATCCTGGATCAGCTGGTGGGAGGAGAGGACGAGAGGGATGTGGTCGTCGGATTGAAGAGGAAGGGAGGAGAGGGTGGAGAGACATGTCGAAGTGAGGTCATTGTCTGAAAGGAGGAGGGAAATGACCGTGAGAGCGATGAGGATTTGAGACGAGGTAGTTGGTAGACTGTTCGTCAGGGTTATCATTTTCATATATCATCAGGTATCGAAAAGACCATGCAAGATGAATCCTGATAGGGCAGTGAGGCAAAAGAGAGAGAGAGAGAGACTCTAAGCAGAGGCTGAACAGACGGAACAAAGAATTGTAGAAGGATATAAGAGAGAAAGATGATGAGTGCTTACCAATCCATCAAATGATCTTTTGCCACTTCCTTCCCATCTTCCCCCATCCCCCATAAAGTCCTAGCTAACAAAACGATCACTTCTTCCCTTTTCTCTTTCCCCTGACAAATCTCCAAACATTTTTCAAAACTTTCCAAACTTTGATCCACTTTGTCTAACCAAAACTCGGAAATACCTTGTCCTAACAAACATTGCACTCTCATATCACTCTCTTCATCTCCATTTTTCCCATCTATCAGCTCCAAACAATTCTTGAACCCCTCCAGAGCTTCGGTGTAATTTCCAGTGGATAATCGAACTCTTGCAAGATTACATAATACCACGATATATAGATGTTCCGTTTGAGGAGATTCGGTAGATTCATATTCTTCTTCTAACAATTGAGCAGAAGATACTAACGCATCGATAGATTCTGATGAAAGACCGATACGTTCACACATCAACGCATATAGGTTTAGAGCCATTGGATCTTTTGGTCGATTGTGGATGTATGATCTAAGAGCGAAAAGTGGTTGATGTAATGTTGATGTTGACTTCGAAATCGACGAGGATGGATCGAGGAAAGGAAGGAAGATGGTGAGAGCGTGTGCTATATTCGCTTCGAGTAGACTACCACCCGCTAAAGTAACGGAATGAGCGAATAACTCAGTTGCGTGGGTTTGATTAAATGAACGATACGCGATAATTCCTTGACCATACCATGCTTGAGCATAATCCGGATCGAGTATTTGAGCCTTTACAAAACATTCACTTGCTAAATTCAAATCATCGAGATTGAGGTATAAATACCCAAGGTTGGTCCATGCTATCGGATCTTTCGAATATAATTCGAGGGAAATGATGAATGCGTGTTGAGCCAATGCGGGTCCTGCGGAAGATGATATTACACCTAAAGCATTCCAAAGTCTTTCGTCACTTGCATCATGCTCGAGTGCTTTGCGCACAATCACAATTGCAGCTTTCAGACAACATGTTCTCAGATCAGTGCCTCCCTCTGATTTATCCTCCTCCGGAGAGATTGTCTGGGAAGAAGGGACAGGTAGGGAGATGGCTAAAGCATGTAAGGCAGAAGCCAGATCGTAGATGGCGATATTCGAAACGCGAAGGTCGGTCGACAAAAGCCAAGCACGGTAAGCGTATACGAAGATCGAGGTCTTGATCACAAAAGTCAGATCGGGAGGACATTCAAGAAGGGACGACGCGTGTCCTAGACCTGTCACTGAAGCGTGTCGATCTGTATCGTCTTCCACCAACAATTTTAAGATAGGTTTCAGTACGGTCGCAGAAGTTTGCGCGTCTTCCATTGTAGTTTCCAGTGAGGCCAGTTCGAAAGCCGCATCACCTATCGTTTTCCACGTCCATGGTCTGTGACCTTGTTTGGATCGAAGAACATCCGCGGCTAATGTGACAGTGTCGTGAAAGGCATTGCGGGCTCGTTGTCTGAATCCTCCCGAGGAAGCTTGTCGACCGAGGGACAGGGTTGATTGAGCAAGAGAAGCTATGACACCAATTTTCGAGGGTGGTTCCAAATCGAGAACAGATTGATAAGCTTCAATGGCCTTGTCGAAGGCACCAAGCTGATGGTATGTCTCTCCAATGTTATATTGTGCGACCCAAGCTTTAGGATCCAGTTCGAGAGCGTGAGAGAGAGCTTTGAGCGCGGCCATATGACGACCGAGTTTGAGATAAGCGGTACCGAGCAGGATCCAAGTAGAAACGTCTGATGGTTCCGCTCGTAAAGCTATTTGGAAGGCTTGAGTTGCCTCAGCATACTTCTTATAGTGCTGATATTAGCTTCGCCGATCTCGTCGAAGTAACAAGTTGAACCAGAAAGGGTGATGAAGGACTAACCATCTCGGTCGATCCCAGAGCTTTCCAAGCCCACCCATTTTTTGGTGCAAATCGTCCCTTAGCATTTAAAACATCTCCACCTGCGATCCCTTCTACCCCTCCTTCACCTTCCATAACTCTCATAGCTATACCCCTTACCAAAGCCCATTCATCATCGTCGGCATAACCAATGACCAATCTCCTGGCAGCTTCCACTTCAGTAGCATCCAGCTCGAAAGCCTTTTGAAAACACTTCAAAGCACGATCTTCGTCCGGAGGTATGTTAGATTCGTAGGAGATTCCAAGGGAAGTGTAAGCTGGAGCATAGGATGGTAGAGCACGACATGAAGCCATGAACCATTCTTCTGCATGCTGCCGATTCTCCTCGTCTGTTGAGGTCAGCGTTCTCTCCTCTCAATATGATTCCCCAACGAATAAATTGCCTCAAATACTTGAGATCTCTGGTTACTAGGCTGAACTATGATCCAGGGGATATTATTGTCTCCTTTGACACTACTCACCTCCGATGAGCCATTCACACCTTCCGAGTCGATACCAACCCCTTGCTCTAGCGTAAGCCTCGTCGTCATTACTGTCCTGCTCTTTCCGAGTTTCTCGACGTTGTACTACCTCCTCGAGAACATCACGTCCTTCTGATAGCTTGTCCTCATTGACCAAACACCACCCGATCTCTTCACGTGCAGCGACCGCTTCCCTCTCTTCAGGACCAGAATCCAGCATAATCTGGAATTCCTCTCGCGCTTCTGCCCATTTCCCCTCAGTCTGCAAAATTCTAGCACGGGCAAAGCGAGCTTCCAGATTGTTCATTTGTTGGCTGAGGACATCCGAGAGGAGACGATTGGCTCTAGCATGGTGTTTCGGTGGATAGTAAGGTACAAGAGCGATACCGAGTGCAGTGTCAATAGAGAGACGTGTCCTGTAGTGTCAGTCTGCTCTTGTGCTCAGGTCCAAACTCACAGGGGCATTGTGGTCCCACGCTCACTCTCGAGCTCTTTTAACAAAATCCTCGATTTTTCAGCGTAGGTGACAGCATTCTGCCAATCTTCTTCTTGTATCGATACTCTCGTCATCACTCGGTGAGCGAAGACAGACTTGGGAAGTTTTCTCAGCAGTTTCTTGTGTCTCAGCGTCACATCTGCTTGAGAATGAAATGATGAAGAGGGGCTCACCGTCATTTCAGCGATCAACTCCTCTTTCTCTTCTTGATCAACGTCCTCCGCTAGGGTACCCTCCTTCTCCGCAAGTCGTCGAGCCTTTCGTCGATCTCTGGCATTGGGACCTTTTGTCTTGCCAGGCCTTGAAGCCTTTCGCTTCTTAATACTCGAATGATCTTTCAGCGCCTCCGAAGACGGGTTTTCATCCCCCTCATCGTCTGCGTCGGGCAGAGGTAGATGGAACCAACGACAATAGTCTTCAGTGAAGTCTGACAAGGGAGTCGAGGGGAAAGCGAGAACGAATTTATTCAGACTTTCTAGATCGTAAACTAGTCACGTCAGCGAGCGGCTTGTACATAAATTTTGGTAGTAGGGAAGTCGAGGAGAGTATCAAAAGAACTCACATATGTCCTTTTGATCAGTACCTTCTATGACCCATGACCAAGCCTCCTCAGCTCCTGGCGTCGTGACATTGAGCAGGACGAAGCCCTCGGCTAGAGCTGAAGCTTTTTGGACAGCCTCGCCTTTACTGACGGTAGGCGGAGTATGCCTAACGAAAAGACTCGGTTCTGGTAGGTTGAAAGTGGATGCAGTCTCCACATTGGATACGCGCAAGGTCGTTGGAGCGGCATTCTGTGCTGTAGTGGGCTTTCCTTCGGATCTTGTTTGATCAGTGAGTGAGCATTGTAAGGGTAGTAATAAAACCCACTGAGTACTGGCTGCTAGGTTACGCCAAAAAATAAATTGCTCCACTTCCACATCTCGTCTGACTTCCTCGTCTGTATTCGGATGCCGGGCTACCTCTTCCAATAGATCCACCATAGCCATTCCTTCTGACCCTCCCAAGATCTCCGCCTCCACATTCCGTCTGACCTCGCTTGGAGATCCAGCACCTAGTCTTTTCCGTCCTGCCTCGACCTTCTGCTCGATGATTGTGTGAACGATTGATTTTGCTCGAATGAGGAGATTGAGAGCTAAGGGGAGAGATCCTACCAGATGCAAGATATGTGGTAATTCTCGAGGCAAAGTGGGTTGTACAGACAAAGAAGGGGGAGGGTATAGTGGAGTGGGAAAAGGGACATAGGTGCCGGAAGGTGGGGTAGCAGATTGTAATAGAGATACGAGGGGTCCATCTGACACAAGGAGTATGAGTATCTCCAAGACCTTTTCTTGAGGACCATGTGTCTGACGGAGGGTAAGCAGTTCTTGCAAAGCAGTTGCCGTTTTGTCGGGATCTCTTCTGCCCTTTCAGTACGATATTGGCATGAAAGAACTCACGAATCAAAAGATGCCTGTACCTGAATCTCTAAGAACCTGCAGAGCTTGTCCCAAGCCTCTTGCTTCTCGTATAGCTTTCGTAGACCATGCCCTGCTAAGGGGTTTGTAGGATCAATCCGGTATGCTTGAAAGTATGACTAAGAGGTCAGAGACTGACAGGCGATATCATCAAGAATGTCAGACCTTTTCAGCCTCGTCCCATTTCTGAGCATGTGTGAGAGCCAAACCACGAAAGACCAGTCTGGAAGATGAGCTCGAGATCAAGGTTGAATTTGGGAATGACTGACATTTGGGCTACCTCTGGAGCGTCCTTGTCCACTGATTTCAGCAGGTTGGTTGCCTGATACAGCGCTGCCTCGTGATTGCCCTCTTCCAGCTGGGCTTTTATGGCCTTGAGTGCCTTCTTTGTGGACATGGTGAATGGTAGATGATAGAGGGACAACAAGTGGTAGTTGCAGTAGTAGTAGTAGTAGTGACGTAGGTTTGACCAGACCGATCGAAGCTAATTCGGGTGTTAATTTTCGCAGAAAGATCTTTCACACCCACTCACCTTTTCATCAACAACGTACTACTGATTATCACTTTTGTGCATACACATACATACATTTACTGCATCTCTCACAACTCGCTGTATGTAGCTTGCTCCTCTGGAACGATTGTGTACAATACCATCTCTGAAAGTGACCAGGCCGACCTGTACAAGACTACGAAACGTGGGTGAGTTTGCTCGAGACGCTCCTTTTCTCTCCCTCCTCCTCTTTACATTCTCGACCACTTTACCTTTCCTTTCAAAGGACCGCTCTCGTCTATGCACTCTGCTCGTTTTTCACCCGATTGGGTCGGCCGATAGCCAGCATTGGGATAGACTACTTCTTCCTTATCCATCACTTGCATTCCTACATCACTTCTATTATTGGCCGCTTGATAGACGCATTGTGGGGTGGCGATCAACTGGGACGATCAAGCCGCTCCACTGCGAGACCCCCTTCCACGTCTCTCGTACATTTCTTATTGCAGTAGCTGAAGCCTTCAAGTACCTCTCTCCTCAGCTACACCACAACTTGATCATCCCCCCCTCACCCGGTCAATACCTCCGCCTCCCCGTCCCCAAGACACTGCTCCGGACCGTTGTCTCAAATTTCATCCCGTCAATCTCGCTTATTCGACACGTTCGTCCGCCCTACAGGGCATCCATCCAGGCGGCAGGCGGCGTCCAGGTGACCGGACAACATTATTTCCCCAAGCGACGTTCATAAACTTTTCACTCTGTATCTCCCATGGTCGCCATTACAGCCAAGCCTCAAGACCCACCAACCAATCCCGGCCATCTGCATACCCCTCTTCGACCCACCATCACCACTCCCGCCCATCCGGTCCTCAAACGCTCTCTCACCGATCTGACCACAAAGTCTGCCTCTCAGGTCACTCCTCCAACTGCCATCTCATTAGACGAGGAACCGGAAGCCCTCGATATAGGTTCTCCCAAGAATAGTCTACCTGGGCCGTCGCAACCCTATCAACATGCCTGCGACATTCCCTTGCCATCACGGAGACGACATCGAGGTGGAGTCTTATTTTCACGTAGTCGAGCCAGCTCTGCCGGGACCAGCTTTGAGAGCAGCATGGACATGACAAACAGCCTGAGCTTCGGTGATTTGGCTTCGCTAGGGAGGAGACCGTCAGCTTCGACAGAAGACGAGGAAGAAGTTCTCAAGCCCAGGTCAAGAAGTCGGGATGCTCAGCGCAGAGTATTCAGTGAGACTGGCAGGCAGCAAGAACGAGTTGAAGATCTAGCAGATTGGGACAATAGGTGATAACATTTTCCCTCTTTCTCCAACAAAAGCTGATGAGCAGTGCTCGGTTCTATCATCGACTACATTCTCGACCTGGGTCCAGAGCAGGTTCACGGCCGACGTCTCCTCTCCATTCGCCTCAAGTCTCACCACGAGGTTCGAAAACAGCAGAAACCTCTCCTGTCTTTGCGCGTAGGCGCCTGACCCTTCCACCCAACAATGTGCTCCTATCCCCGCCTCCACCTCCTGGTGCCGGACTTTCGGCCCAATTGTCGCCCAATCATTACTTCCTTCAGCAACATCTCCCCCCGACATTCCCACACACATGGAGCCCAGAGTTGAGACCCATTGACCGCGACATGACCGTCTCGCCAATGGTTATTATGACACCCACCACGGATGACTGGAAAGTTTTGAAGGAGATCAGTCGGACGGAAGGCGAACATTTGCCGACCAGTGAGGAGAGCAGTGAAGGGACGCCGTCTCCTGATCAGTCTCCATCTCAAGAGTCCGTCGAGCGAATGGTCGATTCACTTACAGCAACACCGACGATATCAAGAATGGGTGATAGCAGGCCTGAGAGACCCCGACTCAGACCATCCATTTCTGCCGACATTATACAAGCAGAACCGATACATACAGCAGATCCAGGAGGTTCAGCCGCAAATCCTATCACACCCGAGAAGCCCAACATCATACCCGTAATCATTGCTCCATCACCTGTGGCTCCCGTTGAGCAATTTGCACCTCAACCTCAACAAGAGCTGCACGATCTACCCCGCCCTGATCTGCTTGCAGTTGCAGCTCCAAGAGCCGAGACCAAAGACGCAGTAGATGATATAGTAATTGCAAACGACCTTCACAAGTCGAAAGGATTTGTGAGTTTTGGGCGACGGGACAGTCTCAGATCCCTGAAGAAACCGACTCTGGAGCCACGGACAAAGAGTAAACGCGAGCTCGAGCGGGAACGACTTTTCAAGCTTGTGGACGCTGAACTCGAGAAGGAGGCCAATGCAGAGGCGGGAAGTCCTTCATCGGATGATGGCCGCGGTGTTCAGCAAATCGGTCTTGCTCGCCGACGTGACGCTGGGAGTCCATCTGGTCAGCTCGACGTTCCTGTTTCGTCGCAGGGTCCCAAGTCTGCTGGTTTCATTTCCAAGGACTCGATTGAAGGTCAAACCGATTTACGAGCGCTGAAACGTTCCAGTCTCCCACCTCTGACAAAATTCATAATCGTCTCGCCAACACAGCCGATCCGATCATCTCCGCTGCATGCCTCTCCCGTGATGCCCGGTCAACCTTTCGATGGATCGGCGGACTCATCGCGCTCTCAAACTCCCAATTCAGCGCAATCCGGACTTTCCGGACTTTCTTCTCCCCAAGTATCGAACCCGAACCTAGGCAGTATACGCGATTACGCTCGAGCATTGTCGACTCATCATTCTGCAGCGGCGGAAGCCTCCGCGTCTCCAAAACTCACCCGGTCACCCCGACAGAGAGATACCTCGAGAGTATCATTGGTAGCCGGTAGATTGGTGCAACCTTTCACAGTTCCTCCCACAACTTCCTTGCCCCCTCCTAGCCCTGCCCTAAGTGTGCAATCAAATCTGCAATCATTTTCGCCCTTCCGGTCGCCCAGCTTGGGTCCGAAGCTGGGGGTGGGCACACCGCCTACAATGAACCGGTTAGATACACAAATGTCTTTCGCTCCCAGTGTCGGAGCACCAAGTACTGTCGGGACACCAACAAGTGAGACTGCGAGTGGTATTGGTGGACGAGGAATCGATGACTATGTCATTTTGAAAGAAGCAGGCAAAGGGGCGTATGGTTTGGTTATGAGAGCAAAGGTGAAAGGTCCCACTGGAGAGCCTGTAGGGGTGAGTTTGGTCGCATGATATGTCTAGTCAGCGCTAATGAATAGGATGAAGTGATTATCAAGTATATCATCAAAGGACGTATTCTTGCGGATTGTTGGAAGAAACATAAGATCTTAGGTCCAATACCTGTCGAGAGTATGTCCTTTTTATCGCTTGCGGCCTTTGCGTAAGAAGTGGAGAGATACTGATTTACAGTACATGTCATGGATCAACTTCGTCATCTTTTGTACATACCTCCACCCAAACCCCATCCATGGGACCCGGCACGACCTCGTCCTGGTCTACTTGAAGATTCGACCAGCGAAGATACCACCCCTCGACCCTTTGAAGGTAGTTCTGATGGGACTGAAGGGCAGTATAACGAAATCCGCAAATCGAATGGAGAGGATGCTTCGATCGTGTCAAGCATAGAGACAGCTGCGCGGGGCGGATATACCTCGACACAGAGATATCTCTCGTCGGAAATGAGGTATAGTCCTGAACGAGGACATCCTAACATTTGCAAACTGCTTGACTTTTTCGAGGATCGAGAGTTTTACTATTGTGAGTGAAAGCTTCTTCGCGACGCTTACGGTACACATGTTGAATGTCAGTGGTCATGCCACGCTTTGGTACTGGTGTCGACCTTTTCGATCGCGTCGAAGCCTCGCCCACCGGTCTTGATCCATTCGAAGTTCGCTCTTTAATGGGTCAACTCGCCGACGCCGTCCGGTTCCTTCACGCCAATGGAATAGTCCATCGTGACATAAAAGACGAAAATGTCATTCTGGACGGTACCGGTCATTGTCAACTTATCGACTTTGGTTCTGCCGCTCATTGGCGTCCTGGGAAGAAATGGGACACTTTTTCGGGTACTTTGCATTACGCAAGTCCCGAGATTTTACGTGGGGAAATGTATGGTGGGAAAGAACAAGATGTTTGGGCTTTGGGTGTTTTAGGGTACGTTTTGTTAGTCGGTGAAACTCCATTTTCAGCATTACCAGAAGACGTCTTGGAAGGTTTGACATCTGAAAGTGTGGCGGCGGTGGGTTTACATTCTCGTTGTGAAGATGGTCATGAGGATGAAGGTAGGGAAAGAGATGGTGGTGGAAGATTAGGTGATGCGGCGGATTTAGTGAGAAGATGTTTAGAAATGATTGTCGGGGATAGACCCAGTGCAGAGATGATTTGTCAACATCGGTTTTTGGTAGGTGAAAATGGATGGGTGGGACATAGAGGTTGGGTAAAATGATGATGATGATGATTATCTTTATCTGTCTGTGAAAGGAGGTTTTTCACATGTTGGTCTCTGAAGTATTAGGGTGTAAAGGGTGTGTGATAAGATGAGAAAGAACAAAATGGACAAAGTTGTCAGCATGGGAAGGGAATCGAATATGAAAAAACATAGAAATTTGACATTTGGCATGAATCGTTAGCATTCATAAGAGCATTCGTTCCTTTCTTTGATATCATTCTCATTCTCTTTTTCACTTTTCCACTTTCTTTATTCATGCTCAAAAACTTTTAATGGTCTATAGACTATGTAAATCCCTTATGACATGTAACACGTAGGGAAGTCTGATGTAGAAGTTGCAATTGGAGTGGTGAATGTACAAATTATTTACTGGACGTGATCCTTTTTACGTCCTCGGGGAAAAGGTGTATTGGGTAATTTGGGTGGATCACGAATAGTGGTATTATCCCCTAATTCAGTTTCGGACGTTAGACGTAATCCTAAATTATCAGTCTGGACTCTGCATGCTCTGCACTTTGCGCAGTCAAGAATCAGGAAAGATGTCTCGTAGAGTACCAGTATGGTATTGTTTCTTTCTACCGAATGACCGATTGACCGACGGATGGAGGGAGGGACGGATCAAATGATTATTCATCCGAATATCAGATCTGGCTAGCGTTACATTCGAGTTGAGGGATATTGGTTCGCTATTTCATTTCGAGTTGAGGGATATAACCTTCGCTAATTCATTCGAGTTGAGAAGTATTGATGACGAAGGAAGATGGATACATGAATACCTGAAAGATGTATACACTGGAAGAACGAAACTTACTAAATGTACCTTGCTCATCTTTAACACCTTGGACAACATTCTTTCTAATGAATAAAGCTACTTCTTTCCATTCTTCTATCCTCTGATTCAATTCTTCAAACTTTACATCTACTTCCTCTCTTTCTATACCTTTTGATGATATTGCCGAGTCACTATTCTCGTTCACTTTCGAAGTAGATTGTGGTTGTGAATCTGGCTTCATGCGAGAGGCAGACGATTGGGGTAGTTGAGAAGGAGGAGTTAATGTTGGTGAAGAGAACGTTTGTCGGAGAAGTGATCGTAATGCTATTTTACGTGGTTCGTCACCTTTTTTTTCTGTAAGCTCCGCATTTACATTTGGCTACCTGGAATATAACCTTAGTCTCAAGCCCGCTGGCTTCGTCAAAGATTAAAGAGCTTCGTACGCCCATAGCCATAGGGTTGAGATCACTATTTATAGAGAGAGAGAGAGAGCGGGACCAAAACCGCCCAAAACCTTCAGGTCCATGATCCAGTGCGACATAACGTACGTGACGTGATTCGACCATACCAGAATGTGCTTTTTCGCGACTGATGAGCCGCCCCAAAAGCCCCGGACAGAGGGAATGGGAGGAAAGAAGGGGAAAAGCAAAAGAATAAGTTGAGAATGAAGAGTTAGAACTAACCGTTGAAAGTAATCTTCGTAGCTCGTAGAACAGCCCGATAAGCCGATCTGGCCTGAGGTCGTAATTTCACAGGAAAGGACATGTTCATCTGATCTCAATTCTTATTTGTCCTAGTGGCCAGTGGGGGCTGTCCAGTGTCCAGTCTTGAGTACTTGGTGTGTTGCGATGCCCCTAGTCGCAGTAAAACAGCAGTCTTCCGAACAGACGGTGTGAATCGCAGTTGCATCGGAAGCAAAAAAATCTAAAGCCGATCGATCGCCGATCGTTTCCTCCTTCGTGGCTCCGTGGCTCCCCTTCCACCCCTCTTCCACTGCCCCCTCTTTCCCCCTCACCTCCCCCCTCCCCCCCCACACCGTCAAACTCGGATGTATCATCTCAATGCACAGCTTCCCATCTCTCACCGTTTTTCTCGGGGTGGAGGTACTATCGAACGCAGATCCATCTTTTGTGTGTACTGTACTTTGTAGCTCAGTTCAATCGCCGGGACTCGAAAGGAAGGTCGATACGAAGTTTCGTTCGATACGCATCGCCCCCCTCTCTTCCCTTCCCACGTCTGAGTCTAAAGGCCGTGAGACCATACGACTCAAACAAGCATTTTTACCCTTAGTTATTTTAGATATGTGACGACATGACTAAGCAAACACGGACTTTTTTGGTCCCGTTTTCGTGAAATGTGACGTCTAACGGGTTAGAACAAGACCAACGTGGTGAAAGGAAGATTAGATTTGAGGGTTTGAGAAACAAACTGACGAGGCTATGCATGCAAGGGTGAGGATATAACTTATGGGAGAAAGCTGATTGGGTCCGTTATCTGTCTCTCCTAACCTTCTGATTTTAGGTGATCGATTCGAATATCTTAAATCGGTTCGAATTGGCGATTCGAATTTTCGAGTTCATTGAGATCAGAGCAAGAACAAGAAGAAGAACAAGACAAATCAAGAGGGAAAGAAAAATGGTAGGAGTCAGGATGGGGATTTGGTTGACGATGGGTTTGTTGGGCTCTTTATTCCCAGTGACGATGGGTGAAGTGACGGGACAAAGAATGTGTAATCAGGTAAGCTGGATACATCTGTCAGAAGGTGGAAAAGCTAATACGAATAGTATATGTGTATAGAGGGGATGAGAGATAGTACGACTAATTTGGATACTTGTAAGTTGATTTTTAGCTGGTGTGGGAAGAATGGGAAACTGATGAGGAAGATACTCTCAGTCCACCGGATGGAAAGACATTGCCTTTAGGTCAAATTGGTTGGATGGGAATGTAAGTTTGGGTCTTGTTCTCCTTATAGACTCTTCACCTGCGCGGGCGCCCGGGGGGTAGAAGATCCCCCATCTAAAGATCTAGGGATCTCAAGAGGCAGTCAAGAGTTGATTGGAGAGATGTCAAGTGGTGGTTAAATCCGAATTACGAACCGCGAGCTAATTGACAGGGGGTTCGGAAGCCAAATGCGTGAGTATTCAACTTTCCAGCTCCAAAATACAAAAGTGACTAAGGATAAGCAAACACACCAATGGTCATAGTTTGGCCGAATTCTGACGGAAGTATCACCATTTCTCAACGTCAAGCTCCTTCACATATTATGCCTACTGGTGAGTTCACTTCTGGGCTCCATATTGTGAACATGTTTTCTCCCACTTTCCACAAACTTTCTGAACCGCTTCCTTTTCTACCTTCCCGGTATCCCTCGAAACCCTTGTCATCTCCCATTTAAACTCGCTCTTAGAGAATCATGAGCACAAGAGTATCAGGGAGAGTTTCGATACGTATACTTGACTGACTTACAGTTGTATCCGACCCACCTAGAGTAGCATCCCTCGACACATCTTCATCCTTCTCAAACTCCTCTTCCTCTTCATTCACCTTCTCCCTTCCCACCACTTCCGGCTCCTCAGGTCAAACACCTTTAATCTGGGCGTACGGATCAACCAATCCTTCATCTTCATCCCCTTCTGCTAATCTTATTCAGCACGTAGGAATGGGAATAACCACCCTCGATCTTTCCGCAGCATTATCATCATCATCAACCCCAACCATGTCAACATCAGGTGGATCCGATTCCGATTCTGACTCTGACTCTGACTCCGATTCCGATTCTTCTAGTCCTCCAAAAGTCCTAATCGCACATGTTTCTTGTGCCGCCTTAGCTACCCTTTTGTTCCTTCCATTAGGAACCCTCACACCTCGTATAGCAAGAGGTTTCACAACTCGTCGATGGTGGTTCCCCACACATGGAAGTTCGAACGGTATCATCTCATTAGCTCTCATAATAGCTGCTTTCGCTATTGCTAAACATAATTTCGATGATGAAGGTTATAATACGGAACATAGGGTATTAGGATTATGTTTGTTTATATTCATGTTGGTTCAAGCTAGTTTAGGGGTCTTGGTTCATTGGTGGAAAATCGATCATCGGTTTAAAATCGCAGGAAGAGGTCCTATGAATTTCATTCATGTTGGATTTGGTATAGCTATTGTTTTTATCGGATGGTGGACTGCATGGTTGGGTAAGTAATTTTTCTTCTTTTCCTTGTTTTCTACATCTTAATTTTCCTTCTGACTCTCTTATCATCTGTATCCTCAGCCGCTCTTTCTTTTCCCTCTCCTCTTCTAATTTTTATGATCTAAGCAAAATCATCTTGGTTCGAAGCGAGGCCACATTTCTCTCGTCTCATATGACCTATTTGATGTCTGAGAAGTAGGTAAAACGTCATGACACGAAAGTTAATGATCAGGTATGACCCGTGAATGGCCTTCGTCAGGTTACACACCCCCTCATAGAGGGTTGAAAATTGGTTTCTGGATTCTATGTGGGGTCAGTAATTTCTGCCTCCCTCCCTGCCTTATCTGTCACTCTTCTCATCCCTATTAAAGAACCCAGTTGACGCTTTTAGTTCTACGCTTTGGTCTATGTATTAGGTATAATTTTCCTCCTTCCTCGTCAATTACGATTAGAAAGTAATCGAGTCGGTCAATCAACTCAACCAAGTCAAGAAGAATTAAAATCTGGTCCGATGATAGGTATGTCAGGTCTTCGACAAGGGACGAGTAACACTTCCACCATAGAGTAACTTTAAGGAATTAGATCTTCAGAGTCGAGTATACTCAGGATGATATCTAGACAAAATCTTAAAATGTTAACAAGAGCCTATTGCCTAATTGGCATACTTAGTAGTGCTAGGAAGCGTTTCGTAGATTCAGGGAAAATGCATCTTGTGTATTACTCTAATCGTATTCTGCCAACTCTTTGTGAGACTTTTTACTCTCCATGACATTTTTGAGGACCTGATAGGATTACTTATAGGATCATTCCCACACACTGGAAGTAAGCTAGAATGCTTGATCCTCATAAATGTGTCCGATAAAGTCTGGACTGTTGAACGGATAAGACCCCTTTGATCGTTATAACCCGAAAGGACCTCCTAGAAGATCCCTGATCGATCAAAGGCTTTCACAAGACTTTGCCAATCAATTCTCAAGCTTCAAACTCAGAAAAACAAGATTTACAAGGTTCATACGTTTGAAGATTTGAAACACGGAAGAAAAAAGAAAGGAACTCTTTTCATCTCCTGCAATATCCCGAAACTTTGCATTTCTTTACTCAGTCGTGGTGAGAGGGAAGAAGAAAAAAGACAAAGATGAACCGTGCGGTTGATGGTGCCTTTCACTCTTAAACATATCTAAAGGAAGTGTACAGCTTTACGATACCTTGACAACAATCTTATTCCTCTCTTTCTCTTCATTCTTGTTCTCTTGATGGAAAACTTGAACTTCGGTTTTTAGATAGATAGTCTTGACGACGTATCACCTACAACTTTCCGTGCGTAGTAAACGTACGCACGTACAACGTTCTTTCTTTACCCACAGTCTTTTCTGTAGTATTACTCGTACTCCCTACTCTATCCATTCTCACTCCCTTTGCCGCACGACCATACGTTTTCGTTCACTCATTCAAGACCGACTCTATCAGCAGGTAAACAAGAGATACTATACCTACCAACAAACATATCGATCTAGGATTTTCCAGTTCAAAAGCGTGAAGTGAGAGGAAGAACATATGTTGCAGGTCAAAATGTTTTCTCTGAAGTTGATCGTTTCGTTAGCCTGTCTGGCTTTGGTCAAGGGGAAAACGACAGGAACCAAATTTTGTTCAGATTCAATGTGTATAACTGGAACGAGAGATTCTTCTTCAAAATTAGACACTTGTAAGTATATTCTTCTCTATGTTTCAGACTTGCACATTCCCGCAGAATCGACCGACCTGTGTGATGGATGAGGCAAGGTAGTAAGTAGATTGTGAGAGAGAGACGATGGAGAAGAGGGGTTGGAAGCTGATAAAGAAAGATACGTTGGCTCCTCCCGATGGACAGAGTTTGGCACAAGGTAACTTTGGGTGGATGGCAATGTGAGTAATCTTTAAGATCTCCATTAATACCCTTTCCTCCCCTGTCACCGAGCATTGGTACTTGGTTCAGACATTCCCCGCTTGGTTGTACAGTCCATGTGGTCTTCGTTCAAAGTAAACAGAATGTCATCCTCTTCTCTCAGCCAGGCAACGATGGAGAGGCGTTGACAAAGACGATTTGGTATTTTTGAGTATCATGCCGAGCAGGGAACTGACACGACAGCGGTTTCGGTACCGAAATGTCAAACTCTCCCATGGTCATCCTATGGCCTAACTCGGACGGGTCTGTCACTTTGAGTCAACGAAGTGCTCCTGGTCATGCTCAACCTAAACGTGAGATTGTCTCTTTTTCACACCACTCCTGTGCTACTCTTCTGCCTCCCCCCGGTCCCTCTCTTCGAACTCCTCCGATTTCATTCACAATCTAAGAAGGCCCCCATTCCTTTTCCCTGTCCTCATCTGTATACCCAAAACTATGTCTATGGACAAGTGAGTCTTATGACATCGAAATTGAGATTCCTTGACTCTCTCCCCCGACGGAGGATATCGGTATTCCAGGCAGTCTCAAAAAGGGGTCGTGAGACGTACTAACTCACCAGTCGTCTCCTCCCCTCCCTCCGTAGCTTCCCTATCCGCATCTTCATACTCCAACACCTCCAACACTCAATTGACATTCTCAATCCCATCCACTTCCACAACATCCCAGCCCCTCATTTACGCATACTCAGCCACCAACCCTTCCTCCTCTTCACCAGACGCGATCATAAAAATTCACACTTCGTTCGGTACCACCACTCTTGATCTTTCCGCCGCTTTATCTTCTGGTCAAGTATCAACTTCCACAGGAGGAGGTTCGAGTCCATCCAAAGCCCTCATAGCTCATGTGGTATTGGGAGTATTGAGCACAGCTTTCTTCATACCCATCGGAGCTCTTGTTCCGAGGATAGCGAGAGGTTTGACGGGAAAAAGATGGTGGTTCGCAACTCATCAGGCTGTTCAGGGTGTGATAGGTTTGGGTATGGTAGTGGCTGCTTTTGTGATAGCGGTTTGGAATTTTGATGGTGGGATAAATTCTAGTCATCGAGTGAGTTCAAAATTCTTCTCCTCGCCTTGTACATACTTCTGTATAGTTGACCCATGTTCCGTGTGACAATCAATTTCCCTTGTGATACTCCTATCCGTCTCGACAAAACGTGAATAATTTGAGTCATGAGAGAAGACGTGGTGAAGAGAAAATCCAACTGACTCACAGCTATTCGGAGCACTCATGTTCATCTTCATGCTTGTCCAATCCTCTCTCGGAATGTTCGTACACTACATCAAGATCGCCCGTCATCGATTCACCGCTGAATCCGGTCGAGGTCCATCAAATTTCATCCATATGATCTTTGGAGCTGTCACAGTGTGTGTAGGCTTCTGGACGACCTGGGAAGGTGAGTATCTTAGTCGCCTTTGACTGTTACAAGGCATGACGAGGAGCGGCTGAGAGACAGGAATGAACAGCGAATGGCCAGATGCTGTAGGGACCAAAGCTCCCATAGGGCTCAAAGTCGGATATTGGTTCTGGGTCTCTGTGAGTCATCTCGATCTCACTCTTTCACCTTGTTTCTGAGAGGCTGAGCAAACACTCTGCGGGGTTAGGAGAGATGAGTGATATTGACCAAAATTCCTGATGTCAGATACTCGCCCTCTCTTACCTTCTAGGCCTTGCCTTCCTTCTTCCTAGACAACTTCGGATGGAACGTGAGCGTCGGGAAGGCAACATCCGCATGGAGTCTTTCAAAGCCAAGTTAGCTTCCATTGGTGGGGCATGATCAAAAACGAGCTCGGCAGGTCCGGGTTGGTTGAAATACAAGTAGAAGAATGTAGAGATACATGCTGAAGTTGTATTGAAATGCTATTGTGATGTGTTCGCCTGCTCATGTTTGTCTGATTCAGCTAGCTCAGCCAATCCACTGACCGTTATTCTAGATATCAGTCCGAGTTACATAAGAGAAGCAGGGGATATGTACAAGGTGCATGAGCTGTCCAGTCATGGCGTTCGAGTCAGCGCCTGCAAGGAAGACTTCCATTAGCAACAAGTAACGAGCAAAGGTCGGCAGTACTCACCATACGTTGGACCCATCTCCGCGGGCATGTTGGCCCTTCCATGCAAGGGTAGACTACCCACACTCCAATCCTCCATATTCTCCGCAGGTCTCGAAGCCGGTTGTAGAGGTGTGTACACTGGACCAGGACATACAGCGTTGACGCGAATTCCCTTGGGGGCTAGTTGTACAGCCAAGGAACGAGTGAAGGTAATGATCGCCCCTTTGGTGGAAGAATAGTCGATCATTTGTGCAGAACCCTTGAATGCCGTGACAGAGGAAGTGTTGATGATACTGGCTCCCCGTTTGAGGTGAGGCGTTGCAGCTCTGTCATGTCAGTATCTTCTGACAGCTCGGCAAGAGGAGAGGATCGAAAAGGGATGGAGAGGTGGGGATTGTACTCATATATCGTGACGTGTCGGATGGAAGGGAAGAAGGAGAGGAAGACATACTTGGTGAGCGCAAACATGGCCAAGATATTCGACCTGAAGGTACTCTCAACGTTGTTCAACTGAAATATATCAGTCATTCCATATGACCAAAAAAGCAGGAGACAACCCACATCTATCTCTTCAATGCTCTTGGACATAATCTGCTTACTAGCATTATTGACGAGAATGTCAAGTTTTCCAAACTTTTGCAAATGTTCATCGATGACCTTTTGACAGTTTGAGGCGTCCATGAGATCGAGAGGGAGAGCTAAGCATGAGCGGCCGTCAGCTTCGATGGCTTTCTTCACTTCGTCGGCACTGATGGTCAGTGGCATACCCAGGTAGTGTCCATTTCACCAGTGGAGAAACCAGCCAGATAGCGTATTGTCAAAAGATGGTAGAGAGCGGCCCCATCAAATGGCCAACTTCGCCTACTTTCTACGTTATGAGTTCTGATGAACCATTAGACATTCCGGAGAGGGATTGAGTGAAGTGATAGCTTGAGAGATAGAATCAACTCACTCTTCCTGCTCTTCCGGGAGATAAACAATAGTCACATCCGCTCCCTCCCTAGCAAACATCTGAGCTGCACTCCTCCCAATCCCAGAATCACCTCCAGTGACGATAGCTTTCTTTCCTTCGAGTTTACCATTTCCGACGTACTATGAATTTAGTCATGTCATCATCCAACAAAGTAACTGCGAGCTCCACCATCTCTCTCCTTTCCACACGAATCTACCTTATGCCTTCATGCCTCGTTCTATCTGATCCCCACTTCGTCTAGCCCTCAATCGGAACGAGTAGCTACCACAAATGACTCGACAATGTTTTATTTTCTCTTGAATCGGCTGGTCTTCTCCGCGGGAGGTGAGAAGGAAGTACGAGGGGGAAAAGGACAACTGACCTCTTTCAAAAACGGTTTCCCTTGATCATCCCAACATTCCAATTTTGTATGTTCAGCCAAAGGGTTCATATCTTTATCTTTCCCAGGAAGGTTTTGTTCCTGAGCTGGAATACTAGTGAGTGACTGTTGGTCAATACGTTTTCTCATGAACCTAGTTTCCCAACTCCGGTTAGTGTCCAAAGACAGGGAATACCGCGTTGACATTTGGAAGTAGATCTTCGGGGAAGATAGCGTCTATAATTGCGGATGATCATTTGAGGAACGCGGGGTGGGGTCTACATGACAGGGCAAATAAATGTGCAAGGAGCATAGGGTCTATATTGGAAGATCACAAGATAATGAAGCGATCCCCCAGATGAAAGGGAAAGACTGAACAACCCAACGAGGATATCTCACTTTATAAGCAGTGACGATTTCTTTCTTTTCCGACATGGCGGTGAATGTTCTCTTTCTTGTCAATGTGAGTAGTGTCTTGGATGCTAAGTTGGCCCTGATGATTGGTAGTGATTTAAGTTTCAACGTGGATCTGGTGGTTCGTAGTATATGTCTAGTTGAGAACATGTTGCAAGTCTCATACCCGCGCCTAGGCCGGACATCGGATTGGAAGGAATGAGGAAGAGAGAGAAGAGTGACGTCAATGTCGAGTGCAATGTTATGTCAGCGGTGCCCCGCATTTCACGACTCCTCTAGTGACCTGAATTCCAGCAACCAGCTATTGATACGTAACTAGTAACTATAACCAGAAGCAACTGGCAAATCGACATATTCCAGGACGTGGACAATGACGAGCAAGGTGAGAAGATGCATCACATGGAGTGACAAGTTCAACTCAAGGTGACTCAAAACAAGTGGACATTGTGACATTGGGGCAATGGGATCAACGTGAGTGAAAAACACAAATATTCATGCATCCAATATCAATATACTTACGATTTATGCTACAAAGTTTACCTTTTGACCAAGAAATAAAACCCACATCAAACCCTCCCTCCCTCCCCACCCATAAATCCCTTCAGATCTCAATAACATCACCTACGCAATACCTACATCCATTTCTCATATCCACAGAATCCAGCTTTCCACCTGACATCCCACCTAATCCACATAAAGCCGGTCTCAACCTTCCTTTCCCCCCGTCCCAATTCCTCGCGCTACTCAATTCCCCTTCTTTCATACCTTGGGTTCGTACTGATGTCGTCCGAATATCATTTTCCAGAGGTAGAGAAGTCTGTGACTTTGAGTTATCGAACAAGGTCAAAGATTGTTTCTTTGCTGGTGAACGTATTGGCAAGTATCCTGAAAGGAAATTTAAGGCTGCACTGGTAGCTGAGCCCGTACGTTCCAACCGGTTAGGGGTACTCCTCTCGACGTCTTTCGATCCCACTTCGGGGAAGCCCTGCTTTTTGGGTTGCGATAAAGCTTCCTGCACATTGTGAGTGGCTTCAGTTCCTTTTAGACCAGACTCGAGTTGATTGTGAAGGTTGTTGATGGGCAATGGACCATGAGAATGCGCAGGAGGGACGGGAGGGGACGTGGGGTGCGGATTTCTCGATAAAGGTAAAGATACCACCCTTCTCTCATCATGCAAGACAAAAGGAAACACATTGAATCCCATGACTGCTTCCTCTTCGTCTTCTTTCCGCACTACATTGGACAACCCAAAGAATGATTCCCTCTTGGACCGTTCTTTCATGCCTTGTGACACAGGGGAAGAGGGGAATCCCCAAGTACGGATTCGGGAGAGGTTCGGATCAATGTCGTTCAGGGGTGTGGCAGGAGTGACGATAGGTGTTGGAATGGAAGAATCTCCCGATTGATATAGGTCAAGTTTGATAGGAAAAGTAGGAAATTGGGAGTCGAGTTCGGGGGGAAACGTAGGAGATTGCAAGTCGACTTCGGGGTCAACGGTACGAGACTGTAGATCGACTTCGGTGGGGAACGTCGGAAGATCTGAAGTGGCCGGGTACACCCTAGTGGCAAACATGGGTGAACGAGAAGTCTGGGTATCCCATGGAGTCGTTTCTCGGGGACCTGAACTGACTTGTTGAGAGCGGAACGATGCAAGGGACGATTCGGCTGCTTGAAGACGTATGAGCAACTCGGCCTTTTCACGCTTTTCCACTTCAAGAACAGATGTCAGGTGGAACAATTCGTCTTGGAGTTTAGAGTATATAGCTGGGTCTCGCTGTGGCGATGAACGTCCAGAAGGTTGGAGAGCGGAGATGGAAGAGAGTCGGTTGCCCACTGTATGTCAGCACAGCATGCGACTTGACGACCGTCTTGTGCGACCTCATTGGTGCTTGTGCCACTGATACGAGAATCTACTGAGAGAATGAGGAGAGATGAGGTCTGAGTTTGACAGAAAAGGAAGTACAGTCCCGATCGCCAGCAAGACATGCCATGCGTGGACAGGGGTTAGGAGGGAGTAGAAATTTCACTCACACTTCCGCACCCTCTCTCTCAAAGTCGCACTCTCCTTCTTCTCCGCTTCCAAAGCATCCTCAGCCTTTCTACACCTCAATCTCCACATATCGAGATCCTCCCGCACAGCCTCGAGTTCCACTTCCAATTCCAGCTGTCCATCCTGCCATCCAAACTCTGACGCTTCACTACTGATTCTTCCTCTACTCTCATGCCCATACTCTCCCGCGTCATCACCATCATGACTCTGCTCGATATGGTCCCCATCCGACCAATTAGCTGTAGATGTCGTTGCTGTGAAAGGCTCTTCCTCCTTCTCCCGAACTTCGGAAAGTACCCTATTCGCACCGAAACCAAGTCCCATGATGCTCCTGGGTCTAGGACAAGGTCGTGTGTTGGATCTGAATCCGCCCCAACTAGGAGATGCGAAAGAGGGAGGACTCCCGATCTCTTGCAAGGGCGGAGAACCGTACGTCTTAGAATTCTGGGAAGCGAAGGACCAATCGCGAGATGATGTACTTTCGTCTTTTTTATACGAGATGGAACTTCCTCGTGAGCTTTTAGATCCGGGCCGACGACGTTCAGCTGATCTGGGTGTACCGAGGATGCCGGTGGAAGCTGTGGTACTGACTGATGTGAGAGAATTGTTGATCAACCCTGATATGCCTGAAAGGGGTCGAGGACGACCGCGACCGATCTTACCGTATCCTTTGCTAGAAGTGGGAGAGATGACCTCGGTGATGGACGAAGTTGAAGATCGAGGTAATGTGAAGGTCCGAAGACCGTCTGGTGTTTCATTTCGGAAGGGGGAATCTTTGGAGATAAGGTGTAGTGGCCTGAGTCCGGACGATGGTGGACCATCGAGAGAAGGTCTTTCAGATTGAGCATGATTATCTTCCTCGATGATGGATGTCGGAGTGAGAGAAGGTTCAACACTTTCCGGTTTTGATTTGGTCTCCGCCTCGGCTTCCCTGATCAAGGTCGGCGGAGGACCAGACGGAATCTCCTCTTCCACTTCATCCACCTCAGCCAAAACACTCAACTGTCTCGTCATACTGGCACGTTTGGGCATCGCGAAATCGATCCCAAAGCCCAAACCCTCGGCATATCTCTCCGCGGGGTTACCAGAGTCACGAGGTGAAGACCAAGGTTTCGATCCGCCCAAAGCTGCTGGCGCAGATTGGGACCCCGTCAACGCGGCTAGAGGAGGTTCTGACATCTCGAAAGCAGTGGGGCTCACAGAAGTCGGTGGTGTGCACGGTGATGTGTCCAAATCGTCCAGCTCAGGCAGACTAATCTCGTTGACTTGTTCCGGACTTGAGCTACGCCTACCATTCAGTCTGTCAAGAGCTTTCCGTCGCGACTCGTCTTTCGACATCTCGGCTTCTGCACCTCGACCGCTAGGTTCGAATTTGAGTTTTGGAGCTGAGTTTCTTTGTTGATCCGGTGCTCCCGGAGGTGAGCATGGGGAGGAAGGGAAGATGGGTGATGTGACGCCTAGTGAGGCCGGACGACCGAGTTTTAAGTTTGGAAGGGAAATGGAGCTAGACCGACTGTGGGAATGACGTTTCCGGGCAGGGGTTGGTGGCGGAGAGGGGGAACTCAAGGAGGAAATCAGACTGGACCGAGCGGCGGGTAAACCTGCGTTAGGAGAGACAGGTCCCATGGGTGTCGGTCGAGTGAGAAGAAGACTAGGTGGTCGTGAAGATGGAGTGTTGATATGACTCTCGTCCGGGGGAGTGGGAGTGTGAGATCGAGGAAAGGTGTTGAAGTAAGTGGAATGCTCCTCAAGTGTATCCAGTGTTAGAGCAGAAAGTGGTGGTGTTTGATTGTCGTTTCCAGGTCGAGGTGAAGTGGAACGTTTCGGACCGAAAGAAAAAGATTTGAGACGAGAAGCAGCGTCTTGCTCGGAATGTTGATCTCGGGGAGGAAGTATCCCCTCTGGCATAGGAGTAGGAGGGATGATCCCGATTTGCGCAATTGTCGGCGAGACAGGACGAGGAAGAGGAAGATCCAATCGCAGATTGACGCCTGAGACTGTACCTACTGACGAAGGTTCGATGATTGTCGAAGAGGAGAAAACGTCTTCTGAATGGTCGAAGACGCCTCTTACAGAGGGACGAACATGATTTAAAGTGTTTGAATTGATAGATGACCTTTGACGTCGATGGGCATTTCTGATTTTACTATCCGACCTCCGATGTTCATTTCCAGTTAGACTGTTCATCTCGACCGATAGACCGATCATCTTCTCCTTGTCCCCTAATCTCTCCTTGAGATCTTTGTCAGAAGTCGGACGTTGAGTACGTTTGGGAGTATTGCCGCCGTTCCCAGAACTCAAAGCTAGAGGTTGTGGGTGAATTGGCGGAGAAGAGGGTCGTTTAGTTGCTAAGGACTTGTTAAGGCTTGAAGAAGAGATGTGTGTAGAATTTGAAGATCTTGAGGCTCGGAATGATTTCAGCTGATAATCAGCTTCGACTCCTGAACACATCAACCAAATTTGAAAAAGGGAAGGTATGAAGGATGAAAGTTTGGACTGACCTTGTTTCGAGCAGAGATGAGTTGTCTTGCCCGTCGAACATCTGATGAATCACCCAAGAAAATGTCAACCTCGGGAAGAGACATGTTCCCATGTGATGATGTTCGGATATTGAGTATCGGTGGGTGATCCGGGTATGGTCATGCGTCATGCGTCATGCCCGTGCAGCTAACAGCTGGGCAACTGTGTAACGGGGCCGGGCTTGAACGAGAGGGGATGGAGGGTTGGGGCGTAAGAGAAGGAGGGCGTTGGTATTAGTGTAGATAATGAATGTGAATATGTGTATGGTAATTTCGAAGAAGATGAAAGAATGACCAAGGTGGGAATGTGGAGGAAGAGTGAACCAGAAGGCTTGGGCCCTTGGAGGGATGGGGTTGTGTTGGAGAAGAAAGTAGTGATAAGAAGAGGACGAGAAGAAGCGAAGTATGTATTATAGATCAACGCTAACGTCTGAGACCCCGGACGCGTTGAAAGGTATCAAAGGATACTCGAAATTCAAAGCGAGAAAAGGGAAAAGGTCAAAGCTGAGACTGATCGTAATTTGACTGATCCGAGGGTCGAGGGCCAAGGGCCGAGGGGAGAGAGCGGAGACTTCGAAGGGTGGGTAGGGAAAGGCAAGTCAAATAGGGAATGTGTATCGTATGTCGGGTTTCCGCAATCAATTTATTATAGCGTACAAACTGCTTGATGAGAGACGAGGGCTCCGGGCGGGGAGTGGGGGGAGACAGATAAGAGAACAGAAGGAAAGATTTGAATAAGTACAAGTGACGAGATGAGTGAGACAGATTGATCCATGGGTAAAGTACAAGGAGGGATCTCATTAATGGCACGTGTCCCGACTTTACCCACGGACACACGCGTTTCATCTTTGCACGGACCTTTTTTCTTTCCCTTCCACGCCACCGATCGACGCGCGACGACGCGTCTCATCCTATGGTATTTTCAGGCACACACACCCTGAACATTCTCACCATGCATTTTCATGTCCTCTATTCTTTTCTACTGACAAAGGCGCTGTCTTACAGAACAAAAGCGAAGAGTAAGAGGTACAAAAGATTCCAGTTGATAGTAAATCGTATAGCTCCAGAACCCTGACCTTCTTTGTTCTTTTCACCAGCTGTAGAGTTCGAGCCACCGCTGACACTTGCTGATCCGCTTTGTATTCCCGGGGTACTGGTCTTACTGGCTGAAGCGCTAGATGTGATAGAGGGTCCGATAGTGACATTCGTCTGACCACCGATGTAGGCCGCAAAATCGGGATAAACGATATTCTGCTCCACGTATGGATGTGTCCAATTCATAGCTGCTGCCATGGGGACAATATGAGTGAAGGCCGATTTCATGGAGGGGTATTCTTTTATAAACTCGCTCATTGTGAAATTGTCTGATATCAGTTTCAATTCTGGCGAGAAGCATATTCACGACGACAGAGCTTGTTAGACGGTTTTTGTGCAGGTGAAAAGTTGAGACGGCTGAGCTACTCACTGAGTTCATGGTTGAGAACGACAGGTCCGGTAGATTTGTATGTTCCATTGGTAGCTCCTTTCACCACGATCTGATACGCCGCGTCGACGTCGGCTTGAGTGACATTGGCAGTGGGATCGCCCACTTTCCAGTCATTCTACTCGTCAGTCTTAGTCCCTTTCCACCAACACTGTCGACTTTTGTAGAGACATTGATGATACCCATGTCGTCGATCCCCTACTAGGTGAAGATCCAAAACATCAAGTTCCACTCACCGTGTCGTCCGACCATATGATCGTCGTCAAGTTCAAACCCTCCGCAATAGCTCTGATTCTGTTGTCTACATTCCCATACGGTGGTCTCCAACACAACGGAGTGACGCCCAAGATATCTTTGATTATCTGTCTCGCGTAGTAAAGCTCGGCAAAGGCGACGTCATTTGTGAATGCTGTCATGTACCTAAATCGTCGGCTTTAATCTCCAAAGGGTGATGATAAGCAGACTCACTGATGCGACCAAGTATGTACACAGACGTGATGTCCATCTTTGATAGCTCGCATAGATTGTAATGGCCAATCGTAGACGTTTGAACCGATGTAAAATCTTAAAATCAGCACTGAGAACTGGCTCGACAGATGGAGCAGCAGGCCTTGCCGAGGTGAGAATTCTGAGTCGACCACAGGAGAAAAAACAGAGGTGAGCTCAGGAAGAGAAACGAGGGAAAAGACTCTCACACAGTAGCTTTCTGGTTTTGTTCCAATAAAAAGTCATACAAAGCGTTATGACTGCAATTCGGTCCGTCATCGAATCCTAACCCCCATGTTTCTCCCTCTGGCACAGAAGTTATATCATCCGGTAGACCTGTTTGAGGAGCTGGTTGAGTACACCCCTGCCAAGGCCACCAACAATCCACATCCGTACCATTATATTGAACAGCGGAAAAGTCCCCCTCTGGCGTGCCCTTGGGAGCGAGGTTGAAAGAAGGGTTGGAAGAGATGGTTTGGCTGATCTGTTGGAAAAGAGCGAGGGCGTCGGTGTCATTAGGAAGTATTGAAGCTGTTTCCCATGTTGTGGGATACAAAGGTGCCAATTGGAGTAATGGGGCGTATGAATAAGGTGTACATTCTTGTGTTATATCTGAGATATAAGCGTCAGACTGATCTCCGTATTTTTGGTGTATACAGGTGGGATTTAGATGATAAATGACGAATGTGAATGGAGGGTTGAATGGTCAATAGGAGAAGAGGACGAACCTTGAATGGCTGCAGCACTAGCTTCATCCGTAGGACTGGTCCGCTCTATCAATTTTCCTCCAAGATTACGTCGCATAATCTCTCCTCCACCACAACCATGATGACCTCTTACACTTGTAGATAGATGAAGTAGGATCAGTAAGACATTCACTAGAGAGCTCATCTTTTCTATGATCCCGATTTGTTCTGTCGGTTTTATGTATTAATGTTGGAATGGAATTCTCACGAAACCCATTTGGGGGTTTGGAAGTGCATGTTATCAGGGAAGCAGAATACCGATACGATACTCACGTCATGTTAGGTAAAGGAAGTTCGAGGGGTGGGAAAGTGGAAGGATACCGGGGTTAACAGACAAAGGTGGGGAATGAAGGGGTGGAAGAACGACAGTTGGATCTTGAGTCGTCAATGAGGTCCGATATGGGATAGTCAACATATCAGTGTAATGATGAGCTTTCATGTTAATCAATCAGTGACAGCGTACAGCGTAAAAGAGTACTCACCTGTGTAAATGTGATACAACTTCATTCCTGTACAAGTAAAAGATAAGTAAAACGTTCTTTCACCAGCTGTACCCATAGCGGCGAAGGTTACATTTCTCAGTTGAGGAGTCCAATTCTCACCAGACCTATCTATAAAATCCTGTACTGGAAATAGCCCGTCACGGGCATTGATACAGTACACCAAGCCTTATACCGATGAGTAGCGTTATCGCAATTTCGCAGTGGCCGAGAGTTGCGAGTTGATAGATGGAAGGAAAGGTGACGCGACTGATTTTTCGCTTTTTTCTTTTGGGGAATTTGCTTACGTCAGCAATCCATCGCGTCCAAACATCTCAACCCCTTTTGCGTCGGTTCTACACAAATCCCGATACTATACCCACCTTTTCCACAATGTCAACCAAAACCAGAAGACCAGTAATGATGTCCACTCCCCCTCCCAAATCTAAGAAAACGTATGGGGAGGCTGAGAAAAGAAGTCTGTTGGAAAATTTCGACTTGGAAGGTTGGTCTTCCTGCTTCCCTCATCATCTTTCCTGCACTCCCACCCTGCCCATTCGACTGAAGCACATTGTTTTGTCCTCCCGTCTGCTGTCTCCATTCTACGAAGGACACCGCAAAATCATCTTCCAAAGTCACGGAGAGTCAACTTGAATCATAAGGGGCACATCGAAGAAGAGTTGGAAGCTCTGCGAGTATTGCAGTGATAAAGAGTATTTTACTGACTTATAGTGGCGGACAAAACTAGAGCTTTTCGTTCACATCTCCAAGCTACCCTTTCTTCTTTCCTCATTCGACAAGAAACTGAAATATTCAAAATCCCTCGAGAGTTGAGAAATATGACATTGGGGGAATTATCTACGAAATGGGCTGGAGGATGGGCGAGTACTACTCAACGGATTGCCAGGGAGAAGATCGAGGAAGCTGAACGGGAGAGGGAAAGGGAAGAAGCTGCTCAAAAAGCTGAAAGGGAAGGTGCGAAGAGGTAAGTCTATTATCCATATCATCTCAATAATCAACCTTTGATGGCTGAATTTTTCACCGACCCATCTGTTCATCTATATTACAAGTGCGTCGTTCGAATGGATGGGAGGACTCGTCCCTTTGATGATGATCTGGTTACAAGATATCGCAATTGGCGATGATGCTCTCGGAAGCAACTTGATTCCTCGAGTAGTCTTTTGGGACGATGCTGACGTAGTAGGAAAAGAGGGACTGTAGGGACCCCAGATGCAACACCAGAGAGAAAAGTCAAGTGTGAGTACTCACTTCCATCTTGTAAGGGTACAAAGTACAGCTGAACAAATAGCAAGAAAAGATCAGGGACAAGTTGCTGGTAAGAGGAAACCGGGGAAAACGAAGAAACCTTCTGCACCGTCGACTCACAGTAGTCAAGGGCCAAGTGTGAGTGATTCCATTGGGATCTTCATCGTCTTGATTTCCACCCAAGAATCACTCAGAATTCCATCATTGATAAAATTGGAGTAGAAGACAAGAGCCGGTCAAAGAAAACCCCATTAGGAGATAGACAACAGCGAGGAGGATCGAGAGGAAAGAGGTCGATTAGCGTTATATCAGCGGGGAGAGGGAGACAAATCTGAAACGTTGCTAACCCTAAGTCTTTACCCCAAGATCATATCTTCAACCCATCCTTACCCCCTACACCAAGATTACCAAGATTACCAAAAAGAAACGAATCTCTCCTTTCAATCAATGGTTCTCCACTTGCTAATCCCATCTCTCCTTCCACCTCTCTCTCTACTTCAGAATCAGGACTGGACTTACCCGATCCGGCCGAGATGGAACGTAAAGCATTATCCAAATCTCAAGCGAACAGATCACCTAAATCAAAGTCTTCTAAAAAGAAACGTGCCCCCAGTCTTATTTTTCGTCCGTCACTCGCTGTACCTTCAAGAGATACCAATGATACGAATAAGGATGGGGCAGAGGTGAGATTAGCACATATCGGTTTGAGCGATGGGAGAACTCTAAGTTTCAATCCTTTGCAGTTGACCCCGGGGAGGATTGATGATGAAATGGATGAGGGGGGTTTGGGGGAGGAAGAGAAAGTTAAGGTTAAAGTGAAAGTCAGGGAGGAGGTGGTGAAGGCTTTGACGGAGAAGATGGAGAGATGGAAGGTTGTTTAGTCTTTAGTCATTGAATTATCTATGTTGCGTGACTCAAGTTGTAGAGGATGAAATGACATGGTTCAGCAACGAGGAGGGGAGGGAGGGGGAGAGAAGGGGATAGAGAAGGGGAGAGAGAAGGATAGACGACTATGAGTAATGCAATGAAACGTTCTACTTAACCGATGAATACGAGTACATGCATACCTGATCTTCTACACGGAAATGGAATTGATAAGAGAAACGAGATGAGCGCTATCGGCTGGATAATCTGGTAAAGCAGCACGACGACATTGATATCGAACTCTAGGTTGGTCCTGTCGAGTTAGCAAGTCTCCTGCATTGATGTGACATATATGAATCGTGCGAGGAGTGGATTGGGTAGGACGGGTAGACCAGGAGTATGACTCACATTGAAAGAATCTTGTTTCGCCATCATCTGGAAGTTATACGTTCTACCACTAGCCTTTTGGAAAGATCGTTGAAATTCAACATCATTCCCATTGTCCTAAAATGATCAGAACATCTTTCACATACCATGATGAAGGTATGATGGAAGATGAACTCACTCGCATCTCCATCAATTCATTGGCTGATATCCCCATGATCTGCTCTGCTACCTCATTGAAAGCAGTGATCCAAAACGATCCTGCATAATCCATGACGTTCATCGATAAAATATACCTATGTATCAGCCAGGTGATTCTTTGATTCCTGTGACGTGGCTAAGAGTTAGGAGAATGAGAAAATTGTGTTCACTCACCTATGAATGGGTGAAGGCCAAGTTTTGTCACATTTCTCACAACGCCATCCACTACCTTCATCCGTTACTTTCTTATTACATCCATCAGGATTTGCACAAGCAGGATAACTAAAAGTTTCACTTTTTATAAAACTGACAGTAGCTTGAGTTGTGAAATAATCCGTCTTATCACTCATTCCTAATTGTTCATCCTTTGCTTGACCTATAGTTTTGATTTCACTAGGTTTGGTGATTTGTCCATCTGAGTTACTTACAGTTGCGGAAGTGTAAGCTTGGAAATGTTTACTACGACCTTCTGCATCGTACCAACCACGAAGAGAATGAGCTTCTGGTATATCAGGATTAAGCGCCATTGTCGCTGATGAGAACATTGAAAGTGAACGACCACCGAAATCTCCAACTTTGACACCTTTGAATGCGATGACAGGTTCATCATCTGCTTGAAAAGTTTCTGCTTGTTTCCCCCATAATGTCAAGCGAACACTTTGACCCGATTGGTCGACGAGTTGAATATCTCTTTTGGCGAACTGTCTGTCAGAAAACATACGATACGTTATTAAATCCGACCGTTGAGTTGAATTGGTGAAGATGGAAAGAACGAACAGGTTTGTTGGTAGCTTTCGAAGTGACAGATCCGAGTTCTCCGACTTCTTTAACCACTCCGATGACATCGCATAGCTCATCTTTTTGTAGATCACCAAGATCACCGACAGATTTGAAGTTGTATTTGATCTGAGGGACACTTTCGTCGTCGCACTAATTATTAATTTCATCTTGCATTGACTAAGGGAGTAAGGAGCTGACCGGTTGAATCTCTGTACTATTCTCAAATGTGATTTCATATTCGTTATTGACATTGTTGAATTGTTTCTTTGCGATATTGATCCTTGCTCTTGAAACGAAATAAACTTTTCCTTCTTGCAACAAATCATAAAATTGATCAACAGTCTCGTTGAAACCAGTAGCACGGATTTCGCCCTTCTCGTCAGCTCAGCCCGCAAGAAGCCGGAGTCGACAGCTGACTGTATCATCCATGAATGTCACTGAAAAAAGTTTCCCTTCTCCTCTTTGATTTGACCAATGCTTGAGATCAGATTTTTGCGTTACACGAGCTTTGATTGTCCATCTGCGTTGTCAGACTCAAATTCCATTTGAGATCGCCCATACATGACTCACTTATTCTGATATGGACTCAACCCTTCGATAGGATACAACGGACCCATGGGTGCCGCTGCGGTCTTTTGCGGTTGCTTAGCCACCGGCTTTGAAGCATTGACATTGGCCGTAGTACTCGGTTTCAACACAGACTGAGGGGCGGCAAGAGGTGCGGCTTGTTCAACATTGGTCGGATTCCCAATTTTCTCCCCTGACCACGGTACGACTTCAAGAGTAAGGATGATGATGAGTCTTATGATCAGTTACATTTGTCTAAAACAGTGTAAGAAACTCACTTCCGGCCTTGAACCACATTAGTGACGAAAGTTTTGAGTTTGATAACGGTATTCTTGTCCAACTCTTTACTATCTACCATAGGATTGAGCTGGGTAGCTAGCATGCCTTGTAAGAAGTGTGTGCCATCGGATAAAATGACCCTATTTATCAGCTTCCTACCAGACTCCATGAGGATGAAGCTGACCTGTAACGATCCAAACCAGAAGCACCAGGAGCGTTGATCTTCTTGACTGATACAGCTTGGAGAATGGGTTCCGAGGTGATGACACTTTCCGGGAGCTCATCAGAACTGTGTACAAGACGACAGAAATCTTGGGTCAAAGGGCTGGCCATGGTGTCAGGGTTTGTCTATCAAGTGTGAAGAGTAGTGACGAAGGGGGAGATGGTGGCGAGGACGAGGAAATCCAAGTGAGAGCTGAGTCAACCACACGCGACAGACGTGACGCGTTTTGGAAAAATTTGCCACGTGGCAAGATGAAATCCTCCTCAGCATTCAAGAGTAAAATGAACATTCACCTTGCTTCACACTTTAACACAAAATATGGCCCCAGCCAATGCTCGTGCTGGTCCTTCTAGACAAAGAGCCAGTAGTCCAATTGAAGATTCAGAAGCAGAGACTTCCCGAAGACCTCGGCGGGGGGAGCAAACCGGGCATACAAATGGGGTCGCTCCTTCCAATGGATCCGCGCCTGCTAATCTTACTTCTGATGGGTGGACTATAGACACTTTCAAGTCACTCCCACTCGCCAAAACGGGTGTAGTATCCAGCGTAGTGTGTCTCATTCCCTCTCTTTCATCCCCATCTTCATCTCCCCATCTTCATCAAGAAAAGTGTTCATACCACAGCGCTGAAATATAGTTCCGCAACCTAGATGATCGGCTTAAAGATACGTTAGGGAGGGTGGATGATGGGTTGGACAAGACTCGAGAAGCTGCCAAGGCATTCGAAGATGCTCAGGAGGATGATCCGGTGAGTAAATGCCCTTTTTGCTTGGTTCTTCCAGCTGGAAATCATATATGCGAAAGAGTCGGCTTAACTTTAGGCGGTGGAAGAACTTGATGCAGCATTCAGAAGGTTATTAGAAGTTCGGGAAGAACTTCGCATCAAGATTCGGGTCTTGACGGAGATGGCGGCGGAGTTGAGACAAGAAGGAGAATTAGTCAGTCGTCTCTTTGTTTTCGAATCATGAGCTGATGAGTAGGTGGACCCGGATAAGATATATCAAGAACGTGCTATTCGTGCGACTAAAGAATATCGCAACAAATCTCAGCGAGCTAAATGTCAACCATCTCCATGTCTCCAAGTAAGAAGCTGACAAACAGTCCAAAATCTACCGGAGTACCAAGATTTCCGAGCTCAGATCTGGGTGAGTGTAGACAACCTCCCCTTCCCTCATATTCTGCACAAAAATCACAGAAATTTCAGACAATTGGTATTTCTGAAGAAAGAAAGAAAACGGGAGGAATACTGACAAAGAAGGAAATCAATCATCCAGACGACGCTTGTCCACCTGTATCGAGATGGTTACCCAAGGAGCGGGATGAAGAAAGTGATGAGGATATCGAGATTGGAGCTACTACACAAACTTATAGATGTCCCATTACTCTTCTTCAATTTGTCGAACCTGTGACTAGGTAAGTACTGACTTTGTCTTCTCGTGAGAGACTGTCGATTTGACATGAACTGCGCGACAGTAGAAAAGCTTGGGTGGTGCTGATGAATAGCAACAAATGTCGTCATTCTTATTCTCGTGCGGCGGTAGAAGGACTTATCGCTACTGCTCAAGGTAAACGTGCTGTGAAATGTCCCGTGGCGGGATGTATGGCTACGATTGAGAAGAAAGATCTAGAGGTGAGTCTTTATATGCTCTCTTACCTTTTCCCCGTCTCCCCTGTGTCTACTAAACATTTGTGTCAGCTCAATGTGTTCGAGCTCTTGAATTGTAATGAACTAGTGGAAAATAATTGAATGTAGCTCGTGCTGATGTTAGATCAATCGAAGTCTGGCAAAACGTACGGCCGAACATGCCAAACGATTACAACGAAGACAAGAAGAGGAAGAAGAAGATCCTGAAAACTTGTTGGATCTGACGCAAGAATAAACTCTCCATTTGTCCCTTTCAATCAATTCGTTATCATTATCAGTGAATATCTGAACTTATTTCATATGTCGTACTATGATCAATCGTAAATACAACTTTGTATAATCTTCCAATTCCGTTTCCTCTTCCCTTCTTCTATCGAAATCGTCGAAGTCCAAAATTCATAAAAACCTCAATTCGTAAGCTGATGCAGAAACCAAATCCAAATTCTCCCTCTCTTCCTGTTCTCTCTCCATCCTTCCCAAAGCCTGTCTCTCTCGCGTGTTGGGTGATTTTTTCGTTTTCCGTCTAAGATCGCTGAACGCCGATTCATCATCTTTGGTCATAGAGAGAGGGACGGTCAACATTGCCAGTTCCATCTCCGGTATCTCGTCTTGTTCTTCTCTCATGTATCTCATATTCGAGGATTCATGTGTTCCCGGAGATCCCGCTTGTATTAAATTGTGCTCTGAGGTATATGAGGATATCTGTGAGAGCGGAGGTTGAGGAAGAGCGAGAAGTAATGTTAATCTGACTGTGTGAATTCCCAGGTTTTGAGCTTTACCAGTCGGTGTGGAATCGGGAAGGAAAGATACGGCAAGTGGCTATGATGAGCTCGAACAGCAAAGACCATCTATCTGACCATCTCCCGTCCCCCGCCACCGTAGTGACTGAGGAAGATGCGGTGGGTGATCAGCGTTGAGAGATGAGCCGAGTTGAGTTGACAAGTGCGTCATAAAGTGGAGAAGTAAAAATTGATGAAGAAGGAGCAAACCACTTACATTGAGATCCTCAAATCTCATCTCATCAAGATTATTGCTAATTCGTGGTGAAGGAAAACCAGATTGAACTTCATTGACTGAAACATTCACTTCTTCTTTCTTTCCACCATTCTCTTTCTCCCTTTTCCTAAGTTTGATCTTCTCACTTTCTTTATTACTTTCCTCACCTTCGTCCTTTCGTTCCCCCATGTCCCTCATTCCACCCTTCACCTCCACAGTCCTCATGTATCCTTCCTGTTCCATTCTATTCTCCTTACTCCATAATTCTTCTCCCCTAGATCCGGCTTTATCAGTCCATTCCAAAACCTCACCCGACATAGAAGTTTGCGCAGATTCATCATATCTAGATGTATGACCAAGACTGTTATCGTAGATGGGACCAAATCTTGAACCAAATTCAGACTCCACCATAACATCCCAGATCTCCGGTTTCACAAACCTTCTTCCCTCCTCCGCACTTGATGATATGATAACAGTAGGAATTCTATGAGCTCTTCTTCGATGATAAATAGTTCCTAATATCCCAGTGATAAGTAAACCTCCACCGACGAGAGAAACTATGATTCCTTCGTATGCCGGTGGAAAGTATGGGGAATTCATGATGTCGCTCATTCTGTTCCACTTGTCCTCTGTACTTATCCTCTTTTGTCTATGTCAATTATCACAGAGGTTCTTCTCGATCATGATCATCGATCGTGTCGTGAAGTATCTATTGATAGCTTCTGGTCGTTTGTGCAATGAGAACTTGTGTAGTGAGTCGTCATTCACTCGTAGCGTTGATTTCTTGACGAGCTATCGTCTAATGTTCTTCACTTCGATGGTGATCGTGAGTAGTGTCGGATTTTGTCTCTGAAAAGACGAATTTTCTTGCGGTGAGGTTGATTCTTCACTTCTTGAACGGTCCACAGTACCACAGTGGTTCAGGATTAAAGAGAGGAGTCAATCTGACCCATGCTGATTTAGTGGAGAAACCACATTCCGCGATCCTCAGAATGTCAAGTGGGTAGGATGTAGGAAAGGAAGTATGTACTACTCGTAAGCGATAAGCGAGGGATGAAGATCTTTCCCCCCCCCACTCAACCCCTCCACCTCTCACACATTTGACAGAAGACATGGCTACTCGGTGATTCCTCAGATGAAGTACTCGTACCCTTGCGTAAGGGGCAGGAAGTACAGGCAGAAGGTAACATGCCAAGGATCGAACTCTATCTCACTTGGCAGAGTGTCTTCTGCTGAATTGGCGCATCGTGGGGCTCCTCTTTCAGCTCTACTCTGCCGGCAATCTTGGGCAAAGCGCTGAGTTTTTGACGCTTTCCGTTTTGCCGAGTATCATATTAGAACATGCAACATGCTACATGCAACAGCAAAGGATGAGATGCAGATGCAGGAGCAAGTACATTCGAAGAAAGTACAGATATGTACAACCATCATTCGCCATTTTCTCGTACAGCGGCCACATCCATAGCCCTCAATGCCTGTTCGTTACGTTTCACCAACTCCCTTAACGCCTCCTGAGCTGCCGTCGTGGGTGTATCGACCTCTGCGTCTTCATCGGCATTCGGAAGTTGTTCGACCTTCTCCTCTATATTCTTATCTGGAGCATCTTCTATTACATGCTCAGCTGGAATAGCAGGGAGGATGGCGTCTGTTGTATTCTCGTTGACTGTCGCGTTATCGTTTGATTCCTCAACCAGGAGATCGTGAGGGTTCGGAAGGGTCGTATCTACCTCGATGGCTGAGGGTAGGTCTTGTTGCGGAGATCGAGAATGTGTCGCAGGGAAAGAAGAGGAAGGAGCTTGAGAAGGGGAGATTGGGATTACGGAGGGGATTTGATCTTGCTCGTTCGCTGGGTGTATTGGGACGGAGTGCCTAGCGGGGAGAGGTGGGGGAGCGTGATGAGAAGGAGTAATGGTCTTTGAATCTTTCGTGTCATGTCTAGCATCCGTAGACGATAAAAGCGAAGTTGAATTCTCAGAATTTGTATCATTCTCATGATCAAGAAGCAAGTCGGAAGATGTGCCATCGTGAGACTCTTTACGTGGTGGTAATGGTGGCGGACCCAATTTCTCTATTCCACCTACTTGTACTTGTTCTCCTTCACTTATTGATCTCTTCATGTCGTCATCATTGTCCTGGTTTCTCGACGTAGAAGACGCCATCGCTTTTGAATTTGATCTCACGGCAATATTATCCGTCTCATGTTTATGTTGTCCCTCAACCTCCTGATCTCCCTGTACCAAGACCGAGTTGCTTGACCCAAAACCAGTTACCTCCCCTGGTCTTTTCGGTACTCGAGGAACGACCATACTTCTCCCTGCGTGAGGTTGCATCGATACAGTCGGCCCGGTCGATTGTGTCCTCTTGATTCCCGGTCCAGAAACGGAACTGGCATTGGAAGTACCTTTTGAATTTGTTGTCATAGGTGATTTAGAGATAGAAGAGATGGTTGCTGGTGTGGTGGTAGATCCAGAAGCAGCATCCTTGACAACTTCAGTAGTTGGTCCTCCTGATCCTAAAGTCCATCCTGTGGGAGGAGATACTCCCAGAATCTTCTCAGTCACGAATTTCGGCGAACTCGCTAAGGCCGGTCGACCAGATAAACTTTGTTGAGATGACGTCGAGCCTGCTCTCATCGGACGAGAGGTGGTGACATGAGCAACGGCATTGAGTCGATCTTGCAATGAACGTCCTGGTGATTCTGTGGAATCCCTAAGTTGTGGGGAAGAAGGGATGTCCAGTTCGTCTTCTTCAGGACGATACAATGCGGCTGGTTTGTCGGGATCGCGATCATCCAGAACATCAGGTTTCAGACCAGCTTTACGTTTGGCGGCAAAATTCACGCCCCATTTCTTCATCGTGTCCCTCGCAGCGTTCACTTGACTTGCAAGAGCCTTCTTATCTCTCGCCCGTAGAGAAGATATCAGTGTGGCGGTTGATGAGACACCGAGCTTCCCAATGGTGTGATTGGATTCGGGGGACGATGATCTAGTCAGGTCCTGCCTTTCGCTAGAAAGTGGATCTAGACTATCTGAAGATCCAGTGGATACAGGTAGAGCAGTGCTGGGTTCGGTGACTGACAATCGAGGCGTTTGGCCAGTCGGATCGGGCGTTGTTGCAGCAGTAGGAGTAGGTTCGGAACTCTTGCTTCGGCTCAATAGAAGATTGTCTTGAGAAGGGTTGTTTGAACTCGATGGACTGTGAGAAAGAGATGATGACGGACGATGTGAAGTAGTGGCAAACCATTTTCTTGTAGCTTGAATGGCAGTGGCTTTTTTGTACGGATGTGAAGACACCAAAGTCGGAGGAGCAGTCTCGACTCTTGTCATACTATCCTTCACCGAAGGTTCATCGCTTTCGTCATTGAGTGATGCGGTCGTGCTGATTGTCTGAGACTTAGCCGGACGACGCTTGCGCAGGGCCGGGGTCTCCGCAGTGGCCGAAGCTGGATCCTCGGCGGATGTGCTTATCTCGATAGGGTCGGAGATCTCTTCAGTTTCGTTTCTGGGGACAAGGGAAGCTTTGCGAGCTGAGCTGAATATACCTCCGCGTATATCGAGTTGGGAAGTGTTGAAGAATGCGATATCATCCATGTTGGGAATGACGATTGATTCAGCAATCTGTCAAGTCAGCAAGCGCGCCGCATCCTAATCCATGATCTACTCGGCTTCATGGTGTCAACAAAAGCAAAAGCACCCGATTGAAGACCAAAGAAGCTTGAGACAGAGTGGGTAGACCACAGGGCTGGGTGGAAGGGGAGATGAGGTCTATATAAGTCTTCTGAGGAATAGGACTGTACGACTTACAACCTCCTTCAACTGCTTCTCAATAGCCCTCAAGACCATCCCAATCTGTATCTTCCTGTCGCTCACCACCGGTCTAATCTCCACCTCCATTTTTGGCATGTGAGTAAATCCATACCATATCCTATTACTGGGAGGCTTCTTGATTTGTACCACCATGTTCCCCTCCATACTCTTTAACACTACAGCAAGGACCAAATCGACGTTATAGGGTTTGAATCCAGTGGGGATAGTGGCGGTGGTGGCTATGGTGATCCTGATCATGGAGTCCGGGTGGTCGGTTTTGGCTTTATAAACTGCGTGTACTTCGAAAGCTGCTGAACCGTCGGCTGTGAGATCTTTGAGCATTGGTTTGGAGAAGCTCATGTGTCAGCTGGAGCCATTATTGACCTGATATGATGTGGAGTGACTGAGCTTTAAGGACCCAGGAGGTCTGATGAGTGCTGATGGAATGGTCTGAGGAAGGACTCACAAAGGTGGAGATGTCCCCACGTTAACTTCCCGTACAACGATGGGACTTAGGAAGCTCGGTCGAGGGACTTTCGACAGTTTCTTCATGATCCTACTGATGATGAACTGTGGGTCAGTCTCCTGCCCATGCCCACTCTTCCCGCCAATTGAGGGAACGCAGTGATACAACAACTCAAACAGATCCTGGGGGAGGGAGTAAGACGATCGGACGAAGCCACTTACCCGCTCTAGAGCCTCAGTTCTGTACGCACTGAAGAAGAGTCTTCCCAGTATAGCATTCAACCATCTCATAGGAATAGGATCAGCCTCTGCGTCGATACTGTCTACCAAACTCTGCATGTCCTCTTGTGAAAAGATGTCTGAGGTATCGGGCTTGAGGGCTGAAGCTGAGAGTAAAGTGAGATACCAATCTTCCATTCTACTTTGTTAGTGAGGCCAAGGCGGTGACATTTTAATCTTCCCTACTTTTACCTCTAGGTTCATGACCGGCAAAAACTTCGATGAGAGGGAGGAGAGCAGTGGAAGAGAGACCGTTATTACTTCGCGAACTCTGAACGAGCACGTGCCATCTGGGGGTATGATCCTCGGTTCACTAGTATGGGGAGACAGAAGGGGGCACTGTGAATGGGATCATGTTGAGAGACAACAGCTCACTTGATATTCGATCTGTTGAACAAAAACCAAGGAGCATTTTCCATCCCCTCTTCCTCTTTCCCCTCTCCATCCATACCTTTCGCCAAGACATTGATCCCTCTATGCCCATCAACAACTCTCAAACATATCGCATTCCTCTTGGCAAACATCTCCGCATCTCTTCCATCAAAAGGTCCAGAAGGAGTCTCAATCCCCACTGTATACTTATCCACCCCTATCGCCGCTACGCAATTGGTCTGGGCTTCATCTTCATACAAAAACAAGACTGAGCCTTTCAAGACGCAGTAAAAGAATTCCTTAGGAGGTTGTTCTTTTCGAGCTTGACGAGCATCCATTACTTGTCGATATGTTTGAGCTATCCTGGCTGTATAAGTTGGAGCTCCATTTGTGGTCGATGATTTACTCTCAGACGTTCCTACTATAGATGACGGTCTGCTTTCTGTATCTTCCTTTGAGGTAGAGACATTGTCCGTGTCGGAATCAGCCTCAATGATAGCAGAGGATGAGTCGGATGCCGGGATAGTGGAGAAAGTCGCAGTGGAGGATTTGAGAGGAATGAATTGTCTTCGAACAGTGAGCCAACCACTGAGAGATTTCTGTGTTCCTGATGATTGAGACAACCGCTCGTCTCTCTCGGCTTCATGTTGCAAATGGGCCTTTCGGATTTTTCCAGGGTCGGAATCACCGATCGGAACGGATCCGTATGTGTAGATGTAGACCATAGGTCAGCTAGTGTACATGCAGTGAGATGATGGTGCGTGGGAGGTGGAGGGATGTGGGAAACTCACAGATGGTCAAGCCGAGCAAGAGGGGCACACAGGTAAAGCCGCCGATGATATAGATGAGAAGATATTGAAAGGGCCACCACATGATCAAGGTGACCCTCGTCCTACAGGGTGAGGGTCGGGAGAGATAGAGAGGTAGAGAGGATACTGGAGGTATTCAGACGAAGTGAGGCCGGATTATGCAACGTGGCAACGCCGTGTCGTCATCATGGGGGCTCCGCGACCAGACAACTGCATGCTGCATGCTGCAGCTGAAAGCGTCCCGGACTGAGACTGGCTTGGAACCCAGCATGGAGCACCAATTGCGGTGGCAAGTGCTCCGAGTGCTCCAGGCAGCTGGGCATGCGCGGCAGACAGGGGGAAGCAGGTGCAATAGCAAGACAAACTTTAAGACGCAAAGCTGTAAACATTCCATAATTGCATACTCCATACTGGCTAATTTCCCAAGAAGGAGAACAAGCTTAGGCCTCAACCTCGACGCCGTGTTCTTGAAGAACCTGACGAGAGTGTTCCTTCGCGTCTTCGCCAACATTGGGATTCTTCAAGGTGGCTTTGTGTCCTCCGATGACATTGCCCTAGGCGTCAGCGATATTGTTTAACATGAACAGTGGTACAAGGGGGAGATAAGGTGGTGTAAGTATCAGCTTACCTCGTTCTTGGGACGATCTTCGGTCTCGAGCTCACCAGAGCCTTCCATCTCAGAAAGTACTCTACTCATTAGCCATGTCATGGAAGGTGTACGCAGACTCACTTCTTCGAGTTTTCCTTGGATTCCTGAGGGACAGAATCGTTGTTGATAGCAGCCTTGTGGCTGATTGTCAGCTCCTAGTCACATTTTATGGTAGCTGAAGCTTGATCATGGCCAAATGGTTCCCGTGTCGGACGACGGAAGCATCAGGAGTGTTATTTGGGTGAGCGTACAGTGTGAAGAAGAAGGATAGAGATGAAGAAAACTCACCCTCCGGCAACTTGTTTAGCAGACATTATGAGGAAGGTTTGTGGTTAAGTTGAAGAATGTTAAAGTTGTAAGTGAAGTTTGAAGACTTGAAAACTTGATGGATGCCAGGTGAAGAATACAGGTTTATATCTCTTTTCCCCAATTCATCTCCTTCTCACAAAAGGACCGATCCTGACCGATTTCGATGACGGACATTCTGGCGTCATCGTTGACTCAACCTTTGCTGTACCGGTTGAGTACTGTCACCCTCAGGGAGGAGAGGTGAGCCCGTAGTCTGAGTAGGTATGGACTAGGAACGTGAGGGCGAAGATGACGAAAGAGGTCGGTGTGACAGTAAAATCGTTAGTCGTGAAACGGGTGACGAGAGTGGGATCGTCTTCGGGAGTGAGGGTGAAGCTGGAAGGTCGGAGAGACGTCATACGGTCCGAGCTCAGGTGACCGCCGATCCACATTGACTGGAGTCAGGAGTCCAGGTTGACGAGAGATCAACGTTCGTCTCTTGATCGATCGACAAGTGTGTCTTGTTCACTACTTTTAGTGATCTTGAACCCATGGGCCAGGCGCGAGTTTCGTCATAGGACTTCAGGGCATTTGGAGTAGACTTCCTTATTACTGTATGGTGCATATGGTCATGTTGTTATGTTGTCATCTTTTTCCTCGATCGGACCAATCGGATGGGCTTGAACAACTTGAGCATCAGCGAACCGAAAGTCCAGCGAACCAAAGACCACCGATCTAATGATTCAGCGATCTGATAAGATCAACGATGAGTGATGTAACGAAACCGGGGTTTTAGCACCGATGTGCCATGTGCCCACCTAACGCGTTCCTGTCGTCTAGTCAACCGAACCACTACGTCAATGCGAATGGGAAACGTACCATTCTCGTAATGCGCCAACCCGCTTGTACTCGCAATGTGGCATGTGGCTATCATGATCCTCGCTTCTACTCTTTCAATCGCCAGACTTCCCGTTTAGAAGGGTGGAGGAATGGCCCCTGGCCTCTCGCTCGATCATCCTGATCCTCCTTCGATCTAAGATATCTGCGATGCACAAAGAATGGTGATGACGTCCGATACGACCGGGTGCGGGGCCTCTGGGGAAGACACAAGAGGTGCATCACAATGTTGGCGCACGGGTGATTTCCTCCATCCCCTCACTCTCCCTCAAATCACGATCACTCTTCTCGCGCTGATCCAAGCTTACATGCTGTACTTCTATCAACCACTCCGCGATCTCCTCCCAATATCCCGGAGCTAGACAAGTATCGTTATGCTCTCCATCCAACTCTTTCCACCGTATTCGACCATCATTACTCTCACGTATGCTTCTCAAAGCCAGCATCTGGGCTTGTGGGACGAGAGAATCCCTTCTGCCAGAAAGAAAGAGCATTGGTGTAGTGGATGGTATACGAGGAAGGTAGAGATGAGAATCCCATCTTTCGGTCAATAGGATTGGCAGGAGGAATCTGGGTATTTGAGGCATGATCAGGGGAATGAGAGACTGAAGAGAGAGGAAAGTGTTTTCGATGATTACTCCTGATACCTGACAGTCAGCGAGATGACACGAGGACGATATAACGTAGATAAACACCAAGTCTGGATGATGGGCTGCAGCCCAGATGCATACTGCTCCACCAATTGATTGACCGTACAACTACTCTGTCAGCTCATTACTGTTTTGAAAAATCATCTCACGATGAGTTTGGTATCATCAAGAATGGGGTGTTTCGTGATGTACTCCAATGCAGTCTATGATTGAGCTTTATCCCACAAACGGTATTCCGACTCACTTCCACATCTATTCGTATACCTACTCGTCAGCCGCTTCCGCTCGATGATCCAGCAATGTGCTAGCTTACCTCTCTCAGATGCATGACCCTCCGACTGTCCATATCTACTTCTCAGCGACTTGTGTCAGGTGCGGAGAAGGTACTAACCCCCGATAGCTAAGCATGAACACATTACACCCCAGTTCCGCGTTGAATTTGCGAGCTAGTGGCACCCGATGTCCCATATTGCCTACTTGTTAGTTCAGACCGGATCTCCGACGAGAGCTCACCAGCGTTAGCATGAAAGAGTACGATAGTAGGTCTGCTCTTGGCATACTGCAACATCAGACTGTCCCACACCGTACATCGTCACCCCACTTAAGAATCGACGTAGGGATGGAGGAGAGAAGGAAAACTCACTTCAAGAGCATCTTCGTTACCCATCTCTTCAGTCCATTTCTCAACTTCATCCGCCCCTATCTTCTCTCGCTCTTTAGCAGCCAAACCCCTCAGCTCAGAAAGCTGGACAGGATGTCTACGAGCGGGGATTACAAAAGCTTTGATTTTGACATGGTCCGATGTGGTCAAGGTGACATCTTCGTAAGGCAAGCCTACTTCGGTAGGTTTTGGTACATCTTCATGTCAGTTGTATACACTGCTGAAGCATGAAGTTTCCGGTCGACCATCACCGTCAAAGGCAGGACAGTTGTCTGATGGAAAAGCCTACACATTGATAGACTGTAGAGAGACAAGCATTACATAACGAGATAATGTGAAGACTTAGAGTACTGAGAAGAAGAGGAGGTAGTAAAGAGCTGCGTCACTCTACTCACATAGTCTAGATCCCTTGGGGACGTAAGAAGGATATATCAGCGTTCGTTGAAAGTACCACAGACCGCCGGCCAAAAGTGTAGCCCCAACACCGGCCGTGCCCAAAACATACTGGGATATTAGCCTTCCGAATAGACATACAAGGGACCTCACCTTGACAGCAGTGATAAATAAACTGCTAGACATTATCCTAGCGAAGGAGAGCGTTGGCGTACTTAATGGAATGCAACGCATGCAACGGTCCAAGCAGCCTCGACCTGTCATCATTTCCGACGGAACTGGGCCATGTGGCATGACGGGACCAAAATATCACACGTCCCTTCCACTTCGAAAGATCTTTGACTGTTCTTCAATCATATTGCCAAGCTGGCAGAGAGAAACGTCATGTCACAGACTATCGTCCTCCCAGGTGACCGACTATATCTACCCGAATCATCTTCTGTGACGCTAGGACCAGGTATAGCATCATCCTCTCGATCCGGTAATTCAACTTCGGACTCACTCATCTTCATCGCGACAAAGCTCGGGGTGTTGAGCAGTGTCAAAGGGAAGGAGAAAGCGCGGATATGGGTGGAGACGAGAAGTAAGCGAGTGAGTCTTTTCTGTGCCCAACCTATGCAACATCTATCATCGGAAAGGAAGGCTCGTGCTTGAGATAAGACGTGTAGATGGGTGGATGTTTGAAACATTTGTCGGGAGTCGGACAGGTAGGAGACGGGTGAATGAATGGCATTTCTGGTGATTCTGACTTGTGAAAACCGGCTGATCACAGTACATCCCGGCTCAGAAAGATCTGATCATAGGAACTATCATCGCTCGTCATGCCGAAGGCTATCGAGTGGATATAGGAAGTGCCCAGATGGCACAGTTGGACGCTTTGGCTTTTGAGAGTGCTACGAAGAGAAGTAAACCTAATCTCAAGGTATGTTCTGAGTTCCAGCTCATCTTCAAATAATTTAGGGCATAAATCTGCCATTTATGAAGAATAACGGAGCGGGGGTATAGCTGATATACAAGATAGGAACTCTAGTCTATGGTAGAGTCACACTGGCCAATAGGGATATGGATCCGGAGATCGAATGTTTTGATCCGTCTACGGGGAAAAGTGAGGGGTTTGGGGAATTGAAAGAAGGTCTGATGGTAGAGTGTAGCTTGCAGTTATGTAGACAGTGAGTTTACTTTACCCTTACCCATTCGTCTTCACTCCATTTCTCATTTTTACTTCTCGTTCATATCCGATTCTGTCTGGACTTGACCTCTTCATCAGCTGGAGACATGACAGAAGTCTGACTGTGAACACACGTATGTACATTCGTTGGCTAGACATCGCATTTGTTGATTCTGTAGGGAATGCCTGGCTAACTTAGACAGACTTCTCAAACCCAAATACCCCCTTTTACTAGCCCTCGCCTCACAGGTCAAATTCGAAATCGCCATCGGTCTCAACGGTCGGATCTGGCTTAAAGCGCCTTCGGTAGGAGAGACTATTGCGCTGAAACGGGTTATAGAAGGTGTGAACGAGGGTAAGGTGAAGGTGGAGAAGGATGAGATTGTGAAGTTGGTCAAGGAGTATCTGGCATAATGTTTTCAGTATCATATCTCATGCAGAACATAAACATACGAGGACCGCTACCTACAGCCGCCACACGGCGGTACAAAGCAAAACCACCCGTACACCTCAGCAGCTGTGGTGATTTTTTGCCACCCAGCGAAATTCCGAACGCCGCGCGCTGCATGCTCTTTCATCCACCCTTCCTCCCTCATCCTCATCACAACCATCCTTCTCTTCGACCTTGTCCGCGTAATTAGTGCTCCAACAGGTGGTTTGGATCCACCGCAACTCTTAGTGACCGGACTCAGCAGAGAGAAAATCTGACAAGATGGGTGGAGGTGATTTGAATATGTGAGTGTCGCCTCTCACGTCTCCTCTCCGTTGTTGCCCCGCGGCGCACCCTCCTTCTGCACGTCTATTATTCTCATCTCATCCCAGGATCCTCATCTTGTCACTGCTATATCATGTCCCTCTGTCGCGGTTCCCAATTCTATGCTCAGACTATTCCGAGAATGATGTTGTTGTTGAACCGCGTCGCTCGAGGAGCCATCAACAACTCAGCGTCAACATGATGTCAAAAACTGACATACAGGAAAAAGTCATGGCACCCCGTGCTCCTAGTCAATCAGGAACGCGTGTGGAAAGCCGAAAAGGCCGTGAATGAAGAAAAGAAGAAAGTCTCTCAATTGCGTAAAGAGAGGGAAGAAGAAAGACAATTGGCCGAGTTGCAACGTATGCAAGAGGCTTCCACGGGGCGTAAAAGAGTAGAAAGATTGGACTGGATGTATGCTGCTCCTGGGAATGAAGGTGGAGCGTTGGGAGGAGCGAGATTAGGAGAGAAAGAGATGGAAGATTATTTGTTAGGTAAGAAAAGGGTGGATGAGGTGTTGGCGCAAAGTGATAAGAATGTGAGTGTCCTGATCGTCTGACTTGCATCGTTCTTACATCATCACTTCCCACTTATCCTCATTCATCTATGTCTCGGTCTATGATGTTCACAAATTTCACCCTTGCCATCAAGTACTCGGATCCCCGGAGTGAATACCCCAGCCAATCTTTGTCGTTATATCGGGCCAGACATCAGGGCACCCGAGCCATAAGAGGATCATGAGACGGACCAAAGGGGAAATGCTGATGACAGGTCGGGAACCTCCATAAAGACTTCATAGCTATACAAAGCGCCAACACCGCTCGAGACACCGCTGCCAAAATCCGTGAAGACCCTCTACTCGCTATCAAACGTCAGGAAATCGCCAGCATTGAAGCGCTCAAAAACCGACCGGAAGTGAGGAAGAAATTACGTGAGATGCAAAAGGCGAAAGAGATGGACGAACGAGGTGAAACCAAGGAAGAGCGCAAAGATCGACGTCGAGCGGAGAAAGAAGAACGTAGGGCGAAACGAGATGAAAAGGGTAAATCTCGGGACAGAGATGATGACAGACATCGTCGTAGGCATTCTGACGATCGATATCGAGATAGATCAAGAGAGAGAAGTTATGACCGTGATCGATCTCCTAGACGGAGTCGGGATGACCGAGATAGGTATAGGGATGATGATTCAAAACGACGGAACGATAGATCGGAAAGTCGTGGCCATCATCACGAACATAGAAATGGTCATACAGAAAAAGCCGAGATTAAACCCCATCCTTCTCGTCCCTCAGCTATGGATCTTGCCGATCGACCGACATCATCTCGTTACTCCCCTCCCACAACGTCGCACGTCAATGGGTCTGGAAGTGGAGGTGCAAATGGGAATGGACAGGGGAAGAATAAGTTGGACGAGATGCGTGCTGCTCGACTCGCGGCCATGTCACAATCGGCGGATCAACTATATTCTTCTCGTACTCAAGTACTCAGTCAGAGAGCGGAACAAGAGAAACGCGAAGCGGAAAGGGAAGAACGATTGAGAAGCAAGTATGGGCAAGAAGATGTCAGAGGTGGGTTCTTCAAGGAGAGGTCGAATATGAATCTGTCCGAGGCGCTTGGGAGACGTGCGGGGAAGGGATTGGTCAGTTTGGATTGAAGTCGATAGCGGGTTTGCTCTCATAGACAAGAACTGATGCTGGAAGATGTAAGCCATGCATGTGTACAATGTAGCTTTCTCCCTCGGTCAGAGACTCTGTTTTATGCCTATGCACATGAAATATTCAATCAATCATACATGACATACAAGAAACTCAAAGACTACTCTCCACCTCTCTTCCCAGCAGTAGCTAAACAACCCTCTACAACCTGAAGTAAATGTTGATTCTCCAAAGCCGCTTGAACCCTCTCTTTATCATTCAATTGTTTATTGACAGCATGTTCACTTTGATGCATTCCTTCTTTAATCCTGATATCCACTCGGAATCGAGGTGGGAGTGATCTTAACAGTCTTACACGAAGCGATAAACCGATAAGGGTTGACATGGAACAATGTGGGATTGTAGGTGTTAGATAGACCAAAACTCGATTTCCTGAAACGTGAACGTCTTCTGGGGTGACTACTCGGAGTTGTTCCAATGTGACAGGATGTTCAGGATCTGTTATGCTTCTCAAAAGGTCTACCAGTAAGCATTGCTCTATCCTCCGCAGGACTGGGTGATTATTCAGAAATCTCCAAGCCGTCATCTCTATCTCTCTGTGTGTGTTTGGAAGAAGCGAAAGGGAGAACGGGAAGGGAGTAAAGAGGAAAGACTCACCATACACCTCCTGAGAATCGATCTCTTCCCTCTCCTCAGAGTCTTCCCAATCCAAGACAGCTTCATCCCACAACATGGCTCTTGGAGATTTAGTTCGAGAAGACAACGACGCGGCGGGAGTGTTGAAGATTGTAGGATTAGCATTGTCCAACGCTTTTGACATCTTGTCTATTCTCAATTCGACTCTTCCTCTTGAATACACTACCAGATGTCGTATGAAAGTAAACTTTTAATCAAGCGTATCTAAGCGATGGCGGTCGTACCCCTTTCGGCCTTTTTCGGCAATCAGTCAAAGTGGAGGTTCTTGCCCTGTGCAAAGATACTGGAATCTATTTTGCTTTGAGCCTATCTATCTATCAACCAGATCTCCTCTCAATCTCCCTCGTATATCCCGTCATACACCTCAGCTCTGGTAGATAAAGAACAAGATCTGTTCAGAAACATGTCAAGTCCTCCTTCAATGTTACACAAAGGTGCGGTGGCAGTGATCACCGGTGGGGCGTGAGTTCATCAAATCTTTTGTCTACTCACATGTACACATTCCTTCCATGTACATTCCACGACATGTAACCTCAGATCTTTCAGAGATACACGAAGAGCCGGGAGTAGTGAGAAATATTAACTTCTTCTGTGTCAAGTCACGAGAACAAATGATTCGGAGGAAAGCAAAGATTCCCTTTCAGGTGGTGAAGGGAAGAAGAGCCTTGAGGGATCAAGACTGATGTTCCAGCTCTGGAATAGGTTTAGCCTCAGCACTTCGTTTCGCACAACGAGGAATGTCAGTATTCTTGGCTGATATCGACGAGAAAGCTCTCAAGGTTGCTGAGGACAATGTGAAAGGTGTCGAAGGTGTGGGGGAAGTGTTGAGTATGAAAGTTGATACGGGTAATGTGGAAGATGTTGTGAAGATGAGGGAGAAGGTTTTGGATGAATTTGGAGAGGTGAGTAAGGTTTCCTTCATGGTTATTAGGTTTAATCTTTCTTGATCCATTTGAACTCATATAGTAACGCTTCCCATTCTATCTCACATTCGACGATGAAATACCAAATTACCTCTTGTGAGCGGTGCGAAGTATATCCATGAGACACAGATACCACTTTGGGGTCAACAAAAGTTAATCACATATCGACCTTCTCTTTGTTCCTCACGAGGATATCAAAAGGAATTATCCCTTTCACCATCATCCTGGCAGAACAATTGGGCATCTTTTCAGTATGAACTCCTCCCCTCTATAACCTCATGAGTATGGCTTTAGCGGAACAGGACAGTACAGTAACCAGAAGTTGGGAAATGTTCAAAGACCAGAAAGAAAATTGAGATCACCACATGACTGACATACAGGTTCACGTCTTACTTAATAACGCAGGAACTTCTCGTCCTTGTCCCGCTTTCTCACTCTCTACTCCTTTAGCGGAACTACAACAAAACTGGGCAACTACCGTCGGTACTAATCTTCACGGAATCATAAATGTCGCTCAGGTCTTTGCTCCACATATGGCGAGACAAGAGAACGCTAGTGCTATAGTATGCACGGGGAGTAAACAGGGTATCACTTGTCCTCCGTGAGTAATCTCGTCTCTTCCTATCCGATCTGATCCCTACTTCTGACCTTTATCCATATGGCTTCCCTCAATTTGTCACAAACTTCTGCCCCGGAGATAACATCTCGTGCAGATTCTAGAAGATTTCTTTTCCTTTTGGTGGTAGTTCATATGATCGTCTGATTCTTTGTCGACCTATTGTTGTGTTACTTGAAAGGCAAGATAGAGTGCAAGGGGAGAATGCTGTTCATCGAAAGCTTGCCTTAGACATCCACGGGGCCCTCATCAGGAGATGATGGAACGCACTTCCATCAGGTGTTGATGTTCACATGTGATCGAGGCACTCATCATCAGGGGAAACGCGGGGTACAACGTTTCCAAAGCTGGTGTCAAAGCTTACACTGAGCAACGTATGTCTTTAGTCATTTTGTTGAGTTCGTTGCTGATGAGAAAGTGGCTCATGAATTGAGGAATACCCCTGGGTGTAACTGTACCGCTCATTTGTTTGTGTAAGTCATATCGTTCTCGTCAACCTTAGGCCCCTAATCTCAACATATCGATCACTACTTCCTCTTTGAGGTAACATCTCTGTCTCTCTGTCTTACGATAGCGACCTTGAACTCATCGACATGAATGACGGAGGGAGTGTGGGGAGGGATGAAAGGAAGGATGGGATGAGATGTCCCTGGAGGCTAATGTGAACAGCCCTGGCTGGACATACACAGGAATGACCAGAAGTTCCTCTGGTAAACCTGCCGGAGCTTGGACCGCGGAACAAACCGTCGATTATATGCTTGATAAGGTGTTTGACAAAGGAAACTTTTATGTTATCTGTCCTGATAACGAAACGTCGAGTGTGAGCATGATCTTCCCATATATCACTTACCCATCTGTTGCAGTCCGTCACTTGTCAGTCTTCTGTTGTCTCTTCTGTCAAAACAACATCATTGTATACAGGGAGACAGTCGTGGTTGTCACCGGAAGTGAAGCAGAATGTCAATGACTAACATGCAGCAATTAGACAAATTGCGTATTGAATGGTCTCTTGGAGATATACTTCAAAACCGTCCCCCTTTATCGAGGTGGCATCCGGAATGTATGTCCATCCTGTCATTTCTTCATCTTCACCCCTCCTTCCATCCGAAAGGTCGTATCTATCAGAAAAGTATCGCTTCCGCCTCTCTTCGTGTTGACTGAAGGACCACATCACATGAAGTGATCAACTATACGAGTGTTCCGAGGATACCAAGCTCATGTCTAGACACAGCAAGGTTCGAAGAATTCATCACCACTCGTCAAGGTCTTCAAGCACGATCACGTAGTCGTGGAAGACCTATGATCAAAGACGAATACTCTTATTCTGACTTACCTTCTCCTCTCCCATGATACTTAGGGATGACGAGTGAAACAAGCTCTCTTTTTCACAGATAGGTTAGCGGAGATGGTGTGCTGTGGTGTGAAATCCAGAGACCGGTTTTATGTTACCAAGAATTGAACACAACCAATTGAGAGAAGGGCTGGAATTGGAGATACTGTAGTAAAGTAATGACGGAGAGGGTGAAGATAAAACCATGCATTATCTATCATTTGGAAGATTCGAATATTCTCAATTCTTCCTCTTCTATCTCTTTCAATCTCTTATCTACTTCTGATCTCTTACGTTGTAAAGTTTCCAAATATGCTTCGTTTGATAATTGTCGGATCGGTAGAAAGCTGGATAAAGAAGATAAGATTTTAGTTGGTAACGTATCTGATTTGTCTTTAGCCAGTGGGTCTGCCATACTTTCTCTCATAGTTCTTCCTGGTAATTTGGGATCTGATTTCGTCATGTCCATTCTTGTGTTTGTCAGATCCCAATTGGTCTCGCCTTGTGTTCCAGTGAGGTGAGAAGACGATGAACTTTCCTTTGGAACAACAGGGTTCAAAGAAGTTTGTGATGATGAAGAAGAGGTTGGAGAGGTTGAAGCAGTGTCGATAGGAGAAGAAGCGTGTTCGAGAGAATGATCATGATCAGATTGTCTAGAAGCGAGATATCTTAATCGGATGATACGTGATTGATTCGTACCGTATTGAAGAATACCAGCTAAGAGAGAAGCCGTAAGAGCAGCACGGGGGATAGTCTGTTTCCCACCTATGTGCGTCAATATCATTTTCCCTCTTTTCCATAGTTGAACCCTCTGTCACCTGCTAGAACAGCACGAACAAAATCTTCATACTGGATGGATGGTCAAGGAAGGGAATGAGGATAGTATCAGATGAATGACCGAGCAAGACTCCGAAAAGATGAAGACGACCGATACTCGGTTGGGGAGAGAAGAAATGACGAGGATCAGGAGATGAATAAGGTAAGGTTTGAAAACATACAACAGGAGAGATGAAACTTACGAACGATACCAGATAAAATACCACCCGATAATAAACCTGATAATGTCGAATCGACCATTTTTTCCATTTTCATTTCGTTCAAACTAGCAGGGAGCTTCCCCAAGGATTTCTCACTTCTGCCTCGTATCATCTCAGAGCGGAGGGAGAGAGTGGGTGAGATTAAGTATTCTCTTATACCTGAGTATCAGCGAGCCTCCTTCAATCTTTCATGCAGCTGTTGAGGAAAAGACAAGACCGCTTGCCCAGGGAGTTACAAGCTTTCTCTTTCTTTCCTCTCGGGTGGAATGAATCTTCAGTTCCCTTTTTGACCCTGCTCTCTCTCTGACGCATGCCATCGGAAGTACCCGCGGTATGGCATACAGAGAGAAGAGATCAAGAGCGATGGTAGATATTGGAAAATGTCAGGTAGGACTGGAGACTAGGACTGACCGAAGAAGACAAATCCAGTTACAGCAGTGTTTAACGCTGAATGAACTGAGAAATATATCGGGTTCATAGTGCGTATAACGCCGACCAAAGCACCACCTGTAGCTCCTAAAGCACCTACTCTGTGAGCTTGTACTGCTGACAATATCTTCCCACACCGAATTGACCGAAGCTCTCGGATTGACAAGTTGGCAGAGTGCAGCCAGGGAGAAAAACCCACCTGAGACTAAAGTTGCCGTAGCCACATAGACCGGTGCTCCTGGGTCGACATGTCCAGCAAAGGTAGTGAAAGTATTGGATATTGTTGATTTCCCAGTCGTAGTAGTAGATGACGATGCTTGGGCTGACATGTTGCTGAACTTTGACACACTTGGAATGTAAAATCGACTTGTCCTACTTCTTTGGTTGGCCCTGTATGAGTTTGAAATGAAATTACCCAAAGTGGAGATTTTCGACCGGCTAACTCTGCATCGTCAACACGCGACGAAAGTTGAACGTCCATCCACTCGTCACCACCCACCACTCACCTCATACACCTTTAAGCTTCGTCTCAGAGCATCGAAGCAAGCCATCAGGTAGGCAGCAATGCCTCCGACTTCTTCTCTCGCCGCTCTTTTGAGCTCTCCTTCCGGGGAGAACGATTCGACCGATCATCCATCCGGTCAAACCCTACCTGACATCTCACTCGATTCTTTAGGATCCAGTTTTCGTTCTGAAGATTCTCAAGCTGAACCTTCTAAACAAACCCGTCAACGTATTCCTACTTGTGAGCTCTGACTACTATGACTTCAAGAGCTGAACCCTAGTACCTCGGATACCTTCCATACAAACTCCCGACACGTCAGCTTCAGGTCCTTCACTCTTCACACCATCCCCACCTCATGTGCCTAATTCTGCTCTTCTCTCTCTCTCGCCACCTACCACAGTCCGGCGAACCTCTTCCCACTCTGCTTTACCTGATCAAACCCCTGGTACTGCCGCCCCGAGACGGAATAGGATACTCAGTAGAAGCTCAGCTTCATCAGCTTCCTCCGCATCAGAAACGGATGGTCCGCTCAGAGACAGATATGGTTCTGAGGATGATGATAATGTTCTATCTCAGCTTTCGGTGAACATCAGTCCGAAGAGAAGACAGAATGGTGTGGGTTGGATGGGAGGAGTGACCCCTCGTGCTAAACAAAGTTATCATGGTGGTCCTAGTAGAAGGAATGGGAGACATAGCGTGGCGGCTGATGTGGGTTCTGGACCAATGACTTTGAGGGAACAGGAACAGGTCAGTGGTCCCCTCGTTTGCTTCTCTCTTGCCTGTAAGAAATGCAAAACCGTATTTCTGGATGAAGGAAGTCGAGAAGTGGGACTGACTCACAGCAACTCGAGGCAATGCGTAAAGAATTCTTCTCCCTCCAACTCGAGAATCACTTTCTCAAAGAACGTTTGGCGTCGATGGGCCCTGAATCTCTCACCAAGATAGCAGAGGAGAACGCAAAACTCAAAGCGGAAACTTTGAACCTGAGTAAGGAATGTAAAAAGTACAAAAAATTGGTTTTGCAACTCGAACGCGAGCTCGCTGCGTCTCAGCGGGGTGACGGAAAGGGATCAAGAGGAGGAAACGAGCTTAAAGAGCTGGAAGGGATGTGGAAAGAGGAGAAAGAGCGTAGAAGGGCACTAGAGAAGGAACTGGATGAGGGGAGGGCGAAATTGGAGGATACTGAGGCAAGTGAAGTGATATGGAGGAAGAAAGCAGAGGAGCTCGAAGGAGAGCTGGAGGGTGCAAAGGGTACTTTGGAAGACCAGACCGAAGAGATGGAACGGGTCAGGGAGGCTGCTGATAGAGCAAGGGATGAATTGGAGCGAATGCAGTTGGAGAAGAGCGAGCTCGGCGGTAGTGTGGGCTTGGGCAAAGGCAGGGAGGCAAAACTATTGCAGAAGGTAGCGGACTTGGAGAAGGTTAGTTTTCTCATAAAGATCCCTTCCCTTCACGTCGCCAAGTCGTTCATACCGGTCGTTATGGTCAGTTTAAGTTTTAAAGACAAGCATGCTCACTTGATAGGAACATGCCGTCTTGCAGCAAGAACTGGAGGATGTGCGAAACCGGGGCGGTTCAGCCGATGCAGATGAGCTCGAAGACGTGAGTGGTACCATGATCAGGCATGGTTTTGACTGACTGTTGAAAAGCAAATCAATTCGTTACGTGACAAGCTGGCTGCGGCTCAAATCGATTTAGATAGACGAGACCAAGAAATCGAAGAGCTCAACGCAGAGATCGAAGCTAAGATACGTGACCACGAGGCGGAGATACAGCAGGTGGAGGCGGATTGGAGGGATGAGGTGATCGAGGCCAGGGCTCAAGTAGACGAGCTGAAAGATGTGAGTATTTTTCTGGTCTACTGATCTCTCATCGTCCCAGTGATGCACAGTAGCTGACGAGCAGACTTTGGAAAACCGCGAAGCCAACCTTAAAGAATTACGCGATGCCCTCCTTGAGCGGGAAGAAGAATTGGCAGTGGTCAGCGAGAGGGTGGCCGAGCTGGAAGCTGCTCAGAGCGAGACTCATGATAGACTGGAGGAGACGATGCGGAATATCGAAAGAGACAACGAGGAGAAGGAGGCCGATCTCATTGCTGCTAACAAGGAGATTGAAGTTGTACGTGTTCCAATCGTCATTCCCGACACATGTCCTTCATTTGAATCGCGAACCTGACTGGACTATCTCTGAATGCTCAACATATGGCTGACTTGGCAGCTGGGACAGAGGGTGTATGAACTCGAAGAAGCTCTTGATGAGCTTCGAGTCCGAGAATCCGACCTCAATGCCGACTTGCGATCAGCAGATGAAGCTTTCGACAGTACGAAATCGCACTATGAGACGCTTGTCGCTGCTCTTAAGGAAGCACGACGGAAGCTGCAGGATGACCACGACACGCTGATCTCACAAATTCGCCAAGAAGAAGAAGCTCATCTGGCGGAGAAGGAACGATGGAGACAAGATAAACAGGATCAGGCTGATTCTCACCGTCGCGCCTTGGCCGAACAAGAGAAGGCGCAGAAACGTCTTCGAAGTGAACTCGACGCTGCTAAGGATAAGGTCGCCGCGAAGGACCGAGATATCGTAAGCGTGCAGAGTAATCTGCGGGCATTGGAAGATGAGAGAAGGAGGATTGGTGATGATCGTACCACCGACAGATTTGGTATGGGGATGGAGATTGAGAAGGTCAAGAGGGAGTTGGCTAGGGCCGAGGACGAGTTGAGTGTGGCGAGGGAGGAGGTAGAGTTGAAGGAGGCGGCGTTAAGGCAGAGAGATCTTGAGGTCGCGTCTATGGTGAGTGTATAACAAGGTTTTTCCCGTGCCTCAGTTTTGGACAGTCCTTCTATTTGCGGGTGTATACAATTGTTCTGAGGGAAATGAAGGAAAACATCTACGGACCCGATGAGCCAGAACCCAGCTGACAGGACAGATGGACAAACAACGTGATCTTGAAAGCCGTCTCTCCTCTGAACGTCAAGGTCGACTCAACATGTCCGATCGACTCGATCACGCCAACAAAGTGAGCTCCCGAGGGTCAGGGAGACAGAATGGTAGAGCTAATGTTCAGACTGCGAGACAGTTGGAGAAGGAAGCACAACAACTTCGAGAAAGACTACAAGAATTGGAGCCATTACTGACTGAGACGCAGCAGGAGAGATTTGCATTGCAGAAGCAGGCCGAGCAGCAGAGACAGGAGAGGAGTGACTTGTTGTTGCGCGTCTTCAAGGATATCAACAAGTTCTTGGGAACGGAAGTGAGTTGGGATCACTTCAATCCTCCCATTCCTACCGCCTCCTTTTCACCTCTGCTCGCACCGAAGTGTGGATGCCACAGAGAGGAGACTCCATCGGTGCGGTATGTATCGCTTCTGAAGAGACTCAGTCCAGTTCAACGATCGAGGGGACGCTTGACGCATGCTCATGATCAGGACCACACAACCCCAGTCAACTTCACAGCATTCCGCGACGCCTTACTCCAACGAGTACGTGCGATCAATCAAGTCAGGTCAGACTTTGAAAAGCGTATCAAAGAGACTGAGACGTCTGTCGATCAACGCATGGTGTGAGCTCCTGTTTTCTTGCTTTCATCTCCACCACCTGCTCCCATTCCCGGAGCTCTCCTGCACTCATATCGGACACTGTGGATGAACAGCCGTATGTGAGGTATGAAGGAACGATTTGAACGTGCCTCTGACATCCAGACATCTCAAGAAACAGCTGGAACAGAAATGGCGCGCTTTGGACAATTTTGAAGCTGCCGTCAAGAAACTCGAATTGACGCGAATGCAATGGAGGCAAAAGTATGCTCTCAAAGAGGGTGAACTGGATGCAGTAAAGGTGAACTCCAGTCTCCTCTCCTTCCTTCTGACCTTCTGAGTGTCACTTTCTCCTTCATTCACACTGGTCGAGGAAGGGGCTTATTGAGACATATGCGATAAACGGCTGATCATCAGACTAAAAATCAAGAACTCCTTCGTCAATTATCATCACCATCAAATCTTTCTGCTTCACCACCTCAAACTGCTCAACTACGCTCGTTACACGAACGTTGTTCGTCCGCTGAGAAACGTGAATCCGTAGCTAAACGTCAACTCGCAGATCTCGAGGCTCGCGTGGCGGAGATGCAAGCTCGGGCAGGACAGGCAGAGGCGAAGTGGGAAGCGAGAGTGAAAGAATATGAGAATAGGTTGAGGATAGCAGGAGAGAAGATCAAGACTGAGAAACAGGGTGGGAAGGAAAGAGCTGCTCAGTTGGAGGGACAAGTTCGGTCAGTTTTCGTTTTTTTGTTTCACAACTCAATTTGTTCCTGGAAATCTTGTCTTGTACTCTCTTACACTTCTCTTTCCCATCACATGATCATTCATACTCGGAGGAGGACTCGAAAAGAGTAATCTTGACAGACTGGCTTTAAGGGGGAATGAATGTGGGGGATCACATGTCCTTTTTGTCCGCCATCTGCCCCGTGTGGCTATGAGGTGTGTATGGGAAGACGACTGACGCGATAGGGAACTGGAGAGACAGTTGGAGAATGCCAGAAGACGGAATCAACGTGCCGAAGGGGTAGTAGCGAGCGCTGCACATCTCATGCCGGAATATCGAGAACGATAAAGGATGTAATCATTTGGGTGTAAGGTGTTAGTAGACGTGTTATCTGCATTCATCTTTGCGAGGTTTAGACCTATCTCATCGTGTCCACTCTCACTTTCGACACGTCAAGAGATGTGAGTCAATGATTAATGGGAGGCAACGACCATGTGAGGTGTAGTTGAAGGGACCAATCAAATACATCTCTGCACATCTGTTGCTATTTCTCAGATCGTTCCTGTTTTTGACCTATCTGACATGAAAGTTGAAGTAGATAGTCTGTACGATTCGACTAGCTGGATCCCATGGTCCAAGGTTCACCTGCGAACTGCGAAGTGGGGACTCCGAGCTCGAGCAACGTGCCGAAGGCCTTGGAGAAGCTTGACATTAGTGACATGTACGAGTAGACTTGTTCATGACACGCAGATGATCGCAGAATGTTGAGTGTGGCTGCAGGAGGGCCAAGGAAGAAGAATGGGAAAAGACTCACTCTTCAAAGAAAGCCTCTTCTGACTTGGCGTACTTCTCCACGTACTTTTCTACATGATCAGTATGACATCGTATTTAAAGATGTAAACGCACTGAAAGATTTGTCCTTGATCAAAGCCATATCGGTCCTATTCATCAGTACTTCTCAAATATGATCTCTTCCCGCAGCTGTTGCGATGCTGAACCTAGAGGGGTTAGGCTCTTGTGAGGGGAGACGGTTTGAAAACGGGTCAAAGCAAGATTAAACCCACGGAAGCATCATGAGTGTATGAGTCTTCTTATCTTCATATTGCGCAGGACCTTTCCATTTCTTCCATTGCCAAGGTTCGTTGAGTAATAAATCAAAGTATTGATTACTGAATGTCACTGGGGAGAAAGTCCAAGGACCGTCAAAGCCAGATCGATCGGTATGACATCTACCCATTGCGTGTGCTCCAGATAAAGCGACAATTTCTTGGTCGTTGAAGCTGTACGTCAGCGCGCGTTCCATCTCACACCACAAAAGGAGAGATCAACACCCACCCCATTCGGTAAAAGATAAATCGGAGATGATCTTGCGCTTGACTGGCATCTGGTAATCGTCCATCAGGAGTGACATTGGTTTCGAATCCGTCGATCCTCCCCGGACGCCAAGGGATAGTAGGTCCTCCTGCTTCTTGTACGGCACAAACACCTCCCAAAGTCCATAAATCGCCATACGAGATCCAAGGGAATTCTTTCTTGATTTTTTCCATGTGATCTCTAGCAATGTTCTGATCATCAACATTTTTCTGGAGCTTACTTGCTTGAGACTGAGAGAAAGAGGATGGAAGAGATCGACTGACCAGACCGTTGTTAGCCCCATGCGAAGCCTCGGCGGGGAAACGCATAGTAGCATAGTTTGATCCTCCAGTACCGTCTTCTTTGTTGTACGTTCCAGAAGCGTGCCATGCCAGACGGATGAAGACCGGAGCTAGGGAGCCGTCTGCGCATCAGCAAAAAGAAATCTGATATTGGGAACAGAGAGGACTAGACGATTTCAACCCAAACTACCCCAGGCGGCCAGGTGAATCAGCTTAGTGGATGGTTCGAGGTCTGTAGGGAAGATGCGAAAGAGTGGAGAGTAGAGGAATTACTCACCATCGTATCCCTCAGCGTCCAAAGTTTCGGCGATCCTATCGTACACTTTCTGATATTCATCCTTGCCTCGTCTCAAACCGACTTTGCCTTCCACAGTAGCCACAGCACCTCTGATCTTACTGTCGAGCTCTTTACCTGTATCTTTCGCAGAACCAGGAGTACCGTAGAAATAATAAGCCGTACCGGCTGCTGCTACTCCGAGAACACCGAGGAAAATAGGAACGTTTGAACTCCTAGGCGGTGGAGGGGGAGGCTGATTTATCAGCTTTTGCCGTCTCTCACCATTGATGTCAATGAAGCGTATTCGTCCTGCATGATCCTACGGATAGCTGAGAAGGATGATGCACGGAAGAAACGTACTACATCAGGTCCACCCGAGGCGAAACGTCTCTTCAAGACGGGAGTACGGAGAACAGGTTGAACAGGTCGTCTGGCTGCTGCACGAAGCATGGGAGTGACGCGAAAAGACATCTTGATGTTGTGGGTTTGCTCTTTGTCAGCTATCACTTTCAAAGCTCCCTCTTGTAGTGAAAGAGGTTTCTCCTTTGTGTGGGATGTGATGATGGAGGACTTACATAGGTTCAAGACTAAGATGTAGGCAAAAGTAAGTAGAGAACGATGAAAGGTGACGAGGTCGAGGTAGGGTGAATGGCGTCGACCAATCAGACAAGGCCGCTTATACAACGCGGGGTCCCACAATTCCCCCACAATCCTCGCTTTCACATCAACGAAAACTTTCAACGTTGAGAGTTGAACCCATAGTACGGTGATCTGATCATGTCAAGTTTGACGAAGAAACAACAAAAGGCGGCTGCTTTCAAAGCTAAGGCCAAGGGTAAAGGAAAGAAAGATGTCGTTCCTGCCGACTTACCGGAAGAAGATGTGATGGAAGTTGATGAGGTGATAGAACCGCAACCTGAGATAAAAGGGAAGAAGAGGAAAAGAGAAGTGGACGGGGATGTTTTGGGTCAAGAAAAGAAGAAAGATATAGGGAAAGGTAAGACCAAAGCTGGAGATGGATGGGTTGAGGATGAACAGGAAGAAGGGAAAGAAGGGAAGAAAAAGAGTAAGAAGGATGTTAAACAGAGGTTCATACTTTTCGTCGGTCAGTTTCATTTCTATCCTTGCACACAACTCAACTACTACTGTCATCCACGAGGGAAGATCGACTGACAAATAGGGAATCTTAGTTACAAAACATCTCGTGAAGCTATACAAGAACATTTCAAACCTGCTATAGGTACGTCTTCGTTCTTTCTTTCATACCTTCTCCCATCTCATTCTCCCTTCAACTGACACATAACAACCCTGCACTCCTCCCTGGCCAAAATGCACTATCTGGAATCATCTAACTGCAATGTTCGGAGATGAGGATAACCTATCCCGTCCTGGAGTCATGGCTCCTTGAAATAAGCACGATTTTGATCTCGCAGCGACGGATGGTACAGTGAAAAGGAATTGCTGAGCGATGGAACTAACAATCAGAACGTACCCCCTCCGTTCGTCTTTTGACAGAAAAACCCAAACCTGGTAAACCTGCTGGTCCTGCAAAATCCAGAGGAATAGCTTTCTTAGAACTTGGCTCATCCTCTGAACTTCAAGCATGTCTCAAACTCCATCATTCAATCTTACAAAACAGACAGATAAACGTTGAACTCACAGCTGGAGGGGGTGGGAAAAGTCAAGAGAGAAAAGGAAAAATCCGACAACGTAATGAACGGGTTGGTGGACAACGAGAACGAAGGAAAGAGAGGGAAGGTGAGATGGAGGATGAGGTACAACCTGATATTGAAGTTTCTCGACCTTCTGGTAGTGAGGGAAAGGTAGGAGGAGATGTTAAGGTGAGAGGAGGGAGAAGAGTTAAGACTAGTGTGAGTTGAAGATATCTTTAGAGATGCAGCGAACAACGCTGATCTTACAGTCTGAGAAATCGGAGAAGGGGGGAGGAAGTCAGAGAGCTGGAAATGGTCCTTCGAGATATCCAATTAATCGACAGGAAAGAAGACCTAATTCAAAGTTCGTACCGACGGGTGCCAACGCTCTGGTGGTTTCGTGATTTCAACATTGATGTATCGATCTATATTACTTTCCATCCTCCGTCCTTTCCTTCATCTGACTGGTGGTCTACTCAGCTGTCGGAACACAAAATCATTTCATTTTTGCGAAACTTGGAGCATAAGAAGAATGGAAGTGAGAAGAAGTCGAAACTTACCTCGAAAGAAATGACATTATCTTCTTCCTTCCTTCACTTACCTTTTATCAATCCGAGTTTGCTTCCCGGGAAGAAGCAGAGATCGGGAGAATTTTGTCTTTCTTTTCCTTGGGACATTACACCTCATCTTTGCAGGGCTATTCAGCCTGAAGCCCTCACCCTGACTCATCGAGGAAGACTTACTCGAGTAGATGAGAACGAGGGTATCACGCTGGTCTTATTGACTTGACTCTGCTTTTGAAAACGGACGTGCCAAACATCAATCTGATATATCCAACGAGATCATTAGATAGAAGTCAGGTCGATTGCTTGGGGAACATGTTAGTACTTCGGTACTCGTCCCGAAATCATTAACCTCGTACTTGAACATAGCACATCACAAACACGTATCAAAGAAAGAAACCTGACATCACATCAATTCTTAGCATTCAAAAGCATAAAAGATAAGTTTAATCAATTAATCATACAAATCCTCTTTCGAACCCTAATCCCTGTCATTTCATCATATATAATTTCCCTTTGTTCCAATATCATTGAGCCCAATTACCAGAATAATCCGATGAAGAACGTTTGTGTGCACCGACTCCGACGGGGGATGTGTTCAATTCGGGAGAATGTGAATCTCCATCTGATCCGACGGCTTGAGGTGAACGGGTACGTTCCCATTTTTGTAATTCTTTTGTGAACTGTAATCAGCACCGTCCGTTGCTTGGCCTTTACCACTCCACACACTGTTTTTCATCATGTCCAGCTTGGATGATCTAACCAGGAGACGAAAAAATCCTTGATGGGATATTGACAAGTAGGACATCCCGACTGGAAGGTACATGTCAAGTTTGTGAATAAATGAATGTACCATGACCCGCAGTACGGGGAAGAGAGACTATGATAGTGCGTAGTCGAATTTATGACACTTGAGTGAAGGAGGAAGAGATGTGACGATGAAGGAAAGAAAACAAAGTTTTCAACTCACTTTATCAAAAGCCATCGAGGCCTCTTCACTAGAAGCAGAATCTCTCTTCTTTACAGAAACATGATCATCATCACTGAACGGTTGTCCCATTTCCAACAAAGTGTTTATTCTTTGTTGAGCTTGTAACAATTCGTCTCTCAAAGCTTCAACTTCTCTCTCTGATTCGTCCATACGCAAACGCATCACCTCGGCTTCACGTTCACGAGCCGTGAGTACATCCCGACCCGCGTTGAGCTCAGCTTGCATCGTTGTATGTTGCGATTGTAAAGTGGCGAGTTTTCTCTGTAGTTCATGTTCGTTCGGCGAAGGTGTGGCTCTGCCTGAATTTCGGGGTGCACCAGGTTCGACGGATGCGCGACCGCGAAGATGGTCCATTTCGGATTGGAGTGAAAGATTGGCGGCTTTTTGTCGGGAGAGTTCGTCCTACGAATCAGCTGACTTCTGATATGATAACACATGGCAAGACCATACATAAGAATTGGAATGGTGTAGAGGCTAGAAGAGGGTAACACTGGCCCGGGGGGGGGGGGGGGGGAAGAAGGAAAGTTTTGGGGATAGATGCAGAAACATAACCCACCTTCAAACGCTTCATCATCCTTTCGGTACCTTTGACATACTTGACAGCAGTCTGATAATCACTCTCCAAACTCGCCACCTTTTCTTTATGACTAGCCTCCATCTCCGCCATTCTTTTTTCAACATCTGCCACCCTGGCCCTTTCTCCTTCCCCAGGTGGCGATGGTGATCGCATCGAGAGACTGGTGGGTGATCTGGCATCTTTGATTCTCTCCACTAATCTTCCAAGTGACTCCACTTTATTTTCGGCTTCCTGACATCGTCGAGTGAGCTCATCAATCTCTCTCTGGGCGTTGTCAAGTTCCCGAGTTCTTTCGCGAAGTTGCATTTCCAATTCTCGAGTTGTTGGCACTTCACCAACTTCACTGTCGTTGACTGCAATACCATGGTCGGCCACTACGAATCAGCGCTCGCTCGCAAAATACCAGAACCGTCTCCTAAGCCAAAGATTGTATGTACCCTCGCCTCAGTGTTCGCCGGTGGCATCTTTAGTGTACGGCAATCAAGTTCCACATCATCGCATCCGCATAACCCACAAAGTGGGAATATTGGGAGAGGTCTGAGGACAGAGGAGAGGGAAAATAGACAACAACTCACAAAGATTACGCATCATAGTCAACCTAGTTTCCATCTCAGTCACTGCCTGTTCCCTATCTCTCAACTCTGCATCTCGGGTAGCTTGCAACTCCTTCAATTTGCTCGTTTCCTCGTGTGACTTTCCGAGTTTATTCCGATGAACTCTGACTTCCGCTCTTAAAGCCTGAACCTGAGTTTCGAAATCACGAGCCTTTGTCCTATGATGGCTGACTCCAGATTCGGCGGCATCTAATCTTTGTCCAGCTTCTTTCAACATTCGTCTCAAAGAATTACACTCTTCTTCCAACGCACGAATCTGCTCCCTATGTCCGTGAGAATTACGATCTTCATCCGCCCTCATCTCTTTAAGAGAATCGATGACTTGGCCAAGTCCACCGGTGGTGAGGTTTCTCAATTCGTCCGCCTCCTCTCGAGATTGAGCGTAAGCATTTTCGACCTCTGTCATACGTTGTGTAGCCATGTCCGCATCTCTTGTCCTCGCTTCCAATTCGAGTCTCGTATCGGCCAATTCCGTCTCTAACTCTGCGATTCGGGAGGTGGATTTGAGGTTTTGAGCTTCCAGCTCCGTCGTTCGTAGACCGGCCGCATCGATAGCACTTTGAGCTTGTTCGATCAACCCGAGATGTTGGTCGCGAGCAAGTATGGCGTCATCTAACTTGGTACGAAGTTGATCTCTTTCGGCTTCTCGTTGTTGTGCAAGGGATGACAGTGTGATGAGACGCTCGGTATGATCTCTTACTGAAGCTTCGGCAACGATGACTTTTTGACGGACGTCTTCCAGTTCTTCGAGAGTATTTCGATGAGCTTCTTCGGCTTCTTCAGCTCGTTTCAGAGTTCCAGACTCTCGGTCAATAGCTTCGGCATGAAGTTGACGATCCGAACTACATTGATCGGAAAGACGTTCCATATCTCGTTGGACGTTGGTATGCTCGGCTGATAGAGTGGCGAGCTGACGTTCCAACTCAGCGATTCGTTCTTTTTCCAGTCGACCGAGATCGATAGGTGAGCCAGATTCCAGAGTCGCAAGTTTAGCACGATAGAAAGCTGCTTCTTGTAAAGCTCCACGACGTAGTCTGTCAGCTTCAGCAGCCTTCTCGGAGACAGCTCGCATTTGAGAAACAAATTCGTTCTACAGCATCAGCGGAGGGTTGTTCTTGCAAATGATATCTTACCTGTATCTGGGCCTTTTCCTGCTTCAACCGTATCAGAGCATCTTTCAATACTTGATCGGTACCACCACCGTCTGAATCCCGATTAGGTATCAGAGCCGCTTCATCTCGATCAGGAACGAATCCTTGCGCCATAGCACGACCAATAACCACTCTTAAAGCAGCTTCACGCTTTCTCCCATGATCCACTTCTGCTTCTCTGGACTTGAGCTCCCGTATCAAGTCCGCAGTGCCTGACAGGGAGGTAGGGCGTCCTTGGAAACCATTGGCAGTAGGAGAGCGAGCATAATAAAAGGCATCGGAAGGCGGTGTTGGTTTATCCACAGTGTCTGTCATTCTCATTCTAGGTGAGGGACTTCGAGTTCCCACCACGCTAGCGTTAAACTGATGTTTCACACCTTGAGGAGGTGAAGAAGGTCCGGGGGCGTTTGGAGGCGAAGTGACTCGAGCAGATCCGTTCGGTACTGGACTGGCTGATTCACCATGTTGGGGAGACATGGCACGTCGATATTCCTCGTCTCCTTCCCGTTTCGGACGTTGGGGCACGCCGTTGGGTATTGGTTTAGTCGCTTGTTGGGCCATTGCATCTAAAGATTCAGATCGAGGCATGGGCCGTTCGGGACTTCCATTGACAATAGGTATTCCATTGGGTCTTCCGTTGATTAGTGCAGGGGACATGGCTCGTTGTTGCAAACTGTCCATTGAGCCTGAAAGAGGTATACCACGTTGTAATGTTTGCTGTTCTATCGACGCCGGAGCCTGTGGGACAGATGTTTGACCCGGTTCTGGCGTTTTCGCTTTGACCCGCGGAGTCTGAGAATCACCAGGGTATTTGATCTTGGCTGATAATGTCAGCTAACAATATCAACGTGTTGAAGGACTAGCTTACTTGTATCTAGGACATGTATCAGAGAAGGGTCATCCTTCTGAGTGGGCATCGTGGCATTGGCTTCTCCACCCAGAACGAATATCCTTCCATGCGCAGCGACCATGGAATGTCCAGATCTCGCAGATGGCGCAGGACCCATGTTTTGGAACATGAACCATCGATGATCTGACCTGTCAGTTCCCTGTGTGTTCAATGAGGAAAGAATCGCACTGGAGATCTTGAAAGCGGCTAGATCCCCGAGATCTTTGCCATTGACATCCCGACCTCCGAACACATAGATGACGTCGTCTACGATGGCTGCAGCGTGTCCCTCTCGAGGAGTGGGGATATACCCGATACAAGACAGTTCTGTCCAAACACCCGTGGCCACTTCGTATGCCCATGTGTCATTGTAATGAAATTGTCCATCTGTACCTCCGAACCTGTCGAGTCAGCGATTCACTTTTATGTCAAGAGATTATGTACAGGTAGATTTTGCCTTGATAGGACATGAGAATGTGACCTGTCCGTTTAGGAGGTGTGCGGGTGGTAGCTTTGACTACTTCCCACGACTGTTGATCGCCAGAGACTGCATCATCAGCTCAACATCGAGTACCAGAATCGATTGACTAACGTTGCTTGACGTCGAACGCCCAGAAATCATCCATGAAAGCTCCCTCGGCTTGACCTCCAAACATGAACAGCTTGGATTCGTGCATACATACGGCATGGCCGTAACGACCGACTGGACCATTGGGGATAGATAGTTTTATCCATTCCTGGGTGCCTACAAATTAGCATCTCCGCACGAAATTCCCACTGGTCACAATAGCCGAAGTGAAAGGTCGAGGTGTATGACCGAACGAAGATGTTGGGTAGGAAACACTCACGCAAATCGAGAATGTATAAAGCCTCATCTTGTGGGTCTTCAGGTCGAACCTTGGTATCCCCTCCCCAAATCAACATGATCCTATCCGCGATAGCACTTGCATGTCCGACCCGAGGTAGAGGCGCGTCACCTTTAGTCTTGACGAGCATGGTCATGCAATCTCTCACGTCCATGGACCAAAGATCGTTCCTGACTGTCTCGTGCACAAGACCGCCGAATAACAGCATGTGGCCAGAATGTGAAGGGAAGCCTGGAACGGAGAGACCATATCGTGGGAAAGGTGATACAGGAGGTTGTGGAGGGGAGGATTGAGATGCGTATAATTTGATAGGACGTGTTGACCAGGGGAATGAAGAGGCTGGAGGAGCGGAAGGAGGACGTGGATGTTGGACTGGTAGTTGAGTAGTTTGAGGAGTGGGATGGTCAAGATTACCATTAGGGATCGTCTGGGGAGTCAACATAATTGCTAGGCATTTTTTCCGCCGTCGGCTTCTAGTAGTAGTCTCCTTGACGACACTGCAAGATGTGTTTCTACATCAAGGATGGACAACACATGAAATGTGTGATAGACAAAGATTGAGTAAGGGAATAATTTATGGTAGGATAAAGATGAACTCACAGGATTCGAAGTCATCCGTTTACCATTGACCATAGGCGGAGTAGCACCTATACCATTTTTCATAACTTGACCTCCCACAGTCGGAGCGTTACTATCGAGTTGAATGACAGGTGACATAGTAGAAGGAATAGACGGCGAAGAGTGTATCATCGAAGAGCGCGTTGGCGGAGGTGGTGGTGGTGGGGTGGCGGAAGTACGAGGAGGAGCAGGTCGAGGAGGGGGAGAACGAACGATACGAGAGTTAGAAGGCATAATGGATTGTAGATATGATTAAGAAGATAGGAATAAGTGTCAGTGGAATTTACCTCAATTATTGATTCTCTCTCCCTCCTTGTATTTGGTGTCACGATGGTGTGACACAGAATACAGTCGGTGTATACACTGTCACGCTTCATACACCATACACCATACCAACTTGACAAACTCGAAACACCACGAAACCAAACGTTTATATGATTATGAGGTTCGGAGTGGTGTATGAAAAGAAGAGATATACTGCGATCTGACAAAACTCAGATAGTTGGGAAAGTTGAGAGGGACCAAATGGTCAAATGAATAGAGAGAGGGTGAAGAGAAGGGTGTATGTTGGTAAAAAGTAGAATAACGAGATGAATTCCTCGATATGGAGAAAGAGATGTAATTGATGTATGACATCGATCGAGTAAAAACAATTTTCTTTCATAACCAACCTCGTCTTCATCCAATCTGTCAATCTGGGATACTTGACAAATCTCTCATGTTTCTTTTTCTTCCCACAGTCATATGAAATCATCCCATCCACTACAATCCAATATGGGCAGAATGAGGGAAAGAGGTTCGGATAAATGGGATGAAGTAAAGAGAAAATTAGAAAAAAAGACTCACCCTACTGGAGGACTCTGAGTGGGTGAATGATCTCCAACATTCACATTCAATCCTACATCCTTCTCCTTACTCTGTTTTCGTTTGAAAAGCGACATGTTGAACTCATCCAACCCTTTTCAAGAGTCTAGAGTTTTACTTCAAAAATGACTGCCTCGACACTCCTATGACGATGATCCGACTATGGATAGATATGTGGGATGTTAAGTTGTCGGTATCTTGGTATCTTGATGAGTTGATGTTCTGGTATCCAGTTGATAATGATGGTGGTAGAGGTTGTGGTTGTGGTTGTTTGACAAAGGTACCTTTGGGTGGATAATGTTGGACCGGGGATCGATGGTCGGGTTCACTCTGCTTTCGTCTTTCGGTCGATGTATCCCAAGCCAGATACGACTTTATGATACGTGGAGAGAGATACACTGTGATAGGTATGAGGATAGTGAGAGCGGAGCAGAGCAAGCAAGCAGAGGTACGGTAGATTGAGATGGATGATACAAGGGGCCAAAGGAGATGGATGGATGTGAGAGAATTCAGGGTCAAACATTTCGGCGTACGGTGCAAAGGTCCGAGCGTCACCAACGCGTCCGACAACCATGTTCACCCCTGTCCATCACCAGTACTTACTCGTACTCGTATCTATACTTGCCATATCTCTGCGTACACACTTTGGCAACTGAGCCTCATGCAGACTACATCTCTGCAGACTGACTGAAGCCTCGACGACACACTTCCTGGCTCATGCCTGAGTAGCAACGTCGCAGAGACTCACAGTCCGAGCCGTCGCGTCGACATGAAACGCACGTATGTACTACCCAGAACATGATCACATGTCGTTTATCGTATACACAGATCTTACATGCGCTCGTCATCGTCGCCTTGATGCGTATGAATTCATGATCGACTGTCCCCTATCCCCACAGGTCATTCTTCTCTCAAATACCTGTCTGCGCGACCAAGAGCCCAGATGCAAAATACGAATTTGAAAGCTACCATTAGGTCTTTTCCAACTACACGAAACAAGACTTACCGGGATAATCAATCGCACAGTTCTTATTGAAGATACCTTCCGTGTCTTCTTGTTCCCAACGTCCATCCGCTTTCTGACGACTCATGATGAGTTGGACGGCCTTACGGATGACATCTTTGACAGGGTATTGAGCGTAAATGAGGGCTAGAATTGCCCAGGCAGTTTGAACCACTTGAGATTGATCATGTTGTGAGTACTTTTCCGTCACGCATGACTGTCACTTAGCATTGTCATTCATTCCCCTGGAAGATGACTCCAGACTTGAACGTTCGTGTCTGAAAGGGGATAAAGGGTAAGGGGCGAGTTTGAAGGAAATTGACACACCATATAAGTCTCTCCCCATCCTCCATCCTCCATTTGTTTCCCAATAAGGAACGAACAAGCTCTCTTGACTCGCTCGGAATTATCGTATGTCTCCCCTGCTATTGCGAGTGATTCCAGAGCGAACATGGTAGCATATGTGAAACAAATTCCCCTGACCATCAGCTCATGCAACATGTCACTGTCAGACTGCTCACCATGAACCATACCATGACCCATCTTCACGTTGAACGCTGTGGATGTACTGGATAGCCTTCTTGACGGTCTGTTCCACCTCGCGTGCTCGGTATGAAGGATCAAGTTTGGAAAAGTATTTCAGAGCAGACAGCGCAGAGGTGGTGCATTCCGGGTAAAGGTAATCGACCATGATGTTTCCTGACGATCAGCCATCTTTTCCCAGCTTGACGTTTTAAGAGAGGGGAATTACGAGCACCAGAAGAAGATGAACATACCAAAAACCTCTGCTGCATTAAGCCATTCAAGTTTCGGACTTCCACGCATGAGCTCATAACTCGCATAACCACCATTGGAGTTTTGTAAGCTGAGTAAAGTGTCGATACTATCTCTCATTCTTTCCAATGTGACAGGTTTAGGAGTATAGTCTAATCCCTGTAGACACATGACAGCTTTCAGTCCTTCGGCAGTACAGTCGCTGACCTACAATATTAGTGACCCATACGAGTCAGGGGAAGCCAGTGAACGATGACATACCGTGTAACTCTGCTCTGGAGTGGAGAACGCCCAAGCACCTTTGGAACGATGTCTATATCCTTCTTTCATCCATTTAGGATCATGTTGCAATTGCGCTCTATCTAACCAATCAAGCATTCCCAATACACTCGTCTTATTATCCTCCTCGTCTGCTAATCCCGTTTCAACAGCAGCTTGAGCCATGAATGCTAAATCCCACAACTGACTTCCGTTGGTACCCATCATCATCATCCCATCTTGACTCAGCCATAAAAAGTCTCCTACTCTTGACAAATGCCTTTTCATAGCTTCTGATTCATTACCCTCTCGCGCAAATCGACATACCATATTGAAAGCCTTGGACACGGGACCTAGGGTTTGATATCCTGTGTTTTCGTCCTCGTACGAGAGTAATTGGTATGCACGATCGTTGGCAATCTGACGTAGGGGAACAGTCGATGATAAGAGGGGAACATTTGGTAATTTTTCGTATATGCCAAGAACGGAATGTAAGGATGATAAGATTGGGTGAACGGGGGAATAAATATCTATAGGACTGACATTGTGACGTTGTGAAGGCCAATCGATACTTTCGTATGGCTGAGTGTAAATTTCTTGACGAAGGGCGAGAACCATAGGTGTCATGGCACCGACAAAACGAGTTCCGTAGAGGTACGACATAGGAGTGACTGTAAATTAGCTCTGATGTCTCGTTCCTTCAGAGAGCTCACAAGTTTGTCGGACGTGGATCCACTGTCATTTCAGCGAAAGCTTGTGTACAGCTTGATGACTCACCCAACGCCATGGAGCAAATGGTACCCAGTCAGGTAATAACCTAACAGATCAACAAACTCTTACGACATGAAGGATCGATGCTGACCATAATTCTGGAGGAACAGGTGAAACACCTTCCCAGTCGTAAGCTCCAAGAACGGATAACCATATCTTCCCCCAAGTGGGTATACAAGTAGCACCTCCCATTTTATGAATCAGACCTCTGATCTCTACCATGGGTCCTTCGTCGGGTCCCATACCGAGCATGCGCAACGCGACGTAGTTCATAACTGTTCCGTATACCGTAGGTGGGGCTGCTGTATGTCTTACTAGTCAGTTTGAGACAATACGAAAGATCGCGAGCTTACAGACCCCATCCACCTTCCGGTCGTCTCTTGGAGAAGAGATAACGACGAAGTTCGACCTTTTGTTCATGTGTAAAAGAGTGTTTCGTTACGGACATGGCGATGACTAGACCTGGGGTGAGGAATAGCGGACCTGATCGTCAGACCCAGCGTTCAACCTCATCGCATTTCATCATGTACAATGATACAATGAGGGAGGAGGATAATTGTACATCGCACTCACCACCATACTCTGTGGAAAAGTGTCCATCATGGCTCTGAAGTTGTTTGTAGAACTTGAAGCCATTCCTAGCTGCATCAAGTGGAGATTGAGGTTGCGGAAGTTCAGGAGCACCCTGAGGAATCAGCAAGGTATATCGAGCCTACTTGAAGTATCAGATAGAAGAGAGAAAAGATACGTACAATATCTAGACCAAGCCAATACTTTGCTTCCTTAGTCTGCTTCCACTCATCCCTAGCTTGGCCGGGAGGTAAGTAAACCCACTTCTGCTGACCGTGAGAGTCTTCTCCTACGACGAGACGCCAACCAGTGAGATCCGTCTTCTCTGGTTCCCAAGACGCCATTTTGTCAGGAGAGGGGGTAGTTTTGGTGGGAGAGAATATGTAGCAAAGTGGAAAAGGTGACGAGGTGATGCCATGATGGATGTTGTTACCCCGCATTCCTCAGACGTACGATTGCGGGGTAACTCAATTCTGCGGGGAGATTAAGCTTAACTGCATGGTGCATGGTGCATGGTGCATGGTGCATGGTGCATGGTGCATGATGCATGGTGCATGGTGCATGATGCATGACATTTCTGTACAGAACTTGACTACAAAGATGTTACTTTCATCCGCCAGATCACATAGCATTCTTCATCTCCCTCAACTTACCCATAACTTTGATCGGGTCAGTCTCGCCCGTCGCTTTTCTGAAGAATCAGCAGCCGTACCGTCACAGTCGCATCCGGAGTGTGTGTGAGAGGAGAAAGAAGCAAGAACCTCACTTGGCATGAGGTGTATTGAGACGCATGAACACATTCCAACTCTTCTCATCTCCTATGGTAGATTTCCCAGTAGTGCACGAATCCTTTTGAGCTTTCTCCAACAACCTATCCGTCAATTATCTCACATAATTTCCCATTGAAGAACATACCCTTGCAGAGCTTTATTATCAGGTTCAATGGTCAACCCGAATTTTGCTGAACCTTTGGTATACTCATGACCGTTATAAACCACAGTGTCATCACGGAGGGTTCCGAGATAAGCGAGTGCTGTTCTCATTTCCTTTGGGGTTCCTTCTTATCAACTAAAGTCGCCTCCGTATTATTCTTAGTACGTACCTTCAAAGAACCGACCACAACCGGCGAGAAAGAGTGTATCTCTATTTCGTCAATGAGAAATCGATCACTGAACACAAGTGGGTAAGAGCTCACCCGGTGAAGACACCTCTTTGATCTGTCTCTTTATCTTCTACGAAGAAGCAAATCGAATCTTGAGTATGACAAGGTGTATGCATGCATCTTTTCCATAAGCTTTTGCTTTTTTTCTCGGAATGTAGTGTAGGGTAATCAGAATTAAACTCACCGTACATCGATATTGCCAATTTTGAAAGTATCTCCATCTCCAACTACTACATTCGTCCCTGCAGATTTGCTTGACCCCCCGTAGGCGTTGATGCCAGGATGTAGAGACAGCTTGACATGTATCAGCATCATGATTTCCTGATGAGAAGCTTATCGGAATACTTACAAACTTCTCATTACCCCCAGAATGGTCATTATGATGATGAGTAGTTATCAACGATGTTACCTAATTCGTCAGATCGTCTCTTATACTAGAATGGATGAAAGACTCACTTTTACACCTTCTTTCTTCACATACTGGGAGATATTCTCAGCATCCCAAGGATCCACTACAGCCGCTTCTTTGGATTTCTCATCTACGATGAGGTACATCCAATTATCAGACCATGTTACTTGGATGGGTGTGACTTTCATCATGTTTCTACTCATCAGATATGTTTCAATCATATATCAAAGTCAGCTCACTTTATGGAAGTGGTAAAAGGTCTTCTTGCCAGATGTGTAAATGAAAGAATTCGAAGTGTTCGCATGCTTATGTAGGACAGTGAGGAAGGAGGAAAGGAATCCCCTTATTCTATGTGGGGCTCCGGAAAGACGAGTGAAGGTGAATGTGGCATGTGGCACCGAGGGTTGTCGAGTAGGAATTCATCGAGAAAACACGGTCTGGCCAAGGAAAGGGATACACGACGAGATGAAGAAAGGGTATAAGAACTATGTAGAATACACAATGGACAAGCCTCTCCCAGGATGACTGTTGTTCGTACGTAAGGGGAGTACGAGACGAGGATTGCAAAGCAGGAGAAGGAAACGCAAACGGTTACTCGTATGCTAAAATCAAGCTTCATAAGTCATGAACCCAGCCATGTGGTTCCATGTCTGATTCTGTACCAAATGGTCTTTTACCCTGTCTGATCTTCTCTTCGTGGTCCATGGTCCAGGAAGACGTATACGTTAGTCCTGTGGTTCCTGGAACAGAGCCAGACATATCGATCGATCGTCATCAATCAATCCATCAACCCCTCATTCCCGTCGTACGGAAACACGAGGCATCAATCCCTCCAACATGAGGCATTAGCAAATACGTTTCTCTTCCTTTTCCTTCTCATACCTTCTCTTATCATACAGACCTCACAACATGTCTACTCCAGACGTCATTATCCCTAAAACAGTAGAAGAGACGATCTTACACCCCGTGGCTAAAGTTAGGCCTGTACCCTTGAAGGCTTCGACGTGGTGCGGTTGTAGGGAATGTCATTGTCCTCGTGAGAAGACGGGACGGGATGTGATCTGTCAGAGTGTGAGTCTAGATCTTTCCATTTATGTGCAAAGGGCGAGAAATCTAGAGGAGGAAGAAGCAAAACTGATAGATAGTGCACCCTCGGTTTCCACGAGCCTAATGTTTGGTGAAATTCCGAATGTGAACGAAGAAGTGATATGGGATCAAGCAAACAGGGTGTTATGTAGTTGCAAGGGCTTCTAGCAGTAGTATCAAAGTCATGTTAACATGTGAACTTTGCATAGTGAGAGGAATGCATCATGTATGACATACTATACCATAGTACAAGAGTTCCGATCGAGTAATGGTCCTTTTCTGCCCACTATGCACCTGATACTCACCCAACCCCCGTGTCCCACCTACCTTACATCGGTTGTAAACTCCCCGTCATCGTCACAATCCCAATTTTGTGCGGTGACCCACACCTAAGACTCGTGTTCACGCCGTGGGCTGGTGAACAAATACACTGAATGGGTGGTTAACAACCACTCGGACAATCATGACTCACCTAATTCCAATGTCGATCACCATACAACTCTTTCATTTAACCCATGTACTGTATGACGACCACCCCGATCATGTTCCTCCATACCAATATCATCAGTCCATGCCCATACCCCGTGGGATACCGTAGGAGACCGTAGGAAGAATGAAATACCGGTGTAGACGAGATCCGGTCATGATCCATGCGTTATACGCATGACAGTTCGTAACCCTTTCATTTCCCCATGGTACAGGTCAAGCAGGAGACCACACCTCTACCAGCTGGTATCGGCTTACACTCTTTGGTCTTGTCTTTGAAAACATTTATAAAAGGCGTTCTTTCTCCAATGGTACCCTCATCTCAAAAGTAATCTACTACTTTCTTCGACTGTACCCTTTCATCCATTGAAGTCTTACCGAACCTAGTGAAACCCACCGCAATCCCTTAGCGAATCTACATAGACAACACCAGTACTCTCCTTCGTCACACCATGTCCCAATCATATCGCTACCACTACTCTCTTCCTCAAATGCCCCAATCTCAAATGGTCCGAAACACTCACGGACCCATCCCCTCTACCCCTGCTCCCGTGTCCAGCAACAGACTGGACACACGTCTACAACCATGTGCATGTAGATATTGCACGTGTATAAGACGTGCTTCTTGCGCTTCTGCCGTATGTGCGGATGTAAGTGTCATGTCCTTCCTTGCGTTTTTGTTACTCATTCTTCAAATTATTCAACTCCACACTTTTATCACTTACTTTCTCTACCTGTGTCCCTGTCAAATCTTCTGGTTTGATGAAACTCAAACCTCCTCCTGTCCTTCAAACCAATGAGTGTAATGATATGTTGGATGATCGAAAATAAGAAGGTATTGTGACTTCCCCAGTCTAGGGTTGAAGGAAGAACGATAAGCAGCATGGAAGATGGAAGAGAGTACGTCGTACTGACCTCAGTGCGCACTAGGTCATCACACCCGTTCTCTTTAATTTTCAGCAGGTCTGAGAACCGTATGAGAACCAAAAAGAAAGATCGAACCCCCCAAAACCCGATATTTCGATGATTTGACAACCCGAAAGAGAGAAAAGTCCGAAAAATGGAGTAGAGAAGTTTCAAAGGACAATTGTCATGTAACACCTAGAACCTAGCACTTAAATAAATATAAAATGACTTGTATGAATCATGAGCCTTACAGTAATATCATCACCTTCTTTTTTTAAAAGACTAAGTGTAAGTAAGTCCGAAGAACCATCCCTTCGCCCGAAGATCGAAGGACGAAAATCGTCGTCCGGTGCCTGTCCGCGACTCGTGGAGTAGAGTACCGTATGTCAACGAAAGACTACATTCTCGAGTGGTGCATCTTGTCAACGTGGTTGTGGTTTTCGAACGACTGGAAAGATTTTCCTTCTAGGAGCATGGAGAGAATCATACGAATATCTAATGTCGTAAGCTGTATAAGTCAAAGTGGGGGGAAATACACGTTAAGAAGCATCCTTCAACTTCCTATCAACGAGGTAAAGAAGTTATTCATTCCGTTTACCCCGTCATGAGGCGTCATTCGGTTTGGGTATAAGTAATGAGATAGATGCCTTGATATTTTCTTCAATCACACTTTGAACATGTCATTCGGGATGTTGTTCTCTTCCCACATACCTCATACCCATAACGACCACGACAGGCAAGAGGGGAGGACCAGATTTGAGTCAGAACCGTTCGACGAATGCGTCGTATTCCTCCCTTGTGGATGTACGGAATGTCAATGTGAGATGTTGACTACTATGGATATCTGCGTTTCTGTAAGTTTTATCATGTAGATTTGAGCTGATGGTCAGTGTCAGATGGGGGAACATACTCATACTGCTTCTGCTTCGTAGAATGGATGGATCTACCCTCTCGCCACATGGATGAATGAGGTTCGTTTGACCGGCGGAGTAAATGTCGTATCGAATGATGGATGTACTGTAAAAGGGAGATATCTGTGTGTGGGTAGCAAAAAGTTGTAAATATTGTCGTCTTCTTGATGTCAACGCTTTAACGATTGTTACGACGAGGAACGAGGGGAGAAAACCCACTCAAAATTGTCGGCGAGTGTATGATCAATTAAGCAAGTGTCAGTTTTGTCAATGTCACCCGGAATGTATCCATACAACGTACATATATAATAAACCCCGTTCAAAGCATTCAAGATCAATAGCAAGACTAAACTTCTCTCCAACCTTTACTTCTCCCCTCTTCACTAACCTTACCAGCTTCGAACCCATTCTGTGTCGACTCTTCAGGTTCTTCTGGACCGAGTACGAACTGCGGTCTTTCTTGCTCTGATGTAGATACCTCTTCTGCTGACTCATGGGGTCCTGGAGATGTTGGTGGACGTAACGCCTCCAGCATCTCTTCCGCCCCTTCGGGTAGCGTGGGTGCGATGCTGGGCGCTTTATGCGATCGGAAGGATCTTATCGACGGTGCACAATTAGGATTGGAAGGTCTCTCTTCTGTGGTCGGAAGGGCCAATCGGAGTAATGAGGTGTAGGCTAAGCTGTCAGAATAGTTTCTCGGTTGCAGTAAGACTAAGGCGAAGTCTAGCGGAGGATACAGATGTACAGACGAAGAGGAGCAGGAGAAGGTCAGAGGGGAGGAAAAGAAGAAGCCAAAACTCACGTTGTCGACAAACAGGACAATACCATCCCTTCGGTTTCTTTTTACGTCTTTCCCTTCCAGTCTGAGTGGTTCCTCCAGCCACTGGTGTCACAGGTGTAGGTACCGCAACATCAGCCGCAGGAGGAGAAGCATCCCCTTCAGCCGGCTCAGCAGCGGTCGTATCATCCCGTCTTGACACCTTTCCTCCAGCTCCAAATTCAATCATCCCCACTGCACATTCCCTACAAACCACTAGATGTCGACAAGGAAGTAGGACGACGTCCCGAGGAGCTGTGAGACAGACGATACATTCATTTGGCGTGGATGCGTAGAGATCTTCATGAGCATGGTCGTCCGCTCCTGGAGGGTATGATGCGTGATTGTGAGTCGTGTCTTTCCCAGCGGATGACAATCCGTATATTTCCTTGAGAAGGAAAGTATGTGGACCAATCTGTCATCAGTATCGACTCACGATTCAAAGTGAAGTGGATTTACGATTGCTTCCCGTCTGACAACTTTGACCACCCAGACACGTTTCCCTGTAGGAGTAGATGGGGCCGCTGTTACTGTGCTTGGAGCCGCACGAGCGTCGGCCGTCCACATGCCAGTGATAAGGATATGAGTGAGTTGTGCGTTGCGTCTCTGCAATGTCTCGCCTTGATGATCAGCATCATTGTAAGATTACTAAAAAGGACCAACCTTCAGCGCCTAACGCATCAATCTTGATGAGAATACGCATTCCCTTTTCTTCTTCTTTCTCTTCCTCCTTCTCCACCGCCGAAGGAACCCGTGGGGTCATCTCGATATTCGCCGCCTCAAGATCCCTCTCTTCATTTTGTCGACGAGAGAAGAACCCGAATCTTCGTCGTCTCCCTCCCTGCTCTGACATGTTATTATTCACAACACCTCCTGTCTCTGGAACTGTTGTCAAAGTAGGTTGAGGAGGGCTGATGTTGAGATTAGAAATCCCCCTTTCCAACGAGCTGCGGTTGGTCTCGGCACTTTGCGAAGTGCGAGCTCTGATTATGTCGTTGTTTGATGCAAGTTTCCTCTCGTCGTGCGAGTCCCGAGGCATGTCTTCAGCAGATCCAGGAGGAGGGGCAATAGCCGAGGATAAATCCAATGCCGATGATGCGGGAAGTGTGAACAACTGATCGAATCCACCTGAATGAACGCCTGTGTAAACGACGGTGGGTTCTTCATCGAGGACAAACGACTCCTTGCCTTCTGGCATCGGCACAGGGGATGGGTAGATGAGCAGGGTGATATTGACTTGTGGAGAGGTAGCGTCATAGTTAAATTTCAACGAGTGAAGGGGACGCTGAGGGACCGGGATATCTTTCTTAGATGGTGAGGCGGCTTCGATCTCTCCGTCTGCATCGAGGGATGCTCTAGTGGGTTCGACATCGTCGCCTTCCAGTTGTTGGAGCAACAAAGTGGGACGTTTAAGGTTTACGAGGGCTTGAAGAGTGGTAGTGGCGTGTAGGCCCTACGGATCAGTTCATCGTCATTCACATATTTATTGACCCAGTACTGACTGGCCAGCCCGCATGAGCCAAGATTATCATTTGATTGGGAGTGAATTACCCCATGCCGATGACGATATGGTGAGTATGGAAGAAAGCAAGATCGACCCACCTCTTCACTTTTAGCCTTATCTACCCACCCTTTGACCACATCAACCCCAACCTTAACACCCTCATCCCTCTTCGTCCATCCAGGTTCATCATCCTCGCCCACATCTGGGCCGAAAATAGTTTCTCTCCTTCTCACATTTTTTGCCGTCTCATCGCCATCGACATTTATCCCCAGTTGTCTGGCAACATCAACTACCAGAGTATGTTGTACGGCGTTAGCATGTGCTTGTGCTAGATTCCGAGGAGGAAGATTAGAAGAGGCTCGCAATCGACCAGTACGAAAAGACCCCGAGCTTGGTTTGTCAGCGATTTCATCTACATCTACAGGGTTGATGGAAGCTCACTATGCTTGAGTATACCAATTGGATATGGAAGCTGAGTTTGTGGCTGCCATCGTATCCTACTCTTTGGACGGTTTGAAGGAGAAGAATAGAATGTGGAAGGTGAAGGGCGAAGGAAGGGATGGGACGATAGGGTGGAGGGAGAAGCGAGAAGACACTCGGCGATTGCCGGTATAACAAGCTGACGAGTGATGACGTGTGTGTGAATAACGACAATCGACAACTCGAGGAGCTACAGGTCTGAGAACGTTCACACGGTGCGAGTGTGTGGGAGGGAACGATAGCAGTTACGACTCTAGAGGAAAGATTGACAGAAAAGTAGAGTGAAGGAAGAAGAAAGGGGTGGCGGACGACGTTGTCGGGCAGTGCAATTGCATTAGAACCGGCCTTTGCTTTTTTACCATATCGGGTAAGTGACACCAAGTGGCAGCTTACCCCGGCTATCTTTGGCTCTGGCCCACAAGCCAGACTGCAGACGGTCTCACGTGCAACATATTGCCTTCAATCCTTACACCGCCAGAGGGGTTGGTGCAGAGCTCAGTATCTCATGAATATATGCATACAAGTCATCACATTGGTGTGTACAGACGTATCATGGTCGTAAATCGTATCGTCAAAGACCCCGATCGTGAATATCAAATCCACTCCGACCTGCCATGGTTGTAGTCTGCTTCATCAGCATCGTCCTCATGTCTGGCTCATAATCACAGGACAAACAGGATAGATACTCACCTGCGTGTCTGATCACCAGTCTAGCACCTCCCAACCCATCATCCTCTTCCTCTTCCTCCGAGCTCTCTTCCTCCTCGTCTTCCTCGTCCGCTCCCTGTGCAAGACTCTGCTCGACCAGTCGTGCAAATTCGTCGTCCCCATCGTCAGCACCGACCTCTTCGAACTCTTCGTCCGAATCTTCTATCACCTCGACAGACTTGACTTTGATCGGAGTGGGTGGTTTCTTCGGGACCGCCGCCGAGGGTTTCTTGGTCCTTGGCTTAGGTTCTGCCTTGGGTTTAGCTTTAGCCTTGGGCTTTGGTTCGGGTTTCGGAGGCTCCAACAATTGAGCAAGTTTGATGGTCTTCCCTCCCGTCTTGGGTCGAGTGGGAGTGGGAGCAGGTTCCGATACCCGAGGACGTTTAGCAGCCGGCAGTGCCGGAGTGTCAGGACCGACCATGGATGATACTTCGTATTTCTCTTGAGACGAGTTGGAGTTTCTCTCCCCTCGGTTGGCCGGCCAACCTTGAGCGAGAGGGACAGAGGTTGAAGAGGAGGTTGAAGCGTCCGAGGGTCTACGAACGGGTGGGAGTGCCAATTGAAGAGAGTTGGTCGATGGAGACCGATTGAGGGTCATGTGCAAAGTCGTGGGAAGAGCATGTAGGGTGAAGCCCTGTAAAGGTAAGCCTGTGTCGCTATGCACATGATTCACCTGCTTCACACCGGCATTTCTGGCAGGAAACATCATGAAAGATTTTGGGAGGTGGAGAGAAGTATGAAAGGAGGAAGAGAAGGAACTTACGTTGGTAGCTGGGTCATATATCAAGACGCATTCCCTAGCCTTGTTCTCTTCTTCCCTGACGTCGAACACCTGCTGAGGTGCATTCTGACATTCAGCTTTACTCAACCGTGATTTACATAGATAACATACCCTTGGACGTAAGACGCCCCGACGACCTTGAGGTGTGTATTCTAAATTCCCCTGAGTCTTGGGCTGGATTGACGAGGGTTTGAAGGGGTCTGATGGTAAGCTGAGATGGCAAGGACAATTATATATGGAAGAGCTCACAACGGAGAGACACAAGCTCATCTTCCTCTCTTGAGCGTTTGAGTGGATTAAGCGATCCGGCGAGTTGAATGGAAAAGCTTCCAGAATACGGGAAACCAGCGAGCGGAGTGGCGGCCATATTGAGCTGAAAGTAGGTGTCGGTGGTGATGATTGGTTGTTGAAGTCGAAGTGGGAGTAGCTGTAAGATGGATAGATGGATAGACGGGAGATGAGATATAAATATGGGTAAGAGATAGATCAAGTGTGACAGACGTGACCAAGAACAAACAACAGGTCACGTCAGAGTAGATACCAATAAGAGAGAGAGATAGTTCTATACCCAATTGAGAGATTGAGAAAACCCGCACTTTCACACCTTTGACGGCAAACCGGCAACCGAACATTCACCACGTGGCAATCGCGTGGCTTTATCACTTCTCCACCAAGCTCGGACCCCCCTCCGCTCACCTCTTTTTTTGAGCGTATTCCAGTCGTGACACTTTATACTCTGTATATGACCATCACTACAGTCGACAAAAGTATTGCCAATTCAAATAATCCCAAGTCACTCACAACACTTTATAGTCTTGTAGACATTTCTTTTGAAACTTGAGACATAGAGTACGTAGAGAACGATTGTCATGATGAGAGGAAGAAAACCTCTTGGCGGTCCTGGCGCCCCTCCTAATTCTGTCAGTCTTCATCCCTAATGAATGTGAAATAGAGCTGACCATTGGATGGTGATAAAGCGTATAAAGAGAGAAGTGAGTTCCTCTCTTAGTTATACATACCCGCCTTATACACCTGCTTGAGAATCTTTTCAATGATAGACGCTGATTGGGCAGATAGCAGACCTAGCTAAAGAAGATACAGGTGGTATCACCTTGACACCGAATGAATCGAATATATTATCTTGGAGGGCTACACTTCCAGGTCCCCCAGGATCACCATACGAAGGAGGCATTTTTGAAGTTGATATTCGAATACCGGATGATTATCCGTAAGCCCCACTTCTCGCTTCTAATTTGACACATCCTTCGTTCAGAAGTAGGAACGCGAACATTGATATCAATATTAATACTTAAATCTTATCAATTCTGACTGTTTCTGTATCACCGACATGCTGAGTACCAGATTCTCTCCACCCCACCTTCATTTCTTGACACAGGTTTATCACTGTAATATAGCTCCCAGTGGCGCAATATGTAAGCTTCTTTGAACGACAGTCAGAGTTCAGCTGACGATGTTAGGTCTAGATGTAAGTCCGATTGACTTGAAATGAAGGTCACGACTAAGATCACAGCTACTTAAAACGAATTGGTCCCCAGCTCTTTCACTATATAAGGTCATCTTGTCACTCTCATCCCTGCTTACCGATCCTAATCCCTCCGATCCCCTCGTTCCGCAGATCGCACAGCAGTATAAACGTGACAGGAAGAAACATGATCAGACTGCGAGAGAGTATGTGAAAATGTAAGTTATGCCCATTTCTTCACCTTCCCAATCCGTGTCATGTAGTCTCCCCTGGCGGTGTGCCTCAGGCCACAGGCATAAAAATTAATTCTTTCCCCTAAACTGGTGATCACTCGTACGCATCTGCCTAGTGGACAAGTACCCCGTGTTGTATGCAGAGTGGCGGGGCGATGTCTTTCGACATGTGTTCATGCGGTGGCCTTGGTTGCAGGACATCATGATGATTCACCGCATCCCTCTCTTTTGAAGATTTCTGACTGGCGATGACGCTGTCGGGGACGTATGCAGTGTGCGTATGAAAGCTGATAGCAGGTACGCCCTTCCTAAACCTAGTGCCCCTGTCAAACCTACCACGGAAGCGGTTGCTTCGTCATCTCGACCCAAGCCGATCCATCGGCCCGAATCTGGCTCTGCCCCTTCCACAACGATAGCAGGTACACGTCGGGCACGGACACATGGTGTGGGAGCGGGTGACGATACGATTGACATAACCTCTGATGGGGAAGACGACAGTGACGTCGAGGTATTGGGTGAAGGTTCTAATCGTGTGAATGGGTCCGGGAGGAGAAGCGGACGGAGGAAGAAAGCCAGAGTGGAATCGGACGAGGTGATAGTGGTGGATGATTAGGGAGATGAAGAAGTAGACGATATTGGACGAAGGGACAAACACATTTGCATAGAGACAGCTTTTAGGTCATGACGGATCAAGACATGTATGTTGCTCCTTCTACTGAACTCATCACTCTTTCGAACCTCTCTCTACCTTCAAACTGACCGAACGCGTCCTTTCCGCGTGGCGCGTGTGGCAGCCGGCAGCGAGGCAAAAGCTCGCGGGGAGGGAGAGTAGGAAAGATCCCAAAATAGCTCGTTTGAAGTGCCTGATCATAACTTGGTGACGTACATGCACGTTTCGACCAGTATTGTCACCACGCACGTCCCCTCTTAGTCCAAGACGGTGGGGATAAAAACGGAGGAGCCTGCTCCCCACTTCCCACTTGTCACTTTGTCATTTGCCCCATCACTTGCTTTACTCGTCACTACACCAAGCTACAACATCAGAAGAGTCATCATGTACCCTCCTCAGCAACAAGAGACCGAAGCTGTACAGCCCACAGCGACAAAGATGATGAACATCAGTTAGTACCTTTCCCCCTTTACTCACCCCGTTCTACTCGGGGATCTCGGGGACCTCAAAGCTGGAGTTGATGATTTCTTCCTTTCCTTCTTCATGGTCTGGACTTTACATATGGACATCACCATCATCTCCACTCGACAGTTGTTATCATCACTGTGTTCCGTCGATAATTTTTACGAGAAAAGTGCTGATCGTAGCTCCCGTTCAGACCGAGCCGGCCAAGGAAGAGAAAGCCTCTTGGTGGCCACTTCGTCTCAGAGGTGGATTGGGTCCATGCTGCGCTTGCTTGGATGGTATCGTATGTTCTTTTTTATCTCCTCCCTTCTCCTCTCTACTCTTCTATCCTGTCTTTCTTTCTCTATACCTTCTCCCCTCTCATTAGTCGTAACATTCCAGAATCTACCCGACCATGCGGTGTAAGCACCGCCCCATCTCACCCTTGTATCCCACATGGCGTATCAAAACACGAGACGAAAAATTCGAACCTCATGTATGACATGCACTGATTCACAGCTATGCTGCTGTGCTCTCGAAGAGATTTGTTGCTGCGGAGTGAGTCATTCCTCATTTCGAATAAAACGTGACAATGTACTGATGATTAGCTCGAAGAGTTGTGTTAGTTCTTGCCTCCCCTTCCGCTTGTTCATATGTCTCCACGATGCGTACGATTTGAGATGAGATGGTGTACGAACCTTTTCGCCGTCTGCCGCCGCTTTTCTTGTAAAACTCATCATACTCACTCTTCGATCGATTGCGATCTCGTCTGTCGACTTTAGGACGCGTGATACGCTCACTACAGATACTGAATTTATACTCACCCTTTTGGAAGGTTCAATCCGGAACGATGGTCGAAGATAAGAAACCGTTCTAGAGAGGGAAAACTCCCATATCAAATCGAAAGGACTCACATTGCTTTCCAGGACGACATGTGGGTATGCGATTTGGTGGTTGACCGATGATGCTGTACTTTACCCCCAACTTTCCAGTACAGACTTCTGCGGTGTCATTACAAGTATAGGTACTGCGGACTACGGTGATTACAGCGCACCTCAATCACAGTCCACTAAGTTACAGGTACCTTCATTCGAGTCCCCCGGGAACATCATCGCCTCGTGCCCCAATGAAGCAACCATTCGATCCACCCTGGATTCTTTTGCTGATGCTGTGATCGCATCGCTCATGACCATATCACCGAACCATTGATGATCATCATTTTTCAGTGTGCACAGCCCCCTCGTTCCACCTCGAGGCATTTTTTAGCTTTCCCGTTGCTATGACGACAATACAAACTCTGTTTCAATTTCCTTCATCTCTTCCACCTTCATTTGCCTCTTACAGTTTCTTTCTCTCTTCTAAGGATCCATACATTCATTGATACAGGGAGATAAACACCATCAAGCGACAAGAAGATGTATCCTCCTAATGCAGAACAAAACAAAGTTCAAAGAGAGACGAACGAACAACCCATTGCTCAGAAAACGATGAGTGAGTCGAGTGTGATCTATTTATTACCTTTTTCTTCGCCACTATCACACTTCCACCTCCAGATGTTTCTCATGTCTGATTGTTCATGCCATCCACTTGTCTATCGATATAAGTACCCAGAAGGTTTGGTAGACAAAGAACTGACTGATTGTGGACGTATAATCTGATTGATAGTGGCAACACCTAATTCAACCACATCACAGGAAACACAAGAAACTCCAAAGAAATCATCTTGGTTCCCTCTTCGACTTCGGGGTGGTGGATTATGTGTTGATTGTTTAGGAGGTTGTGTAAGTTGATAATCCTTTTCTTACTTCTACTTCTACTCGTTCTCGACCTTCCGAATAACCTTTCTGTTTCTTGGAATCTCCAACAGCTGGCAGATCTTTTTGAGTGGAAAATTTGCCAATATCATCTTCAGAAGATATGTGTTTCACAATTGGACGAGAGCTGACCACAATCAGCTGTTTTGCTGTGCCTTAGAAGATATCTGTTGTTGTGAAGTGAGTAGGAATTCCTCCCGCCCTCCCTTCCTTCTGTTAATCCGATATTGTAGCCCCGTTCTGTTCACTCTGCTTCCTGCTTCGGTCATAATCCTTTTCACATCGTCGTTCTCAAACTTTAGGAATCGACCAGAAACATGTGACTTGACCGAGTTCTAATTTCCAGCTGGACAACATATGTTGTTGATTTAAGGTACATGTACCATCATGTCTAGGATAAGTAAAGTGATACGAAACATTGGTAAGATATATGAGAGGATGCAATTGTTCACTGAAGCAATAAACCAAACTCAGGTTAGCCGCTCAGCAACTCATGTGTATCAACCGTTTTGATATTGTAATGCTTTACAGTGTCAGTGAACATGAGACGAGATAAACCTTCCATTTCTCATCGTTTTTTGTACACGCACCCTCTGAGAATATTCTCTCCTTTCTTGATCCTTTCTTCCCAACCTACTTGACCTCGAGCGGGACCTTGAGGCACGTCAGAGGTTTTGACGAATTCGAACAGGGTAAAATGAGTTGATGGGGATTCCTGCTTGTCAGTTTATGTAGCTCTCCTGTAAGGGTCCGTGGCATCACATAGACAGTGTATTTATCGTATGAGGTTGGCTGAAGAATGTGAAGATGTGCGAGAGAATCCACGGATGAATGACTAACTTGGGACACGAGAGAAAAGCCAAAAGATTGAATGGCTTCGATGAATGATTCGGTCGATACGAATCTAGAGGTGACTTCTGCTATATGTAATTGACCTCTGTTTAATCAGCGTCTGTCTTACCCTTCCATAGCATACCCCGAAAGTTGAACAACTCGTGGCCTGGTAGCAGAGAGGTCGATATAACGAGGATGGAGGCATCTTAGAACATACCCTTTCTTCAATATTCTACACGCTTCATATATCCCTCCAAGCCAGTTGAGTCCCATCAAACTAAGACAACAAACGACCACATCGACAATTTCACTTGTGCTCTCACTCCCATCCAACTTTCTTTTTTTCTTGTTCTTCTTGCCAGATCTCACAGCGTCCGGTTCAAAACGATCCCCGCCTAAGTTTTTCTCCCCTGACGCGATTTCGTCGGCATGCGCTACGGAGGATCCAGGCTCAGAGATTATCCCACCGGAACGACCGGGTAGAGGAATCCCTTCGAGAAAATCAGCCTCTACGACCCATCCTTCCCCCGAAGTATTGTGTACGTCTCCAACTAGATCGTAGGAGAGGACTGTCTTGCCTTCTGGTACCAAAGCTTTAGCTAGACCAGCTTCACCACATCCAAGATCGACGATGACGGTTCGGGGTGGTAGAGGTCGAAGACGGGAGATGATAGCAGGTAAGGGAGGAGAAGGCCACGCGGCGGTAAGAGACCGATGGGAGAGATGATACTATGAGTGAGTCTACGCATTCTCCGCCTCTTCTCCTCGATAACTATCTGTACCGTATGTAGCCAGATTCACAAGTCTCCTCTTCCCCCACTTGTCATGACTGGAGTAGGAGGCTCCTGAAAATGGCCCAGCAGTTTCTGGAAGATGCAGCCCAAGAGCTCAGGTGAGCCCAGTTTAGATCACGGTGTATGTTATTCAAGAGATAGAGGTGGAAGGAACACATGGCAGGAGTATGAAAAGAATAGCCAGAGCTGAAGAAAAGGGGAGACGATGTAGACACTCACATCAGAGAATATCTTAGGATCACGACTCATCATCTCCACCGCATCGGTCGAACGACTAGAATACAGTTGTTCATTTATCCATCTTCCATCAGCAAAACATCTCTTTTCACTGTTCTACTATAAATCACTCGCCTGAAACGAGCACCGTCAAGTTTCGACTTCAGTCCTTGTTGCATCTTCGTCAACCCTTCTTCTCCTCTGGAATCAAATTTGAGATCGTGCGGCATAGAGAGTTCAGCAGGAGCTAGCTTATCCTTCTTTCCGTCTCTCATCCCTTCCACGCTCTTCTTGCTTTCAACACCCTTGCCATTGGCTTTCTTGTCAGGTTTGAAATTAGATCCATTTAGAGTGTTCCGATCATGCTCGAATGGTCGTTGTTGTTTTTGCTTAGTAGCTAAACCCATCTCTTCCCTGCCCTCTTTCCGAACGGTGGAGTGTGGGGAAGACAATCCAGGACGGGAGAGAACCTTTTCGAGATTTTGCTTGATAGACTTTAGATTGTTCTCATTTGCTCGGACTATCTGAGGCGCCGATTTCGCTGTCTTGTTGCTGGTTTCGAGTTCAGGACGTTTACGTTTCCCAACCTTCTTTTTGTCGTTGGACGATTTTCCAACGTTATTTGTCAGCCCTATGGACTGAGAGGTGAATGATGTTGATGATCCCTCTGGGATGTTAACTTCGAAAGCCGAAGAGAAAAGCGACATTTTCTCCTACTATCGAAGAATGTTTAAAGATAATTCAAGGAGACAAGTGATGCATGGTCCAAAAGTTAAGGAAATCTCCATGCGGGGTCCCACGAGAAAAGTTGCCACAACGTTATTTCCGACCGTTCCGCCGGAACTTCCAAGCATCCCAGTACTTACTTAGAGTATTGAGTGGCCACTGGATCACCTTCACCACTATCTCTGTTCCCCCAGAATCAAGATGGATTATCAGGTGAGCTGGTTATTAAGAACAATGGTGTTGAGCTTACTGTCAGAACCGAGCTGGTGCTAACAAAGGTGGTGGTGGTGTGGCAGGTGATTCAGAGACTGCGGTCGATAGAAGGGAAAGATTGAGAAAATTGGCTTTGGAGACTATCGATTTAGCTAAAGTGGGTTTCTCAACAATTGATCGTTCACAAATCAAATTCCCACACTTTAAAAAGATTAATCTCCATTTCTCACCGTTCAACATGTCTACTTCAAACGCAATTGAAGCCATCGGGACCGCTGTAGAACATATCTGACAATAATAGGATCCTTATATACTTCGAACACATCTCGGTACTTTAGAATGTCGACTCTGTCTCACATTACATATCAACGAAGGTTCTTACTTGGCACATACACAAGGTAAAAAACATCAAACGAATTTAGCAAGACGTGCAGCTCGTGATAATCGTGATCAAAATTTATCAATTGCAAGACCGACACCACAACAACAAGTTCGTAAAAAAGTATTTGTCAAAATTGGTAGACCTGGTTATAAGATCATCAAGATCAGGGATCCTTCAAGTGGACGATTAGGTTTATTGTTTACTGTTAGTTTACCGGAGATAAAACAAGGGGAACAACCTAGGAGAAGGTTTATGAGTGCTTTTGAACAAAGAAGGGAAGTACCTAATCGTGCTTTTCAATATTTTGTCGTATGTTTAAATCTCTTTCTCACTCTGATTATCTCCTTCTCAACTTCACACAACCTTTCTCCTTTTCATGCTTGGCTAGGTTGGATTTCATTTGGGTTGTCGGCAGTGAAGAATGAGTTCAAGGCTTTCTACCGTTCTACGAGGTCGACATGGGATTGAGGGTTGCCATCACTCAGATGACATGTAGTTTGGAGAATGGGACGACGAGTGTGGTCGAGCTGATCTTCAGCTCGCGGCGGAACCATACGAGACCATAGCATTTGCTATTCCAGCTAAAGAAATGGTAGATCCTGAAGAAGATCCAGGATCGACATGGGAGCACTGGGATGCAGACGAAAAGGTTTACTCTTGTCAATTTCTGTACAAATAGTCTTCTGCTATACCATCATTCCTTTCTGTGTCGTTTTCCCTTCTTCAACCCCGTTCAATCACTTTGTGATCCTGAACCTCATTACAATCATGCAATGCATCAAGGATCTACTTCATGAATATTTTCTCACACCCTGATCTATACACTACGCGCAAAACAGTCATCGTCATTGAATCTCTTCTCGTTGATACGCGCAAGGAAGTGATACGAAAAAAGTCAAAACGTCATCTACCTCTCCTTTCCAACTCCCTCGCCTGTTCTGTCAAATCCTCCAATCTTCTCTCTAATCTCTGTTCCTGTCTCCTCCATTCTGCCATTTGCCACTCCGGACTCTTTTTCTTACTTCTCCAAGCCGTACCGCCCAACTGAGAGATATCCACTATTCTCGGACTTGATCGAAATTCTGCTAATTGGCGGAACAACAATTTCGTATTCGTCTCCAAAGATTGTTTTGTGATCTTGGTAGGAGTGACTGGTAATTCTCCATCGTCAGAGGAAGTAGGAGAATCAAGACTTCCGTCCGCTCCTACGATATTTGAACGTTTGTTACTGACTAACTCTGGCGTGTTCCATGTGGTAGGAGAGAAGGATGATGAGGGAGAAGAGTAAGGTATAGAGGGTAAGAATCCAAGATCTTTATATAATTGTCTAGATTTCAAAAGAGAATTCTCATTTCGTAAGAATCGAACGGCAGTTTTGAGGTTTTCGACCTGTTCTGCAAGTTGAGATACTTCCATACCAACCGTGGCATTGGATAAGAGAAGTGGTTCAGCCATCGAAGATGATGTTGCATTAGCTTGACGAGAATCGATTGGACCACCTTGTTTTCGTAATCGGGCGTTTTCAGCTTCGAGTGCATCTTGTTCACTTTGAAGTTGAGCAATGGCATCTTCGTATACTTTCTCTTGCTTTTTAGCTTTTGCGACATCGTTCTCGAGCTCGACGATGATATCGGCCTGATGATTAGCTCATCTAATCTCTTCACATCATGACGTCCCGGAGAGTGGGAAGGGAGATAGAATGAATAGGGAGTAATCAACCTACCTGCTTTCGGGTCGCTTCGAGTCGTCGCTCCAGTGTCTCAACCTTGACCCCGGATTCCTGTAATGATTGGTCCTGACGATTAGCGACCAACCTCAAGTACAAACGACGGTGTTGGTAGGATAGAGACTCTTGTGGTGGTCGTAGGTTCAAAGGACGCTCAGAAGGAATGAGACCCACCCGTAATTTGACTTCACGGAGCATATCCTTGACCTCCTCAGTGAGCTTGACGATCTTTCGTTCCGTATCTGCATTATACGTGGCTGCTTCTCTTATCGCAGCGACTCTGGCCAACCATGGCGGCGGAATGTCCACTGTGTTGATGAGCTCACTTCATATATGTGCTGCTATGCACCCCAACGGGCACCATCAAATATCACCGATGAACAAGCTTGTTCCAAGGATCAAAACTAAAAGTGCCGAATGCGGGGGGTTGTAGAGAAGTTATGGAGAACTCACTCGATACTAAATGCCCGGTCTTGACGGCCGACCTGATCTTGGGCAACACCAAGCCCAAATCGATTCCAAGACGCGAGATGAACATTCCGATTTGTTCCCATGGAGGAGCGTCCGATGGGACGGCAGAATCAGCCACTAATTGTTCCAAAAACCCCTCAATCTCTTCCAGTCGTAGAGGTTCTTTACTAGCGCGCAGAGAAGCAACGTGTGCGGCTATACGTTGTGCTAGCTATCTTCGTCAGCTCGTTCAAGACTGGTGTCATCGAGCTCACCTGTACGGCAAGGTCGACAGCGTTCGATACGGCCACAGCTAGGTCGGCAAGGGCCACCGACATATCAGGAGCGAGAGCCATTGACTTTGAGACGAGTTCGGTGACTTCCGATACTAGTTTACTATGTTATAAGCGTCAGTGATGCTTCAAAGAAATCATGGATGACAGGTAGTAGGACGACTCACCCAGATGGGACTTTGACAGCTCGGACTTGATCCAGGATACGCTGCACAGGTTCGTACACCCCTTCTTCCAGAGACGACTCTCCAACTTCCACTTCGATGTCTATCATGTCAGTGTACTGCTTATGGAGGTCAAAGATGATCTGACCTTCCTGTTGGGTCAAAGCGAGGATTGCTTGTCGAGCAAAGCCAACAGCGGCAGCAAAATTATCTAGGTCGTAATTGATGTTATAAGCCAGGCCCAGTTGCTGCTCTCCTAGGTCAAGAGTAGGATGGTCGAATGAGGTTGCTGCGAGATGGTCAAATTGAGCAATCAAGCTGTTTTCTGTCAGCTTGACTTGGAGATATTGCCAGCCAGCTCACCTGCTCAGTTCTCTAGCGCAATCCCCTTCACTAAATTCGTCACTTCTGACCAGTCCAATCCAACCATCTACTCTTGCTTCGACTCCTCCAAGCTCGTCGATCACCTTGCCCAGTACCACCCAGCCGTCGGGGTCGATGCGCTGTAGGATGCCCGCAAATCGTTTGTTGAGCAGAGAAAAGTGGCCCAACTTCCCTCGCAACTCGCATACTCCCACTAAAGCCTCAGAAGAGGCAGTATGCAGCGATGCGGGGATCCCGTGAGCCTGAGAGATCGTCGAAATAAGAGTATCGACCTTGGCCGATAGACGATGGAAGAGCAAGAGAGCAGCAGTGGGATCGGCATCAGTCTCGTGATAGGGGCCGGGTAGATAGACTTGAACGATACGCAGGTGTTCCGTCAGCTGAGCGACTTCCAGCTTTTTGAGCTCCAGATCGATGGTCTTGCTTTGTTGCTTGACTACAGACGACTGGAGCTTCAAGTTCATATTCAAGATCGCCTGCGCCTCTTTGGTATTTGTGGCAACTTCGATTTCCTGAGTGGCTTGTTGCATACGGAGATCATCAATTTCTCTACCCTTGTCAGTATCAACATCGCTCTCGCAAAAGTACATACTGTTGCAAAGCCCCGACCAGGTCTCGGAATTGTGTTATGGTGCTTTCCATGTCGATCACGACGGAATCAAGATCGTTCGATCTCTTACGTTCGTCCCGAAGCTGGATATTCAGAGCATCTGCGTATCAGTACGATGCATCGTCCGACGAACACCCGCATCTGAGGGATCCAACTCACCTAACTCCTCATTGAGTTGCTTTTCAGCTTCTACATGTGTCTCCTCCAACTCATCATTGAGCTCTTTCAGAGCTTCGAGGTCCTCGATGGTGACTCGCATTTCCTCCATACGCTGGCTGTCAGGTACGCAGTTCGCAGGGTCAGGGTGGCAGACTCACCTCGCTCATTTGTAGGTTCCGTTCAGTGAGCTGGACAAGCATATCCTCAGCACCGAGAGCATCATCCAGTTGCTGCTTGAGATCTTCCACTTGGGCCTCCGCATTAGCTAGCTTTGCCTCGGCCAGTTCAAGTTGACCTGGACAAGTCAGTCGACTCTTTGTCCATTTCGACTCAACTCACTGAGTAAGTTGTCTTGGGACGTAAGCTCCTTGTCAACCTCTGCGAGTTTGTTCTTGTACTCCCGTTCATTCTCATTGGATACATCCCGTAACCTGTGGGATCAGTATAACTTTGGAGACGGTGTGATTGACCTACCGGATGAGAGCCTCTTTCAGACGCTCGTTATGCTTTTCCAGCTGGATATAAGCCAGTGAAGTTCGCTCCCCTTCCACTCCAGACACTGGCTTTTCGTACTCCGCTGTGAATATCAGCACCCCTAAAATTTCTATCGTAATCTGAGACTGACCGTTCTCCTCTTTCAATACGGCAATTTCCATTTCAAGCTCGGCTAACTTCTCATTCAATTTGACCGCGTCGGCCTCTGCGGCCTCTGCTTTCTCCTCTGCCACTTCTCTATCCAGGGCTGCCATTTCCAACTGGTCCACAGCTTCAGACGCTCTACTCTCCAGCAGTGTGTTTTCCGACTGCAGATCTCGAGCTTGTCTTTGTGCTGCGACCAGGGATGCCTGGAGTTCTTGGAATTTGACTAAGTGTATCAGCTCAGACTTCTCTCCTGGCAAATCTCTCGAAGATATAAATTGAAAGCTTGAGTAATATAAATTGAAAGCTTGAGTAGACCCACCTTGCAACTTTACACGAGCAGCCTTCAATGCATCCGCCTCACTAGCTCTACTCTCCAGCTCACGCAGTTTTTGTTGATCATCATTCTTTCGCATTTCCATGATTTTGACCTTGATCCTCAATTCTTCCAACTCCCGTTTTTGCGCAAAGCCAGCGGAATGCTCTTTCTCCGGAGACGCAGGCCGCGAAGACGGGCCCGCCACGGGCAAAGATGGAGGTACTCCGACTGAGGAAAAGGCCCCAGACACACCTCTGGACACTAGTCTGGCTGAGGCAGGTTGTGAAGGAGTGGGGGAGATGACCCGTTCGGTGGGAACGGGTGAACTGACTCGTTGATCTTCTTCCATGTGTTCGTCCAAAGTCTTGACTGGACTTGAGACTCTTCTGCTTGTGGTGGCAGGAACATTTTCCATGACCGACGGTGGTCGTTTGAAGACACTTGAAGGTGGTCGAGTGGTTACATTTGGTTTTCGAGCTGTAGTCGAAGGTGAAGTTACCTGAGTAGCGGCTGAGGCCCCAGATCTAGGTGGTGTGGTAGGTCCAGATTTCTTCAGAGGCGAGCCAGCTCGAGGAGGTCCAGCTGAAGATACGCGAGATATACTAGGTGTCACAGGTGGTCTGGTAGAAGAAGGTCGAGACTGTGGGTTTCAGCATTCGGCACGACCGGGGGAGGTTTATGAGAGAGAAGCACGGACCTTTGGAGTTTCCAAAACCTTGACTTGACTAGGACGAACAAATACTCCATGTTGAGGTTTACAATCAAAATATCTCATCCCTTGTACGGTCCCATCGTTCTTCCCTGTCGGCTCGGACCTGATCATCTCAATTTCAAATATCGAGAAGAAGGGGGCAAACTTACAATTCCACACCAACCCATTTCCCACTGCTGAAGGGGGGATTACTTCCCGTCCATCTCACGATACCTATACCAGCTGATACGGAAACTTTCGCCCCTATGGGCACTTCAGTTGTGGTCATGACTTCTCTCGAGTGCAATCGTTTGACATGGCATTAGACAAATCGAGCCGAGTGCTTTCTGACGCGTTTGAGGAAAGGTTGGAAGTGGAATGTTTCCGTCGGAAGTTTGATGATCCAAATGGGGGGACTGTATAAAGATGGATGTCTTTCGAATTTGGACCGCTTCGAGCTGATCACAATTAAGTTACAACGGATTGAAGACTGAAGACTGAAGACGACGAGAAAGAGCCAAACGAAGATGCAAGATCTATCTCAAGCTGTCCCTCCTAAAACATTGTCCGAATGGCACAACCCTTCCAGTAGAACAGATGTCATTCGGGATCTCATTCACGGTGTTGGTCAGTATTTCATCTTTTTGAACCCAATGCTCTCAACCAACTTTAGCTATATGGCTCAGTTGGGATTGACACGATGACACGTTAACGAAACTGACAGTGAAACAGACAGATATAACCCAAGTAATTTATCTTTTATGGAAGATTATCTGGCTTCACAAGTCCAAGATGGTTCATATGATCTTCTCGCCAATTTGGCCATTTTGAAATTGTCAGTCAACTTCTTCTTATCACTCAATGTTCACTCTCCGCAGTGTGTTTTGTCTTCGTGTCAGATGAGAAGCGGAGGAATCAAGCTGATGAAAAAGATATCAATTCAATCCCCAACTCTCAAATCCAGATGTTATCATCAATATCCTTCTTAAGTCACTGAGTGCTTCTGTCAACGGATCAGATTTCAACCTGTCCATGTCACTACTTCGAGAACCAGCGGTGAGTCTAATCACAGTCTTCTCTTCATTATCTTATTGTCTCCCCTCCAAGTGCCTTCACCCTCCTTCATTGACACTTCCATTGTTTCTCCAAACAGTTTTTATTCAATCGACTTCCTTCACTCCGAAATGTTGTTCGCTCTTCATATTGCTTTACGGGAAGAGGATTCATGTATGCTCTGCGTATACTTTTCCCAGACTGACTGTGGAAAAATTCGAGACAAACTAGCGGTCAAGAGAAAAAGCTGACTCCAGGCAATCTTACATGACATCGAATCTGATGATGCAAGATTCATGATCCTCATTCCTTTCCTTACCCACCTTCATGATCTTATACGTAATTGTCGTTTCGCTGCTTTCTGGTCAGAATTCAACGGTGGATCTGAAGGCGCTACGAGTCAGTATCTTCCCGCCATTTCCTCTCAGAACCCCTCTTTCCCATTTACGCCAATTATCTACTCCTTCCATACCTTGATAGTCCATCGATTATCCGTGTCATCGAAAATCTTTACTCCGAACCCAGCAGGAGTATTCCATTCGCTCCACCACAATCGGCTCATTTTGGTTTCTCTGTCTTACTACTACCTTGGCGTGTGAGAGAGTTTGGAGGATATAGTAAGAACCGGAACTTAGGAGATACTCACACTCCAGTCCTTCGTGCGGCTTACCTACCCCAACACCCACATCTCATCCCCACCCTCAGAGTCAGATTCGCAACTTCCATCGCTTCTTCTTTCTCTCGCATCTCCCTCATCCGAGTACAACGATGGCTCGACCTCTCCGAATCCGACATTAACGATTGGTGCGCTAGTGTGAGCTGGGGTATCGAGGGATCAGATGCTGTCATCCCTAAGAATGGGGATAACGATGTGAAAGCTGGTGTGGTCCGTGAGAACGTGGAATTGAGCCGTGAGTTTTTCTCATGTCGGCTTTCACAACTCTCCATCGCTATAACAAGCTGATTAAGTAGAATTGACAAAACTCATTGCCGCTGCTGCATATTAGTCGACGGTCTTTTCACCCAACGACAGCATGAGCTGCTGGTAGCAAGCATAGTATGCATTAAGTCAATCTGAAACGATATTGCATTTTTGAAACTCTAGCAAAATTCAGCCCTCTTCCTTCACAATGGCGACTGCTGCTGACTACTCGTGTCAGATCTATTAATCACGTCGGACCGCTGAGTGAAAGAATGGAACGAATGGCGATAGAGGGAGGATAACAAATCACATCCGGATTCGCGCCCTATTCGTCAGCTGTCGACTCACAAACCAGGATCCCTGACTGCAAGCCAGTCTTGAAGAAATTCCAACAAAAAAGTTAGACTTACTCCAGCTCATTGATGCTCTCCAAGAGCCTTTTCTGTTTATTGCGCATCTCCACAGTGTCCGCATCCGCTTCAAACATATCTCTGGTTCGCTTCGTCACCATTTCCACCGTATTTTCGAGATCGAAGCCTTGCCTCAATGCACATATCGCTCCATCGAGATAATCGAGCAAAGTCGCTTGTCCCTCTCGCCCCACCACGTCCAAGATTCTTTGCGCGGCTTGGTTCAGACAGACTGTCAGTCCGCCTTGCACCTCGATAGCCCTTCGCACTTCACGTGCTTTTACCTTGGTCCAGATCGAATCTCCTTCCGCATCACTGTCGCTGACTTGCGAGGCGGCGCTCGTCGATCTTGGGGATGATAAGGGTGCCGAGCGACGAGCTAGTCCCTGGAAGTCGTTCGATTGTTCGAGCAGTTTGGTGTGATACGTCTTATTGAATCGATCAAACAAGTGTTTTACCAAAGTACGGAATACTTCTCTTCTGTCGTCGTCGAGTAAATCCAATAATTCGCGGCCTTGACGTTCTCTAGCGCATAGCCAGTCTAGTCGCTCCTTCGTACGATCCCTATACATTTTCTGAAGTTTGGTCAAATGAGTCCTCACTCGTCAGTTACGTCACAACAGATCAAGGCGACATAAGCTCACACGACCTTCCTACGAAGAGCCTCCTTCTCGCAAATTCCCCCCAGTACCTCTTTGATAGCGAGGTCGACGATTTTCCACGTCTCCCCTATGTAAGTGAGACAAATTTCGGTCCAGAGTGAGGTCGTGCGGAGGGTGAGCTCAAGACGACACTCGTCGATGTAGCATGTACCGTCTCGAGCTGAAGTTTTCCTGGGATGAACACCGTGATCGAGTCAGATGATGGTCACTCACTTTCGTACAACGCTTAGGACGTCATCTAGCCATAAATCGGCCTGGCTCGCAAGGGTCGCAGGGCCTCGCTGTTGGCCAGTACCATCAGGTGTGGACGGGACAGTGTCATCTGCCGAGATAGATTCAGCGGCCGTGTTGAGGACCGGGTGACAGATGGGAATGGTATTTTTCAAAGAGGTCCCAAACTGCCTTTGAGAATCGCACAACATCTTGGTATATTTGTCCGTCTTGTATAGCTTTGTTCGAAGCACAGAGACGGTCTCATTGATTAGATCGTGAAGTGCACCGATCGGTCGTGCTTCTTCACTCGGTAGGGCGGAAAGTTTCGCTCTCGCTTCAGTCTTGCGCTCCTCTAGGAGTGAAGGGAGTTTGGATTTACTGCAAGTCAGCTCAACCTACATTCAGTTCGGACACTCATTCAAGATATCAATCTCGGTGGAAATGGTGGACCTACTCTTCTTTGGCCAGACGGGCAAAAATCTTGAACAGCTTGTCCTTGGTGGCGTCCATCCCAAGAGTTGCTAGCCCCCTCTCCTTGACGGCGGCCCAGCGCCTTTCGGCGAATAACTCGCGTTCGGCGTGCCGGGTCTCGTCGTAGGTCCTGTTTTGAACATTCTCATCGGCTGTCTTGAGCCGGACAATTGACCATTTGTATTCTGCCTTGAATCCCTGGAAATGAGGATATTCATCATGCGCAAGCTGAATAAAGGAAGATTTGGCTGGTAGTTCGATATAGTCGGCTTTGGTGATTATCCCTGCTGGTCAGACTCATTCAATCGTGCGCTTTCAAGCGACGTGAGCATCTTGAAAGGAGTCGCGAGGGACAAGTCAATGGTGCATGCGTACGTGAGGAGGCTCAAGCAAGGGAGCTTACCTGCCACCATTTGCCCCTGTGGACGGTGCTTCTTGACTAGCTGTATTTCACGAGCGGAAAACGACGGATCGGCTATATGTAAATTCATGCTTTCGGAAAGCATCGTTGTGTGTGGATACTCTTGAAAATAGGGGACTCACCACCACCCGCCGCGAGGCAGAGAATCGCAATATTGTTAAGATCAGCGAGATATAACTCGGCAAAAGCTACTTGTAAGCGTAGGCGATCTCGTGGGGGATGATTTACCTTCCACTTTCGGGCCATCGTCACCCCCTATTAGACCTGCAGAATCAGTCAGGTCCTTGGAAAAGATTGGTGACGCACCGGGAAGATCTACAACCGTGGCGTTTCGTTGGTCAGGGCCGCTCACCTGGAGCTCAGCTCTTGGTTCGGGGGAAGGAGTGACGTACGTGCAGCGTGACAACGTTGTCTGTGAATTTTGGCAAGCTCCCACTTCCTCTGAGTCGCTCATCGTCGCTTAGCTGAGAGAGGGTCTCCAGCGTTCTGAACATAATCAGTCATGTTATCGGGCGGATGGAAGAAGACGCACCGAACTCGAATCATCCCGTCTCTAGACCGTCTAGCCTCATTACCGGCCAAGCGCAGAGCCTCACGTACTTCTCCGCTGTTCCTCAATGGCTCGGTGGTAAAGAGGACTTTTCTGGGCTTCCCCGGTGCCGGATTCAGGAATTCGATTTCGATGCTGGCTTCAAAGGGTGCCTCACGGAACCGAGAGTGAATCATCGTGGGACCACTGCTCTTCAGATTACCATGCTTGGCAGGCCAAGTGGACTTACAAAGTGGCGGTGGTACCGTATTCACTCCACAGGTTAATGTTGAGTAGGCAGCTCAGGCTGACGTTAGCTCGACTTTCTTGCTGTGTAAGTCCGACATGAGTCGATGGGCATTAGAGGGGAGAAGGAGAGGGGCGAAAAGGGCCGTCTCGAGGGGGGTGGGGAGGGGAGAAGAGCGGAGGGATTTCTCACAACATAGACTTTCCGGCCGATTGACCTCCAATGGTGACGAATTTTGTCACCGGCAACTTGTCTATCCCCTCCCTGTCATTCAGTCAGCGATCAGAGCGCCCGAGCAAGAGTATTACTCACAGGATGTCAGAGGAATTGATCAGGAGATCATGGACGGCAAAGACAGCATCAAGATCATCTTCCATATCACTTTCTTGGTCAGGCTCGAGACGACGGGTCCGAGTCGGACTCGGTGTCTGAGGGTCGATGAGTAGACCGTTGCTCCCTGGTCGGGCACGAGCGGGTGATTCTGGAGTTGGTGGTGTCGGCATGTTGTCACTTGTATAATCAATGGCTGATGTCAGAAGTCAGAATGAAGAGAAGAAACTGTGTGAAAGAGAAGTCACTGGCGTTTTCGCATCGATTGGCTGACAAGAGAGTGCGTCGGCCAATGAGTTCTGGAAATGAAGGGCGTACCCTAGTTGCTTGACAACGAATAGAACAACTAGTGTGATCCGTCAGTGCGCTTCCCACGGTAAACGGTACGGTTTTGAGTGAAAGAAAGAGACATGTTCCCTCTAACCCTGTGTGATGATACAACTGACCAAGTAGTGGAACAAGACAATCGCTACCTGCTACCAGAGCACGAGTAAGTTAATCGCTGTCAGATGTCCGAGACGGAATGATGACGCACCGTCGATCGTTCATTTCAGGCACCACACAAATGGGTGTGCCATGTGCCATGACGTCGATGAGCGATGACTCCCTCCCCCGAAACTCCTCCTTCACTTAAAGACTCTCGCTCAAGCTATATGTGCCCCTGATTGATCCAACTTCACATTGACAACATCACCTCGATCGCAATGTTCAGACCCACTGCTCTCCGTCTCGCCGTAAGGCGAACTCCCTTCCTCATCGTCAGTCCTTCATTCTCGATGTTCCCCGGTGACTAACCGCTAGGCTCCTTCCTTTCCCGCTCGGCCTCTTGTCAAGAACCAAGTGACACGTTCGCAAATCAGGAGCTATGCCGACCAGACCAGCTCCGGAGGAGGAAGTGGGAACAATCAGATGTATATCGTTCTTGGAGCAATCATCGCACTAGGCGCTGGAGGTTACTGGTACCTCAAACCCATGCGTGATGTGGCAAGCATGGCTCATGGAACTATGAAGTCCGCCCAAGAACAGGCTGGAAAGCTTGTGAGTCTGCGAGTTTTGGGAAACGGGTGATACTGATTTCAGTCCGATACAGCGGGTGGAATGGCCAAAGCTTACCTACCTCCCGGAGCGTTCGCGCTGTATTCAAGTCTCGCCTCTCAACCCGGGGGCATCAACGGCTTCCTCACCTCCTTGAAAGACAAAGATCTGAAGGGAGTCATTGAGGAGGTAAAGAAGGTCGGAGGTGATGATTTGAAAAGGATCGTCGAGAAGGTGGAGAAGCGAGTGAAGGACGCCGAAGGAAAAGTGGAGAAGATTGACTGGCAAAGTTTGGCCAAGGAGCTGAAAGAAGAGATACCCAAAGACAAGCAGCAGTACGTGGACGTGAGTGCAGGACTCGTACGCCCTGACCACTCCCGATTGTCGAATTTCGTGGTCGATACACTAGTAGCAGATCGGTCCTCGGCTGACACACAGATGCTGATCGGTCGACTGCCGAGCAAAGAGTCGATAGAACAATATGTCACCAAGGCCAAAGAGCTGGGAGAGCAAAAGTTGAAAGAGGTGGAAACGTCCGCGAGCAAGATTCTGGCACAGGTAGAGAAAGCGAGGAAAGAGGGTAGAGGTCAAGCGGATGCCTTCATCGCAGGACTGAAGCAGGGTACGTCACGACTTCTCCTTTTATTCTCAAGCCTGGTCCTCTCTTCTATCAGCTCTGAATACCAGCGGTGAAGCACTCACATGTTCGGAAAAATCGTTTGCAAGCTGACCCACAGCGGCTCCTGCCGACGTGGACGACTTGATCTCTAAACTCAAGGACGTCGCAAAATCAGCCGGTCTTCCGGCAGATACAGCTGAAGTATGGTTGAAAGCAAAAGCAGAGGATGGAAAGCTCAACGCGGAGCAGCTGGCGAGTCCCCGCGTGTCAAGGCCACTGAGGATATCGGCTAACATCGCAGGGCAAGCAGTTTGAAGATCAGCTGCGTGACGCGGCCAATGCCATTCCGGGCGAGCCCAAAGAGGTGATAAGTCAAGTTGAGAAGCTGTCTCCATCGATCGCCAAGCTTTTATCACAAGCGTTGCAGCAAGTAGGGATAGTGGATGAGCAAGGCAACAGGAAGAAGTAAGACATCATGATTGTAACTTGGCGATGGTACACCATGCATGAAGTTGAGCTTTGACGCAGGCTCGAGGTCCGGGAAGATGATCCGAAAACGCCGCTCGGCGAAGTGCGAAATTTCCCGAACGTGGCTGGAAACTGACGTCCGGGCAAGGCAGGAAGGGGGAAAAAAGTCAGAAAGCCGCCCCTCCCCCAATTTTCATTCAACCCAAAAACCTCTTTCTTCTCTTCTCTTGTCTTCCTTCGCTTCTCGCTGTCGCGCTGCTCCTTCTCGGTCCTCTCCGCCGTCCTTCTCAGGGACCCCTATCTCATCTCAAAAGCCGTCTGGCATCATTCTCACCTCTGACAACCGTTGGTCGTAGGTTGAACCATTGTCGGCATCACACATTCCACGCCCTCGAAACACAACTAAAAAAAAGGTTGAAAACTTCTTTCCTCCGGAAAAGAGTTTTCTACATCGTCATCTGTCGACAACATGTCAAGTGTAGAATTATCCCCTCAAATAGCTCAGGCTCCCAATAGAACGGGCGATATCATGCATAACGAACACAGTGTGAACGGAGTCAATGGGATCAGTAAGATGGATCAGATGAAAGAATTGGAACAGCAAGTGGAACGTGTGTCGTTGAATGGCGTAGAACCCGTGGCATCGCACATCGAGTTGGATCTTCACAGAGCATGCGCGGAGGGTAGATTGGACGATGTTAGAGTCATTCTCAGTCGTAGTCTTGACAACCTCGAGGTTCTAGGTGAGTTTTCTCATGTCGCACTCGTTCCCTGGCACAGCATCATATATCTCGCTTGGCCGGAATGCCGACTCATTCACTCCAGCTACTCCCTCTTCGTTTTCAGACACTCGCCACTTATTTCTACCGAGTCGAAGAAGCAACGCTTACGCATTATAGACCTTGCAACCGGGTGCACTCCCATCGTCCTCGCTATCAGGTCCAATCATCCTGAGATCGTCCGCGAGCTCTTGTCGGCAGGCGCAATGGTTCCTCCTCCTGGGCTTACAAACGACCCACTTCTCTTGTCTATTCTATACCCCCAGCCAATGGGGATGGGCATGTACGGAATGCCCTACATGCCTTCTGAATACTACCCTCCGTATTTCGAAGGGCAGAGATATCCGTACCCTCCTCAACACCGTAAAGACTCCTCCATCGAACCTCAGACAACCCCAAATGGTCCGGCTACTGGTAATTCTCATGGAGTTCCGGAAGGAACCGCTCCACCAAACCTCCCACCTGCTGAAGTCGCCAAAACCATTCCTTGTCGTAACTTTCCCAACTGTAAATATGGCACTTCCTGTGTTTTCTTCCACCCTCGCCAACAGCTCACTCCAGCTCCCGGTTACTACCCTGGTCCGCCAAGCTACGCTCCTAATGGGATGGGAGGTATGAGCGGAATGCACGGTTACGAATACATGCCTTATCCTCAACCAGGTATGATGCCTCCTTATGGTTACACGCCTTTCCACCCGACTCAACCTCAGCGAGCGCCCAATCAGCCCGCCCTTAGAACACAGAATGAAAGTCAGAATCAGAATCTTGTCCCAGTCCAAAGTCAAATGAACGAGCATGGTCAGAATATCCAGTCACAGCATGTACGCTCCCCACAATCGTCAGAGATACCCGAAAATCAAAACATTGGCCATACCCCCGATTATCAACAACCGTCATACCCTTCCATACAACCCACCCAACCACCCGCTTTCTCACCTCACATCAACGGTGACGTCAACAGTCAACAACCGAACGGACCCATCGCTATCCCTGCCAATGGTCACAATCCATCTCTTCAAAATGCGCAGTATGGTGGTATCTCACCCACTGACTCGATGCTCGCTACGTCTCTACCTGCTATCCCGCCTCCCGAGACATTCTTTGCCACTTCCCCGCCTGGTCCTCCGCCTATGACACAGCAAAACGGCTTTGTACCCAATGTGGTCGGACCCAGACGACCAAGTTTCAATCAAGTACCCTTTGGTCGACCGTTCGCCCACGGTAAAAAATCGTCTTTTTCCGGTTCTCCTGGTCCAAACGGGTCCGCTCCGAGGTCTTGGGTTCCTCGAGCGTCTTTACCGAACGGCACTCCCGGTCAACCTCTGGGCAGCTGGAAAGATGGAAACCCTCCACCATGTGCCTTTTTCAACCAAGGCAAATGCAGGAATGGAGAATTTTGCAAGTTTCCTCATCTTGATGCCGAAGGGAATGACTGTGAGTTGGGCTTTTTCCCAGGGCACTTTCGTTACATGTCAACATATCACCCGAGGACTCTTCTTTCTCTTAGAGGCCTTGACTCTCGTAGTATTGCCAAGTGACGATCGCTGATTCCCAGGCCGTCACCCAGATGTGGTAAGGGGTATTGTACCACCCATCGGCGCCTTCGGCCGACCCTCAAGAAACAGCGGTCGAATGAACGGCTTCCCAAACGGGCCACACGATTCCATGCGCGGGCAATCTCCTTATCCCAGTCGATCTCTAGGTCCCCACCTCCCTCACGGTGTCTCCTCACATCCTTCCCAGCCTTCTCATGGTGCTGCTGCCCCTTCTGAGCCTATTCCAACCACCACTCCTGAGACGATTGTCCATCCCGCGTCCAATTCTCCTCCGCCGACTGCAGAGAACCTTGCTCCAGCGGCTCACTCTGCTCTCCCTATCAAACCCACTCCCGTCCTCGCTGGCCAGATGGCCCGCTCAAGCTCGCAACCTGGCGTTCACGGGTTCACGCTTCAGGACACACATCTCGCACCCATCCCTGCTCTCTACGTCTCATTTGGTAATCCTAATCCTCGTCGGTCTCGTCCTTTCAACCACACCAACGGTCACCATCAGTCAAACTCCAACAATGTGACACGCGGTGGTAACCGGTCATCTTCAGCTGGCGCAGGGGCCAAATCTCAACGTGTCCCAGGAGCCGACGAGTTTCCCGCTTTGGGTGGACCAGGATCTAAAGGCGGTTCACCCCAGGAAAGACAAGAGTCAAGGTTTGGAGGGAAGACTGCTGCTCAGGTATTGAGTGCTCCAGCACCTTACAAACCTGAAGTCAAGGTCGTTCCCGAGGTTGAGACTGGCTCCACGAAAGAAGAAGTGGAGTCGAATGACATCAAGGGCTCTGAGAAAACAAATGGGACAGGCAAAGAGAATGAAAATGAGAAAAGGACTAAGATGGGAAGCGTGAGAAGTGTTAGTATGGATTCCATAACTGAGGCGGATAATGACACTGTGGTCATATCACACAAACAATACACTGCGTCTAAGGGAGGAGTGAACTGGGTACACGAAAAAGAGGTCGGAACGGAGATTAGAAAGACTACAGTGTCTTTCGCTTCGATCGCCAGTGTCACACCTGTGACGACGGGTCATGTGGAGGTCGCTCCTGTGGCTCTCAAGGCGTAGAGATTGAACTGCGTCCTTCATATCATGTTCCTTACTCCGACATCGATAAATTACACCCAATTCACCCTTAATCCTTGTACCAGTCACCTTATCAGCCGATACTCGCTCTTAATCCCCTGCCGATGTCACCTCAAATACATCATCCCGAATTATGCGCTGCTCTGTCAGATCAATGACAAACGAACTTCACTTCCGACTTTTATCTACCCATCATCTCGTCAGCTCGAAAAGTTCACAAAAAAACGTTGATGATCCTTGTCACTCGGCTTCTTTATATTGCCCTGTCCGTTCCATCCATCACCTTGTCCCTGTATACTCCTCACTACTGTATTCCTCTTACTCTTTCAGTCGCCGTCACATATATTCCACCAGCCACTTCTTCACCTCATCACATCTAAACTCTTCCTGCTTCCTGTCTATCTCTCGATTTCATGACTCCTGCATATTGTCCCTATCCATTTTTTCATCTTTGAGCCTTCTCTCAACCATCTTGACCTTCACCCCGATTTGCTCATACCCCACTCGCGCCACTCGGCTCGCGGCAAACACGCCGAAGACCATTCGTTAAATTTCACACATTCGTCTATTCGGGTTATCTTGGATTGTAAATTCTGATGCATGATGCATTTGTGTGACGTTGTCCTTCGCTTGTTCATTCTATGGGGGAAATATTGTTCTCATGGTATCACATGGTCTTTTGAGATCTTTGTTCCAGAGTTGATCCGCGGGATCGTTCACCTCATCTCTTAGCTTCATATTGGTCATTCCGTACATAGTACAGGATATTGGGGAGAAGGGCGTCCAGGTTTAGTCGGATGACTCGCCGGATTGATATCATGTTCTTTTTTTTTAGATCAAATCCGAATTTTTCCCACCCCACTACATAGTATTAGATTATCCCATGGTTCCGCGGTCATTCCTAGACCTTCCAATCTCTAACCAGCTAGTACTCATAACTAGTTAATTTCTAGATCCGATTATCAGGTCCGAATTCCGAAACTTGAAGCTAGTGTCAGTGTCAGCCTATCCTATCCGATCTTCGATCCCCAACAAAAGATAATTACAAACTATCTTCGAGAAGATCTTACGATCGAGACTAGTACTTGTAGATCCATAAATACGACACCCTCATGGTCTCGTCGATCATGGGCGTGAATGAGCTAAGTTATTGGTAGATTTACAGATTTCCTTTTTTAAGGATCTGTCGGATTGCTGATTATCGATCATCGATCTTTGAATCGGATGTGATCCGCCCGGAAAGTCATATGAAATGCATCATGAATGATCAATTCCAAGCGGGAAAAAAATGAGTGGAAACAAAGGTTTGATCCTGTCCATCTTTCCTCTTCGTCACCTTTCCTCCATCCTCGGACGTCCATCAAGCCTTCTTTGTTGTGTTTCAAGTTTGGTCGATTTTGCATATAGAGGACTTACAATTCTGGATATTACGGAGGACGATAACCTGGGATAGAGGTCAGAGATGATGACTCGTGAAGTCTACATTGAGTTTGTTTCACCACCGAGTGATCACAGTGATACAGTGAGGTATCGAGAAACATGAGAGGTCAAGATGCCACATGCCACATTCAGTTTTGCCACTTTTTGACTTTCCGGTACCTCCCAAGCGGGCAACCGGAACAAAGGATCGTTCACTCCTCCCACCTGTTCGAGACTGTACCTTCTGTTCATAGGCTATCATCCATAAACTACTTCACGCAGTCTGGAAAACTATCTCTTCTCAAACCCTAAGAGGTTCACCACCTGCCGCTAGTCAACTTAATGGTCGAAGTATTGTAAACACCATCGACAACTTCACATCTCTCACATCGTCTCACATCGTCTCATCTGCCTCGACTATTCGACTAACCGATATACATCAATCATAATCTCAAGGCACACATTCAACAACCTCAAGAAACACACTTGATTACTTGAACGCATCTCCAGTCAAAATCCAAGGGTTGGGTGTTGAAGCACAAAGTCAAAACGATCCGGATTCGTCGAAAGCTCGGAATTCCGATCGAACGTGAAGCTGTGTAAAACATGAAGTAAGATTGTGCGTTTGAGAGTTGAGAGAAATATCACAAAGATAAGGGTTTTGTTACACTTCAAGAGTAGAGCCAGATCATAAAGTCAAGATCAAGATTAAGATCCAGGATTTAGGATCTACGGTACAGGATATACAGTAAAGTCAGGGTCAGCTTTATGGGATTTGGGGTTTGAAAAGATGTTTTCGATCAAGAAGAAATTAGGAGCTTTGATCCCCAATGAAGTGAGTTCCTTTTCTCAGTGTTCTTTCTAACATCTCCCACCGATCGATATCTCCATCCTTCTCCAATAAACTCAGTCTAGCGGTCTTTCACCCAGGAAGTAGTCAGCACTGTTATTCCTGACAACACCCATGATATCAATCCTCTAAAGTCATTTCTTTATCCTTCGCAAATCTTCGTCGAGGGTTCTGAAGCCACTACTATTGAAGAGAGAAACGCATCACTGACCCCAGTCCACTCGCGATGCACTTCAAAACGTCCTCACTGTCGAATGGTCAGGTCATAAAACCGTCCTTGTCCAAGTCCCCGGTCCTGGGGATTCACGAGGAGGTGAAATGGAGATGAGTGGTATGGGTCGAGATAGAGATAAAAGTGACAGGGAAGTAGGAAGAGGAAAAGAGGGATATGGGAAATTGGACAATTGGTATGATGATGTAAGTTCATTACCCTCTCTCCCCTCTTCTCCCCTCTTCTCCCCTCTTCTCCCCTCCTCTCCTCCTTCTTACCCCTTTCTCACTCTTTCGATGTACTTTACTCCTCGATGTCATCTATTCTCTTGATATCAAATCTGAAAATGTCTGACCTTCAATTATGTTATTTATCGCCAATTGTATCATGAGATAGAAATGTTGATCATTTAGCAAGAAGAACGTTCACATCTAACCTCTCACCATCAACCCCAATCTCGTCCTCCAGCCCAACGTAAAGGTTCAAACAAAAAACTACCGTCTTTACCTCATCCGCCCCACGGTGAAAATCCATTCGAGAACGATGAATTCGAGCTGGATATGGAATACAATGATCTAGGTCCTGTGATATCCAACAGACATTCAGATTACGATCCACTCGATTTTTCTTCTTCCCCTTTACCTCCAACCCCTCAATTTCCTCATAAAGACATACCCAGACTTGGGGCGAATGGGATGGCGACGAATAGAAGAGATGAAACCCCGGGTGAAGAGATAGGAAGAAGGAAGAAAGAGAATCCTTGGAAAGTCGATGATAGGGATAAAAAAGAGAGAAATCAGGTTATTTGGGGTACGGCTAGTGTGACTAGTCCAACGACTTCAAATGGGACTAGAAGTTCTACTATTGGGTCAGAGGAAGATCCTTTTCGGTAACTCTTAATGTTTTGCGTTTGATGGATCGTGTCGTCTTATATCGGTACGACCTTCCATATCGGATGTTTCTCATCTTTTGGGGAACGACAGGAGTAGAGGATAAGATGGTATTTCTACCCGCTGTCTGACTGACTGAGGAATGAGAAGAGATGCGCGGGTGAAAGTGTGAGTAGTTGAACAGTGAAATTCTTTTGGGGTGTCAGGTGTGATAGTTAGTATCTCAGCAAAGGACTTTAGGGATCTGGACATTTTGTCTCTGTCGTTTTGTCGTTTTGTTAGGGTTTAAGGGATGTATTGTCGAAATTGTAATGTACGAATATTCTCTAATCAATCTGTTTTTCGGCATGTCAAACTGCCAATGCATATCTTGTCCCAATGACGATCTAATCCCACGACGTATCAATGATCATGCTGAATTACTGGTCATACTTCCCAAATCCCTAAATTGGGCACTCAGCTCGACGTAAAAGCCATCCGCTGATCTTCCATCCTACCGGGGAGTAACTCCCCTCAACCTCCTAACCACACAAAATTCATATTTTTCTCAATCCCCCCTCCAACTCCCACTCCACATATTATAATTATACCCTTCTATCTCTCCCTCATCCAAAATCCTTTTCCCTTGACCAGCGACCAAAACAGCACTACCAGCTACCAACTCAAAAGTTACTCTACCAGGTTTGAAACCTACCGTAAATAAATTCGGTTTTCCAGTTTTCAAACTTCTTTCATGTACTTTATCTTCATTCTTCACGACGATCTTATGTTCCAATGTTGAAGGAGGGAGTAAAATGAATAAATTTATTAAATCTTGTGCCCATTCTGAATTTCTAGGTAATCCAACTTCATCATCTTTCACTATGATTGAAGATGGATGAGTTCTATACCACATGTAAACTCGTGGGTCATTTCCTATCGCTTCTATTTCAGGTACTCCTTTCCATAGTAAAGAGAAGAAATGGGTCATTTCTCTGAATGCGATATGAGACATATTTTGAGTCCAGTGATCAGATCCGGGTTGAGCACCTAAGATTGGGGATAGGTAATGGGATTCACCGTAATCGTTCCATGAAATTATTTGTATTATCGAGGGTGATTGATGGGTTGGAAGGGAAATGAGTTCTGCTAATCGGGTTGGGTAAAGAAGGTCGTCAGAGCGATCTTAAGGATCAGCTACGGATTCACTTTAACAGGGATGATGAATAGCTGGTTCGTTCTGAGATTCTGCTCAAGATGCATTGCCAGTTTCTTCAGGCTGGAAATTTGCTATATATGTTGCGGCGAAGGGAGAGAAAGAAAGGGGGAGGGGGATAGGGGGAAAGGGTAGTAGGGTAGTAGGGCATGTCGTTCACAACAAGCAGGACTGGTAGGAAGATTGGAACATAGACCTACATATCCAATTTTTGTCCCATGCCCATTGTCCTGTCTTTCCATAATGTGTGAAGAAAAGAGGAGAGGCAGAAGCCATGTAGGGTTTATCCTTGTCATTAGCGTCGTATCTCGGCTGCACTGGTGAGTGCTGACATGAAGCTTACACTGGCCAAGAAAGGGGCATCTTCTTCAATACTGATCGTATGATTACCTGCTGGCCTGTTTATCAGCTGTGCCCATGATCGGAGAGGGTACCAACTGACCAAGCTGCATTCCAGGCGAAAGTCCCGTCGACGTATGGCAAGTTTATAACCTCTTTAGGGGGCATGAAGAAAGTAGGCCAGAAGAATACCTGAAGTATCAGTGAGATACAAGGTGAAATAATGCATGGAAATGTGCTTACCGGTGTTTCTGACTTGGCATTCAACCGATTTAACCACCCCTTCCACCCTTCTCCTCCGAATGAAACAGCATGTCCACTGAAAGACGATAACACAGGTCTTCCATCCCATTTCAGCTGTGCAGGCTCTGAAAGCACTCGTAAGACTTTTTCCGCCAACAAATCCCCATCAGTTGATGTGGCAGAAGGGTTAACGTTCATATCTAACGACAGGAACAGTTTCAGGCCAGAAGAGTGAGAAGAGAGGAGGTCGTAAGCCATAAGAGCTTGAGAAAACTGCCATTCTTCCGGTCCTAGATTGAGAGCGAAACCATCCCTACATGTCAATCATCTTTCATTTTGATGAGGTAGGAATTGCGAAGGCAGTCTGCAAATTTTCATGAAAAATGATCGATGACCTTAGGATGAGTGGGGAAATCAATGAAACTTACAATCCCGCCTCACTGGCCAAGTCAAAAGTGGCGAGCCAATCTTTCTCTGTGAATGGATACGTGTTACCCAACTATAACATCAATTCATCTCACAATCATCCTCCTCCCATCTCAAAATTTCTCAAACATCATGAGACATCGCGGATCTGTCCAACTCACCATGAAATGAGCCACCATCAACCTTGGCCTTTGTGAATGACGATCACCATCCTCTTGATGAGCCATACGTCGACCTCTGAGACCAGAAAAGAGCAGCTGCATGTTGACGAGTAACAAGATGATGATGATGGTAGGTTTTAAGAAGGGATGCTGGGACCAGTGCCTCGGCATGACTTATTACTGATGGCCGACGGAGGCAAAGGTTGACGACGGAAAGGCCAAGTTAACTATCGTGCTATCGTGTCATGTCGCGACGCTCCACTCGACTCGGTTCGCTGTCTCGCAAGTATGGAGACTAGTCAACAGCCTTGGGCCTGGAAGCAGGAGATCGCAGAGGGCGGTACTCTCAAAGTACGAGTAATTAGCAAACGGGTGAGTGGATCCAGTTTCAAGGTGAGACAGCAATTCAACTAGCAACCAGTCAAACCCCTAGGGCAAAGCTGAAACGATTCGAAGTTGGCCTTGGTACGTGCCTGAATCAAAAGTCACAAGTCACGTGACAAGACCTTTTTGAATTCGTCGAAACACGCTACATGCACACTTTTGTCCTTTGTCCGTGATAATCTCAACAAAAGCATAACTCATACCCGCTCATTCATTCTAGGGCCTAGGGACTACCATAACAACCAACTATCTTCCCCACTTCTGTCAGAAGCTTCGTCGTCGAGCATCGTTTTCTCTTTGTCAGGACCCCCCCGGCTGTCGCAGTTTCGACCGAGTGAACCAACTCATATCCTCCTCCCCCAAGGGACATCGGGTAAAAAAATACAAAAACACGAGGCAAACTTGTCTAACCTCTTTCGCCCCTCGTCTGCGCTGATCACACGCATCTCTTTGTGATCAATCTTTAATCCTCCACATCAGGCTGACGCCGCTGACCTCTTGAACCCTCAAAAAAGACCGCCGAACATGCGATCCACGTTCCGCGTCCCTCGTTCGTCATCACTCGATCATTCATCGTCAACTTCGGCTGACCCGGCCAAGAAAAACAAAGGGGGCGCCATCAGACGATGCGAGGCGAGGTACATGATTCAGATGGCACACCAACTTTTTGTCATCTTGTGTTCTTGATCTTTGGGGAGGGCGTCCGCGGTTCTGGACGTATATCTTTTCTTTTCATCACAGAAATCAATCGTATCATGATTCGAAACCGGGACAAAGAACCCAAAGTGCCGGCGGCCGTCAGATGCGGTGTACTAGCATGGGAAAAACTAATCATCAGAGAATACAACGGGAAGATCTTGGATACGTCTCAAGCGAAGAATTGAACGTACGGAGGAACAAGGCGATCATTGTTCCGACCTCTTTCCCCATCTTTTTTTCCAACAATTCGGCCCGTCCAGCCTATCGGGAAGCTCAGTTTACTATTGACGACTCTACCTGACGATTGCAGACTCTCATGACAAAGGGATCCTCAGCCTCACTCGCGCAGCCTCGAGTATCTGACGACACCTCCCTTGATCTCTTCTCGACCATCGGGAAGACGCTGACGCGCTTCCGTCTCTATCGTGTGTAGAAGTTGCCGCGCTGCCTCCTCGTTGGGGAAGAAGCCTCGGGGGAAGCAGGATCATCACATCACACCGGAATCCGAAAAGCAATACGCTACGGCCCAGGGGCTAAGCGGTCGATGGGGCAGGTCAGGGTGAATGGACCGTACGGAATAGCTCAAAAAGGCCTCGCCTTGGATCTCTTTCCTCTTTTCTTTCAGTGTCTTCTCATCCCACTCAGCTTTCGCCTCTTTCCACTCACATCTCTTCACATTTCCACATCTCTCTGTCAGTCTCCAGCTTTAGGTTTGAGTAACATCTCTATCAAGCTCTATCCTTTTTTCTTTTGTTCTCTTGTCGTGGATTCATTTCAAGTTTTCTCTCTCGTTGTCAACAATAGCATCGCTGTTGCCACCACTTTTCCGGCGTCGAATAGGTCTCTTGTTCTCTTTTTCTCAATTTTTTCTTTGCTTGTCTCTCTAGGCTTGGATCGTCTCGTCTTTGAATCGGCTCGAATCGTTTTCAACCTTTGTGCTTCAGTAACAGACCCGAATTAGTCGTTCCTGAACTTCTTCATTCATCTCTTTGTCTTGTCCCGTCGATCCTCACTTCCATCAGTCACCGAAGCTTTAACAATAAGCTCGGTAGTAAGAGGATCAAATCACTAGCTCAAACTTCACTAACTCGTCAACATTTACGACGTGAGTACTCTCTTCGTCCCCACACTTCATGTTTCTCTATCCCATCGATCTTTGGCCCCTTCCCACGTCACCGCCCTGAGCGGTGTGAGACCCGAGGAGCGAGATTGTTTGGGGCAGATGAAAATTCGATATGTACTTGAGCTCACACTCAAACAGATCATCTCTATGTCTTCGACTGTGATGGCTAATACCCCTCCACTGTCACCAGACTTCCGCGCATTCACCGACGACGACACGTTTGACTCATCGACCTTCCCTTGTGAGTCACCTTGTCGCATTCTGATCAAGTCTTCACTTCCACTCAATGTTTGATGGATGGCAACTATGTGATCTTCCACACAGTTATTTACCAGACCCACAGATCACCAAAGTCATGTTTGAAATACACGGGGCTAAGACATTTGTTGACTTTCAGTCCTTCAACCAAGTTTCATGGACTCGTACCTGGTCTGTCCCGACATGACCGCCGAGGGAATGAACCAACAACAAGAGCAGCCCGAGGGTCGCGAGCAGATGTACATGGGGAATGACGATCGTGAGTACTGTCTGTGACTTCTTTTGTGTGATGTTCCTCGTCGTGTTCAAGAATAAGACATTGTTACGAAAGCTCATCACAAGGCTCGGAATTCAACTACAACCTCGCTCGCCTCAACCTCTCCGGCTCTCCTTCTGGCGAGCAAGTACAACATCAAGCTACCTCGACGTTCGGCTACCCCATGCCACAGTACTCCAACCCTAATACGAACGTCAATTTCTTCCACCCATATCGTATGGACTGTGAGTCACTCTACCCAATTCTCATCCTCCTCTTCCTCTTGGAAACTTCAGAGTTCTCCTTCATCGATTAGAGGTCGCCAATCGCTGACAAACCAGTACGTGCTCATCAAAGTCCTCACTCCCCAATGCGACCCATGTCACCGCCATTATCCACTCCAGGCTCTGCGGGACCACATTTCCAACCACTCAATCACTCTCCCGCCGGCGTCAGTCCCAATATGATCAGCCCCAACTCTATGCTCGGTGGCAATCTGTCCGACAACTCGCCTCTCGGTCAATGGTCAGCCCTCCCTTACGCCGCCCAACTCGGTGGTCCATCAAATATGACCAACCCTACGGCGCCGTTCGGGACTGCTTTGGGTATGGTCACCAACTACCCTTACCCCGCTCAGATGACTAGCGTCCCTTTACAACAAGTCACGAGAGGACGCCCTCGTCCCGCACGGCAGACAAGGGTTCGGAGAAGCCGTACGCCGATCAAGAAGGAGGATGACGACGATGATGTGATAAGTGATCTTGACGACAATGAACCTAGGCGGTCAAATACTTCGAGACGTGCTACGGAATCTAGAAGCGAGTGAGTGTTAATTTCGTATTACTCTTCATCGATTCCTTTTGGGGAAATATGCTGAAATAGTGGGCTAAGGCGCAGGGGCGCTGGGGAAAAAGGTTCCGGTAAGAAAGAGGATGTCCGAAGGGCGCGCATCGAGAGCGAACAGGTGAGTCGGAATATCCTTCTGAACATTCTAGATTTGACTGACGACGCAGCGCCGAAGGGACGAACTTCGTGAAGGTTTCAAAATCCTGAAAAGTCATCTTCCGGCGAGTAGTCAACGTTCATCGAAATGTATCTTGCTTGATCGAGGTGAGTTGATCCTTTTTGTCATGTTGTCGCTCTCGTCGACGGAGTTGATGTTGATCAACAAGCTTGCGAACATATCAAGTTTTTGACCAAAACCAACTCGGATCTCATGAACCAGAATGAGAGACTTCAACGTGAATTAGACGAGTTGCGCGCGTGAGTGACCGTTCAGTGAAAGAGATGGGAAACGAGACTGATCGGATAGGTGTAATACGGAACTCGTTCATGCTGTTGCGGTCAACACTCGTCCTTCCTCAAGCCCTGGCTCTCACGCTCGGGGTCAAGCCACTTTACATCAGTAAAGTATTCGAGTAGAGAGGTCAAGCGGATTCTCTACGAGGGGTTGGTAGGGGAGTTAACCAATATAGTCAGTACATATCCTCTCTCCCCTGTCTTAAACCGCTCCCCATTCTCTTCATCCCTCCTCATCTTGTCAAGTTTCCCGGTAGAATCTCTACACACCGAGAGGTCTTGCCTACAATCATGAAATCTTATCTTACTGAAGATCAAGTACTGACAAATAAGATTCTCTTATCCCTCTCGTTCCTCTCAACACCCGATCAAAAATCATCCGCCAAGTCAACAATCATCTGTCAACAACTGTTCATAAAACTGTCAATATTTCAACTTTATTCCGATTGTTTCGTTTTTTCCTTTCCGGTCCGATTTCGCTCTCGACTCGTGTAACCTTGTAATTCGAAATCACACGGTTCTCAAGCATCGCATTTATTATACATTATCGATTCGGTTTTATATGTTTTTCTTCAACATTTCTTCTTCTCCGTGTGAATCCCACCCCACTCCAACTCTTTTGTCCATCCTCATTCAATTCCCTCATGTATCATTGTCCAGTCCTTCGAATTCCCCGTCGACGTGGATTCTAGTCTGTACAAACGACCATCCCATCATTTCAACATCTTATGATCTTATGATCTTATGCTCTTATGATCTTATGATACTACATACGACTTTCAACGACCTTTTCATGTCCATTCTTACGACACACGACCATACCTGCAAATAACCGTTTAATGTTCAATACACACACCCCTCATCGAAAATGTTCAAATCCATTCTCACAAAATCTTGTAAATCATGTCAAATTGCCAATATATTGTTTATGGTTTCGACGAGTTACCTTTCAAACCTTCAAATCTTCAAAACGTATTGTCAACATCAATTCTTTCAAGGGAAGGAAAAAATAGCGCTGGAACGTTGCTTCGATCTTTATACTTCTGTGAAGAAAGATCGTATGGATTTTTTCCCTTTTTCCCCCTTTCCCTCAATATCATCAAGTCAAAAAGAAATACGATCATATGACTCTTTTGTTAATAATGTAAGATCATGTTACATAATCTTCCGACTTTTTCCCCTCAAAATGACGAACTCTTCAACGAATCTACGAAAATCACGAAATCACGAAATCAAGAAATCACGAGTAATGATCATTATAAAAGCTTTCAAGATCAAAACTTCAAATTTTCAAGATACATGATAAAAAAATTCAATTTTCTCAATTTCCTTATCTACGTATTCGGAATCTCACGACAAACCCCAAGTCACATATGAATATAAAATAAATCGGTAGCTTGAAGTTGCTTCGATTTCCTTTTTTTCCGTCTTCATTTCTTCTCTCCGTTTTTCGATGGACGCATCGATCAATCAAGAAAGAAAGAAAAAGAAAAAAAGAATCGATGGATCGATTTATTTCATTCATATTTCCTACCTTTAACCATTTTCGCCTAATCATGAATCTCTCAAATTCGCTAGGATCGATTTTGAGCTTTCACCCATTTTATCGCTGGTCGAATGGGTCAAAAATGTCAAAATGACTTTAAAACCGATAGCCTTGTAGGTTGCTCCGTTATTGATTAACGGTGGATCGGTTTTTCACGCCTGGTGCGATGATTTAAGGCAAAATGGGAATTATGTTTAGTGTGTAGTCTTTGTATTACTTTGTTTATGGTTTCATGAATTGAGTTTTAGTCCTTGATCAAAGCTTAATTATGCCCAATTTGACTGGGCGTCTCTTACTTACGGTTACCTGCTGAGCACATGCAAGATCTTGGCAAGACCATTGAGTCAATTTCATTATTATTCATGACCAAAACTTGCACAGTTCAGAAGATTTAAACGAATACATTGGCATGCTATACTAACTGAATCACGATAATACGATCCGACGAGACTTGGTTCCGCCAGAGCAAGTAGCACGCAAGGCAGAGAGGAACGACTGGGAAAAGGATTATGATTTCTGTCCGGGTCTTTTCATCTATCCAATTAGCGATGCTACAACGGAAGCCACTTGAGTCGTTGAGACTGCGTGTATATGACAGAAATCAGAAACGCCAAATGACCATACGGAACTGGGTAGCCACATCAAGCAAGCTGACGAAATTGTATGATACCAAAAGAAATCACTCACAAAATCAACAAAGAGATCCAAACACAACATATCCTCATCATCCGCAGTGTAACCTCGTACGGCAACGGAGAACTTGGCTGACATTCTTAGCTCTATTCGCATTCCTAGTGATCAGTCCACTTACCTTTAGGAATTTCCTTAGGCAATTCGACGGTTTGAGCAACGTTGTATGGACCAGGATGGACTGGGCATTGAACGGTGGCGTTGGCGTTTCGTCTAGATAGTCAACTAAATCATCCCTTTTATGAGCATTCTTTGTGTCTCCTCTTGCTTAGTCATTGCGCACCAGTACGAATGGAGGATTATAATCTCATTTGGGTCAAGTGAGATGGCTTGACCAGCCGTTACGTGTACACGTGGGCCTGAAATGCGCGAACATATCTGAAGCTGACACCATTGCGTGAGATAGAAAAGAACCTGTAGAGATTGTGGAGAGAGGATGAGTACATAGAGTAGAAAAGGAAGGAAGAACTCACGCTTCTTCACAAACATCAAACTCCTTTTGTAACAACTTGATCAAACCTAGTTTGACAGTAACATCTGCATATGCTCCTTCCTGTCCATCAGCCTCTACGTTTCTACTCCCTTGTTTTGCTTATGAGCTCAAGTGACTCACAACAATCTCTTGAATGACATCTGCTTCCACTGTCACTGTGAGGTTCTTTCCTGGTACGGGAGGATCGGGTGAGACGGAGATAGATTTGAGTTGACTAATCTCAGTTTATGATCTTCATGTGCCTGACAAGCTTACACAGCGTCAGTGGCGAGACCTAGTTTATCAGCGACGTTTCATTTGGATGTAGGCACCACCAATGATCGATGGGTGATGAAGAGATCTTGGCGACTCGACTCAAGTGCGTGTTCAACTTCGGCCAAGCAGAGTTACGATCCTTTGTCTGTACACTAGGGGCTGACCTGGGCGTCTTTCTGGTGAAATACAAGGGCTACGAAGGAGATAGTGAGCAGACAGAGTACGACAGATAAGGACAGGCTGTCGTCGAGGTAGATGACCCTTGCAAGAGGAGAGAGGAGAGATAAATGTACCCACCACAATCAACGTAAGACCAACTGTCCATCGTGTGAACTTGACCAGCCTTGGACTTGACATCGGAAGATAGAAGTGCGTTGGCCCATTTGACAGTATCAGAAATACTGAATGCCAGTACGGACGGGATAAGGATGGTCAATAGGGAGATACGCATGGTGATAGTGTGTGAGATGGGAAGTGGTGGGATGGAGAGAAGTGAAGAGTGAGTTGGGGGATAGATACAGTAGATAGATCGTCATCGGTTGGTCCCCAAAGGACGGGAACCGGGAATTACCGAAAGTGGCAATATTCCCCCATCCTGCCCGGAGCCACTCAAGCAGATCCTGATCCTGCTCACCAAGAATACATAGCAGATATCAGATAACATAGCAAAAAGGCGGCGATACCAACAGCGAAAGAGACTGCTATTCGTCATGCGTCTTCTCCAGACCTTGAGACCCGTCACGCATATAACCATTAAGTCACCTACCCGCCCCTATGTCACTTCCATCCACCTCAAACCTCGGTCATTCTCCTCTTCCTACCCCACCTACAGCCCCCGTCCTCCTTCACCATATCGGTACCCATCTGCCTTCACCTTCATCAACACCTTCTCACCTCTCCATTCCGCAGGTTGGCGAATCCGCGTTCTCCCATGTCAAGCCCAACCCACGACTAAGAACGTTGAACATCGACTACCTTCAAAAGACTCCCAAAAAGTCGAACGATGGGAACAACTACAAATGCATCGTTTGGTGAAGATATACTTGTTTACCGAGTGGAAAAAAGCTGTACGGTTCATGAGAAGGATTGAAGAGCTTGTTGAAGAACATGACGTGAGTCATTCCGTGTTTTACATTTTGACCGTTTCCCGAGTTCACGAGATGGCAGTCAAGATTGACAATGAGCTGACATACAAGCATCATCCTAGTATCCTCATCTGTCCTGCATCAGATCACCCAAGTAAGAAATGGTCACAAGCGAAAGGGTACATTGTCGAAGTTTCTACTCATACTCATACGCCTTTATCGTACATAGAACCGGGGACACCAAAAAAAGCGACGGAAGATAAGCCTTTGCCAGGGATAACGGGGAAGGATCTTGGTTTTGCGCAAGAGTTGGAGGAGGTTCATCGAGAGTTGAGTAGGATGGTTTGATCGAGCCGGTCATGAGTTATCACCAAGCCATACTTGGACATTCACTCTGTACTCTCGCATACTACTGGTACGAGTACTCTACTCTACTGCATTCTGCGTCATACGTCGGCCGCCGAATATCCGGGGAATCCGCCGTCGTCTCTTTGATCTTTGAGATCTATAATCTATTTAGCTCAGGGCATACATAATCTTCCCGCAGTTTTGGGTATGTAGATTCATAGTAGACGTCAGACTTGGGAGTAAACACTGGGAGCTCTCAGCGCACGAGAAGAACGATGCATAGGATCTTAAAAGGTGAAGAGAGGGTATGAAAAGCTCACTAGCTCTAGCTGTAGCCAAAACGATCGACGTAGGGAAACCGGGTAACGGGTTGCGTCATTGGCGATTGGATTCGATTCGGCCTCGGTGCTGGTACCTGGTGCTTTATTGGATAAGTACGGCATGCGGCACCCGTAGTCGAAATTAACCTCATCTCTCCACCATCTATCAACTGACTGTTCATATCTTCACCTTATAATATTAATCACTCACCTTGTAACTTGTAATCTACTCCGATCCGCGGCCGCATTGTACATCCGAAAGCCGAAGCCGACATTGAGAAGTTTCCCTTCGAGGCCTTTCAAACCATCTGATCAATCCCCTTCCATCATCCTCTCGATCACACCAATCATCTAATCTTTCAATTGTTACGGTACAATCTATTCGGGGCCAGACCGCAATAACCTAAAGACCGATGGACAAATCCTTATAGCCGATGAGCCGATGACTGCATGAGTGGGGAGTAGTCTTGCTATCATCGTCGTCATGGGTACTTCCAGCAGAGGAAAGACGGAGGATGTAGAGGCTAAATATGACGTGGTCATGAATTGTGAGTGATTTAAATCGTCTGTCACCCATACAAGTCGTACTCGTTCTAGGGCGTATGGGAAATCACTGTCCCCCCTACGTGGGAGAAAACCGATTATTGATGAGAGTGGATGAATTTGGCAAACACGCGACTACCTCACCTTTCACATCGCTTGATGAATTGATGACCCACTCACTGCCCTCTGCCCTCTGATTCGCCTTTCGGTCAATACGACCGATAGGATTAGATACTTCTTTACATTTGTTACATCACACATCTTTCCTCTTTCTTCCCTACAATATCCCCACCCCGCCTAATACCTCTTCCACGCACACTCGCTTCTCTTCTCATCTTCATCATGTCTCTTATCATTTACTACTGTAATAGCAACATCAAGCTAACATGATTCTCATTTCTTCGATATACGATCCTCCCCTGACTCCACCTCTATCCCCGCCTTCCGTCCCACGTCTCCGTCGTCTCTTTTCTCGTGACGATACCAAATTGTACATCCTTCCAGTCCCCAATCTCGAGCTACACTCCGCAGCTGCCAGTGGCAATGTCGGTCTCGTGCACTACGCACTCACCCATGGTCAACCTGTCAATTCGGTCCTTCATGGTGTTCTTCCCCTCCATGCCGCTTGTTCAGGAGGGAGTGCAACAGTCGTACGGATGCTCATTGAAAGAGGAGCAGACGTAAATGCTCCTCGTCTTCCCAGGAGGTATAGTGATGGGAAACGGAGCAATGTTCCCAGTGTGGGAACAGCAGGTATGCCTTTGTCTTTCTCCATCCTTACCTCCCACTCGCCTTTGATACTCAATTGCCGAGCGACTATGCTGACAGATCAGGCTCAACACCGCTCCACTTTGCCGCGGCCAATGGACACGCAAATATCGTGCAGATCCTCTTGACATGCGGGGCCGTCCCCGACAAAACGGACAAGAACGGCATGACTCCAGAAGCTTTGGCCGAGATCAACGGGCATACCGGGGTCATACGAGTCATACGAGTGTGGGAACATCTCAAGTTACAAGAGAAGGAATCCCAATCTGTCGAATCATCAAATTCTCCTTCTGTCATCAAACCTATCGCTGGACCTTCTTCAGATGCTGCCGAAGTTGGATCAATCGGTGTATCAGAGTTGGAGGAGACGAAGAGTGAAAAGGCAGTCTCGGTTAGAGATAGAAGACTGAGTAATGTCAGTGGCGGTACGGATAAGGATAGGATACTCAATATGAAGAAAAGTCTGAGTAGCCTGTTCAAAAGAGGGAAGAAGAACTCTGTCAGTTCAGTGGATAGCAAGTCGATACATTCGGTCATCGGTTCACCTACCAACTTCAAGAAGCTCACAGATCAATCATCACCTCCGGCAACTCAAAAGACCGAACAGACTGAAGAAATCGAAGATGGAAAGGAGGTAGACGACGACCGGACACATTCAATTTCTCCACCGGAAATTGACATAGGGGACGATGCCAGTGAGATCTCATGGCACGATGCGGATGATGGTAGCGGCGCTCTCGGCCTCGGTCTTCCTAATCAGCAGCAGTCGTCTTCCATCACCCAGTCTAGATCTACGATGTTTTCCGATGTCCAAGCTACACTCCACGACAATGAATCAGCTATAGAACTCGGTTCTCCCGCCAGTGCGACTTCGATTTTGGCCCCTCCGGCGAGCCCACTTTCACGAGCGGCTTCAGGTGACGAACCTAATCCAAGAGCTCTGAATCGGACACCAAGTGGAGCGTCGGCCAACAGTCAAGTATCTGCGGAACATCTTACTCCTCCGACGCAAATTCATCGACGAGCTCGAGGATCATCTTCCGCCTCACATCGACCATCACTTCCTTCCATCCTGGAGAAGGCATCACATCCAGCGGCTACACTTCGTGCTGCTATTCACCGTACCCAACAATCTGCAGGACCATCTTCACCTCCCCACACCGATGATTCCATATCTACCTCTCCCACGTCCCCCCTCTCTCCTATCTCCCCAACAGGTCCACACTTCTTTCGTGGTCGCAAGTCATCTTCTCAAGATGCTCATCCCCACTACACCAAAAAGTATCTCAACGCCCACGTCCTCACTCAGCTCTTTCACCGCTCCAACTCCCCTCCTTCTCGTAGTCCCAGTCCACCCGAACGGACGGACTCGAGTAAAATGATCGAGGGTGGTGAATTGGACGAAGGCATCGAGAGACTTCGAGCTGCGAGTATGGACCTCGACAAGAGACATTCGACCGCATCATCTGGCAACTTTCCCCCTTCATCCACATTACACCCTATGCCCGTATCAGCACCAGCCGTGAAGACACGTTTCTTCGAGAACCTCGATGCCCCTGATTTACCTCACATTGATCTCTCCGCATATCGACAGTATCGTCCAAAAACCCCTCCACCGCTTTCTGCCTCTTCATCCAACAGCGAGCCCCCTTGGTCACGGACGAGAAACGCAAGTGAAGTTCTGGTACCTAGTCCATTGGCTAAAGAATGGCAACGTCGTACTTCCGGATCTGAGTCCGACTCGCAATCATCCCCACTCCCTACAATCAGAAGAGCGAGGACCGAAGTTGCGAGGTCTCCCACTTCGCCTTCTCCGAGAAAAGGGGGTTCGGGTCCGTTGAGTCCGCTTGGATTTGGGATACCTGTGGGAGAGGCTAATGTGAGGAGCACCAAACGAAGATCAGCTACGTTACCCAGCGTTTCGGTCGGTCGTGCGCAAGGGGGTGGATGGGATGAGGGAGGTGATTTGAGAAGGGTGGCAGCGAGTGGATCTATACGAAGACGATCCGAGAGACTTTTAGCTCAGGCAAATCAGGACAGTGGTCGGGACGATGAAGACTGGAGAAGGTCTGAATCGGCAGAGAATGAGTACCAGGATGCTTTGCTGGAACAAGCGGCTTTACTGGATCAACTGTCCATTTCATCGGACAGATCTTCTACTATGGACCGACCCATGGGATCCGATCCGTTGGTGAACGAAGATTCACCGGAGCAAGTCGTCAAACCAGAAGCTTTGTCAGTAGAAGTGGAAAGAAGTGATCCGACGGTGGGAGGTGGGACGAGTAACGACACCGATGAAGAGAAAACTCCCGAAGCAACACCTGGTCTTGAACAAACTACCATTGATCTAGCTCCCCTCTCAATCTCTCCTCGTAAGACAGGTCGCTACAGAGGCGGATCCATAGGTTCTCAAAATACCGACTCTTCTCGTTTTTCTGGAACATCGTCACTACGTATGACCTCTTTACCCACTCAGTCTCCCGAACGGTCCCCTGATTCCTCCACACCAGAAGTGAAGTTCACCTACCCCATTCCTCGGTATCCCAGCGTCAACCCTAACGCCAACGTCACCAACGAGATCAATACCCGAACCAGGGGCAAAAGCATTTCTTCAATCTCATCGACCACCTCTGGTTTAGGAGTCCATTCCACCCCTAGCTCCTCGCTGACACCTCCCTCTATACTGTCAGCCGTTGGTGCGGGATTCCCACCTGTACCAGAGGACGCGGTGGCCCATCACCCCCCTAGTAGACGTGCTATCTCCACCTCGGCGGAGGCACATGACTTGGTGAAACAACACGAAGATAGTATCCTCCAACTCGCTCAATTACCTCTGTCCAGAGATTCCACAAGAAATTTAGCAGCACAATTGGCGGCGTACGGAGAGAACCATGCTATCGAACAACAATTGGTGGAAGCTGAGAGAAGAAGTAGATCGGGGAGTAATGGAAGTGCAAGTGCAAGTGGTAGCTTTGATAGATTTGGAATCATTGGAAGAGAAGACAAAGTCGAAAGTCGACGACGTCGGAATTTGTCTCCGGGATCTTCATTGAGTTCGGGAAGTTTTCATTCAGCTCATTCTGTTCAATCTGCCCCTTCAGCGCTATCCAACAATTCTCGATCTTCAGGTCGGGCTTCATTACAAAAAACAGCAGTCACAAGAGCTGGTCAAAAGAGTTTCATCAATCCACTTTCTTCATCATCCGCTTTGATATCAGGAGAAGGAGGCGTTTCAATGTCTTCTTTATTATCCGATACTTCTAATATACCAGGAATCAACAGTATTTACGATCGAAGAGCTGCGGCTTATAAAGACCGTATGACAGCTTTGACTTTACCTCCTACTCAAAATCCTATTCAACGAGCTAGGGCCAAATCTGCTTTGGCGGGACAAGGACCAAAAGAAATTTGGTTAAGTGGATCTACTCATTCAGGTCCATCATCATCTACTTCACCTCTAAATCGTACTTCTGTATCATCACCATTACCAACATCTTTTAATGACTCACAAACACCAACCAAAGAAGGGTTGTTGAGGATAGAAGAAGATCGTCATCCTTTTATTTCTTCACCAATGCCATTGATACATCCCACCACGACCAAAAAGAAACGTACACCTCCTCGAACGAACCAATCGGCCCGATATACTTTATCCAACTCGGGACAAAAGACTCCAGCTCCGATTGCCGAAGTGGTCAGTGCGAGATATCAAGGTCAAAATATACGACATCAGGGATATGGTGGGGTTGGTATGGGTACTCTATCACCTGTAGGACCGGGAAGCTTGGGGAATGTCGCAGTGGGAGGTGTTGGAGCAACGGGAGTGGGGGGATTGGCAAGTGTAGGAATAACGGGAGTAGGGGGATTGGCAAGTGTAGGAATAACAGGAGTAGGGGGAGGAAGAAATGGAGAGGGGGGTACGAAACAATTATCTCTCTCTCCACATGTGAGCACATTCAGTACTAGGTATACTCGTGGACCACACGATGATGTCGATTCGGATGATAGTGAATCTGAACCCAGAGGTTATACAGTTATTGAGAATGATTGGAGAGGTGGTCATGTGGTCAGACCGGAAGGAGTTAAGAAGAGGTGGATGGGGATAGGAAAGAAGAAGTGATGGGTGATGTCTATCATTCACAAATTATCAATTGTCCAATGTCTAAATCGCTATAGACATTCTGTGACTGGGGCTCAAGACACCGGGGTCAGCATGGAAGTTTCGTCCGATCGCTTCATGATCCCACTTCGATAGGTCGAAAGAATGCCAGTCAAGAGGACAAATGATCTGTCGTTCTGTCGTGATCTCACATGGATGGTCATCCACTTTACCGAATTCGATACCACCAGCACATATGATTTGAGGGCAGGTCGGAAGGATTTGTCACAAGCCATGAATGCTGTCAGTGCTCGTGCGGACAGACGAGGGAGGAGTTGACAAGTGAGACAATGCAGTAAAGGATTACATGTAATTCTTTGTCATCGTGTGCGATATCGAGTTTGAGAGAAGATTTCAAGGGATCGTGGGTTTATAGTGAAAATCGAAACTGAATAGGGTTCCGTCATCCGTATTAGATTGAGTATATGTGAGAAATATTCAAAGCATTTCTTTGTATTTTTCATAAAGGTTGTAAATGTCATGCATTCCACTACCTTCATTCCTCGTACCGTAATTTTTATGCACCTACTTTTTTCCCTTGGTTGGCTTCGTGGATTGCGTATTCCTAATCTGTTAACCAAACCTCTATATCCGTCTCCCCTCTCACTCCTGACGCGTGGTTCGTATGGCATCGCGTACACCTGACAGTCCGGGCCAAGGGTGATGATACAAATCATGAGTCTGAATACAAGTATGACGATTGATGGATGACTGATGTGGAGACGGTGGGAGATGGAGTGAACAAGGGCGTGAGGGAACTTGTATTGATAGTAAGGTGGAATATCTAGAAGAGGAAGGAAACGTATGTGTGTGAGAGAGAGGGCAAAGAGAGAGAGCAAAGAGAGACAGAGGGGGGGGACAGGGAAAAAGAACAACCAACTAACCTTTGAAATCAAATGACTAGTCTTTTCGACCAAAGTTAAAACATTCCCTACATCCGCACTCCAAGAATTGAGGACTTGATGCATTCCCAACTTTTTCTGAAAGTTCACCACTCCCTTCGGTCGATCGATCCGCGCAAAGACGGTTTTATCCGTGACTAGTTTACACAACGTACGTTCGGTGGTTAAAGGTGGTAGGTCTAAGAGTTCTGTCAGACGGGTGAGGGTGATACGGGAATAATAAGCTGCAATGACGCGTATGTTCTGAGGATTTTAGCTTTGTACTCGATAACCTTCTCACCCTATTCAACATTCGCTTCTACATCTGGCCGAGCCTTCCATTTCCTCATACGCTTGATCTAGAGAGAAGTTCCCCTGAGAAGGTTTGAGAACAAGGTACACAACCACGTGATATGTTTGGAAATGGGATAACAAGTGAAAGATCAAATAAAAAAGGAACAGAGGGACATCACTCACATGTTCGATAACTCGCTGATGCAATTGTTTCCACCTCGCCATACCTGGATAAGCCACATCTTCTTCCGCCTTTCCCTCTGCGTTCGATCCCGTCTTCTTTCCCAACAACGAGTCGGCGGCAAACACGGGTGATGATCGTAAAGTCGGACCATACATGCTTTCTATACCAGGCCATCGCATAAGCTCTTTCGTGACGAAACATTTAAGTAAGTCACTGATAAATTAATGAAACGTAACATTAGAGAAAGAGTAGACGTACTAGTGTACAGAAGCTTTTTGTAAAGCAGGGTTTGCATAGAGTTTGTGTAACATGTCGGATTGTTCGTTGTTGTAAGGAGCGAGAATGACGTAGATGATGATGTTTTCGATGACCTAGGTGTCAGTTGCGGTCCTCCAGCGTGTCAGAAATAGTCTCTCCGTTTCCACTAGCGTGGAAAACGAGGGAGAGACACAAAAAAAGGGCTGGCGCTGGTGGAAACGGAGAGATGAGAGAAAAGGCTAGAGAAGAGGTCCATGAGATGAAAATCAGGTCTCACGTTGAGCTCCCGGGACTGGTCCTTTTTCACCTCCTCTGTATCCCATACTTCCTGATAAGCACTACAAGCCTCGAGGAAACCGTCTTCTTGCAAAGCCAATTGTACGATAAGATCGTAGTACCTCAACTTGAGCTCCTGGATATATCAGCTATCACATTCTTAACCGATAACACGCAACATACCACGCTCTCGGCCTCTTTGAGAAACACACGGTTGATCTTCCTTGATCCCACTCTGACCCTGCTCCAATTCCCTCGAAGACTTTCCAATCGCATTTGTTCAAGAATGCTACTCCGTCAGCTCTGACGCTGTGAGAGAAAGTCCAAATCAAGACATATATATTCCAGGTGATGGGGTCTTTTGTACTGATCGGAGAAGGGGGTCCAACGAAAAGTTACGACACTCACAAATCCGTCTTCTCTTTCTTATCCATACTACTATACGTCTCCACCTGTATGTCTGACATCAAATCCGCCGCAGCGTCCAGTTGATCTCGTTTTGTCACTGGCTCTTTCTTCGGTTTCTCCTTGGAGCTCTCGCCAGCAGTCTCTTTCTCCGTCTGCGACTCAACGAGGGGAGCTATCAATCAGCCTGATTCATACCAGGACGAGTCATGAGCGCACTCACTTGGAAGATCCGTCGGAGCTGTGGCTACGAGACTCTCATGGTAGCTTGCGAGCATGACTGTCAATCTGGCTCTTGCGAGTTCCAAGTGGATCTATTCGTGAGCCGGCTGCTGACTCGACGTCTGGTGTATGTCTGACTGAATGTTTCATCTGTTCAAGTGACATCAGGCATGTCTGAAGGTACAGATCCCTAATTCAGATTGAACAATGGAGAAGAGGAAAACCGTGAAAGAAGAGAAATCATCAGAAATACCCACCTTTCCCTCTGTTATATCCCTCAAAGTTTGGACCAACTCCAACCATCTATCTTTCACACCTTGAAACTTCCCCTGTTCCTTTTGCGCCTTCAACACAGGTAACCATTCCATCGCCGTGTCAACCATCCGTACTACAGCTTCTTTCAGCTGACCATGTTTCTTCGACATGAGCGTCAGTTGAGTATTGAGAGCGTCAAGATCGGAAGCGTCCCAGCAAAGACGTATGAGAAGAGTGAGGAGAGAAGCGGTTGAAAGCATGTCAGCTGCCTATTTGTTAGTTCTGACGTCTTCCTCAATTATCCCCTCCCGGACTCATACTTGCACCATAATAATTCATCAGTCAAATTACGGGAAGGATCTTTGAGAAGAAAGAGAGACATAGGGGAAGATTTTGACCCACATTCCGAGTCTGCTTTTCCAACGCAGAGATCTTTTCAATAGCATCAGACAACTTGCCATCCTGCTGGTCAGCGTCATCAATCATCCAATTATCTGACAGACCTTTGCGAGATTCTCTACCTCTGGAGTCAGGGCAGTGACCTCTGGAGTGAAATCTCTCTCTTGTTTCCGTGGTGCCAGCGACATTGTGGGGATATAGAAGTGAGTGATGATGATTGCAGCACTTAACCTTACTTCGCTTGCACCGCGCGTCGATCGGTCAATGATACACGTGTCATTTCCTCCTTCTCCCCTTATCACCCCTACTAAAGTCTACGGGAAATGTTCAGAACGACATTGAATGTCGAAAACTACTATCTGCCATCTATTGAAGGCTTCCAGCTTCCAGGATATAATTGTGCTGCTAATCGCAGCAACTATCAGACACTATGCGCCGTATCGCATCTCAAGTCCCTCAAACAGTCTCACGTCTACTCCAATCCAACCTCTTACAATCACCTCCGACATGGTACATCCCAGTTCTTTCCAATCCTCCTCCCGTCCATCCCTCTAGACGTTCCCCACCTAGACCCACTCCCTCGTCTCATGGGTTCGCCGACTTGCCAGCTTCTGAGATTCTACCAAGGAAAGGAAGAAGTAAAAAATCTAGTGTATCACATCCTCGACCGAAGGAGATAGTGTATCCTGAGGATCAGGTTAGATTGAGGTTTTTCCAAGATTTTCCATTTGAGGCTTTGAGACCGACGAGCTTGGTAGAGGGTTTTAATGTGGAAGAAGAGCATCCTGTGAGAGGTGAGCTATGGGAAAGGTTGGAACAAAGAGGAGAGTATCCTACTGTTGAAGAGTAAGTCTTTGGGGTTTATTCCTTACAATCTTACCTTGCTGTGAGAAGATAATCTCAACTTCACAACTTTGATAATGGAATGGCTCTCTATCGCTATTGAGATCACGATGAGAAAATAGTCTCAGAGGAGAAGGAGAAAGGGAGAATCAGGACCAAGTAGAAATATGGCTAATCACCAGTTGCATATCATTCACCATGACACTTCATGAACGCGGCATTCCCTTGGCTAGAGCGTATTGGAGAGCGACGGACGAGTTTGTCGAGTTACGTGCAAGACATGAGCAAGCTACTCTTGCCGCTGAACTTGAAGCGAGACATCATGGTGCTATCTTCAAATTGGATGCTTTTGTGAGTTTAGCTTTCATTCCTTTTGTCTGTCCTTATACATCGCCGTCTCTCTCCTTCTTCTGCTCCAGTCGTATCCTCTTGGGATCTACATCATTTCTACTCCGTACAGACAAGTAGAATGCTTGAGGTCCACACAGCTTCGTGGTATCGAATTTTATGTATATGTCAGGAGAGGGAAGGAGATTGTCAAGTTGAATGTCGACCTGACGCATAGCAACGTGCCCATCAACAAGAAACTCGTTCTCTCGAAACTCTCATCCCACGTAAAATAACCGCATCACAATCTACATCAAATAAACACCGTCCAATCTCTAAATCACAATGGACCATATCCCTCTCTCCTTCCGCAACTCCCGATCCGATATTCACCGCTGGAAAAGCATATATGGAGAGATGGACTTTACCTGAACCTGCGCCGATATTATCTGAGATCTCCCCGGAACCTCTACTGGTGAAAGACAACGAGACGGAGAAAGAGATGGATGATATCGATCTTGTGAAGAGCCTATTTGGGGATGATGATGATTTGGGGGATGCCAAGGTTGGAGGTGGGGGTGTGAGTCTGGAGGGTCAGATGGATGGGGTGAAGAGTACGGAAGTGGTGGGGGGATCGGAGACCGGAGATATGTTTGGATTGGGTGTGGGTGTAGATGATAAGGGAGATCTGGTGGGAGAGGGTATGGATGAGGTCGGAGATATGGGGAATAAGGAGATGGATCATCTGGGAGATGAAGAGTTAATAGAGGATGAAGAGAAAAAGGGTCGACGGGAATAAGATACATAGATGCATCATTCCATATGACCTCTTACATGATGATTGATTGCCCATGTGATATTATTGATACAATTTGAGGTTGATTCATGCAAAGTCACACCGTTCACCTCTGAGGCATTATTGAAACTTCGGGGTAGATGTTATCATAATTTGGACCTAAGCGGGGGAAGAGGAGCGAAATTCGGGATAGCTTTACCCAAAGTAGCACGCATAGCAACTTGAGTATCCTGTTCATTAGCTCCAACACCGACTTTGGGGACATACAGAAGCTTGTAACATTGCTCTGAATCTTTCAGCTACGAATGAATCTACCCAGAGAAAAACTTACGCATTCCAAATAGCTGTATATTTCAATCCCTCTTCCACTCTGTATAATCAGATACATCAACATGCCAGGTCATGATATGGACAAACGTATGATCTCTTGCATCTTCTCATCAGTCGTCGATCACGATACAAGGAATGACATACGGTTCAATAGATGTTTTGTGGACATTAAAGCGATGGGACTTTTAGAAGCTATCATTTTTGCTATCTCCATTGCTTTTGCTATTTACACATCAATGATTATGATATGTATGTAAAAAGAGAGCTCACAGACGACTTCAGTTTTACTACCTTTCACTACTTCACTTAAGAAACCCATTTCTTTTGCTTCTTTTGCGGAAAACCGTCGGCCGGTGTAAGATAATTCCCGAGCTAGGGAATCGTTACCTATTATCTTGGGAAAACGTTGGAGGGTGCCGATATCAGCCGCTAGACCCACGTCGATTTCCTAGTATCAATTCATGCACTTCGTACGTTTAATCTTAACACTCGTGTTGAGTGAAAACAAGGTAGAGATTGAACCAAAGAGTTGATATATGCGATTTGGTACTCGACCAACGAAGAAGGAGTTATGATGCAAGAATGAAAGATCATCCTAGAGGCGAAGAATTATGTTCCAGTGGTGGATAAGAGTCAAGCAGGAGGGAAAGAAAGGAGAAACACAGAGAGGAACTCACCATGATGCCGAACGACGCATCTTCAGCTGCTATTCTCACATCGCAAGCTGATGCAATATCCACAGCTAATCCTAAACATAAACCGTGCATGGCGACAATAACAGGTTGTCGACATTTTGATAAACTCGATATAGCCCCTTGGAAGTCCTTTTCATCAGTTTCAGTCTCTTATTGGTCATACAACTTCTCATAACGTATGATAAGAAGAGGATAATCTTACGAGTAAATGTTGTCGAAGAGTATAAGCTTTTCTTGCTGGATCATGTTCATGCCGTTGTAATTCAATTTGCGACTTTACTCTTTCTCAATTATGTTCTTGTTAGTGATGTCAGAAACTTACGATCTAATCCGGCTGTGAAACCTTTATCAATTGCAGAAGTGAGGACGGTGACGAGACATTGAGGATCTTCAGAAACGGTTTGGACGATGGTTCTTAATTCCGTCCACATTCTTCTTGTCAGTCACATGACATTTAGTTACCAGTGAGAGGATAATGTATACGGATTGGAGGTGATAAATAATGAGTGATGATGAGAGATAGAGAAGACTCACTCATCGTTGAATGCATTGACGGGAGGTCTATGAATCAGTAAGTAGATAGTCAGAAAAGGAGCAAAGAGTCAAACCTGTTGAATTCGATGAGTAGAACATGAGATGAAGGGGAGGAAAGTTTGTGATATTTGTATTCTTGGTTGATGACTTGCATCTTGTTCAATGGTCAGCTAGATGACTTGAGTCCCAATAAAGATTGAGATATATGACAAGCAGGTTGTGACAAGATAGAGTAAGAATGGTTACTTGTATGGAGGGAAGAAGAAGGAAGCGAACCGTGTGTTGCTTTGTTGAGTTTCTTGATCTGCTGGTGTCACTTTACATCTCCAACTCTCTTTCTCTTCTGCATCCCTCTCTTACATTCCATCATCACATTTAGATCCTCTCATACTCTGCAGCATCTCCCAGCTCTCTCCTCATCAACGACACTCAGGAGTTGTAACGCTCACAAGAGAACAACAACCATCACGCTTCACGCCGCACCGATTAAGCCTCAAGGAGAGCCATCAGACGATCGTTCATCGCGTCTCAACCTCCAACTTTTGATCCACTTCGATATAAAGAGGAAAAGAGGAGGGCGACAAAACCATGTCGAGCCTCCTCTCAGAGAGACAGAAAGATGAACTGTCAGTTTATTTCCAAGCCATTGTATGTAACTGACAGAGCTCTTTCATCTAAAACATCAACCTTTAACACTCACACTTGTCAACCTGAATTTACATGGTCACCAATGGAATGATCGGACGATGATCCTGGAATGACTTGAGAATACAGCCATAGATCCATGTTATCTTACCTCCATGCCGTCGGATTACACGAATCGTACGATGTCCTCAGGAGAGAAACGGGTATAGAGGATTTCCAAGTGGATGATCCGAAAGCGAAATGGGTGGGGTTGTTAGAGAAGAAATGGACGAGTGTTATACGGTTGCAAAAGAAGGTGAGTATCACTGCTCATCTGTCATAACGTCACATCACTCTTCTTTGATACCCTCAGCAAGTCTCGTTCCTCGGCTCTCCCATCCCCTGTTCGGTCGATATGGGACTGACCGCTGGAGGAGATTGTTATCGGGAAAATGATGAGATGGTGTGACATGTAGGTGGGTTTACTGAGAGTGGAGCTTGAGAAGGGACGTGGAATATGTTCCGACTCTGACTCAAAGATCATGGACCTTGAAAGTAGAAACGCAGCCCTACTAGCCGAACTCGCCTCCCCTACACGAGCCACCACATCTTCCTCTTCCTCTGCTCCATTCCTTCCACGAGCACCTCCAAGGCATACTCTCACTTCACACCGGGCCCCAATAACCAAAGTGGCGTTTCATCCAACTTGGAACATTTTAGCAAGTGCGAGCGAGGATGCTACTGTGAAGATCTGGGATTGGGAGAGTGGTGATTTTGAGAGAACGGTAAAGGGACATACCAAGGCAGTCATGGATGTGGAATTTGATCCTAAGGGAGTTTTGATGGGTGAGGAACAAACTTTCATACTATAAAATAACCACCTCTCTATACTCCTCGCTGTTTCTCACGACTATCCTCCGATTCATCTGGAAGGATCTCACCGGATAGTTTGATGAAAGTCCAAGTCAAGTCCCTCAGCTGACTATCAGTGACATGCTCCACCGACTTGACGATAAAACTATGGGATCCAGCAAATGAATATAAAAATGTGAAAACTTTACATGGACATGATCATTCAGTGTCGAGTGTACGATTCACACCCGATGGTGATACATTAGTCTCCGCTAGTAGAGATAAGACCATAAGAGTATGGGAGGTAGCAAGTGGGTGAGTATCAACTCTCCTTTCTCTCTTGGTATGAGCTAATGAGAAAGATATTGTATACGGACATTCTCAGGACATACGGAATGGGTAAGGGAAGTGGTACCTTCGGACGATGGACGATGGTTGGCTAGTTGTTCCAACGATCAAGTGGGTGTTTATCTACGTCTTCCCTCTTTATCTATCATCCTTTTTTCTCCCCAAATGATACCTTTGGCAGCTTCAGCCCTTGGCAGATATACATGAGGTTGAAATCTGTATATCTCAAGGCGAAGAAGCTTTTCGGAGGATGGAAATGTGTATAATTTCATGAACGAGAACATCTTGCTGATGGTAGACCGCACGGATATGGGAATTATCAAATGGCGAGACTAAAATGGAATTCCGGGGTCATGAACATGTAGTAGAATGTGTTGTTTTCGCACCCATACAGACTTATCCGGCCATCCGAGAACTTGTTGGTTTAACAGTGAGCTGCCTATTCTGGTAACCAGGTTTAGCTGATGAATAGGTCTCAGCGGGTGATGTAAGAGCGGGAACAGCAGGAAATTTCGTAGCTACTGGGTCTAGGGACAAGACTATTAGATTATGGGATACTTTGACAGGACAATGTTTGAGAATATTTGTGAGTTCCTCTTCTTCCGTACCAACCTTGTCTGTTTTCTCACAGTATGATCAATCATCTTTTTTCTTCATCCTTTCTTTCAGATCATTTGTTTCTCATATATCAAAACCATTTCTTCTCATACAAATATCAACCCACCAGACTCTCTCGAGTTCGTCCAATTTTCCCTATACCGATAATCAGTCGTTTGATCCGCGTGAAAGCCTGGAGAAGTCTTGATTGAACGAAGCTGAGAGATAGAACGGTCATGATAATTGGATCAGAGCATTAGTCTTTCATCCTTCTGGAAAATACCTACTTTCAGCATCAGACGATAAAACTATAAAAGTTTGGGATTTGTTAACTGGAAGATGTACGAAAACTATTGATGCTCATTCACATTTCGTAACATGTATGATATGGGGTAAAGCTTTATTAGGTGGTGGTGGTGGTCAAGTTAATGGGGAAGGAGGGAAAGATAAAGAAGTTAGAAAAGTTAATGTTTTAGCTACTGGTAGTGTTGATCAAAGTGTTAAAGTGAGTTTTGGTCTTGGTCCTTCTCCTTCTCCTCTACTCCCACTTCTCCTCTCCCCTCCCCTCCCCTCCCCTCCTCTCCCCTCCCCTCCCCTCCCCTCCCCTCCCCTCCCCTCCCCTCCCCTCCCCTTTACTTCTTTCTTCTCCCCTTTCTCTCCTCTACTTTTATCTTCTCCCTTTTCTCTCCTCTACTTTTATCTTCTCCCTTTTCTCTTTCACTCACTTTTCCTTCCTTCTGTCCTTACGCACTCGATCATTCACTTTTCCGTATTACTCTCTTGATGAACCTGTAGTAATACCAACACATAAATCCCCATATTGCCCATTTTGCTTCACTAGCATAATGATGAAGAATCAATCGACGAATAGAGAAGCTGATGAAGCAGATATGGACCCCATAATCCTACCTTTGACACAAGTAGAAACCTATAGACCTCTTTTTCCTCTCCATACTCCATCCTCTGTCCTCTCCTCTTCCTCCCCGCCGTATCTGTTACGAAGCATTCATGAATTACGATACTTGTATGATCCGATGCATGCATGATGGTTTTTCTTGGTTCGACATTTAATCATCATCATTCATCATTGTCATACTTTCATTCAAGTAAACTCGTCTTTGATTTACTCTACTCTAATCATGAACCATTACAATTCCCATTGTAAAACTCATCTCCCTGATTCAACCTTGATCTCAAATCAAGTATCATCGAATCATCGAATCATCAATCATACGTAAAGATTCAATTCATATATCCAACTTGATCCACACCTAAAGCTCTACGAGCGGAAATAACACCCACTAGTTCTTTTATGAATTCTTCCAAAACCACGCAATTATCTAATATCCTCGTCAATGGTATTTTCCCTTTCCTCCCCTCCCCTTCTCCCTTTCTCACCTCCTCCCGCTCAACGTCTATTGAATTTCTAGTACTTTGATCCCAACTGATATCGCTCAATTCTCGAAATGTTCCCCCCTCCATCGGACCGGTCAAAGACTTTCTTAACGCTTTCGAAACGCTAGGTGACCAAGGACCACTTTTCACTTGACTTTGTTCCGCTTCCAACGTCACTGAAGAAGTCTGATCGTAGTGTCCTATAAAAGGTGAAGAACTAACTTGTCTAGCAGCTTGACGAATATTCGCAGGTGTCATCAATCCTCCTGATCCTTTCAATCTTCCACTACTTGATCCTTCACTTAAACCAAATGTCGTTCTTCCTTCTAAATTGAGATTTCCATGTTCTACACTTCTTCCATCCCAACTCTCGTCATTTTCGGTCGACATTGAAGTTCCGCGCTCGTCTTGCAGATTCGTACTTGCGCTGGGGATATTCGTACGATTGTCCGAGGTGGAAGGTAGCGCTTTGAGGGTCTTCTTCTTTGGAGTAAGAAGTGCTCTTAGACTCGTCAGAGCAGAAGGACGTCTTTGAGTCGGCGGTGTCGAATTAGGTTTGGGAGAAGGTGTGAATCCTGGTATACCGGTAGTTTCAACATCTAACATGACGTTCATAGCTTCGTCTAAATGATCGGCAAATAATAAACCTTGTCTTCTTTCCGAAAGAAATTGATCAAAGTCAGGTACGGTCTCACGAAAATGGTTGATTTGAAGGATGAGAGAATGAAGAATTTGATATATTGCCGGGAGCTCGGTCTTGTTCTTCTTAGTCTCAAATTGATTTACTACGTTCATTCTACCACTGTCACCGAAAGGGTTTGAGCTATCAGGCGTTCGGAAGGTATCGTCATGAAAGGGAGGTCTGGTAGATTCTTCAGGTTGCAAAGGAGTGGGAAATTTGGGTGGAAGAGGTCGTTTGAAGTCATCGAAAATGGTATCTGTAGAAATCGTTCGTTGGAGTTGTGACCATGGATCTTCTGAAATATCATACGTCAACCAACTCCTGACAGACCGCGAAGGACATAACGCCAGGGAAGAGATGACGCCCGTCAAAGCGACATTTTCATCCGGTGTTCGAAGTAGAAAAGCGGATAATCCAGATAGAAGACAACCCATGATAGGATCGTTCGGAGACAATCGATGTGGACACAATCTTTCTGCATTGCGTTTGTCATGTACCGTCGCTGATACCTTCTCACCGTTGGAACCTCCGAGAAAAGATATTTGTAGCTGAGAGTTGAGAAAACAAGGATCTGATTGAATACTCGCCAGAGCGTCAGTGAGATATACCAAGTAACCTGGAGAATGTTCGACAAGTGGTTGAGAAGGATCAAGATGTGATACGAAAGAGCTGTATAGTTCTATCTCTTGGGTCTCTGAGGTTGAGGTGACAGGTACGGACATGAGTGGTTGAGGGATCAAAGAAGTCGCGGTGGGATCTCTGATGGTGGAAAGAAGACCATTGACGGTGAAATGGCAATGTTCTTGTAATAGAGTTTGTAGGAGTTTGAGAGCAGCAGTAGTGGCTGTTGATTCTCCACTTCGAAGGTTGTCCACCAACAAATCTTTCATTGTGAACTTGCCCTCCTCTGCAAAGTACCCGATCAGGGGCGATTTGGCTCCCATCGGGGGAAGAAAGTCCATTGCTCCTGTTTTTTTCTTTGGCTTTCGTACAGGTGAAGAGAATATGGTAGAATCTTCCGTATCCATAAGAAATTCCAACAAGACATCCAGCAAAGGTCCATCATCGAGATTACCAATGATCACGTCGAGGTAAGTGAGTACAGCCACAGAACTACCATCGGTTGGAGAGCATTCTAAAATGGAGGGATAGAGTACATTATCGAGGAAAGATGCACGGAGAGCATCCAGGGAAGCATCGGCGATTGCACTTCCTAGGATGTGGGTGTTCGAAATGGAGGACATATCGGGAGAGGCTTGATGCATAGGAGAAGAACATCGAAGAATGATATCTTGTAAAAAGCCGAATAATTTGAGTAAAAGGTCTAATTGACCCCTAATCACTGGATCTGTCGAAGAAAAGGTTCTTAACTGGTCCACTTCCTCCGTTTTCTGCATTATGACTTCCGCTCCGAGATGCATACCTCCGGAAGATGATGCGGTCAAACCAGACGTTGATCGGGTCTGTTCGGCCAAAGTGGGTACAAAGAGTTTTGAAGGTAAAAGAGAATAGATGGCTCCTAATCCAGCAGCCATAACGTCTGCGAAATCTCCATCCAAGATGAATTCGCCCAATGCATCCCGAGCATCTTGTAAGGGGTCGGAACCTTTTTCGTCTGGCATGACGAGGTTTTCCCCTCCTTCCTCGGATGGCATAAGAAAAGCGATATCGAAGAGAAATAATAAACCCGCTCGGGCAAAATCTCCAGTTCGACCTTCTCGATGGACGAATCGTAAAAGATAAGAAAAGAGTAGGAATTCGAAATTCTGTGAACCTTTCGTACCTGTTCGAATGGAAGGATCTGAGCCTCGGGTCAAGTGAGAAGGAACGGGTGACATCGTCCTTGCTAGTGTAGCTGCGAGAGGGATAGGAGATCCGATAGAAGGATGAGGATGTAACCACCCTTTATCATGAAAGAAAATCATTAATAATGGTGGGCTTATGTTCAGCTGATCACTTGATGACATGAATAAAATAGGTGACTCACTAAGCTCTCATTCTAGAACAAAGTATGCACATGAGATCAACCAAATCACCTTCGAGTTCTTCATCCCCTTGAATAGTCCTATCGGGTACTTGCATACCTGCAGCTCCTAGGATTCGTGCGGCCCCATCCACTCGATCCTCAGGTTCTTCCCCGACACAAGAGCGTAGTAGACGACGCAAAGGTCTGTGAATAGCATTATGAACCAGAAATCTTTCAGAGAGGAGAACCACAAGGTTATTGATAGCTTTGAGTGTAGCAGCTATCACGTCAGCTTGTATCTAACCTGAAAGACTGTTGCTAAAGCCGACCTTTGACGCCATGAGGTCGATCAGCCTCGCATAGTCTTTCTAACTGAGCAAGAAGGTCGTTTTTCAGAAAATACTCCAAACATGCTCCTGGTGTGCTACTCTGTCAGCTTCATCATAGACCTGAGAAACTTACTCTTCGTCCGTATGATTTGCTTCGAATACGAGGGCATCGACTATATGTCTCAGATGCGATGGAACATTTGTGGATTCGATACCTCTACGTTGTCAGGTCATCAAGACGAGAATGGGTAAAGGGATTTAGACTGACTTGGCTAATTGACGTTCATCAGGATGTTCGAGAGTTTCCTACATTATCAGTCGGATGAGAAGAGAAGGGAGAAAACCCACTTGTATGCTCTTCCACGCTGCGTCAAAATCACCAGGGTCATCGGGGAGCTTCACCCTTTGAGGGGGTTTGGTAGGTTGCAAGAATCTTGCGAAAAAGGAAGAGACGTCCATTTTGAGTGACTGAGAGACACGGTCGTCGATCGTCGGTTATCTGTCAAGCATCTTTGGAGCTCTCATATGGTCTGGGATGGTATCAAGGGTATGAAGAGTGGGGAAAGAAGCAGAGGTGGTGGGGGTGGTCCGAGCATTTCTTTCCGACGGAAACCATTGGTGGACGATCGCTGCGACCATGCGACCTCTCCTCTCCTTGGCCCCTTGGGTGCTATCGCAACTTAGTGATCGGACACTGCTGGTAAGCGTACTACTGCTCTCTAGCTCTCTAGTCCTATGAGATTCAGAGGTCAGCCATGGGGCTGTGGAGGCACGGAGTAGCCGGCAGCTAGCAGCTACTATCTACAAGGTATCACAGAGGGGGGGAGGAGTGTCATTATTGACGTTGTCTAACCCTTCGATCGCAATTCCGAACCATCTCTCCTCTTCCCTGTGATCTGTGAGTCTCAGCCAAGAGTAAGTCACAGGCCACAGGATCACAGGGATCAGGGACGACACCCGGGTATGTTCAGAGCTTGCGTCATGAACCTTCCGGGTGCCTCTTCCTTGTACTCCCTCTGCTCGTCACTCTTCACTACACAGGTCAATCCAGCCAAGTCTCGAACATCTTCAACTCCACCATTATTCATCTCCTTCCCTAGCGCACACCCTAGTATCCTTCGTTTTGAACCTGCAAGTCCAAAGTAGGTAAGTATCAATATGTCCTTTCTATCACCGTTATGCGCTATGTGATATCGGAATAGCGCAAGCGAGATGACGAGAATCGTTTCTTATCTAGATCCAAATTCCAAATTCCTCCCTCCTCCTCACTTCTTTCCTCTTCCCCCATTTCTACCTCTTCGTACTTCGTTCTCCTCACGACACATGTCACTATCTTACGAACACAAGGGATGGGTGCATGTTTCTCACGTTTATCTTGTCTGACACCAGTCAAACCAACCCCTTCCAATTCATCCTTCCCTCTTCAAGATCGACCTCTCACTCACTCCAACATGTCAAAAAAAACCTCCAATTTCCCACTTCAAATATTAAGAGAATACGCAAAAGTCCGATCTCCAGCCAGAAACATTCCACCTTCCGTACTGCTCTCTCACACACCTTACGTCATGTCAATCCACGATGCATATCCTAAATCTAAATATCATTTTTTGATCTTACCTCGATTTCCTTACCCACCCGAGGCTGATCTAGAAAGAGATAAATCTATCTTACCATTAGGAGTGTTTGATAGTTTAGAAACTTTTTTGATGAAGGGTGGAGAACATCGATGGACGGTTTTACAACAAATGGTTAATATGGCAAGAGATGTGGAAGAGATGATAAGGGATGAAATGTTTAAAACGGAAGGATTTACTTGGAAGATTTATATGGGTTTTCATGCTGTTCCTTCTATGAAGTGAGTCATTAGTCTGTTCCTCCTCTTGCCCCCTATCCTTCTGGGAATTTCACAAAACCCAGTGTGTTTGTGTACTTGCTGTCATGCTGTCACACTGTCAATCACTGCCCTCGGCTCCTCTTTCTTCTCATAATCTCCATCATTCAATCATATGTCACCGTGCAATCAGACCAGTAAGTATCACTCTCAGGACACGAAGCGGTGACATGACTCATTTTTTCCGCCGAACCACCCGAAGCCCGACGAAGTGGAAATGAGAAAGAGATGGGGGGAGGGGGGGGGGGGGGGGGGGGGGTTCTTTCTCCTTCCCACCCCAGTCACTTACACCCTACACGTAATATCAGACGATCACATAAGTCACTTCAAAACTAAAAAACATCACAATTCATTCCGTCCCGATTTAGGTTTCTTCGTACCTTTAGCCTCTGTAGAAGGATGGATAAAAATGGGGGATGAAGAAAGTATTCGACGGCATGTCAGTGTGAGTTTTTTTGATCATTAACCTTTGGTAAAGGAAATTATTTGATGGCAGGAATTAAATTCATCCGAAATTCTCCTTTCCTCACCTTTATCTTGTTTCCGTTGTGATGAGTCATTTGGGAATATGCCAGAACTTAAAAGACATTTAGAAGGGGAGTTTCAAGCTAGGAAGAAGAAAGCTTTGAAGGAGATTGCAACTACGGGGAGACAGAGGGATAGTGATGTGAGCAGTGAAGAGTCGTAGATTTTTCCTTATCCACTTTGTTAAATCTACCATACATTCTTTCCCAGCACATCTGATATCATCTCTTCATGACCATCACATCTCACATTATCTCTTCCCATCTTGTTCTTCCCGCCCTCTTCTTCCACTTGGCCATCTTCTCCCTGCCACGACTCTATGTATTATGACGGACAATCATATCAACTCCGATCAGAATGTAGCAAAACACATACACTTTATAAAATGCATGATATCAATTCCAACTTCCTCTTAATGATCGACGATATCATTTCGACTTTGTCGGTGTTACGATATTCCGATGCTATCTTACACAATATACATATATTACGTTGGATCATCCTGGAACATACTTGTACTGCACCATTTTTGATGGTTGATTTTCAAACATTTTTAGTATACGAAAGCTTCTACCTCTCAGACTTAAATCTCATCTTCCATCCCAGAACACGCCCTCGGCCCAATCAGACACAGAAACAGCTTTCACTCTTCCTCTCTTACCTACCGTTTCCCCATCTGACGACGAAGAGACAAGTTTCCATATTTGATCAACACCGGCAGAAAGAAGATAAGATCTCATTCGATGATAATTTAATCCGACTTGAGAAACACCATGAGAATCATCTGAGAGACAGATCCGACCGTTGAGTTGAATAATCAACTGTGATATCAGTTTCGTCCCTTCTTCTCTGACCCACATGATGAGCCGTAGGAAGAGGAGAATATATCAAATGACAAGTTCGTCCTTCTTTTCTCGTCCAGGTTTCAAGCACGGCGATCTAGATGGGGAGATATAGGTTTACTGATGTTGCACTATGTTTTGATTGAAATACCCATGGGAACATATGAAGTTCAAACAAGGTCATATCATTCTTTATTTCGTCTTTCTTTTTGAGAGGGGGAGGTGGCGGGAGACGAGGGGGTAGGTCAAAATAAACTTTGTTATTGATACTCACCTCTAAAACATCTTTAGAAGGATATGACCCTTCCCAACCTTTTCTCAACGCAGCTGAATTAGCTTCGAACAAACCACCATATCCCACCACATACACGACGTTCCTCTTAACTTTCTCCCATACTTTCGTGAAATACCTCAAAGAGACGGTAGGGTCGTAAAGAAGACAAAGATCGAAATGTCCAATTACTTCAGGTTGAAGATTAACCAATAGTTGATATTGACTATCAAAATATTCACAGAAGAATGAATTTAATTCCTCCCCTACACCAACTCCTCCAACTATCGATTTTATCCTCAGTGAAGTGTTATCTCCTTCATCCGTCGAACTTCCCTCCAATGGGATATCCAACCGATCCATCTTCGGATCTTTTGAGACGGTTGGTTCTGAAGAAGATGTGATGATGGAGGAAGAAAGTCGACAAGCTTTCACAGATTTCAACCATGTTTCTCTATCAAAATCTATTGGTATACCTTTAACATGATGAATAGATCCAACTACGTATTGTATTTCTTCATGTTGTTCTATCAATTCTGATGTGTAATCAAGATCTTTAGAGGTTATATATTCGGTTTCTATTCCGATCAAAAGGGAGATGTTGGGATGAGAAGATTGGAGTGATCGAGCTGTAGAGAGGAATGATAAATAGGTAGATTTTAAATCGGAAGGAGTGAGATCTTTCTATACAATCAGTCAAGATCAACTTTACGTTTTCTAGAAGACACAAATTTGTTGATGGACTAGGGGAATTTGATGTTTGTACTAACGAGTGAAGAAAGTAACGTATGATACAGAATGGGAGGATTTAGTTAGTGAGATGAGATGAGGTGTGATAAAAGAGGTTGGTTCAAACTCACTTCTTCAGGATATAAATCTTCTTGTCTATATCTAGGACAATGTTCCGTTAAACCATAAGTCTCAAACCTTTGTCGGATAGCTTCGAGTATTATTTCTTCGAGTGTATCTTTAGCGTGTCGACAGAATTGACCAGAATGAGAATGATGACTATGAGGCATGTTGGGTGTTTGATAGCTGATAGGTGAGAGACGATCTGTTAAGCTTATACTTTGAGCATTTGTATGTGTCCAAATTGTCAATTATCGATTTTATATCTTGAAGCTTGAAGCTTGAACTTAAACTTGAATTTTGGTCAGTCTAGTCGCATGTCGCATGGAATGAAATTACTCGAGTAATGATTTCGACTTGGAAAACGATTCGAGGGATCGAGGAATGTTATTCGTGTTTTCTTCATCAACTTTCGCAGATCGCAGAGCTTAAGTCACTCGAAATGCCACCGACCAATCGCCAACGCCAAAGAGTCGGTACACATCTTCCCCTTCGGAGTAAGGAGAAAAGATAGAATGCTGGTTAGGTCGAATGAGATATCCATACATACTCAGACTGTGGACAGCCAATCTATAATGTACCACCCTTCTCTTTCCTCTCATCGCCACGTTCCATCTACCGTAGTACACGTCGATCTCGGTACATCGGGTATGATCGGGCCTATATCTCTTCGCCCCTGGCGTTTTTCCGGAGTACCGGAGATACGGTGTCAAGTATCGGCGCGCCGGGTAAACTTTAACCTGAGAGTTGAATTCAATTCTTCTTCTTCGCCACCTAAGTACGATTCACCACTTTATCCCACACTTTCCCATAACTTCCACCAAGCCATACCCATATTCTCATCTCCCCATAAACTCAACAATCTCCACATTCAAAACATTTCAAATTTCATCTTATCTTATACTCCCTCCTTTCTCTTCTTCTTCACAAAGGACGCATCTGAAAGGCCGGGACCCACCTAAAGTACCACAAAAAAAGGTCTAGACATCGGTTGACTATTTGTTTTTCCACACTCTTCCTTTGTTTCCGATTTCTCTCTCTCCTATACTCGACTCTCTTCCACTACGCAGTACGCCGTTTCTCCTTGAGGTGTTCTTCCATTCTACGTCACGTCCCTCTCTTTCACAACCATCAAAGATTATTTGGTTCTCGCCATATAAAAAGCCAAAAGAAACCAGGTGGTCTTTCGTTTTTATCAACTTTAGCTCTACTTCTCATCGTCTATACAACCGTGAGACTTGTTTCGTTTACTCTAAGTGATCAGACACACCTTTCATCCGTCTTTGACTATCTCACGGACCCCACACCCACGATAATCAATATTTTCCAAGTCACTTGAATCTTTTAACGAAACCTCGCCACTACTTCTCTTCAAGTTATATCGAACAAGGAAAACGGTTCTGTTTTTCTTATCACTACGACCATTCCACACGGAGATAAGCAAAATTCAAAACACACAAGTCTTCCTGAACCTCCACATTTTCAGGCCTTCAAAACCATTGACGAAATCTTCACCCGCTCTACCTCCGCCCGAGTTCTTCACCATCTTCACATACGACTCTTTCCTCTTACCCGAGTTTAAACAGACCTTCCTTCTCTTTGTCATATTCCAAATAAACCTAAAACCCACCTTTCAAAAATACCTCTTCCCTCTTTCTCCTCATCCCCACAAGAATCACAAATAATCGTCATATCGACCCTACGACCTACGACCTGACCTTCTTACATCTTCCACTCGGTAATCACAAAACATAAAATCGCACAGTTGAAACAAGTCTTCAAACAACCTTCTCATCTTGCCGATTACCGGAAACCGATCTCAAGCGAAGCGACAAATAGCATAGCATTTTTACACCTTGAAAGGGAAAAACAAACCCTCATTCTTTCTCACGTCTTTCATAACCGGTTCATATTCTCTCACTTTGTCCACTACACTTTACTAGTTCTCACCCGAATCTCGATCCTTGGTTCTCGGATCTTGACGTTGTGATATTATAACGACAAAGCTTTTGAGATCTTTGGGTTCTTTGGGAGTTTTCTCCTCAAACCAATCTTTGAATCACCCTCTGACCTCATCCATTCAATCTTTCACAGCTATACGAGAAGCCAACTCATACTTGAACCCTTATCCGAAGTTTGAACTTTTGGACTTGTGGTGTCACGGCACGTTCGGTCACACACTTTTATAAACTCACATCTTGACCAATCGTTCAAAAGCAGAAGTGTGAAGACAAGTCTTCATCGACTTCCAAGTCCATCTAGCGAAAACATAGCGGGTACTCTGACACCTAGACACAATGGCGTCGATCGAAGATCTCGTAGCTACTGTCTCGGGAGTTCATGTCGGTCAACATGGTGCTGATCTCAAGGATCTACAGGTATGTTCATGTTTGTTTGCTTGTCTACACCTTACACTAGCGCCATCGTTATGTGTATGACCTTCTTCACCGTTGGACTCTGTCATCATCATCAACTCCCCCTACACTTCGCAACTGGGACAACTCCCCCACAGGCCCCCTCTCACGCCCGGGTATCTCCATCGCTAGCTGAGCCCTTTCCCCCCAATCCCCTCCACTGTTCCCTTTTATCCCTCATCATCCCCGCTTCGTGTCAACTGTACCTCCCCCACTCTCTCCTCGTACCAAACAGATCATCGCTTACCCTCAGGCCAAACTCCATCACGCACTCCTCCCCACTATCCCAACTTATCGTAACCCCGTCCCACTCCCAGTCCCAAACACTACCTCCGCCCCTCTCCCTCCTCCAGCACCAGTATCATCATGGAATTCTCCAGCCCCTAATTGTCCTTACCTTCACTCGTTCCATCCTACTCATGCATCTCTTCCTCCTCATCCTACCCCTTTACCGCATAGTCAACCTCAACCACCTAAAACACAACGTGAAACGGGTTTCGTTCCGTCTACCAACCAAAGTGGTGGTACCTCTACCCGTGAGAAGGGATAGAGAGATGGAGAAAGATAAAGATCCAAAAGGTTCTCCAACAGGAACGGGAACTACGAGTTCTAGTCTTGGAGGATTCGTTGATGATGCTTTTAGACCTCTTTGGGCTAGTACCGTTCCTGCAAAAGGATTCAAGTGATTACGGAATTCATCAATACAAGTACATTCTTTAAGGTTGATCAAGTGGTCAACACACAAGTTTATACTTTCACTTGATTTATTTTGACTGTATACCCGATTTTGAACTTACTGTTCATTGGTATTGGACTTTAGACCACCACTCTCGTCGCATACTCTTTCTTAACCATACAAGTTTGGCTTTGTTCATTCCGTCGTACGAATCTCTTTCGAAATACGTTCCCCCCACAAACATTCGTCATTCGGACATATACGTACAAGATCCACATTCCTGTCATATCAATGTCAATCCAACTTTCATCTGTTAAGCTGTCGTCGCAGATCAGATATCAATTGAGACTCTAGCTTTATCGTATCATTTCGCACACGTCTTGTAGCGGTAAAGGTTGGATGTGTTGTGAAGGTGGATAACAAGGAGATGACAGGGACAATGATATCGTCAATTAGTTCAGGGGCTGAATACGGATTTGTTACAATACCGATTTATTCGGATGTTGACAGAGACACACGCAAAGATCATTCGTGGATGAGATGAGTATATGCCTGAATGGACGATGTAGAAGAGAGGATGTAATAGATGAATCTGTTGTATCACGGTTTACAAACTTGCATCATGTTCCTATTTGTATTCATCATGTCATCAAACAGCACTTTGACGTACGCCCGCTAATTTATCGGCGACCTGAAATCAGTAAGTGGAGCGGTATGATAAGATGTAAATACTCACTTGACGGATATAAGGCAATGATAGAAAAGTTCCAATGATAGGTGTTTGTCTCAATGCTTGTAATATGACAGGGAAGAATGAACTGGATCATTAGTTGTCGTTCATTTAACTCTTTCATTCTGTCACGAGGAAAGCGTTTCCATCTTTCTGGAGTTGACTCGAGATGATTTGACCGATTGACATGATATACGGTGATTAGGAGATACAAATGAGAACGGAATGAGAATGAGAACAAAATGAGAATGAGAATGAGAATGAGAATGAGAATGAGAGATGAGAATGAGAATGAGAATGAGAATGAGAATGAGAATGAGAGATGAGAAAGAGAATGAGAGAATGAGAATGAGAATGAGAATGAGAATGAGAGATGAGAATGAGAATGAGAGAATGAGAATGAGAATGAGAATGAGAATGAGAATGAGAGATGAGAAAGAGAATGAGAGATGAACTAGGTCAGACTTTGTGGGAAAGAGGTAATGAGTTGAAAATGAAAAGATTTAACGTACCCGAACAAACCGACGAATCCTATGAATTCAACGCAAATACCGATAATTGGCCATTTGAGGAATACCATGAGTCTTTTTTAACTCGTCAGCGCTGCTCAGAGGGCTAGATACTTTCAAGATCCCACAAATTTGTAGATGATTACCTTATGAGATAGTGTGGAATGGTGATTTCAACATAAAAGGATTTCCTCGTTCACCTATGAAGATGATTGATGTAGTATTGAGAAGTAGGTCTACTCCTCCAGGAAATCATTTGATTCAGACATGAGGTGCTGGAGTCGATAGGGAAAAGAAGTGAGAGATAACGGATGTCGCAGGTTTTGACATACAGTGGTAAATTGAGTTGCAAAGGGGGCACCGTATGGACTTGAGAGGGAGACGACTAGATTATACGGTGGACACATTTGGATTTCAAGATGGACACATGGTGGACACAATGATAATACTCGGTGGACACAAAGGGGATATACGGTGGACACAACTGGATTACACCGTGGACACATTTGGATTGCAAGGTGGACACATGGTGGACACAAAGGGGACACAAGGGGGACACAAGGGGGACACAAGGGGGACACACGGTGGACACATTGGGATTGCAGAGGGGACACAAGGGGGACACGAAAGGGACCACAGAGGGGACACATTGGGACCACAGAGGGGACACATGGTGGACACACAGTGGACTCAAGCGGACAACAAGGGTAGACACAGGAGGGAATCACAAAAAAACTCCCACTCACATTCCACCAAAGAAACATAACGTCCCTCTCCACTTTTCTCTCCTCGAGAAGAAATAGAATGTTTTCGTCGGGCCGATGATTAGCGGTAATCCGCTGACAAATAGGATCTGTAAAGTCAGTCATAACCCAACATATTCTCTCTCCTCTTCATCACGGAGCTTCACTCCGCTTCTGCTACTACACCAGAGGTTTCATTTGAACTTGAACAATCCGTCCTTCGTCCTACTTTGACTCCTCAACGCCGATCTTTGCTCCTGTGAAGTTGTATGAGATGAGCCGTCTGATACCACCGAAAGTAGAGATGAAGATAAGAGGAATAAGAAGGACTTGCATTGCCAAGTGCGAGCAGAGCTCCATCAAACAGTAAGACGATACCTATCACGTCAGTCGATCTGGCTGAGGTGAGGTGAAGATGACTCACCGAGGAATTGAAAGAAGATACCGAAAGCAACTAGTGCTATTCCTATCTCTGAAGGTCAGATTAACACTTTGTTTTCTCGCTCAGAACGAGCTACAAGCCGGAAACTTGTCATTTGTAGCGGCTTCCTCGGCGGTCTCGTATGAGGTACAAAGAGGAGAGATGCGAGACGGACTGACTTTGAGCATCGCTGAGCCACATCGTACTGGCTCGAAGGAGCTAATCTTCGGAGATCTATCAGAATGGAACGCAGACCGTCTGGATTGAAGGCGACGGCCAGTCTGAGGATCTGAGGGGAATGGTAGAATGTTAGAGATTCGTAGGTGCCGTCGGTGTCTTCGGTGGAAGTTCTAGGTGGAAGCCGTCGCGTGTGGGAGTGAGTGACGTGTCTTTATGGTGTAACCGTGGTTTTCTCATATGTAGCGTCGTTTTCTCTTATCAGGTCAAACTTTTGAATGACGTCAGTGCTGCGCCAGCATGAGATAGTAGTTAGAGTAAGTTTTTCCTGCGCCAAGATTAACCACCACGCCCACGCAGGCCATCTTTATCGGGCACATGTCAGTTCACAGCTCACAAGTAGTATACACATTGACTGATTGAAATACCATCCTTGCTACGAGTTGTAAGATTCCACTCTACTTTTCATCCATCTGCCCCCGCAACGCAATCCACCGACGAAAAGGGAAATCCCCCGAAACTGCGGGCCTAGATTCAACCCCCCCCCCCCTCCCCCCATCACTCTCGATTCGACCCCCTCCCTCCCTCGACCGAACGAACCCCAGACTCTCTCAGATCGGATCATTGACATTCACCTCGTCCTCCCCCACCAAGAAGTGAGCACCCTCAGAAACGGAGTGGGTGTTTAGGGTGGGCCGCATATACAGTGCTCAAGC